TGTTAACTATCAAGAATGTATTGTTCCTCTTCTATAACGTTTCTCAAATATTGAACATTTAGCATTATTATTAGCTATTGATATAACAATAACTACACTAGATCATGTTGTTGATGGATTTTATTTAAAGACAAGTATTGTTTCATACGTGGCTAATTTACCTCAATTTAATTTTCACATTCGTTCAATATTAGAAAACGCTTCTCAAATAGAAATTGATACAATTCGTCAAAGTTTTTTGTGAAACTTCAACAAGAACCTATTGATTGTTCAATCAAATATTTCAATAATACCTATGGTCAAGGTCAAATCTATTCGCTTCCATTTATTGGCAATCATCTTGATTTCATTTCAAATCGATTTCCACTCTTCGATATTAATAACACGTTCTCAATAGTTACTATATTATTACTTTTATGATGATGTCAGACCATTCAAAAATCTTTTCTTTGCACGTATCGTTCGAGCTCTACCTCATCTTAGAACACTCGAATTATTCAATGAACTTGAACAATAAGAGAAAATGACAGTGACAACAAAGAATCTTGAGTTTGCTAATTTATCTACATTGATTCTATTAAAAATTCATATAGATTATGCTGAACAATTTCTTTGTTGAGTTCATCTTCCTTGTCTAATTGAACTGACTATTCATAAGAATATATTGTTAACAATAATCGGTCAAGATCAACAACAAGCAAGAAGCAATTGTTCTAAAGTGGAAAGTTTATTAACTTCTGAGAAACTATAATTCAGTAGGTGTTGTTCAAAACTCTTCCCCACTAGTTTCTCATTCAAAACATTCGTGAAAAAAATTAAAAATAAAATCAATGATTTCTGTAAAAAAAATAGCAACTCATTTTCTTAGTAAAGCTTTATTTCTCAAAAGTCAATGGAATGGAAACATTGTAAAGACGTATATTAATTTAAATATAGCAGGAAGAAAAATTTGCCGAATAACCAGAAGAAGAAAATGTTAATATCTTATCGTGTATTCTATTGTTAATATAAGAATTGTTTTAGTAAAGCAAGATAAAAATCAATTGCTTATTATTAGTAATTGAAGTTTCACGAGGGAAAAAGCTCGGGTGTACTATGGACGTAATCATATAAAATATCCATTTATCTTTGAATACATTGAAGAACATTTTATCGTAATAAATCAACGATTTCGATATTTTAGCTTTATGAAATATTAGATGTGAGAACGATTCGCTATAATTTATTTGCTGAATTATCCATGCAAACTATATTTTCGTAGGACTGACGTGAGTCGATGCAGTATTCAATGATTATCAATTGAAAAAGATTATTATTTCCAAACGCTTTTTTTTATAGATTTTGATAGAGAAAAAAATAGCCTGCATCGAAGAAGTTCATTTCTAACGATTCTTAAACGAGTATTGATGATGTTTTATGTCAAAAAAAGTACTTTTTAAGCGTTCCGAAAATATCTAAGATGTTACTTATTACTCAACTAGTTTTGAAAAAATGTGATATTCGCAATCAGCATAATTTGGGATTCATCGATATATAAAGCCTGCTAATGGAACAAATACAAAAATATTTTTGATCGAGTGTGACATCGTCCTATGCCGAGTTAATTAAGATAGATCAATTATTTTAAATGTGCCAATGATTGATTGTTCAATATCTTTAGCTAGAAATGAAAATTTTATGCTTAAATAAAGAAGAATTTTTACCCACACCCGCACCCACGCCCTTCTTATGAGAAATCCAAAAATCACATTGAAAAGAACAAAAACTGTAATCTTTAGAATTTTATAGTTGATTTACTGAAAGAAAACCGTTTTTTGAAGAATTTCAGACCTTTCAGTATTTTTAAAAGGTTTCCCTAAAAATGTGATCTAATGGGGAAAATAAGGACATATTCGTGATCAGCGTGAAAAGGTGCATCTAATGATATAGGGCTCAGCGAAAACGGGAGAGTGCTCAAATTTTGAATTACGCGCACCTTATATTTGAAATTAATTTTCTTAATTTACCAAGTGTTGCATGGAAACGTCTTTTACCATGATTATTCTCTCGTTTAAATCATCCTGATAGTTTTGTGAGAGTTTATGTTACTAATTTATTGATACCTATAGCAAAAGATTTTCCACATTTAATTATTTATTCAGTTCTTGTTGGAATGACGAGTGATTCAAACATGAAACGAATATAATCAAGAGATGATAATATTTATCAGAGAAAATCTGCGAATACCAATGAATCACAAGATGATATTGAAAAACAAGAAAATACTGTCGCTATGCAAAATAGCTTTTGATTAACTTATAATGTACTTTAGGAAATAAATTCACATATTGTTGGACAAGTTAAATTATATTGTGCACGAATTACGATGTGTTACTGTTCTATGGAATGAACTTTGATTAGGAACAATGGCACAACTTCAGGGAGAAATTAGTCGGTTAGTTTCAAAAGATAAATAATGATTTATCAGATTATGTTATTAGCTAGACGAAGTTTCACAGCTGATTAATTATTACTAAGTTGAAACAATGCCTAGAGAAAGTTCCCATTCTTTTAATTTGATATTATCTTAGAATAAAAACATAGAATCTACCGATCTATATGACTTCTGATTAGGGGTGTCGGCTTAGCATTAGTATTGAGTTAATTAATGATATTTTTAATACTTTTTCGTTAGCATTAAAAAATTAACTTAATGCTTTTGTATTAGTGTTAATTTTGTATTAGGATAATGCTAACACTGAAATTTCCCAAAAAAACAGAACAAAAGTGTTCCATTTTTGGAAAAAAATTCCCAGAACAGAACAATTTTGTTCTGTCTTTGGGAAATTTAGGCATTAGTGTTATCCTAATGCAAAATTAAGACTAATGCCAAAGTATTAAGGATTACTTTTAACGCTAATACAAAAGTATTAAGTTAAATTTTTAACTCTAACACCAAAGCATTAGCATCTTTTAAATACTAATGCTAAGCCGACACCTCTACCTCTGATAATAAACTATTTTCAACAAGACTTATCTCTGTGTATATATTTTTAATACAATAATCTGAGGATCTGCATTTGATCAAATCTGGAATAAATCATAAATTTCTATCTGTAAGAGTTTTTACTAGCATAATGACTCGCGTAATAATTGAAATTTTATACAATAGAACATTTAATTGATTCATTTTATTTTATTTAGACATGGTGATGTCCTTAAAGATAGACTTCAACGTCTTGAAGCTATGATGCTTTTAACAAAGGAAGAAAAAGAATTTCTAATAAAAGAAAAAAAAAAATATTTTATTTAGATCTGTAAGTTTTTATAGTTAACCCTAACTAAAACTTTTCTTTTTTTTTCTCTATTCAGTATAGTAAACAAATTGAACAACTAAAACAACCTTTTACATTATCTAATTCACACTTGTATTAATTACAACTACGATAGGTAATATAAATTTTTGAATTAATACTCTTAAAGTTTTTTTGTTTTGTTTTATTTTACTCAACATTTAATCATATTGGCTTTAGTCAATGTTACATCCTACTGGTAATGGCAAACGATCAGGTACAATTCATTCTATGAATCAAACAAGTCTAAAATTAGCAGAAATAAAACAGTGTTAGACTAATTCCAGATAAAGATGGAGAGGCTTGAAAATTTCTTCATTACAGCTGTAATCTATCTATCTATATATAACTAATAGTCATCAGTATCAATATTTGCTCAAAGATCTTGAAGATCTTCATTTAGATGAACGTATTATACAATTTTTATCGATGATAAATGTTATGTTTACTAAAATTAATCGTAATAATGAACCATGGTCATATGAAGCTAGAAATTATACTGTTGTACCGCTCAGAGGTGTCCACAGGGCAATGCTTTTGTATCCTACCCTGAGTCGGGGAAAAAATTTTAAACTAGAAAATTCGTGCCCTGTCTTACCCTGCCCTGCAGGATGTCAGGACACTCCTTTGTTCTGTCCAGTTCTCACCTCTGTTCTAGATAGAACAGTCTTATCGTATGTATCGATTTATGAAATAATGCTTTCAAACAAATCCAACATATGACAACATCAAATGTAAGTTACTGTATCTGTATATGCTACAAAAAAAGATCATCACTTAGTTGTATCATTCAAATTATATTCTTTAAGAAAAACGAACAATATTCGTTATGATGATTGATCATCAAGTAAGGAATTATTTCAATTGATTTATGATAATTTTCATCTAATAGTTTACGAGTTCGTTCAGGGTCATGCTTTTTTCTCTGATAAACAAAAAATAATTCTCAATATACTTCTTTAATTAAGTTGAAGAACAAATTTCACCAAATCTATAATCAAATCAAGTTTCATCAAAGTGACATGGAAAAATACAAGAAACAAATGAAGAACTAACGTATTCTTTCTGTCGCGTTTGCACGCAAAGCCTTGTGTTGTAACTACCACGGAAAAAATTAATGGAAATTGTATTTTTGATCTAAAACAAAGAGTTAATGATCAGAAGAAGTTTTCTTGGATATATATTAATAGGGTGTGGTGTTTGAGTTGGTGAATATGGTTGCTGTGGATCTTCAATGATCACACTGGCACCTATACCATGTTCTGCTCGAGCAGCTCACACCCACACTGACGCCCACCCACCCGCTCACCCACATCCCACACCCACATTTTGAATTATACAGACATAATTCATCGATGGAGAAAAAACCGTTAAGAAATGTTTCACACTAGACAATTTGTGCAGTTTCACAGAGTTTGGTTTCTTCTCCGAATGTTGAATTTTATATTATCCATGAAACATTCTTCTCCCTTTCGTCGGCTAAGAGAAAGTTCCACGTGACGTGTAGTTGCTGGTATTTTTGCAGAATGGATGCGTGTAAGCCAAACGAATGAGTCAGTAGCTTTTGGGAAAGCGACTGAAGGAAAGAAAACATCAATTTAAAGTCATAACTACGGAAGTGTCTAGGGCGAATTCTTTCTTGAAGAAAGAAGATATGTCATTGTCACGCTGTAAAAGGTTACTCCGATGAAAACATCTTCATTTATGCAGCGCATGTCTGCTGCAATTTCGTATTCAGATTCATTAGTGTCAAGGAACACAATATATTCATCGACATTGACATCTTGATGCATACGAACTTTCTTATCTTCAATGGTTGTAAAATTAAAGGAACAGTTCCCATAGGATGCATTCTCCGATTGTGGATAATTACTCAGTGTTGGAAAATAAGCGATTGTTGGTAATGGTTTCCAGTTCATCAGCAGACGTTTGTCGCCCAAATTCATACACTTAAAAAGAGACACAAAGAAGGAGCAAATAATTTCTTCAACGATTAAAACATTTTTTCTCAACACAAAAAAATAGACTTACACCCATTTCTGCATCTCCATTCAGAACCAAACTGCTGTCATTTAGCACCCAGGTTCCATCGTAAAGAATAACATTGCTCAGCTTAACAAGATGATTGTTTGATGATGAAATACTTAGCGGGATTGTACGAAAATCGATGTTAGAGAAAGTTAAAGGCAGCGGCATAGAAAGGCTCGCATCGCTAAGAGAGAAATCCCGATTTACTAATGTTAAATTTGTGCTCCGAAACTCTATTAAACCCTGAAATCTTATTCCTTTAAAAGTACTATGAGCCAAGTTCGCTCGAACGAAACTGACATCACACATATACGAATCACTGAAGTCACTTCTTTCCAAATTTGAATCATCGAATTTTACATGTATATGTCCAAAAGAATCACTATTTGCAACATAACTTTGACTGCATTCAAATTTCGATTGTGTAAAATTTGCACCAAACATAGATGAATTACGGAAATCAACACCTTGATTGAATTGACACCCGATGAATGATGCGTTTGTAAAGTCCACTGATGACAAACGTAAATTATTGAAATGAAACTTTTTGTGCGGTGTGCTTTTAATCGATATGTTCACAAAATTTGCATCTGATAAATCGAGTGACACATTTGTTACATTATTGTCTCCATAGGATAACGGGAAAGGAGAAAGAAGGCCAGTCTCATTAAGAAAAAGAAACAGGCGCGATTTACCTTGCCAATCCAGTTCTTCCAAAGCTATTAATGTTTTTATACGAATGTATTTCATTTTCTTTTGATTATCAATAAATGTGTTATTTAATTTGAAAAAGACATTTGAAATATCTTCTACATATGTTTTGAACACACCTTGATAGTAAAGCTCATCAGCTAGTTGCTGATCTTGCAGTCTCCTCAAATAAGCCAAATGTTGATCTTGTTGTCTTTGCTTGTCCTGAATGCTTTGGTTTACGGCAGAGACTACTATTGTTGAGACTTCTATCATCAACGGTATAAGTGCACCGAGAGCAACATTGATCCATGTTAGGCATCTTCGTTCACTTTTCAACTTCTTTTCTGGATGAGAATTCGAGGTTGGTAGACCTAACTTCTGTCGTGTCCGCAGATGCAACATATTGAAGAAACCTTTAAAAACACTAAGTGAACTCTCAGAATGTTTAGAAGAAAAAAGTGTTGATTAAATTCTCTATTTCTACAAAATAAATATTTTAAGTCTCTCTATTGGCGACGAAGGAAGGATATCCATACGGAAATAAAGCAGGAAAGAAGATGGATTTTTTTTTTGTTTTTATCAATTTTTTGTCAATTAACCACGTCTTTGTCAACATGATATTCGATCTTGTTGTTATTATTTCACATCATTACAGGCAGACAGTAAATACGATAATTTATCGTTGCAAAAAATGGTTTTGCTAAATTCTCCGCACTTCAAGTCACTGCGTTGTTACAGATTCTCTTGAGAGGGTAGGTGTGTTATACACTCAAACGAAATTTAGATTTAAAGCACTATATACGATGTTTTCGTCCTTGAGCGTGTGGGTGTGGGTTTGCATTTCGAAAGGAACACTCACACTCACACCCACACCCACACCCTTTTGAAAAGTATTTCTGCTTTTATTTTCATTTTCAGTAATACCATTAATGCATGATGTATTAACATCATTTTCATTCATCTTTTTATTAGTTTTATTATTATATTTGAAGTCGTGACTGTCATACTGGTAAGTCGAATGGTAAGATTTATCATTGATAACAATATTGCTCGTTCTGTTCTTACTATTTATAAACATACGTCCATAATTCTCGTTTGATTTTTTCATTGTTTCTAAACTGGGTTCGATAATGCATACGTCATCGTCATTGTTTTGTTTTTCATTGTAATCATTGGTATGTCTTTGTTTGCGTTTATTGTTTTTACTTACTGTAATAAATTCTTTATTTTTACTTATATCATTAGGCTGAAAATCATTTTCTTCGTCACCATATTGGCTTGTTAATGTAAGATGTCTTTTGAACGTATGAGTTTGTTTATTTAGATTTTCATTATTTTCAGTTTCATCGATTCGTTGTTTGCTTTGATTTACGTCATCTAATATCTGTTCATCATTCAAGTCGCAGAAGCGATTTTTGTTATTTTTTATTGAAGTTACACTTTGGTCAGATAAATAATAAGACATTTAATTCTATTTTCAATGTTTAGTAATATATTTAATAATAATAATAAATTAGTGATGCACGATGCACGTTACACTAGTATACGTACATACAGCAGGAGACAGAGAATACGTCTTACCGCTATCGTGCAATGACAGAAGTGAGCACTGTCTATACCTATGCGTACCCGTTAATGGTTTTTCATCAGAAACATTAGTATCATCGTTTGATGAGATCCTTTAGGATTCTTATCGTATCCTATTGTAGGATTTGTCGACGTGAGTACAGATCCTCAATAAGTTCTATTATTTTATACAGTCGGAGAAAATTTTCTTTTCATCACTGAAAAACACTTAAAATTAGTCTTTTATTAAAAAATCTAATTTTATATCAGTCCTGTTGAGGATAAGGGTGAAACATATGTGTAAATGTTGGCATGAAAGCAAAATTTCTTATTTGTATTATTTTTTAAAATGAATTATTCACTAAAAATAGATAAAATTAAATTTCAAACATAATTTCTTGTTGGAATGCTAATTCAAAAATACCACTACTAAAACTGGTCAAGTTCAACAATCACTCTCAGTGCACCTATATCACATCATGCTCGTTCATAGAATGTGCTGATATTAAATGGGAATCTGTCATGTGTGTACAATGAATATGTTGTTTTTTTGCTTACAACCAGTGTTATTACATTTTTTTTGCTCTTTCCTCTTGTCGTCTATTTAAGTTTTGTTCGATAGTGATAAAATGCTGTTGCTTAACCATGTGCAATTCACAGTGAAAAATACAGACGTACGAACGCAAGAGCACAAAAACGAACACCATTGGAAAAAACCAAGTAATTTTTTCGCTAAAATGGGTGTAATACAAAATTTAAGCTAATTTTGTTTTACGTCGGCCTTATTTTACACAAAGCAGTTATGGTTATCGTTGAAGATTGTATTTGAGTGTGAGTAGACTAACAATATAACTTCCTTGTTCTTCATTCTCATGCAAACAAAAATCAAAATTCATATTTTCAGAGAGAAATAATATCCGTAATCAAGTCCATTCATTGATGTAAACGATAGAAACTCGAACATGAGAAACATTATATTTGTATGTCTCTATCATTGTAAAATGTAAATATTGTCGTTACTAGCATGACGTCTGTACTCTGCGTGTCCTATGAATTCACATGGGTAGAGCAATTCAATGCAACAATTGGAACATTATTATCGTCATGACCAAACTTGACATACCAATCTGAAATACTGAAAATAATCTACCACATAAGTCGTCTGTCAATGTTCTGCATACTGTGTAAATTTGTTGAATAGCAGCATCACACACTCAGATAACTGAATCAAATCAGCAATGACATTACCATTCTCAAAAGGATGTGCTGTTTACAATGAATTATATCATTTTTGTTAATGTTGAACATATCCAGCATCATTAGCAAAGAGAAAAAAAACGAAGATGAATAACCCTATTCAAATATCTGTGTTAGTAGTTCTCGTTATTCTTTGCATCCATAATATTATTATTTAATCAATGGACCTAAATATCCATATCAGACCATATCTTAGTAGTGTATTTGGATATATTCATATATCAACGATGAAAATATTTCACATGCCGCGAAGGTCAAATCATTTCTAAGTTCAATGTTAACAGTTTCAAACACATATTTACCGGTGGTACATTTTATCCATTTTGGTTTTGTTTTCTTCCTGATTTCATAGAAATCTACAACATTTAATCTTGTCTCTCTGCCTGTTTTGTTTTTCATTTTGTTTGTCCTATGTGAGAGATTACTTTGCTAATCAATCATAGATACCAAGAGCATTATTTCCTATTAATCTCATAAAAAAACTTTTGTTTTTTCTGATTTTCTGGTTTTCTTATTCAGATTTAATAATGAGTACATGTTTACCACAATCAACAGATCCTAATGGTCAATTAATAGTAATGACAAATGAACAGCAAGCACTAATAAAAGAATTGTATGAAATATTTTCCTTTTGCTTATTGTATTATGAGCTATGAGATTTGTTTTTGACATAGACAAACGACTGAAACTCAATCATTTCCTAAAGAAAAAAATCAATTCACTGATGACCAACGTCTGAGAGAATCGTCATCCGACTCTGATACATCAGTAATTAAAATGAAACCAAGAGTTGCAAGTCAACAAAGAGGCTTGCTTTCATCGTCTAGTGATGATGGTGACAATGATAATGAAATGGTATGCATGATTTGTTATTCTTTGATTGCCCAAACAGAAAAAAAAACGCTCTTTATATTGACATTGTCTTGATTCAGAAATATAAAATGAATGACAAAATATCAAGTTTAATTTCAAAAGACACGAATTTCAGTCAAATTAAATGAAACGACTCCACAGGTTATTCTCCAGAACTACAGGTGTTCTAATAGAATCGTAGCACAACGGTGCATAATCTACATGTTTAATTTCGATATTTTGAGATCCTCAGAAAATTCATAGCAGGACAACTCCTTTACTATCAAAATTTTACGTTATCTAAACAACTAGTTATTTTTCTCGTATAATAATGTGTGTGTGAAAAATGACATCAAGTATAGAGTATAGAGTATTCATAAAAAAAAAGAAATAAAACTTATTGGGAATGAGTACTTTTGCCTTAAATATTAAAAAATGAATCTTTCACGATTATAAAATAAAACAATATTTATTTATCACAAGACGACGCTTTGGTAAATGCCAGTTAAAATCTAAATAATTTCGTTCCAATCGGGCATCGAAGTCGATGTACGATCCATTTTTAGATATATAACACAATTCGAACAGAAAATACAGTAAAATTACCATAAATTCGCTTCAAATATCGCAAAAAGCGAAATATTTTTAGATAATCTCAATATAAGGTCGCATGAATGGTACCAATTAAGTATTTCAAAATCTAATTTCTGCAGGTCAATCTGTACTAGATGCAGCATCAATTTATAATTTTTCTCTGACAAACATCGTTTTCCAATAAAGATCTATCCGAAGTTGTTTTTTATTAATTAAATTGTAGAAATCAACAACTTCTGAAGATTCATTTACTGCTTCACTGAAACGCTCATCAGATCCAATCCGAATTAGAAGTTTACCGTTATCACCACTTGAAGACTCAAACAAAAATAATGAAACCTCAGTAAAAGATTCAGAACATTTACCTAAAAGAAGAAGTGTTTCAAACAAATGTCCAAAGAACTTTAAAAAAATGAAACTTGAAAAGAGAAGCAGTGAAAATACAACATCTTGTCAACGTACTGATAATAACAAGACTAGCCATGTTAAGAACAAAGATAAGCGAATGAAAACCAAAAAGACAAAATTAAGATTTAGAAATGATAGAATCAAAAATCAAGAAACAGAACGTGGAAAACAGTCTTCAACAAGGCGAAAAAATATTCGAAAAATAATTGACGATAAAGAGTTGAATATTGAAACGAAAAATGCTATTGAAGCTGAACATGAACGTCGAAAACGTATTGTTGAAAAGCAAAAATTGTACAATGATACTTTACCTGAACAATCAACTTTGATGTTAAATAGTGAATATAATAAATCAGATAATTCAAATCTACGTTTGATACTCGAATTCGATAAAAAAACAAATGAATCTATAATTGAAGTTTCACCAAAATTAGTTGCGCAACTTAAAGGACACCAATGTGATGGTATAAAATTTTTATGGAATAATGTTTTTGAATCAGTTGAAGCCATAGAAAATAAAAAACAAAATAATAATGGTTGTATTTTAGCTCATTGTATGGGTCTAGGAAAAACATTACAAGTTATTAGTTTTATTCATACTTCTTTTGCTTATAATCAAATAACTAAAGTAAGAACATGCCTTATTCTTTCTCCAGTAAATGCTGGTAAGTATTCGAATTGTTGATTTTTTTGGCAATAGTAATATATATAGTTTTTCTTTTTTCGTCTTCATAGCTTTGAATTGGTCAAATGAATTTAAGTTTTGGTTAAAAGATATTGAACCATCGATTAATCATTATCAATTAACAACGGTCGAACGCAATTTACGTATTGAGCATTTGATTAGTTGGTATAAAAGTGGTGGAGTTCTTATTATGGGTTATGAAATGTATAGACGACTAGCAGAAGGTATTGGAATTAAAGATAAAAAACTTAAAATTGCCGCATATAATTGTCTTGTGGATCCAGGACCGGATATTGTTGGTAATGTAAACATTATTGTTTTAACGATATTTCACTAGAGTTGAAAGCAATTCTCATATTGAATCTTAACTCTTCTTAATAAGGCATTTAATTTTCATGTTTAGTTGCTGATGAAGGACATATTTTAAAAAATGATAAGACATCTATTGCAAGTTGTTTATCCAAAATCAAAACATCTCGTCGTATTGTTTTAACTGGCACACCCTTACAAAATAATCTTCTTGAATAGTAAATTTCAAATAAAAATCTTGTCTATCTTTTTTATGTTTTCTTCCCGTTAGTTATTGTATGGTATCATTTATTAAATCAAATTTACTTGGTGATCGATCTGAATATATAAATCGTTTTGTTAATCCAATCCAAAATGGTCAGCATAGTGACTCAAATGAACAAGATGTTTATTTAATGAAACAACGTGCTTGCGTTTTGTATGAACTTTTAACAGGTTTTGTTGATCGAAAAGATTATTCATTATTAAAAGAATATTTACCACTGAAATTTGAATATGTTATCAATATAAGACTAAGTGACTTGCAATCAAGATTGTATAATCTATATTTACTAGTAAAAGTTGCTCAAAAACAACGTTCACCTGTATTAAAGAAAGATTTCAAATCAGCAAAATTATTTGCTGATTATCAATATTTACAAAAAATATGGACGTAAGAAATAAATTGATGAAAAGAAACAATAATGTGATTATTTTATTTTTAGGCATCCATTTCTCCTCTATCCATATTTTATTGATCGGTGTAAAAAAGGACTTGAAGATGATGATGATAGTTTAAGTGCTGACAGTGAATCAGAAAATATGTTTATTGATGATAATGAACTAGAAACTGTGTCTACTGATGAGGAAGAAAATAGGGTAGGTAAAAACAGATTGATAATGATAATTATACTTTGAGACATTTCATATCAATGATTCATATTATAGTTCTCTTGCCTAATACATATTTGAATCTATTTATCATTTCGTATCAATCATCGACGAAGACTTTTGATCTAATGGTTTGATTTTGAGGAAATCAATAAGAGGTTTTTAGCTAATGAAATCTTTGCAAATATTGTGATAGAAGTCCTTAAATTATTGATGCAAATGTACACCAGCTAATTGTTGGACTAATCAAACTACCTTAAACTAGAAGTAGGATACTCGAGTCGTTTAATATTAATTCAGAATCTCGGTAATCCTGCTGAAATATAAACTATCTTGATAGAAATAGTTATGACATTGACCTCACAGTGAGAATCTTCAAATTTTATTCAATGAAAAACGATTTGATACTGAAAAACCACCCCTCATAAGCTCAATTATGTGACTACAATAGGGCTGAGTGGTTTTGAATAGTATATTCGAAATCAGTACGCGAAATTGCATAAAAAAATGTGAGAAAGAATCCTCGTCAGGTATTTTTTTTATTGATAAAATCTTTATTTTCTCAACCGAGTTTAACCCAGCGTTACATGATTTCGCAATAAAATTTTAACATGGTGCAAGCCGGGTCTGCTATTTAACTGAAATAAGATTTGAAATGTACCAATTTTATCCTTCAAGTAATCAAGTTTTAGTAAGAACCTTTGAATAAGAAGGTGATTGTTAGTTTTCCATACTGAATTTAAGAGATACGAAGCTTTGATTATATTATAAGATATCTTCATATATTATAGATAGAATTGGAAAACAATACTCAAGATGAAATGGATGAATGTAAAGCAATGACGCCAAAAACAGGAAAACATAGAATTTCCACTTTATCGACAACAGTAGTTCGTTCTAATTCAGAATCAACAGACGGTGATGAAGATATTGAAATAAATAAAACTTATTCAACACAAAATGTAACAGTAAGAAATAAAAAAATGAAAAAAAGGTCATCATCTATAACAATTGATTCAAGTGAAACTGATATAGAATATAATAAAAATTCCACACAAGAAATAACTAATAATGATAATGAAAAAGAAGAAAATTCTAATGAACTATGGTTAGATAAAATTCGTGAACAATTTTGGTTTCCGCTCTTAGATCGGTTACATGAGCAAAGTGAATTTGATGTAGAATTAAGTGGAAAAGTTTTATTAGTAAAATTTATTATTGATAAATGTGCTGAACTCCGTGATAAAGTTCTTTTATTTTCACGTAGTTTATATTCATTAAATTATATTGAAAAGTTTTTAAAACATTTACATATTCAAAATGAGAAACAGTATAAACTTCTTTTATCACATAATAACAATCAATGCATACCTGCGCCATTACAATGGATATTGGGAAAAGATTATTTTCGAATTGATGGTCGTACAAAGATTATGTTAAGAAAACGGTATGTTGAAGAATTTAATGATCCATCAAATTCACGCGTGCGGTTATTTCTTATATCAACGCAAGCTGGTGGTATTGGAATCAATTTAACTGCTAGCAATCGAACTATTATTTTTGATGCAAGTTGGAATCCAAGGTAAATATAATTAGTCATCATAGAATTATTTATTTGAAAAAATAAACCTGCAACTAATCGATGCTAAAATACAGAGCCCATGACAGAAATGAATTATAAAGTAATTCAAAACTGGCTACATTCTCGATGGAATCTTATGTATAATTTAAAAAAATGAAACTATTATTTGACGATTCCTAGATCACTAAGTACAGAGTTATAGAGGAATCTATGAACTACATGAGTTACAGGAATTGCCAGAGTGTGGATGTGCGCGGGTATGTATGAATGATATCGAACAACCACCCACACCGACACCTACCCTCTTGACTATTAATTACTAGAAATCTTCACGTATAACGAATATTGTCAAAACAATTAAAAAAAAAGGTTTCTTCTGCTTTAGCCATGATGCCCAAGCTTTGTTTCGTTCCTATCGTTTTGGTCAAAAGAAACAAGTTTATATCTATCGATTAGTATCTCACGGCACAATGGAAGAAAAGATATATCAACGACAAGTTGTTAAACAATCAATGTCAAAACGGTAGAAATCAAAACCAAATATAAAACATTTGATACAATTTTTTCTTGCTCTATTCTAGTGTGATTGATGATCATCAATTAGATCGTCATTTTACTCAAGCTGATATAAAAGAATTATATAATTTTCAAGTAGAACAACTACCGGAGGCTCAATCAACGTCAACACATTCAACAACATCAAGTACTGCTTTAAATTATCCAGAGTCAGAAGATCGTCTGTTGTGTGACCTTCTACAAGAACATAGTCGTTGGATACACTCATATCATTCTCAGGATTCATTATTAGAAAATAGAATTGATGAGAGTTTTAGTGCTGACGAACGACTTCAAGGTAAATTCTTTATTTTCTTATCTTTCTTCTCTTTTTTTTATGCATTACTTTCATCCGAAAACAGCCCTTGAAGAATACGAAAAGTTAAAAAATCCACCTATTCAACGTCAAACATCTATTCAACGTTTTCCGTCACAGCAGACAAATTCTTCTGTTGCAAATAGTACAAGTAACTATACTTATCTTTGAAGAGAAGAAAAGATCATCTAGCACATTGTAAAACACGTTGAATTGCAAAGTATTTTTGCTTTCTCTCTTCTTTCTGCTTTTGTCCATAGATAGTATAATTTATTATCTTTCAAGAATATTCTCATTATTTATTGAGCTTCAATATAAATGATTTGCATTCTGATAAGCAAAGTCGTATGGCTCCTAATTCTGAAAAGTATTTCTTATTTTTTTTTTCATTTCCGGTAATACAAAGCTATGCCTATATTTTTCTTCAGAAAACTTTACTTTTTTATTTTTTTTTATCATTCTATGTTTTGTGTTCTTATTTTTTAGCGAAACAAAAAGTAAAATCTAAAAATGAGTAGCATAATTATATTCCACATCACTACAGAGTCAGCCAACTCACAAGAAGTGCCACTCGAAAATTGAAGCGTTATCATGATAAAATGTCCGTTATTTTCAGAATTTCAAAGTTTGGCAAAGCTTCTTATTTAGCCGCTAGGATTGTTTTCTCAGATGTTAATGAAATAGTTTGAAACTGATCTTCATGTAGATTTACTGATAGTTTTGGAGAATTTCTTCTGACTGACCTATTTTAACTCGCTAATGTAAAACATTTCTTCGATGAAAAACTGTTGTAACATTAGCATAAATGTTGTTTATCTTTTCAAGTTAGAAAGTATGTAATTCTAGAAACTCTTCAGTGATGTAGACTAGCTAGCACCTTCTCCTAATATACTGCATGGATTTTCTATCGATATTTACGACTCAGATCTTTATATTTTCCAGTGAGAACTCTAAAGATGACCAGAATGGTTCTTTTAGATGCTATTTTCAATCATTGCAAAACACTCTACCTATTCGACTTTGAAAGATCTTGATAGTAGCTTGAACAAGCTCTTCCAAACAAAAATTGCCATAGATGTTATCTAGGCCCTCTCAGGAAATGTAAAATATTGAGATTCGAGAGTAGTGGCATAATACTATAGGAATAGTGATGCGGTTCTGCCTCGATAGAAAATTAAGAAAGAAACTTGTGACTTTATCGATATTCAGATAATCATTTTGTTTTTGGAATCTTTGAGAAAATGATATGCCAGAAAGTTTAACTAAGTTCTTTCGAAAATGGCTATTGATTTTGCTTTTTCCTTTATTATAGGGCTTCTCAATATTCCAGTCCATGCCAGATGGGAACCAAATGGCGTGACCATCGTCGGCAACGATGAAAAATATAACGCCACCAATGAACTATATTGGCCTGTAGATTTGTTTGTTCAGGATAATGAAACGGTGATCTTCACTGACTGGGCCAATGAGCGTGTTGTTTGTCGGAAGATAAATAGTGACAACGAACGATTCATAGCCGGTGGCAACGGTACAGGAAATCGATTGGATCAATTGAATGGTCCAACTGATGTTCTGATCGACAAAAGCACAAATAGTCTCATTATTTGCGATCGAGGAAATCGACGGGTGGTACGAAGATTCTGTCGTCATGCTATGATTGACACAGAAATTCTCGTCAACAACATCGCTTGTCGAGGATTGGCAATGGATAATCAGGGATATCTGTACATTGCTGACTACCAGAAACATGTAGTAAAACGATATAAAATGGGGGATCAGAATGGAACTGTCATTGCTGGTGGTAATGGCAAAGGAAATCGTCTAAATCAACTAAACGAACCCAGATACCTCGTTGTTGATCAAGAACAGACTGTCTTTGTGTCAGATAGCCGCAATCATCGTGTAGTGAAATGGAGTAAAGATGCAATAGAAGGAGTGGTCGTTGCTGGTGGACGAGGCAGAGGAAAATCTTTGAGACAATTATCATTTCCTTATGGACTGTTTGTCGATGCATTGGGCACCGTCTATGTAGCAGACTCAGGAAACAATAGAGTGGTGCGTTGGCATAAAGGAGCACAACAGGGTATTATTGTTGTCGGTGGAAATGACAGGGGAGCAGAAGGAAATCAGTTTAACTGTCCCAGGGGTTTGTCCTTCGATCAACGTTGCAATCTGTATGTCGTCGATTATTGGAATCATCGCATTCAACGCTTTTCTATCTTGAGGGTGTGTAGAGTCAAAAGATTCCGACGTACGTAAGAGTTGGCTCGATGAGATTTTAGCAATAGATCATGTTTGTACTAAATTCAAAGTCTTTTACAATGGCGAAAAAGGATGTGGGCGTGGTTGTAGTGTAGAGGGCTCCGATTCGATTACGTCGCTACACCCACAACCATGCCTGGTTAACCGGTGGTTTTCGATCGATTTATGCGATATGCACGTTAAATTATTTAAGAATAAATCGCCTTCATTCTTTTAATTGTTTATAATGAAAATATCAATATATTGAATTATATTCTTTCAAAGTTTAAATTTCACTAAAGTACCTAACAATAAAAATTGCGATAGAAATGTTTTGTTTAACAGATGATCAGTTATCACATGTAATTAATAATTGTAACATTCAATCATTTCAAGGTAGTAATTATTTCATCAATGAAAGTATATTTTATTCTTGTTAGTGAAAATCTATGATAATAAATTAGCTAAGAATAAGCAAGAGCTTTGATGCTCGTTAGTGTGTCTATAATTTCAATTTGCTCTATTTAGTCGAACACTTCGTCAACTCTATCTTTATAAAAATATGTCAAGTTAATAACAAATTTCAATAACTATATCGTCTTCATATCTTCTCTCCACTACTATTAACTATTGATAGCTATGTGCAATAACCTCCAAATAATAAAGCATTTATTTTCTTTTCATCTCATTCCGAAAACATTATGAAACTCATTCTATTACAGAAAATCAAACCCTCTATAGAACTTAACGGGGTTGCGTTGAAAAGCTTTTTTAAATACGTATGCCAAAGAATAAGAAAAGTACGGAAGAAAATCAACACCTGGTAATTTTTGCATGATAAAAATAGAATGTTCTATAGAAATTCAGATACCAAATCATGAACTTTTTCATTATTACTTGGTTGCTACATGTGAGTATTTAAAACATTAAATACTAGTAGTACTGCTATGGTATCCATTAATATGTTGACACTGAGGTATTTGATTTAATTTTGGTGTCATAGCGGGTGTGGGGTGTGGGTGTGCTCTCTAAAAGAAAAGGTATCTTATTGAACCATTTACGGTTCAAAAGAGGGTCTAGAACCTTAAAAGATTCTAGATTTGGGTACCATTTTCAGAACCTTTTTTAAGGTTCTAGCCAAAAAGCTCGAACCTTTTAAGGTTTCACATTTCTGTCTAAAACTATTTTAAGTTCAAGACTTTTTGGTTAGAACTTTAAAAGGGTTCTGAAAATGGTACCGAGAAAAGGTTCAGTACGACAACTTTTTTTTTACAGAGTGGGTGTGGGTGAGGATATGGATACTGTTGTGTGCATGCTGTTCAGTCCCTCATACTCGTATCCACACTCACACCCCAAAAGAAGAATAATTATAATCGAATTTAAAAAACGATGTGAATCATCGACTATCTAACTTTATGCTTCGGTATTTGTCTGTTTTGTCATTTATCTCTCAAAAAGTAGATTCCAACAAGAAACAACTAGCAGTCCTCTGTGTGACTCGCCTAGCTCTCGACTGAAGATTAATTGATCCGACACTGCCTGCCAGTAAACACTTTTTCAGAAAGCAACTAGCTAGTATCTGTATATAGTAACTTTATGACGTGGGTTCGATGCACAACATTTTGTTTCATCAGCCTGTTAATGATCATGTATCACTAATTCAGGATTCTGACACAGTAGCCCGTTCATTAGAGTGGCATACTAATGTGAGCGCAGTAGTTAGTAGGTCGTCGACGCCGTGAGTGGCGTATGAATAATCATTTTGACGGTGCTTGGTCAGTGAACGATTAGGTTGATATCCTTTAACGTACCTCTTAAATTCTCAAAGATATAACAGAGCCATTCGCTATATAAACCATTCTAATTATGTAAGTCACAAGCTATCTAATACATAACTTTCCAAATGGTGTGCTGCTATCTCGCTCAATTTAAGATATTTGAAATAGAAAGATGCTTCAAGAATGTTAGGGAAGCTCGTTTGACAAACTATACATTCGTTAAATTCTTATTCTATTCTGCTGACACCTTGATCGGACGCCTAAAAGGCGCACTTTTCCTAAATGCGCATCCTGATCCTCGATTATCTAACAAATAGATTCGTCAATTGATCTAAAATGTTGTATCTCTGCAGATATTATGTGGTTCTGCCACTCAGAAAAGTTTCATTCGAAAATATTGAGATCGTGTAGATATCTCGACGGCTTTAGATATGTACAACTCTCATAGATATACCATCTTCCAAAATTTTTAGTTGTCTGTCATATGCCGTTCGCATGACATAACTCTCTATACACCGGTTTTTCTAAAAACCAATGCTATTTTTGAGTTCAGGCTCCTTTCGGTGAAGTGAAATATCACAGAGTTCAGTATCTACGCGCCAAAAGCGCTAACCAATGTGCAACTATGAAAAAAACTTCAAGTAAGATCTTTAGAGATGGGTTACAGACATCGCCTTCGGCAGTTGTACATGGACTCTAGAAATCGATTTCTGTGACCGAAAGATATCTTTCCTCTGCCAATAATTCATAAATGAACACACATATCATTAACCTGAAATTTTATGTGAAGGTAGACCTTTTTAGCTCTCTATAACTTTTCAATCTGATGTTTTAACAGGCAAGACTCAGTAAACATGAAGATTTTAAAGATTTTATAATACTGTTGCAAACGCGTATCATATCACATTCTCGAATAGTCATTTTATTAATTGTAGAACTACACAATTTCTCGTTATCAACGAAATTTCAGCTCATTTCATGCAGCCTATCGCGAGGTGTATATCAAAGCTCCATTCAATGATAATGCACCATGATCTGAAAAATCAGAATTGCTCTACTATATTGAGAGTTTGTGAAGTTCTGTCCCATGAATTCTGAACAGTGACTAGACCTGTCAAATTTCAATATCAATTCACAGTTAATCATATGTATTTAGCTTTTGAAGCAATTGCACTCGCTCATATATCTCTATGCGTGCATGTTTCTAAACGACCTTTGCTTTCTCGAGAGTCGGATTCACTGATATCCAAGGAGCTATAAAAGTCTTACAACCTTTAACTGGGTGATGCTTGAGATTTTCCAGCGACATGTTAAGCAATTATGTCGTGCTGTTGTCTTTTTATTTTTGTGTCAGGTGGATGCGATTGTTGATATAAAACGTAGGTTGGCAGAATCTGTACACATAGCATTTCTATAGCCGAACTGAACCTTCTGTGGTATATCATCGTGTAATAGACACATAATAAATTGTTTGAACAGAATAACTTAAGAACGCTCGTCCTCCGTAACTACACCTTCGCAGCAAAAAACAGTCAGTAAGACTCTGAGCTAGTCCTATAAATTCTATCAGCTTACGACTTTGTGATTCCGAGAGAGGATTCTTCAAGTTTCATAATGTCACTCTCTCACCCTTAGCGTCCTTCGCCACTCAAATGGGAATAAGGTTGCTTTCGGATTTTCAAAAGCTGATTCTCTAGTTCCGCCATGATGAGGATTTCGCATCAATGATGCGCGTGGCCCATCCTTCTACACGCTCAGAAGTCTTAGCTACTTTAGGGTCGAAATTGCGGGTTTTCCTATCCTTGAAATCGTATTGGTCGAACGAATGAACATACGAGTATAGGACTTTGCTCATTTTGCTTGGTACCCTCCTTTCAGTAGAGGGGAAAAGGGGGCAAGTAATGAAATATCATTAATATTTCTATTGCAATCAAAATATTATTATTTAAGTTTATATGTCAATGACTGTGAAAATTCAACAATAAAATTGATATGTTTCATAATCCCATAATCATCTAGAATCCGAATTTGTCCTTTCAGAAGGAAGCATCAAACCAACTCGAAAATGTGTTCATTCGATAGAGTATTGAAATATCTATTTGGCAATTTATACGATGACGTTCGAAAATTGAAGGGAGCGAATCCCTGAGAGAAATATTCGAATCCCACTCCAAGATGTTTTACGTTTACACCCTTCAGCATGTTGGAACCACCAAGTTACTACTTGTTTGTAAAAAGACTTCAATCATATATCGTCAAAATACAGATTTGTAATTTGATGATGTCGAAAATACCTGATGATGACTGCTTGATCAAGAGTCGAAACTGGTCGTATTATAAGTTTAAACTCATCTAAATATTCTTTAAAACACCCTCACCCTCACACCCTACCGCTTGCCCACACAGAGCTAGTGTATGCGATTTTTCTCAACACAAGAAGAGAAACAGAAAACAAATGAATCATACTTTTAATACTGGTCATATAGTTAGTCGAATGAAATAAAACCTTCCTCTATATCTCTTACAGAAAAAAACTAGATAGGTTAATAAAATTGCATGAATGTGTTATACTCGACAGATTTGAGAGCGCCACCACCAATAGGGTTTGATAGTTATAGTGAATGACAGAACGTTTCTATACTCAGTTGACATTGGCGAATCTGAAAAAAATAAGTTTTGGAGGTTTCTAAGAGAACTAAAGTGGAGAAGTTTGAATATTATGTAAAAGTTTTATCCTTTGATACAGAATCGGTTTCTCTAGTTTTTCGGATTTTCAGACTTGAAAACAGCGTTCTCGGAAACTGAACGCTACTAGTAATTTTTCATGCTCACCAGCTCAAACTCTATCGATAGGTTTAAAAACAAAAAGGAAAAAAGAAATGTTTAATTGAAATTCGCTTTGCCGGCATCGTACTTCACTGTCATCATAGCTTAAATATTATCGTCAGGAAAATCGCGTGATACTCCAAAGCATCTGACGATTGCCGTCAGCAATGGCGTCTTGTAGACGTCGTTCTGAATCATAAAGCATTTGTTGTGAATGCTGAAGAAGTTCTTGTGCCTGCTCTTCCCTCTTTTTCAGTATTTGTTGTGATCGGTTATTATAATTTTCTTTCTCTTTTATTGCCTGTTTAATAACTTCTTCAGCATCGGATTTCGTCCAACCTGTTAATGGATCGCGCCAATTAGTATTGCTCCCACCATTTCTGTCGGCAGATATCAACGTTCTTTTTCCTAGAGTTTCTTGATTAATAGAATGTAATAAAGGATTTTTTATATATTTCAATTTATGCTCTGTATGTTTCTCTCCAAAACAGTTTTCACAGAGATCATAACTCGGTGAACATTCTTCACATTGATAACGTTTTCCATTAAATGTTTGTTTTGAACAACCGTCGCATGTAATATCAAGATGGTACATATCATGTGCTATCTTTGCCCAATAGCTGGAAGGCTGCTTTGAAAATGTATGCACTGGAGGATGCTGTGTGGTCATCAAAGGCATACATCGAGCACAAACACCAAAAGAACTATTTGGGCATTGCTGACATTGAAAACTTGGTTCTTTATCCATAGCGACCACACAGTTACAATGAGAACAAAAACCTAGTACGCCGTATAGATATGCATCACTATTGAATATTGATGACGACTTTGAAGATGTCTGCAATTAATAATAAAGATAAAAAGTATCACAAATAGATTGGTTTTTGCTTTAATAAGGCTTACTTCTGTTTGACTTCGTCGTGAATCATCAGTTAATTTTGATGATGTACCACTAGCAGCAGTTGTTGGCTCAGCATTTGGTACGACCATTTTATCAAGCGTATGAAAAGCAGTACTTGCTTGATTATGGTCCTTTGTCTTACACAATTGGCAAACAAAATGATTAACGCATTGACGACATTTATAAATACTCGATGAAGATGGAATCGGTCCACCACAAGAAGTGCATTTAGTCGTCATTTTTGTTTTGCGCAGAAAGCTATCACTTATTAATGACTTATATTTCTAGTTTATATTTCGTATCGAATGAACAAAATAAGGTTTACATTGTGCTTTATAAGGGAATATAAATATGTTACATACTTACTTCCTTTTTTCTATCAAGCTGAGGTGGTGTGCTTGAGTCACTTCCTAGCTATAACTTCGTTATAAGCACGTGTCATATGTGAAATTAGCTTTTTGTGCTACGTAGGTAATGTGTCTCACTGTTTTAATCCCACTCTTACTTTTCTATTCTGTGCGTTTTTTTTTCTTAGCAAAGCATACGAGCGTGGTCATGCGTTACGAAATGTGAATTTGTGAGATTGTAACGTCTGTTACTTCTCAATAACAAAAGCAAGTTTTCTGAAATTTATACTAGAGATAGAGACCGTTGAGATTTATTGTCAGTAAAGAATACATCAATTTTTTAGGTAATAGCTCAGTCATTTAAAGCATGTTGTCCTTTGCGGAATTTCACAATATGGAAATACTTTTTAGGATGAGCTGAGAGTTAAGCATTTTACTACGCAATGTAGGATCATACATATAAACACTCTGTATAAGCATTGTTCAGTTTTCCACATGATTTTAGAAAATCAGTTCATTTTTTAACAAACAACTACATGAACTAAAAGTTGTGATCATCTCGGATTTAAATCCGAGTGTTATGTGTCTCATAGGCGGCGGACCCATTAGGGTTGGGGAGGCTCTTTTAATTTGAAAAAAGAGTTGTAGATCTCATATTTAATGTAGACGCGATTGGCTAAATTTCGATCGATTGTTTTTTAATACTTAGTCTATTGCTCATGAAGATAAAAAAAATGATAAAAGAAAACTACTAACAAAAGGGAAATACAACGCAGAATCTTGATTGGTGATAAGTATCACATGAATTTCTAAAATGTATGTTATAGTGATCAGTAGAAAATACTTTTTTGGTTGTATTTATTGTTTTTTATCTTTGGTTTTGTTTGCTCTACTCTTTTGAAATTCGTTTTCGGCGTGACCATCCGTTACAGAATTTTATTTTTTCACATCGCGATGGTTGTAATTTCTCACTATTGAAAGCAAATTGTCTGAAATTTTCACCATAGATAGAGATCCTTTGGAACTATTATCAGTAAAAATTGCATTGATTTTCTTTCAACTGCAGCAGAGTTATTCAAAAAATACCGAGCGTTGCGGAAGTTCAAAATATGGAAATGTTTTTCGGGTGTATGTCGAAATTGCGAATTATTCTGTCTCATATTATTTTCGAAATGATCGTGCAATTGCCAAATTAGACCCCACAGTTGTAGCTACAAAAACTGTGCTAGACTTGTTCTTGGACTAGTTCCCGGGCAGCGAAAGGAAACAATTAGTGACCGTTACGGAATTTCCGAATTTTTTAGGATTTTCTGGGGACAGTTTCGTGCTTATTTTTTCAGTGACATTTGGCTCAAAACTTTATGGTTTGCTCATAGTGTAGTAGTTTGAGGTTTCCTCTACCTGATACCGTTAAAAATAATGTTTCAAAATTAGAGTATAAAACTTCTGATAACAAAGCAGCCTAAATATTTTTTCAAAACATAAAAAAAAAAATTTTTCACCCAAAGATAGGAGCAACGGTTGGGATTTGTAAAGAATTCGATTCTATATCCGATAAGGTAATTTTCAGGATTTCTAAGAAAAGTTCATAAGTCAGAAATCAAATTTAAAGGAGAAACATTTTTAAATTTGGATTCTCATCATGAAAATGTGGCTCTAAATTATTTTTGAGCAGAGATTCGTAATCAGCGCAAAAAAACTGTACGAAATCAAGTATTTTCCACATTTGATTGATTCGAGAAAAAGTTCGAACCTTCCCCATGCAAGGGTGACCGGTGCCTGGTAAGGCCGTTTTAGAATTTTTGTGTTCTTATTGATCATTTTCTGAAAAATAAATATTACAGTAATATTTTTCATTATTTTACAAGTTTTGAGAAAGGTAGAATCAGAAATAAATTATCAACACACCACCTATTAGTACTAGATTTGTTTTGTTTTTAATTTCACCTCTCATCATTCTCATCCTCTGAAAAAAATTTTGAGCCTTCCCTAGATTGAAATCGTTCCGCCGCCGTTGTCTTCTTTGTACCGAATTTGACGTATTAATCGGGTATGTGTGTGTGCGGATACGACTATGAGTGACTGAACAGCATGCATACAACAATATTCATATCCTCACCCACACACACACCCTCACGACCACTACCCGGATTGAGTCGTAATTTTAACTGGAGAATCTGGGTACTTAGAAAACAGTCCACACCCTCAACTGAATTAGTTTTAATTTTGAATGTGATTATTCAATAAAATAAAAGCATGATAACAATATAGAAGTATGAGTGTGGTATTAAGAAAAGAATTTGGAGCTAATTACCAATTATTTGAGTCTAACAGAAAATCTCGATTTGTTTTGAAGGAATGATAAGTACTTATCATAACTATTATCTAGTTTACTTTTTAATGATTGGTGAATATTTCTGTATCCAACTCATATGTTATCACACGTGTATGTACACTTATTTACCATTTTGTTTTTCTATTCTGTCATGAGTCACGGATTACATGTTTTGCAGACTGCGATTTGTTATTACACAACAACGTGCCTCGCTTTTATTTCGTTGATGTTGAGTAAGAAACATGTCAATAGTAGAATAAATTAATTATCACTGTTCGATACAGTGTATATCATCATGGCTAGTAAACAATTTGATCAGAATGGTGTTACATTATTTGAAAGCATTCCGAATGAGATTTTTATTGAAATTTTATCTTACATAACTTCCATTAATGCCGTCGTCGCGTTCTCAAATCTGAACTGGCATCTTCAAAGGTTACTCACTGAACTTTGTCATACATTCGATTTTACGTCAATCAGTAAGAAGAACTTTGACACCATCTTTCAATACCAGAACACCAATCGATGGCATTCATTAAAGCTTTCCGATGCCGAGCATACACCAGGTCAAGTGAGCTACTTCTTTGAAAATCATGCTCTTGCCAATAAATTCTCTCAGCTGCAATCTCTATCTATCGTAAATATAATACCCAATCATTCATATCCACTATTTGCTCAACTTTCATCTCTTTCGAACTTGGTATCCCTTGAAATTGAATCCTTATGCAGAGAAAATATTCCAGAATTCAAACTTCCAAATTTAAAAAAACTCACTTTCAGTTCATGCCCTAATACAAGTTGGCTCAAAGTAAGAAAGCAGGTGAAGCTTATTAAACTACAAAGAACGATTTTTTTCTATTTCTGTAGAATCTTACTGGACTTGAAATGATTGAGTACACAATTACATGTCGTTGCATCAAAGCTAAACTATTAGTATGGCCACGAACATTAAAATATCTGAAGATAGTTTTTGAAGATTATCAAGATTGTATACTCATTCAACAGTCACTTACCGATCTATCTCAATTAAATGATTTGAAGTGTATCAGAAACAACCAGGAGGATTCTTTCCTCGTGGTGAAACATGGGCACAAATTATTTCTGCATCGATTCCATCCTTGGAAAACTTCAAGTTCTATTTTCAATGCATATGTCATGATCACCACTTGAATCACCTTAAAGAAGTCGTAGCATCTTTCTCTACGCCATTCTATACATTGGAAGAGAATCGCATTGTACGCTGCGATGTATCTGGCCGTTTTGAAACACCTATCCATGATGTTGAATATGGTACATATAATGCAAATATGAGACACGTTATTCTCTATACGATACCATTCGGTTTTGAAATCGAAAACTCTAGATTGGTCGAGAAACTATATTGATTATCGTAGTATCGGCACGCATACAAATGTGAAGACGTTGCTCTTCAAGAGTTACTCAGCACCCGATCCTATGTTTAATTGAACTTTTATCATCAATTTGATAATCAATACTTCTTTCGATGTACTAGCTTGGACCCATAACCTGACTAAATTACGACACATCACTATTGGCGACGGTGCAGCAATATACTTGGAAGATTTTAATATTTTATTGGATAATGCATCAAATCTATGTTCATTAACTGCAAAAAAGAGTATGCTAAAATTCCTGACAGATAATTGGACTGACATGTGCATCTGTAATCGTCTTACACGAAGGATTCGTTCATTAACATTTAGTTCAGACAGAAATCCATCACAATGTTTTGATATAAATGAACTTGAAAAAATCTTGCCAATTTTCTCTTCGCAATGTCAGCATTTATCGTTAGGTATTCATTCACACAACAAGACGATCGATTTTATCTTACGTAAGATGTGCCACTTGATCAGTCTACATGTGTATATCCAACGAAAAAACTCTCCACCAATTACAGTTGAATGGTTAGAACAACAAAATATGCGATTCAATGGTACCAATTGTATTATTACGAATGTTCGACATGATCATTATTTTTGGTTAGGATAATCATCACAATGAGATGTAATAGTTTCTCTTTTCGGAAACTTCAAATAAATAGCCGCTGAGAAAATTTCCTGGAAATTCAAAGATATGGGTATGGGTGTGGGCAGTCTGTCAGAATGGCAGTTTGTATGTGTGGACACTTATGTAAGTCGGCGGTGTTACATAATGTGCATAAAAGATCATAACGTATGACGAATACAAGAGAATGTTGTCTCTTCTAGTCCAATTGGAACAGGACATCTGCCCAGATAGCAGCAGAAGGTGTGTGATTCGAATATCACGAGGAGTACATCTTTTCCGTTCTGCCACAGCAACATCTCATCCTCTTTACTGTTTATGTAGCTGGCGGGATCTTGAATTCGACTACACATGATGAAACCTCTGGAAAAGTTACTTGCAGATGCAGTTCAGTGAATTACCGGTTGAAGTTCAAAATAAATACCTAACTAATCATTACTTGTCATAGTCCTCACAGATGTACATATTATGTGTGACTAATTGTAAGTGAAAATTAATTTCTCAGCCGAACTCGAGTTGGTTAGGATGTGGACGCTTAGAGAACCACACCCTCACACCCAAGACATTATATATACGTTGTATTACGTGTGTAATTTCGAAATTCTTCTCAACCACGTGACATACAATGCAAGAAAAAGAAAGGTATAATGGCGTATTTTTTCTGCTTAGCTATGTATTACTTGAAATTACACAATCCATTCGCAAGTTTTTATGAGTAAACATATACAAAGATTAATCTCAGATAAAATTGCTTTATTAGTGAATCTACTGTGTTTTGATTGTCTTCGTCTCTTCTATTGAATATGATGTCGCATGGTTTCAATTTTGCCGAACCTGTGGCCTCCTGTGATGACTCGACTGATACAAATAAGCATAAAAGTTCTGAAGATAATGACTCTATTCAAAAGTCAGATTTTGTCTTAGCCGATGGCCATCTATTACAAGTGATTGAAGTAACATATTCTAAGTCAGGAAAAACTGGTCATTCAAGGGTTTTAAAATAATTTATTTATTTTCGCTTGTTTAATTTATTTTGCTTTTATTAAGGTCTATTTGATTGGCATTGATATATTTGCAGATCGTCGCTATGAAGGTGTTTGTCTATCGAAAGATGTAATTAAAGTGTCAAACGTTAGTAAAAAGGCTTATCTTCTCGTAGATATCGATAAAGATGGTTATGTTACTTTGCTCAATGAAGATACATGCGATACACGTAGTGATATAAAATTAAAGCAAGATTCAGATATAGCGCAACGGTTGCTTGGCACGTTTAAGGAAGGCAACGGACAGATTAAAGTTACTGTCCTCAAAGCACTTGGCGAAGAGAAAATTATGGCATTCGAAATGATAGATTAGGATGCATGAATGCATGTTTTTTTCTTGTGCTCGTTCAACACATATTTTGAAAAAAGAAAAGAAGATTGAAATAAAATCACACAACGACTACGAAAATTATATTTCGTGTTTGTTTGGCAAACCATAATTTGGCGATGCCGATCGACTTGACATTAGGCTTATGAAACAGATAATCGAATAAAGTTAAATGTAGCTCAGAACAAAGACATAATGAAATTAGTAGGTAAAACAAAATTCATAATATTTTTTGCAAAGCACAGATAATCAGAAAAATGAGCTCGACAGTGAAAAATATACGAGCAAACAACATTTTTCACAACTTCAATCATTTTTATAATGTAACTTACACTGGTATGTTAACGCTATTTTCTAAAAAAGGAGGATTTCTGTCTTCTCGAAAAAAAAAGACTCCTACGCAAATTCGAGCTTATTAGTATTCTGAATAGATTTTATTAAAAGATTTAGCATAATTTCTACAAATGTTTTTGTATAAATTTTAAGTTTTATATAATGTATACAAATGAATGATGACGGTTGAGCACCTGGTTTGAGCCATCGCTTAACAGGCACACCATCGGAATCTACTTTTTCTAAGCAAGAAATATTAAACTTTTTAGCAAGACGAGGTATCTATCGAGAATGTAGCTGCCTAAAAATATTCTTTTTCAAAATATTAAGTATATATAGTGTTACGACAAATTTACTTTATAGTTTGTACAAAAGAAAAGAACTATATTTCGAGTTTTTGAATGCTTTGGAGTTGTAATCACCAAGAAATAAAAATATTCGAAGGTAAAATAAATATTTATGTATTAATTCTTAATATATAGTATTAAAAGACGATCTAATTACAACTTGCGTAAAGCGCAATACATGAAGAAAACAAAAGAAAAAGCGAACGACATTTATATATATATATAATATTACATAATTGTGCTAGCTGTTTTGTTTGCTCTTTTTTCTTTCTTCCTCTGTTTTCGTAATTGCAATTGTAATTGTATTATCTTTTAATTTTACATATTAAAAATTAATACGTGATTGTTCATGTTTCTATCTAATTGCAAGAGATGTTGATTCTATAGTATTAAGAACTCAAAATATAATTTGATTTTCATTGAAAATAAATACCGTGTCGTGCTAATGCTAATATGAATTACTTGAAATATCTTTTGAATTGCTGACTCATCAAAAAGTTTTGCTTAAAATATTTAAAATTCTGATTTTTTATCTTAAATGACAAAAGAAGGAAAAGGAGGAGAAGGGGGATACTTTTTGAGAAAAAGGAGGACCATTCTCATACCAGAATATAACACACAACTCTCACAGAAAGTGCTGGAATATTGCGACAGTTCTCCAATATGTTATCTTTCAGTTAGATACGAATGTACACATGTTTTTGATATAATCATTCGTCAAACCTTCATATCTTATTGAAAAAAACGAACCATTACTATTTGATAGTTAGGTGTGAGTACCGTGGGAAGATCAGAAGTAACACCCACACCCCAACACCCCCTTATGTAGAAACATGCAAGACTATATGCAGTTGACTTTGCTGATTTAGAACAGCACAGTTCTAATAAGTCGCATGCCTTTCTATATTCTATGTCATTATTACAAACCTCCATCTGATAAGGAAGTTGGGTGTATGTGCAGGTTTTCTGCTCGCTTGTTCAATCCATACTCACAACAGTCTACTTCTCATATGCTATTGAATTACTATTTGCTTTTCGTCTTGGATTTGTGTTTTATTCCGCTTGTTTCAGTTTCAACATCATATATCTTTAGCATAATGTTTTGATAGCAAAAACAAAATACGAATGATAGCTAAGTGCAACTACAAAATGCTTTCTTTAACAAAAATCTAATTGTTTTTTATTCTCAAAGAAAAATAAATGCGATATTGAAGAATAATCCATAGAAAAGAAAATTATCCATGATTATATATGCGAATAGCTACTGTCTTGAACAAAGAAATACATATAAATAGATCATACATTATAGAAGGTTAATTGCTACAAAAGTAGAATGAATGGGAATACTATGTCATAAACATAATAATGTCGCAGTTCTATTCTATTATTAATATATAAGGATCTATGTAAATTGTAGAATAATTTACATAGAATGAAGCTGAAATATAATTGAATTGCGTTAGACGTGAACGAATATATTCCCCTATCATTGATTTGTTTCTGTTTGCAAGGATATTTTGTACGCGATTAAATAACAAGAACATATGAATATCAATCTATGTGATGATGAAACTATATATCGGCTTACCCACGTAGCGCGCTACTTCACTGATCAAGTTTTAAAAAAGTTTTTTTCGATATGGACAGGTCTAAGCGTATTTTCTGGTACAGTTTTTCACGCTGATTATGAATTTGAACTTTTTTCTTAAAAAACATTGAGTTTTGGCATCGAAAGCCGTGTTTTAAAGTTTTCAAAAATCTTTTTTTGAATTTTCTAACCAAGAAATTTAAAACAAAAATGCAGACCAATATACCATTCGATGCAGAATTTTATTCTCTACAAAACTGGTACCATAAACATTTAATTTGAATAAATAATTTGTCAAAAAATTAGAATTTTATACGTAGTCCTAGAGAAAAAGGGTCCTTTATTTGTCACAGCGTGACGCGATGATAGAACCTTTCTAGAAATGCGAGAGTTCAGTCAAACTAGGTCTTTTTTTGCCGCATAAATAGATTATGATGAGCTGCGTCGAATGATGTTTGAACCAACTTGGTTAGCTCTTATGCTTTTCGAGATAATTGCAAAACAATTTGTCAAAATGTCACAGCGTTACGTTTGAACAGGCCGATATATGTTCTGATAGACTTTTATTCGTACTGAATCGATTTTTCTGCAGAAAAATTAATGCTTCACAAGTTTATACTTCGAAGTAGATTTATAAGCAGTTCAGTTAGACAGTTAGACTTGAAATATGTCGATGTTGTTAATTTAATCATTGTTTATGAGAATGTAAACATAGAGTCAATGAAAATTTACCAATAAAACATTTGTTAAAGACAATAGAAATAGTATTATGTGGTAAATTTGTTTTTGTTCTTCGCGGCTGCAGGTGAATTGTACGTAATTGTTGTTCAATATGAAAAGATGTATTTAGGACGTTTGACATCGAAATAACGTGATAATTATTTTCAGTGTAATGAATGTCTTACATTTATTGCATCGCTTATTTTTAGCATTCTTCTTTCGCTCTGTCGCTTACTCTTATACAACTATATCTGTTCATATCATGAAAATGATGATAGGATGCTTAGGATCGCCCATCATTATTCCGATAGTAATCATGAACTATGTTTAAAAACAGTAACAAAGATCTGCGTCATTCACAATTGTATTTAATCGATCACAAGCTTCTTGCTTTTTTTCTTAATGATTATTTGATGTTTTTATTTTATTTTTCGTATTAGAAAAAATAGAGAGACAGAGAAAAGATATATCTACTACCAAGGTATATATATATAATGAATACTTGATCATTTTACTTTAAACAAACTTTTGTGAAACTTGGACATTACATTGTTTTCATAATTTCAATACATTGATTATCAGCGATAACTGTAGTTATGGCAACAAATAAATGGTATATTATATCAATACAATTGATAATATTCGTACTAAATAAAGTCAATGGTCAAACATTATCAACTGTATCATGTCAACCTGTTTTAAAGAATTATTTTGACTATTTAACTCAACCACATTATAATGTAGTTCGTTATTTATCTATTCAGGCTACATTTATATTAGAAAATAGATATGTTGCATATTATGCGGGATCTCTTAATTATGTTAAATCAGTTGATTCACTGAATGGTACAGTAACTGTATCATTTAGTGATCGAACATGGACTCCATCATGTGGTTTATTATTTTGTCCTGTTCAAAATTTTGGTTACAAAAATACTGATACGCAAACTATCGCAATCAATAGATTGGGTGCCATTCAATTCATATGAAATAGTTGGGGCAATGCGAAGTCCTCAGGTCAATTACAATGCTATGGCATGAATAAACCATTGTATACAGCACCAACAGCAGGATCAGCATCTATGTTTATAATGACATTAGAAGAGGAACAATATAGTATCCCAAAATGATGATTTTAAACAACAATCATACATAATATCACTGACAACGAGTTTATATTTTGCTTTTGCTTTTCCTTGATTAATTTGTGCAACAAATTTGAATTATGACTAATAATTTCAAATATATGATAAACAATGGTTATAAAGAAATAGAAAAAAGTCAAAACCTTGCAATCAGAGAGAGGTGCAATGTGGGTTTTTCTGACTAACTTGGTGTGGGTGTGAGTGTTGCTTCTGATCTTCCCATTATACCCACATCCATACCTCGAGATTTCCAATAAATATTTTTTAACAGACGGAAAAACACAGACTTGGTGAAACTGGAACGAATGTTGTCATGTGTTGCAATAAAGAGATGCATGCGGTAATTTTGTTCATTTATTGTGCAAAATCCGATAGTTCTTCCTTCGTTTTAACGCGCAGTCATAGCAAATAGTCACATTTTAGACTTCACTCAATCAAAATAAATTAAAAAGGAATCGTAAAAAAAACAGAGATGGCGATAGACAACGAAGGAATGATTCAAAAGTCTAAAAAAGTTCACATGCCAGGAATGAAGTGATTTTTGAAGAAAACGGTTTTTTTTTGGTTATTTCCATGAGAGAAGTAACAAAAAAATACAGCGAATCTTTTCATTTCTTTTCATTGATTGACAAATAGAATTTCAGCATGCAACAACCGTGTATAGAATCGTTTGTTTGCTTATAAGTCATTTCCATTATGTCAATATTCAAGCCAACTTTTAAATCCTTTAATGGTTCATGCTTTTTATTGAAGAAGAAAAAACATTGCTTTGCTTATCATCTAAATATAGACACAAATGAACTAACACCTTCAAATTACGATTCGTGCACAGGCTGAAATACGACAGTGAAAATCTCATAGTACTAAAATCAATCCGATTTGATTAGACCATTGTAAGCGCCGATTAGAGATGGTACGTTAAATTTACTTTTCAGTTAAAATTACAGTAACACCCCTAATACCGAGCTTAATCATTTATTCGTCAGTATACCCACACGTGTTGTCATGCAAACATCTGCTTGTAAAAGAGTAATATCATGCTTGAAAGACGTCATACCTGCTTGAAGGCTACGGAAAATGTCGCTCGATAAATCGATAAGAGTGAGAAATTTTAGGTAAGCAGTGTGTTAAAAAATCAGTAAAATATCAACTAATATTTTTCTCAGCTACAAATATCGGTTGATGAGTCATGAGTTTGATTCAAGCCTATGGTGTATACTATTCGCTAGGTAGATAACATATGATCTCCAAGATATGTTAGCAGCGGTATTGACTCAATATATCCGACGACGAAGATCTGGTTAAGGTTCCAGCGGAGGATATTTTTGAATAGATCTGTAAGATACTTGAAGGAAAGATATTGTCGCAGACACATTGATAGTTATGTAAGTAACATTCAAACTTCAATAGATAACCAATATGACGTATTTTCAGCACAGAGTGCTCTTCTTCTCAAACCTATGTGTGTCATGTAGAACCCAGTGAGGTATGAAAAACTCCAAAAGGATAAGAGCGGATAGGCCTTCTATCCAGAGTTATAGCCATTTTACTGAAATTTTATTCTCTGGCACAGTATATATCAGCAAATCGAATATCAGTATTTTGACCTGAAATTTTGCCCATCGACAGGTCTCTTTGTGAGTAGAACGCTCCGAAATTTTCAGCTCAAAGGAATGTTTCGTTTCAGAAATATTAAAGTCTCAAAAGTCAGAACATTTTAGTATCTGTCGTGAAATATGAGTGCTTTTTGGAACTTTAATATCTCGGAAAAAAAACATTCTTTTGAGCTGAAAATTTCGGAGCGTTCTACTCACAAAGAGACCTGTCGATGGGCAAAATTTCAGGTCAAAATACTGGTATTCGATTTGCTGATATATACTGTGCCAGAGAATAAAATTTCAGTAAAATGGCTATAACTCTGGATAGAAGGCCTATCCGCTCTTATCCTTTTGGAGTTTCTCATACCTCACTGGGTTCTACATGACACACATAGTTCTGACTTAAAAGCAATTGAACACTTGGTGACCTTCCCTCGTAAACAGTATCTTTTAACGATTTTTTCTTAGCTAATGGGAAGGTATGCTATGAATAAACTGAAGAGAGGGTATGTGTCTGCAGAAACAATGTAGATTGTTAACAATTGTTTCAATGCGCGAATTTGACTATATTTTTCTGCTGTACATACTCACACCTTTATCACAGCTTTGAAAATCCCACAGTATGGTGAGACAATACAATCTGAATAGCTTTGAGTCCATTTAGATAAATTTATTAATTTCCTATCTCCTCATTTATTTCTGAAGCTGAGCAATGCCCACCAAAATATATGTAGAAGTATGTCGAACATCAATGAAAAGAGCAATTGGATTAGTCAAAAACGAAATGACTCACAGACAAATGTGCTTCGAGATCAGTGATCAATTCAAAAAACTATGCATAATTCTTGCTGCGATAGGCCCAGAGCAAGAAGTCAGAGGAAATGAAGAGGATCTTGAACTTTTATTCACTCACTTATACAACGCAACTAACAAGGCAATCATTATATTCGAGCGTTGTCAAGATAATGGAGTACTTGGCAGAATCAAGAACATTGCACAGACTACGCAGATTCGGGACCAATTGAAAGCAATAAAGATAAATCTTGAAGTAATTACTGGGCTAATTTCTGTGGTGTTTCAAATGGCAAATAAAGTTCGTAAAATATTTCGACACTGGAAAGCAGATAACCATTGAGTTCTTCATTTTAGAATGAACAAAATCCAAGCTTGGGAATAGCCGAAAAATCTAAAGTCGATGAATCTATTTTCAAGGTTTTAGAAGATATCAACATAGAAGAAGAAGAATATATTCGTCCTGCTGTTGCTGCTGCTGCTGAAAGTGATGATGTAATTCATTGAGTATTAAATTGAACTATAAAAGTTATTGAATAAATCTGAAACTAGAACAATTACACAACTGTTGTTTTCTTGAGATAATTGGGGATTGAAAGTAGAGATCAGCGGAGTCATATTTGTTGATTCCAAAATTTGGTTTTAGCTTACGTTAGTATTAAACTCTTATGTGATTATAATAGTTCAAGTTCATTTTATGTAAAATTTTCTGGCAATGAAAGCCAAATATTTCTCTCTAATTAAATAGTATTCAAATGCAGTAAACTTCCTCGGTTTTGATATGAATCAGTTGTCTCTAACGTAAGTGTCGTACGTGGATGACACGTGACAAAGAATAGCTTTGGTTAATTCGTAGATTAAGGCGAATACTCCATTAATAAAAGCGTCTTAGGATAAAGATTCTCGTCTATGAAAAAGCGAATAAATCCACACCCAGAACAGGTTTCTATAATATTAATTTGGTCGCATCCAAAAAAGACGCTATCTGTGAAACCAGAAAAATAGTTTCTAATCAGCCAAATAAGGAAACAATGGCAGTCCTTGTCTTTGACTATAATCCGGTTTTTAATTTTTTTATACATCTTATCAGCTCTCTTTTAATTATCGACATTCGATCTTCGATGAATTTCATTACGCCTATTAGCGTCATCTCTACATATGAGTAACGAATATTAACGATCAGGTAACCAATAAAATGTGAAATAAATTTACTGAGGTTTCTTTTTCATCATAAAAATAAAGAATTGATTTCATTTTATTTTATAAGATTCGCTTTCTTTGAAGTAAAAAACAGCTCACTATGGAGGCTTTAATTATTTTATTCTGCCTGTCAAATATTTCTTCAGTTTATTGTCAATATTATGAAATTCCTTTCGAATTCTGCTACACTATGTGAGATTGGCAACAATTAAATGAATTATATTAATCGAAATTCTTTTATAGGCTTGCTAGAAAACCATGCGATTAGAAAGCTTGCAAAACGAAGGCCGATTAAAAATTTTGATTTTGATTACAGATTGAAATGGCATCGCAACTATGTTGTTATATATTTGAAAATCGTCATGGTCTTATATTTAATCCTGACTCTATTCGTATTCTTCGTGAACAATATCGAATTATTGGTTGTTTAACAGGAAATTTACCCGAATATCCTCGTCAAAATGCTGAACTCGGTTTACCACTTGAATTGTCACGTGAAGAATGTTGTGTATTAGCTGATCAACATATCATTTCGATGTATGAATTAATTCTACCATTGAACGATTGTGAAGAAGATCATGCTAAATATCTAACTGATCTTGAAATTGAATTTCAACAACAAAAAATCGAAAATGGACATGAAAGAATTAATGAAATTTTAATCAATCGTCAATCGATTTTACAAAGAAATATTCAACCAGCGAATGAAAATAGTTCTGAAACTGACGAATTTACTTTATCTTTATTGGAAACAAATAATGCATGGAAAAATTGTTCGAGATCTTTAGAAGAAAATGAACACGTCATGCTATTGAATATTATCAAGCAACGTCTTCGACAATTTACATTAGAATATATGCTGATGAAACTTCCTATTGAATCCAGACGAACAAATTTAAAACTACGTTCAATTACGAGCGAAGAACTTAAACAAAATCTTAAATTAATTGAACAATTACGTTGTGATGTTTTTGCTGATTTATATTTAAATCAAAATCAAAAATATTGGATATCAAGCGGACAAAAATTCGGTGGAGATTATCTTGTTTATTTCGATGATCCATCACGTTGTCATTCGACATTTATTGTAACATGTGTTTTAAGAAATGAAATTGAACGAAATTCTACTATTATTCCATTGACACATCTTATTGCTCGATGTCGTGTTGCTGTTAATGTGAATAAAATTTGTATTCTAGCTAGTAGAAAATCTCCAATATCATGTGATATTGAATATTTAACTGTAAATTGGAACGGATTTTAATTTAATAAAACTAACGTTAGATCTATTTAAACAAAAAGAATTCCGAATGTCTTCCCTTTCTCATCTTCTCGCATCCTCAATTGAGATAAATCATACAGAATACCAGTTTTTTCGCATTCTTGTTTCAATCTTTTTGCAAAATGACATTTCGATTTCACCTAGACAATCGATTGTATTCTTTTTCAATCATCGGCTCAGTCATGTTGACTTTTGAATTTGAACCTTTTCTACACATATTACTGATCGGCGGCTGCCTGGCTGGTCATATGGTCGTATGTACAAGATGTAGAAAATAAATCATCTATGAAAATCGCATTGATAGAACGAAAAGATTATCTAGTTTAATTCAACATTCACAAATAATGAATTTACAATGTTTCGTTTATCGACAGACATGTTGCCTTAACCTGATCAACTAAAGATTAAACTTTTTTTCTAAACAAAGTTAGGCGTAGATTATTTGCTTATTGATCAATCAATAAAGTAGTTCCTAATAAGTTTTTGTTTATCGTTATCATCAACGTTTTTTCTTCTTCTTCTTCTTCTTCTTCTCTCGATGTATGTTAACAAGCTCGTATACAAGGAATTAGCAATTGCTTATGTACATTACTCGATTGTTTCTCTTTCCCTCCTGTTGATACATGTTGTATACTTCATTATTGCTGGCCAAGAAGAACATACACGCCCATTTTTCAATGTTTATTTATTAGTTTGAAAAGATTAGCAGATAGTTATTTTCTTTTTGCTTGATAAAAAATGTTGATGTTCTAATTTGTAATGCTGTAGTGTGAAGCACAAAAATAATATATGCGGCATATTCGTTTGTGATAGAGCTTCTTTTACTTTGCTGCTCGTGCTCAAAGTTACCCCCCGATGTCTATATTTTCTTTTCAATTTACTTCTATTCGAAATGTTGTCGTTGCGTGAAAGACACTCAAATCATACATATGTATATACACCTTTTTTTCGATGTTGTTGATAATAAAAATAACACAAGCACACTCGACAGATTATTTGGTTTTGCTTTTTCTTTACATCGTTTGCATTTTAATTTTCTCTTTCTCTCGTTTTTATTTGTCTTGATCGAACATGTATAGCGCTCATATACTTATAGACGAAATAAAATAGAAAAAATTGATGATTAACATTTCTATTTGTTCATGAAAATCAATCATCAAAAAGATTAACTACTTCTTACGCAACTGGTAAACCTTCTGTTCAAGAAAAGAAACTCTTCTCTTTGAAATTAATTAATCGAGTGGTTAATACTCAATGTTTTTTCTTCTTCTTCTTTCTTGAATAGGATGAAGTGTGACAAAAGTCAAATTGCTTGTATGATTATGCTCTTGAGTGTGTCGAGCGGATCTAACGTTTTCTATATTCAAACAGCAGGAGATTGACTTATTCTCTCGTTGTCACATATAACCACCATGTTGTTCATTAGTTATTGTTATGTTGCCGACTAGTGCCTATCGCTGTAGGGCACATTGATGATGATTACGTTCAACATGTTTGATCTTAGTTTGCTTATGGCGACAATATACCTCTGAGTTTGTCTTCTCAATTTACAAGAAAAAAAAAAAGATTTATCTGATTAGAAAACCTTGATCTGTGATTTTGTCTGTCATCATGTAATCGATCAAGTAATGTCAATAATAGATTTTATTTTGTTTCTCGCGCATCGTTACACACCACTTATTAGAGCGAACAGCGTGAAATATCTATACGCTGATCACAATCGACTAATGATGGTCAGCGAGCTATTGTTCATATAGAATAAAATAAAAAACACCAATGATTAACACAGTGACTTACAAAAAAATACAAACAATCGAATTTACTACCGTTAAATTTAATTATTTATCCTAGACATTTTCCAATCCGCCCACTCACCCACACACATCTATATATATATATATATATATATATATTTACAGATGTATGTTTTTCTAAATCCATTCGTACTATTTGAATAATATACCATGTGTGGTGTTGCTATTTGAACTGCGGTAACCGGATATGATCTCACGGAAAGAAGCAAGACATTTTTTCACATGTTCAATATTCTAATCATTCGAGCAAAAAACAAGCTGACGACAATTAAACAACGATTTTTTAGGATGATAATGATACTGCAAACAGTATTAATTGTATTCATAGAAAAATCATAACGAGGACAAATTGAGAAAGACTAATGTCGGATGTATGTTTATATGATGTATGTGTGACAGATGTTAGTGATGGTGAAAAAAGAGAAGCTCATGTGTTCTCAGCGTTATAGCACAAACAATGCAAACCGAGATCTTATTTGCAGCAGCTTGATAAAGTTTTATTATTACTTTTTTTATACGAAAAAAAAATTGAAAGAAAAGAAAAATTATAAAACGAAAGTTGCTTTTACAACACTGACCTCGTTTGATTTGGTGAGATCGCACTAGCTAAAAGAGTCTGATGGTGGCGGATTGCTTCGTTCGCTGCAATCGCCTGAAAAAATTGTTGCTGACGTAATGCAGCGGCTGCCGATGCATAAAATGCAGCTGTATACGGATTTGATGCTGTTAAATTTGAATGTTTTAATGCTGCTAATCGATGATTTCTTGATGTCGATGTTCGACGTCGAAGTTTACCAGTTGTTGCACCAATAAAAACATCATCAGCTGATGGATCAAGCATCCAATAATTTCCTTTACCTTGAACAAGCAAAAAAAAGGAGGCAATTAGTTTGTTACTCTTGTTTTTTTAATTTTATTTATTCATACCGGGATCATCGTAATGTCGTGGGACTTTAACAAAACATTTATTTAAGGATAAATTATGTCGAATTGAATTCTGCCAGCCTTGCTTATTTTCTCGATAGTAAGGAAAACTTTTCATAATATATTCATAGATACCATTTAATGTTAATCGTTCATGTGGTGATGCTCGTATAGCCATCATAATTAAGGCATTATAGGAATAGGCAGGTTTAATACCGTATTTGTTTTTTGGTGCTGATGTTGTGGATGAGAGTTTTTGAGTATTTGTACCGTCTGAACCAGATTCACTTGAAATTGATGATGTCGATTTTTTTGTTGATTTTGTTTCTTCATCTTCGGAACTTTCAACATCGATTTGTTCACGGGCGTCATCAAGGATTGCTCGTTTTTTTGGCGACAATTCATCATCATCTTCATTTTCATCTCGTGTTCGTTTTAGTGAATTATTTACCGTATTATTATTATTATTATTATTATTATCATCATCTTTTCCGAGAACGCTTCGAATTGAAAATGAACTTTGAAAAACATGTTCTTGCATGGCCACTTTTTTTTCTTTATCTAAAGTAAAAAAAGAATTACAACAATAATTATATTAATATTAGTTGTTTTTTTTCTCGATGATGTGTCAGAAGTGTAACGAGCTGTTTAATCAACAAAAGTGATGTACATCATCTCGAAACAAATTTTCTTTTTTTTTTCTATTTGCATACAGAATGAGGTGTTCGTGTTCATTATTTTTCTTCTTCTCTAGACCAATATTGATGCAGTTTGCTGATAAATGGTTGGTCAAAACGCTTGAGAGAGGGAGAAAATGAGAGACGATTTTCTCTCTCTCTCTCTCTCTCTCTTCTCCGCTTTTCTACGGTAGCCAATGTTTGTAAAACAGAATTTCTTTATTTTCACCAATAGAAAGTAAATACTGCGACGCATATGCCAAAAGAACGGAAGGCTTTTTCGATTCAATCACGGCAATGATGAAGGGAGACACGCAGGCAGCCAGGGAAAACATGATTGGAAACAAAGCATTAAAGAGAAAAAAACGAGGATTTTTTTCTATTGAGGATAATGATTTAATCTGAGTTGAAGGTACTAAATATATAACGAGAGAACCGAACAAGAGTATACATTCGCTTATCAGAATTTATGTTTATACGAAAAAAAACACAACTCAGAGTAAATGACGTTAATCATTCTGATAGTTTATTATTATAAGATGGCAAATGATGAAGTAGTTTCGTTTTGGCTACGTGCAAGAATATTATTGACTCATAAATATGCGTTATTCTATTTGTATACGAATAGATATGTTATGTTTTTGATACCCTGAAAAAAGGGCAACATACATTTGTAACATGATTAGTCAAAGAAATAATTTGCCTAGACTCATTTTCCTGCTCATCAATGAACAATAGTAAATGCGAACACGTGTTAATTTTTTTTCTCTATACATATCAGAACTTTACTACTCATCTCTTTTGATCTGACCTCAAATAATGGATGGTCTATACTGAATACTTTATAAATATATATGTATACAAAGAAAGATATTCATTTGCGCTTCATTAAATTTCAATGGTCAATGACATTTTCACTTCACAAATTGTCGCGAACATGAGATTAAGAACATAGTAATGATAATTGAATAGAATATATACCGCATCTTTTCTTCTTCTTCTTCTTCTCTACTGTTTAGTAAGTAGATGTTCAGATTAGAACTAGTATATAGTCAATAGAATGAAGAAGACAAGTTCAATTATGTTTCCTGTTCTATTTCATATCGCATAGTGCAACTTCAATATAGACAATAATACTAAAGTATAATTATTTATTTCATATGAGGATATGTGTATTGCGATAGATTCTTTTGTATACATAGACTGCTTGATTGGCGTCAGATTTTATCATTGTGTTTCATAAAGATGTAAGCATCATATTGATTTGATTGCCATTGAAAATAGTTTGTTGTGTTTCTTTTTTTTATAAAGATAAATGACTTATTGTGTGAAACAAGATCCAGTTTGCCTTTTTGTCTACGCCATTTGATGGTTAAAAGAAACGAGAGAATAAAAAGAAGATAATTTAAAACAATCTATACACATTGTCAAGTAGTTTTGTCGTTTGTAGAACATGATTTTTCTAGTGATTTATGCCGAATAGGCGACAATCGGATCTTAATTAGAATCAAGAATAAACTTCTATGGTATTGATAATATGAATTTTTTTGTTTTACGGCTGAGAATGTGGTGAAAGAAAATGGTTTGCAACAGAAACTAACCAGCATGTTTATCTATTTCTGAAGAGCAAAAAAAAACAGATTGGCTTATTTTACTGGATATGAAAAATTTTCTTTATGTTTGACAAACTAACGTTGATTTTAGAGATTTGACTCAATGCTCGAAGGGACCCGATTCGTGAACTCATTGAGATGAATTCAATACGCCATCAGTAATTACGATGGAGGATTGACTAGAATATCTACTCTTGTATTTTATGATTCGGCATTCTTTCTATCACATATCGAGCTAATTCTTTACATGGCCGGTCGCTAACGACATCTTTTTTTTCAAAATTCTCTATAGGTTCGCTATGAATTACCCCTGATCTCAATAAATAAGTAACAAACAACGCCATTTTAATTATAACATTTTCCAACAGTACATAACATGAAAGAATCACGCGTAATTTCGAAACATCTATTTCCTTTATAGATTTTATTACATATGATTACATTGAACAATGCTTAAAGGTCTAACATGGCAAACGCTACGTGCCAATTATTCATTGGTACCACTTTTTTCCGTTGTCACTCTCGGTTTAGCGATGGGAATTGGTCATTCTATTCGTACTTTGACATTTTCAACAGATGTTACAGTTAACCGACGTAAAGACGAACGACCCTGGGATGATCAACTCAACAATGATGGCACTTTCAAACATGCTAAATACATTAAACTTCATGATTATCGCCAATTAAAAAAGAATCCCTATGAACCAAAACTCGACGAATAAATATAAAAACATAAGCACTGTTTTTTTCATCATTTATCCTCGATCAATAGACTTATTGTAATACACTTCAATAGTTCATGCCCCAAGTCGTCTCCATTGTCATTATATTAGCCCAGATATATTCCGCAATAAATGAAAAAGAAAAACAATTTCAGTATTTCTTTTTTCCGTTCGTATTTTAATATTTTTCAGATGACATATCAAAATCGACCTCCTGAACAACCTCCATTAGAGTTTCCCTATATTGGTAAGTAGTAATCAGAGGTATACAAATATTTCGATTATTTTTTGAAATATAAATTAGGCGACGTAAATCAATATGAACGTATTGATAAAATCGGCCAAGGAACATTTGGGTAAGACATGAGTCGTTATAAAAATTTACCATATAATTTCTTTTCTTTTTCTTTTCTGTTGTAGAGAAGTGTTCAAAGCTCGTTGTAAAAAGACAAATGATTTTGTTGCAATGAAATTAATTCTAATGGATCAAGAAAAGGAAGGTTTTCCAATAACAGCATTACGTGAAATAAAAATTTTGCAAGAACTTCGTCATGACAATATTGTTCGTCTTATCGAAGTTTGTCGCTCAGCAAGTATGTGTAAAATTTGTTTAGGGAATGAAAAAAAATGATTTGAAAAATGTCTTTCAAAAATCGGATAAGAACATATGGAGTTAAGCGATGACTTTAGATCATTTTTATCTAGAATAGCAGTAATTTCGACAGTTGAAGGACAAGAAAATGATGAGTTTAGTTAAGCCAATAGGCTAGATTTATATTGAACCGAAATTCTAGATTAACAGTTTATGCATTTCTTATTGTTGTTTTTATTTTAGTGGATAAATCATCTCGTAGTAAATTTTATTTTATATTCGAATTCTGTGATCATGATCTAGCTGGTATATTACGAAATCCTAACGTCAAATTTAGTCTTGGTCATATTAAATCTATCATGCAACAATTGCTGGATGGTAAATTAAACAAATATTTTTCTCGAAATATTTAACGATATTTTGTAGGTTTATATTTTATTCATAAAAATCATATTATTCATCGGTACGTTTAACGGAAAAAAAATAGGGAATATTTTATCAACTTTATTGAATTGATTTTAGCGATATTAAATCAGCCAATATTTTAATTACACGTAACGGTGTACTGAAACTTGCTGACTTTGGTTTAGCAAAAGTAATAACACCACCAAAACGTAAGTTGAGTTATGGAACTAAATTTTGGAAAATTAATTTTTTTCTTAATTAGCTAATCACCAAAATCGATATACATGCCGAGTGGTTACTTTATGGTAAATACTCTAATGATTAGCTGTTATTTTCGATTATGCTTTTGTTTCTAGGTATCGCCCACCGGAATTATTATTAGGTAAATAATACTAATGGTAAATAAATAGATTTCTAACTAGGATGCCTTATATCATAGGTGAACGTGATTATGGCCCAGCTATTGATATGTGGGGTAAGTTGAATTTTTTATTGAATTTTATTTTGAATTATTTTTTGTATCTGATATTTAGGAGTTGGATGTATTTTTGCCGAAATGTGGATTCGTTCTCCAATAATGCAAGGTAAATCTAAACACTATTCTATCTGATTTTTGATCGATAATAAAAGTCGAAAATCGAGTCTTTGTTTTTCAGTATTGTTCTAAAATAAATGAGCTTATCTACATCGGAAGAGTCGAACATCCGCTACTTTTTGAAAGCTAGACTTTTCTGCAATGAAAAGTGCCTATTGTACGATAAAAGTATAGGGAATTTTTCTTGTTTTCAAAAATTACATTTTTTCATAAAGCATCAGACACACCAAACCTTTCGGAGAATGATATGTCTAAAACCGACGTGTATTTGCCACTTTATGGATGAAACAATTTTTTCTACGAATTAAGTTTTTATTGAAATTCTGTATGAATTATTTTCTTTTAGGCACCAGTGAACAACATCAACTCGAATTAATATCTCACTTATGTGGTAGTATAGAGCCAGGCGTTTGGCCAGGTGTAAACAAATTACCGTTATATACTAAGTTAAAATTACCGCAAAGCGAACGTCGTAAAGTTCATGATCGAATGAAACCGTACATTCAAGAACCATTAGCACTTGATTTAATAGATAAATTATTAACATTAGATCCTAAACAGCGCATTGATGCAGATAATGCTGTTAGCTCTGATTTCTTTTATTCTGAACCACCACTAGCAGATTTAAAGCCACTTTTATCAAAATATCCATCGATGTTTGAACTTAAAGAAGTCTCACGTAATGCATATAATCCACAAATGCAGCAGCAACAGCAACAGCAGCAACAGCAACGTATGAAACAAGCAAGACCAAACGTGCCCAATCTACCATCGGAACCAATTTATTAGAAAGAAACATATTCTTTTTGTTTATGTCATATTCGATGAAGAAATAAAAAACAAATTCTATTTGTACAGATTTATATGAATAAATAAGATCTTTCTTTATTGATTTTCAGATGTCAAATAGAACTATTGATCCAGGAGTATCGATTAAAACTTATGATGTTCTTAATTTTGTACGTAATATTATCAATTTTATTCTCATAAGATCATTACTGTAATCATTGAAAGTCAGAGTAGAGAATTTTCATAAAAATGGTTCATATACGGTTCCATACAGATAACAATGGTAACTGTAAAATTCAAGACTATCCTTCAATCAGCTATGTCTAATAATGCATAAATCTAATACAAGCACATAATTTAGTTTCTATTGGTTGCAGTGGAAACTGATCAAAATTCTAATATAAGCTAATGTTAAAAAAAACTTCATCTATTTGGTTGTCTGAAACATTTCTGAACTAAATTTCTATTTAGGATGTCAGAAAAGTTAAATCTCGCTCGTCAAATATTGTTAGTGCATTAACAACCAGTCAGGTAAAATATCAGAAATTGAAAATGTCATCTATTTTTCATCGTCGCATTTATAGTCTCTTCCTCAATCAGTCATAAACGATGATTTTGTTAAAAAAAGTGAAGTACCACCTTATGATATTCACCAACGTGAAGCTAAACGACAACGACAAGTAATTGAAAACCTTCACAATACATTATTTATCATGTAATCTATTCTTATTCCTAGTCGGAACGAAGTAAAACCAAAGGTAAAAATTGGTTTCATATGCCTGCACCGGAAATGACTGAAGAAAAGAAAACTGATCTTATGGCCATTCAAATGCGCGGCGGTTTATATGCTGATAAGTTTTTCAAAAAAGGAAGTGATACGAAAGGACTTCCAAAATACTTTCAAGTATGTTTTACTGAACAATAAGAAATGATTGTATGTCTATGTTTGATTTGATTTAATTAGACCGGTACTGTTGTTGATAATCCAGCTGACTTCTATCGGCGCATTCCGAAGAAAGATCGCAAGAAAACAATTCTTGAAGAACTTTATGATGATGTTAAAGTTAGAAAGTATGTTTCTTTCTTCTCGAATGTTGAACAAATTAGAATATTCAATTCTGTTGCATTATTTTAGATTCAGCAAAAAACGTTACGTTGAACTTAAAGAAAAAAATCGTCGACGTATTGCTTCTATTCAACATTCGAAACGTTTAAAACATAAAAAGAAATGAGCATATTGTTTATTGAGAAAAATAAAAAAGGAAGATAAAAAGAAGATGTGAATCTTCGTTGGCAATTGTTTAGTTATCGAAGAAACGAAGAAAATCGTATAAATTTATTTTTCCTTGTTCGTTCGTTGTACACTCAGCGATCATCTAAATACGAGAAAAAATATTAATAAATAAACAGGTTCAAATTCATTCATTCTTATAATGCGGTGGTTGCTTCGCATATGATTTATACATAATCCTCGGCAGTCCTCGAAAGCCGCCTGTGAGGAAAGAGCTGACTGGCAGGTGCAGATTTCTATCCTATAGCGATGGACATAGGCTTGCCTGTGCTAATTCCGAAATATACCGACAATTTTTTACTATTCAATAAAGTAGAATTTGAATCAATGAATAGAGGACTTTTCATCTGAACGTGCATTCTACTTGTTTAACCAAACTGCAAGTCTATTATCTTACCGCATCGGTAAGGTCATTGTCAAGTGGTAAATTAATTTGTCGAAATATATCATTGATATTTTCTCTTGAAATAAAACCTTGCCGATCTTTATCGTAACGTAAAAACATTTGTCGAATTTCTTCGTGATTGGTTATACGCATATGTTTTAATTTATTACGAACTTCAGCATATAAACGTATGAAATCACCCGGCTTTCGTTGTACGGACATATTAGTAGTAAGTCGAGCATCGGGCCGACCTATTTCATTGCCTAAATGTTGTCGCAATGATTCGATAACAGCTGGAGTAAATAGTTCAGGATGTTCTTCGGCGTATTTTAATACGAATAAATCAGCTGAACATATAATAAAACGTTGTCGAAATACTTCAATGGTTGCACCAATATGAAAGTCAGATGGGCCATAAAATTGAGGATGTTCAGGTGTAGAATCTTGAAAAATAAATCAGCAATTAAAAAGAAACTCTATAAAACAGGTATCTTTACTTGGTTTTGATACACGTGTTCGTTCGAGAAATCGTCCGCCAATAATGCCTGTATTGCGTTGTGGAGGTTCATGAATAGTGATTGTATCATCGCCAAGACGATAACTGATGATGAATTTACGTAATTTATCGTTTTCACGTGGACTATCCTATGAAACAAGAACAAGATAGATTCACTAAAAATCGCTTGATTTTTATCGTACTAGAATAGCTTCGTAACGAAGTACACGGTGATCATTTTCCATTAGTTTCACATAATCTTTTTTCGGTCGTTCAGGTTGTAGACGTAAACAATTTTGTAATGAATCTTCCAAAGAACCAAAACCATTATATGGTGGAATTTCCTAAAAACAAAAATCATACAATACATTTTTTTCTTCTAGTAGCTAAATCTAATTTGATTATATTTTACCATTTTAGCATACTCGTTAGGTGGGTCTTGAATGTTGATTGATTGAAAATTATTAACACCAAAATTTTTTGTATAAAACGTTTTTGTAAACATATCACAATCATAAAGAAAAAAATTTCGACCATAAATATTGACTGTTTTTCCGACCATTAAGTCAGATGGTTTATAGTAATTTGTTATTTCAGTTTCAGTTAATTCAAGAAAGACATGAGGAAAAGTACCTGAAGAAAATTACACTTTTTTGTAACAATATTGTTCAGTAAAAGCTCAGATGAACGATAAAATTCAAAGATAGTAGCCTGCGAGATACAATCATTTCATCGGCATTACTGACTACTTCCTGTTACTTTCCGATCGGAATTGACATTTCTCCCTTTACGATTGAACTCCGAGAAACAAGGATGTGAGTCTATTTATTTCAGCTATAGTTTAAAATTCTATCAAGTCACATCTTGTAGATTACGGGTACAAGATAATTTAAATTCATTTTACCAAGCATAGAATTTTTACTCTCTGAAAGCTCAATTAAACTACGATGGTCTCCGTCTCAATTATATCATTAATATGTAAAGTTTCTTTGTTCACATACAAACCTTTGATATCGTAACGATCTTTTGGAATTTTATGACGAGTAATAAGCATAGGAAATGGATCTCGGCCGTCATTTGCTTTATGTACTTCTCGTACTTCCATTGTATCATTGACTAAATAGTAGTGAATGATAAATTCTCTTTGTTCGCCGAACATTTGCGAACGATCATTCCAAACAGCATAAAAACGTAAAACTTTTCGATCCATTTCAACATATTGTTTAAGTTTATCGAAGTCAGGTTTTGTTTTATATGATTTTATTTCCGCTGCTTGATTTCGTTTGGTTAAATAGGGATCACGTGGAATGAATTCTGTTTCATTAACATAGATACCTTCACTTTCAAGCCATTCCTAAATCGATATAGAGAAAAAAACAGCGAATATTTTATGAACGAAAAATTCTTCGATTCTTACACGAGTAAATGCATCACAATCACATATACGAAATACTTTTCCGTAAATAGATAAATTTTGACCGAGATTAATATCGCGAAAATTATATGTTTCACCTTGATCATTTTTTGGAAAACGATGACGACGAATTAATTTTCCTTGTGGTATACCACTATTTTCTTGTACTTCTTCAAGTATTTCTAAACTATCATCTTCAAGATAATATAAGATTTTGACTGGTCGTACACGATAGTATTCGTTTGGGCTTTCGTGAATGGTTTGTTTAAAATACCCGAAGAAACGAAGAACTTTCTTATCGAATGCTACCGTTGCCGGTACAAATTTATCTGGCGTTTGAACAACAACTTTGCCATAAATTAATTCGGGACGATAGTTTTTCAGAAGTTCTAATTCATCTTCGCTCATCTGATTATAATTAATACGTGTGCCACCTGAAAATCAAAAAATGGAAGTGAGAACAGAGAAAGAGAAACACTCAAATTAGAGTAGATTACCTAGTCCAACTTCAGGTCGTTTCGTAACTCGATGACCGTTTTTGAAATCGAGTGTATGACTGACATGAAAAGTAGTTTGCTAAAGTAATTACAAATATTTGTATAGTCATCAGATGGAAGAAGGATATTCATTGTTAATCATACATACGGTTGGATCGCAAAATGCATTTCCCGGCAAACGTGGTAAGCCTTCCATGTACTGTTCTTTCTTTCGGCACCGAGTTGTTAAGCACTACTAAAGAATGGTACTGTTGCTATTTACTGCATTCACTTTTTGATGATCAGTCTTTTTGTTCAAAATATTTGTTGCTTAGAAACATGCGTATAAGTTTCATTAGAGTTAGGTTTAATCGTTCAAAATTCTAGGATAATATTCTGTTTGTTTGTGTTGATATATGAGAAAATGAAGATTTAGATAATGTGAACGAGTGGTTGAATAGATGTCGCGAACAAATGAATTCTGTAGCATTTTTTCACAACGATGATGTAAATTCAAGCACAAGTATTAGCAGCTAACGCCATTTAGAAATAAAAATTTAAATCGAGTAACATAAAATTCTGTTGAACGAACTCGTCCCAATATCGAAGATAATGACGACAACCATAATTTGATATATCGACAGAAAGAGTCTCAAGAGAATCTCCTGAATGCTCCCCCTATTAAGCAAAAACCTATACAGAGAGACATACACATATGTGCTTGAGCATTGTGAAATACCCAAATGACAATTATGTGTTTTTCAAGTTCGAAAATATGCCATTTACGAATACTATCGATACATATGGCGTATTGCGTCTTTTTTCTCCTCGAATTGAAAATCGAAATTGATCTACTGACCAGTTTGCTGCATACACTATCGACGTTGCAGTAAGTGTAAAAATGAATGAGAGCGAAAACACAAATCTTATAGGTGGGCATGATCCGCAACTTCAAGAAACAATCGGCAATGTTACGTGTAGTCAAGCTAGGCAAAATTCCGACTCACATAAGAAGCAAACATCAGTCGAAAAGATAAGAAAAGAACATATATTTCCAAAACAAAAAAGTATTTGTGTACAATTATGTTCTTTTACTGTATTGAACTGTATGAAGTATGATTTATTAAAAATAATGCTTAGAATTGATGTTATAATAAATGATGCTGATGTAAATTGAAAAACATAGCTACATTAGTACTTACCGAAATTCAAACTGACACTAACATATGTGTTGGGCAGTAATCGTAGATTCATGATGAAAGACTTTTCATTATAGTTTTCGTGATATTAAAATGTAAAAGACGATTGATCTGTTCCATTCTGTAGTAGCACTCTACACATACCAATTATACTGTGTTGTGCGGCTAGATAAATGAAACTAATCAAAAAACATATCAAAATCGAAAGCGCCAGAGATCAATTTTGAAAATTATCTATAAGTATTGTGGCTTTTGAAGGCCAGACAGTATGCGTGTGGCCATATCTAAATGATCTCTGCACCTACATGTTCTCACACCCAGCCGTACACTGTTACATCATCGAGTACTAATGTATTGGAGTTTTTTAAAAACACACGTTCAGAAATAGGAAATTTATCAAATCAAAACATAGAGTTCAGTAGGCTAAACATAGGAAGTTTTTGGGTGACTTCGTTTGGAGAATGTTCGAAGTTCGGCGTAACTACTATGATCCTCTACCATACTTTTATAATATCAGTATATGCATGCAAAATGAAGTTAATAAACATTGATCGATACCAATAAGTTATTTTCCATGCAAGATCTTACACAATGGCGATACCATCAACGTGTAATTAATGGTAAATACTCAACATTATACTCCATACTAGCATCGTTATCAATGTCTGACTCGCTTCTACAGACAAAGTTCCAGTCGCTGCAATTGCCATATTAAATACAGCTATCGTTGATAAGGTTGTGTGCGATGAAATAACCGTTGCTAAAACGGACGCCGATGAATCTGATGTTGATAAATCTATTGTTGGAAAAGTTGCAGACGAGCACGCAGCTGATGTCGATGATGTTCCATTCGATATAGCTATTGGTGCTACATCGGGATCGTTGCAGGTATAACTTTCAGGACATCGATAACATTCATATCCAGCAGACAATGGATGCGAAGTACCAGCGGGACATTTTAAACAAGTTTGAGCCGAGATTGCACCCTCGCTCGGTTGATAAGTTTCTGGTGGGCACTCTTTATACGATGTTGTTCCAGTTGTATCACAATATGTTCCATGAGGACATCTTGTGCAGTTCCCTTTTCCAGTGTTGGGATTGTAGGTGCCAGTAGAACATGACAAACAGGCTCCAACTGAGACTGCAGCTTCATTCGGGTGATATGTACCACTGGGGCATCATTGAACGACGCTAGCTCCAATTCGAGGACAATAACGTCCAGCGGGACATGATACACAGTTGCTATTCAACAAATATGTTCCTGGTGAACAAGTTCCAGTGACACTTCTGGGTATAAGCATACAAAACATTGTAAGGCGAAATAAAAAAGATACAATAGACATTCTCATCTCGTATTGATACATCTAGAATGTTGAATTAAGAGACGAAATGATGACAGTAACTGCGACTAGTGATCTAAATATTAAATATAAATTCTCTATAAATGAAGTAATAACTTCATTTAAAAGAGACAAACAAAAATAGTGTGAATCTGTAGTTCATTCTTAATGGCACACATAATTCTGCTATGACTTACATTTACAATCAATATTATCGTATCTATTTCTTTAAATCAACTTTTGAATGTCTTTCTTTTTTAAAGGATACTTTTATGTCCATTTGTGCCACATTTTCTAGCACCACACCTTTATAAAATGTATGGCTTATGTTTTGAATAATTGAAACTGTGTTCATAGTCACAAATATAGTATGAACACGACATATTGTTATTTCAAATTCGAAAAAATATTTAACTTTGTGCATACAGATAAATCGAGATCCGTCGACGACCTAAAATTTTTACCAAAACCGACGCTCCGATAGCGAAGTGTGTGCCTGTAATCCATCTTTATAAAACTGATTATTAGTAATATATCTTCTTTTTCTTTGTTGATGATTTTTTTATAAAAAAAATCAAAAACAATTTTTACTAACGAAGACAATTGTCTATGAAACAAGACGAAGATTTTAAACAAGGATGATGTTGCATTGACAAAATATGCAAGTTAAAAGAACTAGGTGAAAAGAACAATGTCATATATCGCAGAACTGACATTAAACAAATAGAACGTAAGAGTGATTCAGTTTATCACTCCTCCAATATTTGAATTGGCACCTCAATATGGTTCGATGTTGATCAATTCTATTCACTAGCCTATAAATTTTATTTATAAATTTGAAGAAATTCATAGCTAACTGCTTCGTTTGATTTGCTGATAATTAATCATACACCGATGCTTTCATAATGACCATGTGTGTCTAAAATCGACGATACCTATGGATCTTTTTCTAAAGGCAGATTTTATATTATTCTACAGTAGTAGTGCATGTAATAATTTTCATGCGATATTTATATGTTACGAGCTTGAAGGAAAAAATCAAACAAGCACTCTCTGTCACAGACAGAAGACCTGTCGAAGCGGGGCGAATGTGAACGCTTATGGATACACGGGATTATTAGATTTGTATTGAGAATGATTCCACTGTGTGTTTTCAAATGAATATCATTTAAGCATACCTAGAGGCGACACATGTCCTTCGTTGAGGTAGCCTCTAACAGAGAGCAACCAAGAAAGAAGAAAAATAATCAAAGACAATAAACTCCTTGATACTACCAAGAAGAGCATATCTTCTAAAATATCATCATTAGAGAAAATGTTTTGAAAATTTGTGAATCATACTGAAGCCCTGTTAATTCGCTTTCATCTTTTCTATTTGGTTTTGGTTTTGCACTTGCGTAATATGAAAATAAATCGATTAAAATGAAGGATTCCCCATCAACACGATGCCTACGCATTTATTTTTGGCTTCATTTTGTTTTGGTATGTTGTAGTAACCTACTTGCGAGTCTCTACAAATCTATGTACGGTATATCGGTGTGGTATGTAGCAGTTATCTTTTAAAAGCTACTCTGTACACGATGAATACATATTCAGGCGACAAGAAATAAAATATAATTTCTATGAAAATCATTTTTTACAAAATAACTGTAAAATCTGATGGATCGTAATATTCTCTCCCGCATGCTTTTAATGCAATAGATATGAGGCATACATTTTCTTTTGACACACTTTTAAGTCATAGACGAAATAGAGAATGGTCTGTATTTAATCACGCATCACAATGTCTCTGATATTTCAACCACTATAGACATGGTTACTACATGGATATTAATAATTTCGAAGTAATACATCCTAACAGTACAGAGAAAAAAACAACCGTTTGACAATAATAGCAGATAAATGAAGCAAAAATAACAAGTCCATTAAATGTTAATAATCATTGATGCTTATCAATATCAATTCTATCGCTAGAGAATAATAATTTGAAATATATAGCAAAGTTCATATATCTAAACATGCTTTACATTATGCTGTTTTATACATGAAACAAACAAACACTTGACGTTGTAACTATGTCAATAAGAACTATTTTCAATGACGATATTTCTATAGTAGTTGCCGTCGAAAATAGAACCCATTTGTTCTACTTTCATAAATAACATTATCTAAGTGCACGTTGAATTACAAGTAATACACACTGAAGGACTTCTGTCTTTTATAATTCGGGTATTAAATGACTAATTGTATGCGTACAAAGTGACTGTAATACATCTAGGTGCCGCACTCTCATCTTCAAGCAATTTATTTGCACCCTTAGAGGGACGGTATTTAAAGCTCACTTAAAGAGGAACTGTATATAATTTTTGATTAAAATCAGCAGTGCTGAGTTGACTGGTTATTTCAATAATTCCCACGAGTTATTCTTTTAATTTCAAGGATGGTATCAGTATTGTAAGTACTATCTGAAAACAATAGAAGCTCATAACTTTTTCTAAATCTTTTAGGTCAATCACTTTAGCGCAGATCTCTGATAGAAGAAGTGACCTACATTTGAATTCTAAGAATCAGACAGGATAGTTGAGGTCTTAGATTTTAGACAACAAAAAAATAAAGGATTCATCGTTGTGCTGTTAGCAGGTGACATCTATTGGAGTATATAGATGTGATAGAAAACGAAACTAATTTACTTTTCAGCAATTTGTCTCATAAGAAATATAAATTTAAAAAAATTCAAGATTTATTTTTTAAATCAACAGATTGATCACATACAGCTTTCATTTGATCCAATTATTACCAAATCGAAATGAATGGTGAATTTTGCGTGAATGATGATTCTTACTTACTGACGAAAGTTTTCTTCTTATTACACTATATAGCATCAGTTTTTGTGTTTCAAAGAGCATTCATTTATTGTTTTAGTTATAATTTAGATTAAAACAAATAATCATGCAAATATTTGTTCGTGGTGCCGACGAGCTTGTGCCGCTCGAACTCGAAAAAGATGATACTGTACAAGATATTCGTGTTAGTTATATTTTTATTTATTCTGTTAATATGCATTAAATTCATTTTCTCTTCAGGAATATATTGCTGAAGAATACGATGTTGGTATGAATGATCTTGTCTTGAGTTACAATGGAACCCTTTTGAATGACGAACAAACAGTTGAACAATTCGGTCTCGTATCTGGTTCAACAATCGATGCTACTATGAAATTATTCGGTGGTAAAGTCCATGGTTCACTGGCTCGTGCTGGTAAAGTTAAAGGTCAAACACCAAAGGTAATAAAACTAACGTCTTTATTGAGGAAAAAGCAATAGGCATTATTTTTTCAATGTAGGTTGCTAAACAAGAAAAACGCAAGAAGAAAACCGGACGTGCAAAACGTCGTCTTCAATACAAACAACGATTTGTTAACAAGGTTGCCAGCTTCGGTCGTCGTCGCGGTCCGAATTCAAATCAACAAGCTTCAACATAAGCATTGAACGAAACGAAAACAACATCTTATATCTATTTAACTTTTGTATTTCATCATAAGAAAATTGAAAAATATCAGTTTTTGTTTTTGTTTTTAAAATAAAACATAATCATTCACATCCGAAGTTAAAATATTTTCGTTCATCTAATTTCGTACTTTCTGTAGACTATAGAAGATCAGTGAACGAGTATGATTCAAAAGAAAACCATTCCAACATTAATTGTCCTGGGTTCTGGTAAGTGAAAATAATAATAATAATTCATAGAAGAATTCGATTATGATCATTAGGTGGTCACACGACGGAAATGTTTCGTCTATTATCAGGCACTGACATGAACGTATATAAACCAAGATATTATACTATTGCATCTACGGACAAAATGAGTAAAAAGAAAATGGATGAATTCGAACAGAATGTGAGCACGAATTAGCTTTTTGTTTTATTGAATGATAAAATACTGAAGAGAATTTTTCATATAAATATGCGCCTTTAGACTTTAGAAGATATGAAAGTATCATTTATTAATCGAAGTCGCCATGTTGGTCAAAGTTATTTTAGTTCAGTTTTTACTACTCTTTGGGCATTTTTTACGGTTATTCCATTAGTTTATCGTATTAAACCTAAACTTGTAAGTTGATTAATGAGACTTGTCACTTGTGAAAATCTTGCTTTTTTTCTCAATTAGATTCTTGTCAATGGTCCTGGTACATGCATTCCTATTGTTATTGCTACTCTCTTGTTATCAGTAATTACTTTTATTTTCCGTCTTTTAAAATATTTATTATTTTTTTGTATAGATTTTTTTTCTTATTGATCGACCGAAAATTGTTTTTGTTGAAAGTATTTGTCGTGTGGAATCGTTGTCGTTAACTGGAAAAATTCTTCAATATTTACCTGTGCATATTCTTGTGCAATGGCCACAATTATCTAAGCTGTATCCCAAAACTCAATATATTGGACGGCTTGTCTAACGATTTATATATTCTTTATTACAACATATTCGAGAATTTTATTTAATAAATAGTCATTAATATGTATTCATTAACAAAAAGAAGATTTTTGTCTAAAAAAAATGGAGTAAAATATGTATGGAATGGGAAATTGCTTGCTTGAATCAAAATTTCTGAATATTTATTGATTGAAACAAGATGTTTATGAAAATGAATCAATATAATACATTAGTACACTAAGAAAGCAATTGTTTTATGATACTAAAGTACACGATTACCGATTTAAGTAGATGATACATTTAATTACTGAAGCGAAATTCTAAGCGTTTTCATATACATGATGATTTTCATCAAAGTATAACTGTAATGTCGTCATTGAATCTTGTCTTCAGAACATGCACAGAAAATATCAAGCCGCAACCTATATGCTCTCAAAATTTTATAAAGACGAATATACAATGTTTCCCGGACTTACAAACCTATTAATGAATTTCTATAATACCAGTGATCTACTTGAACGCGTTCATAAAGTTAGCTTAAATATATTTTATTATAGACTATTGATGGACATATCTAATAAGAAATGCATTAGCTTTTTGATTATTCGAGTATCTGTTGTGCCAATACAAACCGATGGCAGAAGAAACAAAGTAAAGAACGCAAAACAATGTACGATTTGCTTATTCATTTGAGTCGTAAATAATAAGCTGTTTTTGCTCGATAAATATTATCATATAGAAAAGAAAGAATCGATATCCGTTTCTTTAAACATAATCACTCACGTGCGACGAGCGATTTAATCAACGCACATTTGACTTCGACCAAAATAAAACACGCATTTTAATTGCAAGCTGGATCGATATGGCTTCTTCAATTCCTATTCCTGAGAGAACTGCAGTATATGGTGATGCGAAGTAACTTGTCCTCGACAACAAAATTTGAATACTGTTATTTATTTGATATTCTAGTAGGCAGAGACATCGTAATTACAGGGAAAATGTTTCAGATAATTCATCAATAGAAAGGTCTAACACGATCAAGTATGTTTCTAGTGATATTTTTCAAGTATACCTGAGTCAAGTTTTGTTTATTCATTTAAGTTTAAGAATGCTCACTTATGATGAGGGTATGACTTCAATACAATCATTCAAATCTTGTGATGAACCTATGAAAGAATCAAATGAGCAATCATCAATCGTTACAATTAATGTTAGTGGATGCCGATTTGTAACACATCTATTTACTCTGGAAAATTTTCCTGAAACACTTTTGGGTAATGCACGTAAAAGAACTGCTTTTTGGATTGAAGAACGAAAAGAATACTTTTTCGATCGAAATCGTGCTTGTTTCGAAAGTATTCTCGGCTACTATCAATCAAATGGGCGCCTTCATCGACCAGATACAATAGAATTGGTTAAATTTCTCGAGGAAATTTCATTTTTTGAATTAGGTTCAACCGCACGGGCCCAAGTTGTAAAACCGACAATTTTAAACAAACCAAAGAGTCAGCCAATGCCTAAAATGAAGTGTCGTAGAGTGATTTGGTGTCTTCTAGAATATCCGCAATATTCAATGCTAGCTCGTGTGATAGATATTGTCACGATAATCGCAACTGTCCTTTCTTGTGTCGCATCAGCGATTGAAACGTTGCCAAACATTATTAGTCGTCCAGTAGATATTTGCCGGGAACAAGCCAATCTTTCTCTTAACGAAACGCATGTTCCCATATGTTCAGCAATATACAGTTCAGTTTTTTTTATCATTCAAACTATTTGCGTTGGATATTTTACAATTGAGTTTCTTCTTCATTTGATTAGTACTCCATCTTACAAACGATATTTCTTGTCTGTTTTCACTTATATCGATTTAGCAGCTATAATCCCTTACTTCGTATCTTTGGGTATTATACTAAGCCATTCATACATAGATACAGGGCGCAATACGATGCTTTATATGGCCATTCTACGTTCACTACGTTTACTGCGAATATTAAAAATGTATCGACTTTTTCGACATTTGAAATCGCTGCGTGCCCTCGGTAGAACTTTGAAAGCATCTGTCGCCGACCTCGCTGGAGCACTTTGTGGTTTAATTATCTTTGCATTTCTGTTCGGAGCAGCAGCTTACTCTGCTGAAAATGAAACAAATCGGGAAGTGTTTGATTCGATTCCAAAAGCAACATATTGGGGAATCATCACAATTACAACTGTCGGGTAAGAAAAATACTAGTTTTCATTATAAACTTATAATGGATCATTTCAACAGTTATGGAGATATGTATCCAATCACATTTACAGGCCGTATAATTGCTAGTTTATGTGCTTTATCAGGTGCAGCAATCATTGGCATGTTTGTTTCGGTTCTAGTCGATCGATATCAGCGTGCTTTTAATCAAAAGATGGATTCAATCGATCAACAAATGTCATCGACTGATACAAATGATGAAGAGCGGAATATATTGGAAGAATCCTCCCCAGGACGAACAATCCGATAGTCGGATCCTGTCGGATCCTAGCGGAAAAGTATCGGATTTTATTGGATCCGATGGGAATTCGTCGGAAGTTGGCGGCATCCATGGTAATGGNTCAATCATCGGTCATCAACTTTGAAATGTCTGAAATACTGACCCTTGAGCTCTTTCCTGAGACTTTTTTCGTTGATAAGATGTCTCCAGAGGCTACCCATTGATAATATGAGGTTTTAATATAGTATTGCCTCTATTGATACACATTCTGCACCCAGGACGAACAATCCGATAGTCGGATCCTGTCGGATCCTAGCGGAAAAGTATCGGATTTTATTGGATCCGATGGGAATTCGTCGGAAGTTGGCGGAATCCTTGGTATTGGATTCCGACAGGAAGTTGTCGGATGTCGGAAAATGCCTGAATGATCCGGATTCTGTCGGAACCCTAAAAACCCGACACTTTCCGACATCCGACAACTTCCTGTCGGAATCCAATACCAAGGATTCCGACGACTTCCGACGCATTCCCATCGGATCCGATGGGGTGAGTTCGACCTGGGTCATCAGATACACAGCAAACAGATCAACAATTATCAATGAGATCTAAACTTAATTTCTCTATTTCAATGAATGATGGCAATATCGATGATCATTTAGCAAATCAAATCGTTAGAGATTTGAACGAAAAAATTATAGAATTACAACAAACTATTAACAGAGAAATCCAATTGCAAATTATTGACAATGATAACAACATCTGTACTCAATCGAGCACTGGTTCATGATTCGACACAGCTTTCAGCGATAGAAATAGAAAAAACTTCAATTAACCAGGGTGTGGGTGTGGATGTGAAGTATCGAATACCAACACCCACACCCACACCTCAAGATACTTTTTGTTCTTGTGAGATTTCAGTCGAGATTTTTGCATGTAACACACAGCTATGTAGAGTTCCGCACAACTATTTGGTCTATACTGTAGCTATTTGATCTTTGCTGTACGTATTCATAGTACCCCTTATCTACTTTATCGTTGCTGTAGCTATTCATAGTACACTTTACCTACTTTCTCGCTTCTGTAGCTATTTAATTCTCTCACAGCTATTTGATCTTCACTGTAGCTATTCATATAGTACTCCTTACCTACTTTCTCGCTTCTGTAGCTATTTAATTCTCTCACAGCTATTTAATCTTTACTGTAGCTATTTGATGATTCACTATAGCTATTTAAAATGCTATGTAGCTGTGGAAACTGCAACTCATTAAATATAGAGCGAGATTCGCATGACTTGAATTTTTTTCAACGTATGAGAGTTTGCATAGTATTTCTGTACTATTTGAATTTGAAGAGATTTGTATGTGTAAGGTGGTTGACCGTCATAATGTCGAAAGAAAAAATGTTGAAAGTAGAAGTGTCGAAAGAAGGAAGAGGAAAAATATCGAAAGGACAAATGTTGAAAGGAAAAATGTCGAAAAAATTATATTGACATGAAACATTGTCAGTTAGTATTTTAGAGAATGGTAAATAATATAGTGCATGTTTTTTGTATGAAATTAAGCTGGAATGTTAAGGGTGAGAAAAGTTCTTTTTAAATATATCATTTTTTCACGAGCTTCACGAACCTCAAGTTTTTCTTTTCCTGAAAGATGACTATGATTGCCAATAGAGGTGGACCATTTTTTTTAGCGGAACTTAATTAATGAAAAACATTAACATTAATTTTAAAATTAATGTTTTCATTAATCATTAATATTAATGTCAATGTTCTTGAATGATATTAACGGTTAAAGGAAACATTCACCATTAGTATGAATAGTAATGTTTTCGTTAATATTCGGGATTTATATTTTCGTTAATCTTTAATATTAATGTTAATGTTTTCATGAAAACATTAATTTTTTCCTATTACTGAATTAGGCTTTTCTAAGGAAACATTATCTACAATTATTAATCAATTAACTGATCTTAATAGCTAATGTTTTTTTCCGAAAGTGTCAATTACTTAATATGGAAAGTTATAATGCTTTCATGAAAACATTAACCATTAATATTAATGATTAATGCAAATATAATCCCTAATATTAACGAAAACGTTACTATTCATACTAATGGTGAATGTTTCCGTTAACCGTTAATATCATTCAAGAACATTGACATTAATATTAATGATTAATGAAAACATTAATTTTAAAATTAATGTTAATGTTTTTCATTAATCATTAATATTAATGAATTAAGTTTTTCTCAGAAAACATTAAGCATTAATATTAATGGTTAATGAGAAACATTAGCATTAATATAAAATTAATGTTAATGGCCCAGCCCTAGCCCACGTCGACTAATCCAACGACGAATTCCATCTGATCCTATAGCATTCTACTAACCGAGGAAATTCAATTGGATTCTGGCTATCGGAATTATTGACCAATCTGACGGGAGAATTTAAAAAAATTATCACAATTCTATTTAGCGCAAAAAAGCTTCCTAGAGGTTAGCTATAGCAGACTTTTTTTGGCGTATCGGATTCCGATCCTATGGATCCGAAACTCGGAATCCGTCGATTCTAGTGACTTTTCATATAAGATCCGAGGTAGCCCGTTTCCAGGTCGGATTGGATCCAGTTGTAGGAATGAACGACATGGATAGTTAAATCAAAACAATGCCTACCATCTTGAGGGTGTCGGTATTGATATATATCATACACACAGTCACATGCCAACACACCCAGACCCACACCCTATTTAGTGAAAACTGGTTATAATTTGAGATTTGGCACGACCTCGGATATGCGAGGACATTCATAAAAGCATTCAGTTTCTATTTATGGTAAAAAAGCATAGTCAACTAAAAGTAAAGGTGATTTATCAAAAAAAGGTTATGAAGATGAAGGAGGACAGATACTGAACGCAATAAAAGGCACGCTAATTGGTTTTCTCTATCATAGTGTAATATCGTCTAATTCCACTGAATCATATGAACGTCTGTGCAGACAACATCTCTTCCAAGATTGCCCTTGACAAGACTGGTAAATTCATTTAAATTGAGTACCTTATCACAATTTGTGTCGTAACGACGAATCATTGTAGGCAGTGTATCACAAGTTGCACCAGGCATAATAGCAGGTATCACTTTTGCTAATTCCGCCGTATCAAGAGTACCTGAACCATCAGCATCCAGAATAGCAAATGCTTGACGTATATCAGAGTCGGATGCCTTAGAACCCATCATAATAACTTGCACAACTTTCATGAAATTCTGCTGCGAGATTGCATGTCGAGGCGCACAAGAAATAAAACGATTAAAGCAATCTGTCGGTAATGATACGGAACGGGTACCCACTTGGCCACTCTGAGACGTATAACTGTATTGATATTCATACTGATACGAATACGACTGCGAATGCGAATGCGATGTCGAATGCGAATAACTAGAACTGCTGTAAGACATTTGCTTTATGAAACACGATCTGAAAGGAGTGTTAAAGTGTATATAGGTAGACAATTGCCCCCCCCCCGTCNTTGTGCGCTTGAAGCGTCGTTTGCCTCTCTCATCTTCAATGAAGGATCTCAACTCTCGTATACGAAAGATTGGAAGTTCATCATTTCTCTTTCACTCCGCCCATCACACCCAGACGTAACAGACACCAATGTAGCTATTACATATTATGCAACTATTTTATTGATACCGTTGCGTACAAAGCACCGAGAATTATGTTTTTAGAGCAAAATTGATATGATGTTCTCCTTCCTAAACGAAATCTTTTTCCTCCTGCACTATACTGAAATATGAAATAACAATAGATTTATCGTGCTTCACACCTTAAATCCATTTAGAGATTTCGTTAATAGCTTTCTTTATATTATTCTGAAAAAGAAATCAAAAAGAATTTGATCTGCCACTTGTTGATTTATGGAGACTAATGTTTTTTTTTCGTCTAATTTCTGTAGAATGAGGAACACCAACAAACATATGCACTGATGTAGAGTTCGCGTAAGATAGCCAATGTTTCAACTGCTAAAATGAAGAGTTGGACGCTAAAAATTATTATAGTCTTCTTTTTATTTTCACACGAAGTAATACAGTAATAGATTTCAAAAGCTAAGGAAAACAAAATTTTTATCATGGAATCATCTGAATTTTCATCAAATCCGTATCGTACACCAACCAAAGATCGTTTTTTATCCGAGATTTATTTTTTCATTGAAGGGTTTGAATCAAGTCCTCCAGTCAGGGGTTAGCCCATAACAACTTTCAATATTGTGGGCTGGAAAATCAGAAATTATTTTCATAAGAAATATGTTGAAACTATGATAGAAGTAGCTGAAGGTAGGCTGTATCTACTTTTCTCAAGAGCTAAACTCTAAGCTGTAACTAAAAATCGTCGAGTGTGATGGGCGGAGTGAAAGAGAAATGATGAACTTCCAATCTTTCGTATACGAGAGTTGAGATCCTTCATTGAAGATGAGAGAGGCAAACGACGCTTCAAGCGCACAAGCTAAAACTAATATGCTTGCATTCGTCACACAAAGAAGGCGCACGTTATTGCTATATTGAATATAACTCAACTAACCGAGGAGTCGCCTCGTCAATGTGCTATCTTCTCTCGTTTATCTCAGTTTCCCTTTCCTCTTCCTGTGTTCCGAGAAAGAGTGCTCTCTCTCTCTCTTGCAGAAAAGGAGGAGAAAGCTGCAAACTAGGAATCAATATTGAGAGTGAAGGTGAGCAAAAGAGAAAATTGTAAAAAGAAGAAAGAGAGCTGCCATGTGCCCCATACTGTCGGAGTATACAGATAAGGGACGTTGACAGGAATTGAGACATCACTTATATCGGAATGCACCCGAGATGATGTCCGTCACTATGCTGCTGCCCCTTGGCACATAAAGGTACCCATGAGATATTATTGCTCGAACTGAAAAATAATTATAATACATGAGAGAACCGAAATCACGGGTTTCATGAGTTTGGGGTGTGTGTCTCCATGACGATTCTTTTTTCTCAACACCCACACCCTCATCTGCGAGTTAGGCTCACTAAATGTGATTTGCTTGTCAAATGCAGATATACTACTTATTCCGCTTTTGTGGAACTCCCATATATTTTCGAAAAAAACGGGAGTGTAAGTTTAAAAGTAAGATTTTTGTAGCTCCCCATCCCTCCCTCCTCACTACAGACATTAATCAGTTTAAAATTGTGCTAATTAGGAGCGTAACTATTTAGCTTGCTGGTTCTTTCTTTTTTAATTACAAACTACACGAAAAAAGCAGTGTTTTCCCATTACAGACCATAATAACTAGCTTAGGATACCATTACAGATCATGAAAAGTAATCTCTGCGATTGTTAAATATACGTACCAACAATTAATACTCCATTACAGAAATAAGCAAATAGGCAATGACCTGATGATAGGTTTTGGAAATCAGGGTAGATTTTTCAGATGAATTATTTTAAATCATTTTAGTAAGCCTAAGGAATATATGTGAGTTCCGTATTTTAATCACAAAGGAGCTGCGCTAACAAGCTTTTAAAACAACTTACAAGAAAATTGTATCTACATTCGCTCGGAAGAGAAAAGAATGTTAAAGTATGCTGAGCATTAAATCACACTGAAGGCCAAATGAAAATCGTCACTTCTATACATATGCGACGAACATAAACGGTGTGATGGAAAAAGACAGAAAGGAAAAATATTGAAATCAAAATTGAGGGCTGAAAATGTATATGTAAGAGTGAGGGTGATGTTTTCGGTATTTTTACTTTCTGTCTTTCTCCATCCATTCACATGAGCTACTTGTGTAACGGCTGATTCGGGCTGCGACAGTACACACAAAAAATTGCCATGAAAACATTCCCACCACTTTGAAGAAATGAGGGAAAAAACATCAATTTCGAACTATTCATAGTCATATTTATCGTGAGACTGTTGTGTTGAAAGGCAACTGGTTCCGTTCGATTAGCGACAATTTGAACTGCTTGTGCAACGATTTCATCAGCTATTGACAGTGAATATACACGCATACTACGAAAAAGAAATTTTCACTACTAGAAAGAAATGAAGACTTTTATGGGGGCTGATGGTTTGGGTATGGACTGTGCAATGTAGGTGTGATTTGCCAACCTCTAAACACAGGCACACCAACACCAACACCCACACACCCACACTGGGAAAAAAAGGTATCATACGAAACTAAAAAAGGGTTTCGAGATTTGAAACGAATTCTGAACCATTTTTTAGTTTCGTACGAAAAAGGTTTCGTATAAGACTATTATTTTTTTAGATTAAAAAGGTTTCGTAGTCGATGCTTTGCATGGCGCTTCGTATGATATCGGCCAAAGATAAATTTACTGTCAATTCATTTTCTACAGAGCTCTCCCAACGTATATCCACACTTGAGAGACGCATCTGTGCTATTGAAGGCATATCTAACCCTGTATTTGTCCATTAACCCCCCACTTCTATATCTAATTCCTTATTTCTATCCTTAACCCCTTAATTCTATCCGTAACCCCTTAATTCTATCCTTAACCCCTTAATTCTATCCTTAACCCCTTAATTCTATCCTTAACCCCTTAATTCTATACCTTACTACTTAATTCTGTCTAGTTTCTAAAAAACGTTGTTTCCCGATAAACCCTTAGCAGGTTTCCGAGCTCAACAAAACGAAAACCCAACATGAAACCTGAAATAAATCGACAGTCAATAGAGATTTCGCTATCATGTCATGTGTCATAAGAACGCGAACACGACACAAATCGCTATCTCCCGAATATTCACATGTCACCTAACCATTCGACGAGATCCACTTGAATAATCTAAAACAAAAGAAGAATTGATGTAAATTTTTGATTCTCGAATATAACTCACCAATAAGATGAAATACATTTGAACAATCTAAAACAGAAAAGGAAATTTTCATATTAGTTTTTCATTCTTGAATGTTACTTACCATTCGAAGGAAAACCACTTAAACAATCTAAAACAAAAGGAAAAATAAACAAGTTTTAAATTCTTGAATATAACTTACGAATTCGATACAATTCATTTGAAGAAGCTTAAAGAGAAAATTTAATTTTGGCATTATGTTTCTATTCTTCAATGTGTCTTACCCTTTGAATGAAATCCATTTGAAGAATCCAAAAGAGAAGTACAATTAATTTTCGTTTCTATCATTGCATCCCTTGATTTTTAGGACAAAATCAGTCATATCGGAAACCTATGGATTTTCAAGCCTTTAGCAACAAACAATTTACTCTCGGAAACTCTTCAAGTGTTGATAAACATTCTCGAAAACCTCTAAAAGTTTGCCAAACGGTTTCCGAGAGACCTCCAGCTTGTACGAAACGATTATTTTTAAAGATTAATTCCTTATTTCCGTCCTTACCTCTTATTCATTTATGTAAACTGTCATTTCTATCTTTAAGCCGAAATTCTATATTTAACTTCTAAACTGTATACTCAGTGCCTGCTATTTACCGTGGCTCGTCATTTATATCCTTAATCTATGAACTCGACATCGAACTCCTTCTTTCTATATCCACTCTTTTAAAAGTGTATATAAATTCTTATGGCTATGTCTAAGCTATTATATGCTTATGTAACACTTTTCTCTACGGTAATCCTTTCAAAACTATATCCAACTCCTCATATATATATATGTCTAGCTCGTTACAACTATATCTATTCCATTGCATCTGTTTTTAATGACTTATAACTTTGTCAAAGCTCTTATTTCTATGTGTCACTTGTGAAAACTATTGATCATCACGTATATCTATATCAAAATTCTCATAACTCTGTCTAAATTCTAAGCTCTATCCACATTGGAACAGTGGAGTTTGAATGAATACACAAAAAGTTGTTAAAACTTTTGTATTTGACTATGAAGAAATAATGTAATGCTCTCGTATTAGTGTTAAAACAGTAACTCAATACTTCAGCATTCGTGTTAGTTTAGCATTAACATACTGCAAACACTTATATTTTCAATATTAGCTATTGGTAAATATATATATTCAGTTGATGTCTGAAAAAAGAACAGGATTGTTTTGTTAAGGCGACATCGATCGTCAAATCTCTTATACGAATTATCTGAACACTTTATACTTATGTAAGCCTTAGAACTTATATTTATTTGAAACGCATGTATACATGTCGAATCATCTATATTCATCGTTAACTTCATATATATTCTTAAGCTCTCAATATCTATTTAGATCCGCTTCAATTTATGTGCATCTCTTATATCTGTGTCTATACTCCGATGTCCTTTTGCGTGCGTCAGTATCTTGCAATTGTCTAAGTTAAATCCGAAATAAGATGTATCATTTTGTTCTAAACTAATAAGATCTCCAGCTAGATAAAATGACAAGAAACTGATCGTTTTATTACATTAAAAAGTTTGTGGTTTGAATAATCAACGATTTAAAATATTAGGGGTCGCGAAAACTGGAATAAAACTTAGGAGTGAAGTAATTCATGAAATGGGAGCATAAAATAATGTTGGAGGCATTGACAGTATTTTTTACACGGCAAAGGTTTAAGTTCATTGCCATGTTAGTGAAGCCCTTCTGTATTTTTTCTAGAAACAGGTCGTCACGAAAACATGTGAGCTCAAAAATACAGTTATACAATATTGAAACTGGAGTAGTGGTGACTGATACATAATATTGAAACTGGAGTAGTGGTGACTGATACATAATATTGAAACTGGAGTAGTGGTGACTGATACATAAGTAAACGAATGAAATAATCGAGGCTGGACAATTTTCTGATTAGTCAGCATCTGTCGGCAGCATAAATGTACAGGAAAAAAAAGTATCATACGAAACCTTTTGACAACGAAACCTCTAAGAGGTCTCCTACAAAACCCTTTTGCCTACCAAAAATAAAAAGAGTTTTTTTACGGAACCACTTAAATTACTAAACCTTAAAATGGTTTCGTGGATTGGTGCGATATCTAATAGTATATAGTGAAGTTCCACGAAACCTCAAAGGATTCGTGTGACACCATTTTTTTTCAGTGCACACCCACACCCACACCCCAATCCGCCAATATTTCCGAAACCCAGAATCCAACAGGATTTCCTCGGTTAGTAGGATGTTTTAGGATCCGATAGCATTCGTCGTAGGATTAGTCGACCTGAGTAGAGCTCAACGACTGACAATTTTGAGGAAAGTTTCACGTTGTTACCGCATTGTTCTACTTCACAGGCCTGAAAACAGTAAATTGCATTTTTAGTGAATTAATGTCATTCATCGATAATATATGACTCTTTTCAGTAGCAAAGCAGTAGTGATGAAAACTATCAATTATAAAAAATTGAGCACCCTCATAATTTCATCGAACTGAATTATAAAACTAAATCTGTATACACTCATTAGAGATGATCATAGGAGTGTACATTTTCTATTAGTGCTATGCATGTCTCTATACCAGTATAGATAATATATCGACTGTAACTACTGTCATGGCCGATGGCCATGATATAAATTTAGTTAGGATGTATCTTTTATATTCTGCTTTGTGTTTCGTTATGGTATCATCCATTGCATTCTTTGATGTTTTTTTTCTCTCACTTGTCTCTCTCCCCGTGTACTAAATTTATCCCTATGTAATAAAAGAAACGTCATCGGCATGTGATGAGATATGAGAGGGGGAGAACGTATGAAAGAAGAATATAAAAAGGGATATACGTTTTTATAGGTGTGCTTTTTTTTCCTTTTTTCTGTTTTGTTTGATTCTTGTCAATTCGAATTAAAACAAAGTTTGAAAATGGAGTTAAAAGGAATAAAAAGAAGTGAAATAACAACTACACGAAACCGTTATAAAAACTTCAGGATGTGGGTGTGGGTATTGGTATCTATCGTGCACATCCGCACACCCCAATGCCTTTTTTTCTATTTTAGGTGATATGCATGTTTATGTCATTACTTTATGATATTGTTGATAAACTCGATGATTATGAGCTTATCGATTCTTATTATCTTCGATAAATAGGTATGTGATGCATCCACGATAGTATTGATTTTGTGAAATGAAATAATAGAAGCTCGATAGCTCATTTATGAGGGTTATTGTACGGAAACAGAGAAGTCGTAAATAAACTGCGTCGTGGCAAATCTCTGAATATTAAATCAGTTCAATCATACTTAGAGTTTGGTTTGAAAATTTAAAATAATATAAGCTGAATATTTTCACTCACAATCAATTCGTTTATTCTTCTGTTTTACGTTGAATGACTGCTGAAAATGAAACATGCACGCTGCGTTCCAAACATGCAACTAGCTGGTACGTGAAAAAATAAGGAACCGATAATTATTGTGCAGTGAATTTGGTGGGTGTGTGGGTGTGGGTGTGCATGATAGGTATCAATAGCCACATCCACATCCACATCCACACCAACCGCGCAAAAAAGCCAGAACATCTCACCAGACTGGGGGCAGTAAAACTGATTTTATGCTGAATTAATTATGTGTTCAAAAGAAAATCAATGACTCAAAACATAGATTATTACATATTGATTTATTTTTATTATTAAAAATAACCATCCAAAAAAACAAAAATATAAATGAAATCGAACATACTCATCTTAATAAGGTCTATTGTTTTTCTTATTTTGAAAGCTATCGATCTTAAATAACGGGTGTCCCAGGAATAATGAGCCTCTCAGTATTTTACTGACATCTTTGTCAAAACTAGTTCGCTCGGGGTTAATTTTTTCTCAAAAGATTCGTCTTTTCATTCTCTACAAGAATATATACTTCGTATTTCATTCGAACGTATCTTGTCCTCAGTATAAGATGAAATGTAAAGATCTTCAACAAGTTGTTTTTCGCAAATACGAAGATGGTGATGGTCCTACCAAGATCTTTCGCGATTTAAGTGGCTCTTTAGGATTAGCTACCATAAAAAGATGGTGCAAGATGATCCGTGACACCGGTTTTATCCAGCTATCAAAACCACCGGGTGGTCCACGTTTTGCTCGAACCAGTAAAACGATTCAAAAAGTCAAACACAAACTCAATCAAAAGAAGATGGCATCAGTTCGGAGTTTGGCTAAGGACTACAGTATATCCAAATCCAGTTCACATCGAATATTGAAAGAGGATATGAAACTCTATCCCTACAAAATGAGAATTGAACCAAAACTTACGGAAGAACACAAAAACAAACGAAAAAAATTTGTTAATTGGGTCGGGCATAACTTTCGAAAAGAGGACACAATGCGCATCTTATTTTCAGATGAGAAAATATTTGATCTCGACGGTATGTACAATTCCCAAAATCAACGTATTTGGGCTGTTAGTCGAGATGAAGCAGATGAAAAAGGTGGCATCAAAGTGAAACAGAAATTTCCTCAAAAGGTCATGGTCTGGCTTGGCGTTTGCTCCAAAGGGGTGACGCCATTAGTCATTTTTGACTCAGGAACAGTAGATCATGCTGAATATATCCAGAAAGTCCTTCCAGTTGCACTTAAGTATGGAAATAAGACTTTTGGAAAACATTAGACATTTCAGCAGGACGGTGCGAAACGCCATATCCATCACCTAACACAAACATGGTGTCAGGATAACTTTCCATCGTTCATAGATAAAGATCACTGGCCACCGAATAGTCCAGATTTAAATCCATTGGACTATTGTATCTGGGATGAATTTGCGCAGTGTGTCAACTGGAAGAAAGTGACATCAAAAGCCACACTGATTGATGAATTAAAATGTGCAGTCGAAAAAATTCGACAAGATGTTGTGTTGCAAAGTTGTTCTTCTTGGACTGCTCGTTTAAGTCGTGTTTTAAAAAATGGTGGAGGTTATTTAAAAAAATAAATATATGCCATCTTGTAGAGCTTAAAAAGACCTAGCTTTTGAAAAAAAAATAACCTTGAACAAACCAGGTTTGATGGATATATCAGTAAAATACTGAGAGGCTCATTATTCCTGGGACACCTGTTATGAAAATTCATTAGTAATAAATCAATACAATAGTCTCATGAAACTTGTTTTCGTCACAGATCAATGAAGTCAATTTGAAAATTATTAATAGAATTTCTGAAACATTTAATACTTGCAATCATTAATTGTTTTCTGCTATGTTATTATTTTAGGTCCTGTTCCAAATATCATGTGGACGTAATTTTCCATTCCACTGATCTAATTGTTAAAAGTTAACAAGTAATATGACTTTGTTTAGGCAATACTCAACATTATTATTAATATTTTGACGAATAATTAGAATAAAATATGTACTAATGTGTGTGAAGTTTTATTTATTTCCTGTTTCTGTGATTCATCTTTCATGCACCATGTAAACATTTGTTCGGTTTTTCTTTATTTTTTCTTCCTGTTAGAAAAATTCTCTTCGTTTTGCTTTTATGTTTACGACTGATCAAGTGTTGTTGACCAATTGCTTATTTATTAAATAAATACACTCGCAATTTTTTATTTAAAAAAAGACCCTAATGCTACACACAATGAAAAAAACCAATCACAATAATCAGTTTCAAATATGTTATTCTTGTTTGGCGGACTTGCTAACAAGTTTAGGCCGAGCTGATGTTTGAATCATTAGACGAACGCCAACAATACCTAGAAAAAGATAATTATAGTTGAACCATAATGCATAATTAAGAATGTTTGTATTCATTTATTCATTATGCAATGACGTAAAATAAGACTTATCAAATAGAAACTACTTAACTCATAGCAACATATCTAAATACGACATCGTTGAATAGTAAGATGTATTGAACTTTTAGATTTGCATTTTTGTTGATAGTTTCAAAACAAATAAGACTGATAAGTGAATGCACTCAACTTTCTATGAATTAGTTATGTTTTAGATTTATTTTGAAATATTTGTATGACATAAAGAGTTATGTTATTTTTCTAAAACTTTCAATTGATTTATTAAACACTTAGATGAATTATTGTTTTCGATTGAATATAAACTAATGAGATAGAATTTAGATAGCAAGTCTGACACAACTCGAAATAAACTCATGTCTATAGATCAAACTTTGGAATACCAATACATGAAAAATATAATGATAATTTAAATCTGTTCTCGTGTTTGCCATAAAAGTAAAGATAAATTAATATTAAGAAATCTCTTATTTCCCTGGAGAAAATAAATATACTTGATGATTACTATAATAAGTTATAAAAAAGCAACATATTTTCATCTTGTTTATCCATTAGATGCCTGTTTACACTAACTAATTTTTAATTACCTGCCATCACAATAAAAAGAAAAATAATTTGTGAAAGAATCAATGTTTTCTTTAGCGAGCGAGCAAGGGGCATTTTGCCCTCCCAGACATAACGTTTGCCCTCCCGAGAAAAATGAAATAAATAAGTAACTTTTATATAATTGTATTTATGTCACTCTGTAAGATTGCTATTTATCAATAGAATGCTATAATGAAACTATCTGCGATAGATCGTAGATAAATTTGTAAATTTAATTTTCGATCACTCAGACCTATAGAAACCGATCAGCTTATCAACTCGTTTTTGCAATAGGTTAAAAAGCGATTTAGTTCTATGTTTTGTTTTACGAAATTTTTTACAAAAGAAAATGAATATATATTTGAAGATGATGGTTCGGATTGAAATCTAGAGTTGAACGAAATTAGTTCAGAAGTTCGTCTCAAATAACCGAATGCTGGCTGATTTAAAGCGAAAAAAATAAACAGAAAAGTATAAAACTGCAATGCTAGAATAATAAGATTCATTTGAAAATTTTGTGAACATATTTTATCACTAGTCAATGAAAAATCTAACAGGATATGTTCAACCAATTAAATCTGGTGTGTGTCTGTCTTGTTTCAACGAATTGTTTAAAAATTTAGCTGATATTTTCCATCCACAGTCAAAAGGAAATATTTTATCATATGTCTTGAAGCTCCAAAATGAATTGCTTACTTTTTCCAACACTATAAGAAATGAAATTCTCTCTATGAGCTATGAGAAAGAGAACACCTCAAGTAGGAAAAAGTAAAATGAAATACTGGTTGCCATACGTTACAGTGTGTTGAATTCTTGGAGGAAACAGAAAGTGTAACGATTATATGCAGAGAGCGTCCAAATTCCATCCGGGGGAGTAATGCTCTCGTTTGAGTGTAACCTATACATAAGATTTGGTCTTATGGTGCCATTTATTCTCATCACACCTATTGCCTCTATCTTTCTGTCCTTTACATTTGTCTTTATCTATCCTTCTTCTTCGTTCTCTCAAATAGTTGAGTATTTAAGTGTGTGCTTTATATGTAATCGATGCGATTTATGATTTGAAGAGTTAAATGAAGTGTAATACCATCAACACAGGGATCTCTTCTATCAAAAATCGTCACAGAAAGTCACTCGGATGTAATGATATGAGTCATTCTCTCAGTTGGCATGTTACGATAATGCCATATAAGTTATATAAACATCAGAGTTTTACAACTTCATGCAAGCATAACGAAAAGAGAAATCGAAAGGATGTCGGATCAGCTTTATGAGCATAACAAACAAGAGGTTGCAACAGTGGAAAACAATGGAGTTATGATTGTGAGACAGAAAACGACTGTGGAGCTCGGTGAAATTCGTGATACAACTAGGGTGGCTTTCATTCGCAACACATATCCCGCTCAATATAATCATGTGGCAAGAAACATGAATCATATTAATTATCAAACGAACACAGAAAACAAACATTTTATGCGCGGTGGACATTTCTTTCTATATCGATATGTAATGATTTTTGCTTTGATTCTCTGCTTTGCCTTTGGCATTGCAAGCATTTATGCAAAACCATGTGCTGTGGTTCCTTTTTTACTGACCGTTTTATATCTTGCATTGTCAATATTCAATATTGTAGTATTTATACGTAATCGACCTGTTATTAATCCAATTCTTACTCGACAAGTAAATAGAGGGCAACTCGATGGACTGATTAATAGATTCTTTGACGTGCCCATTAACGCTACAGTGCTTACTGGAATACTTGGTGCTTTTATTGATCCAGCAGTTATTGTGGCTGCAGTGAGAAGAGAAAATGTTCAACTGACTAAAATAAGTGTTATGCTCTACGATGATCGATATCTATCGCGAAGCTACTTTCCAAAAGAGATTATTATTCATATTTTAGTTTTCTTCGTCATGTTTATTCTAGCGATTATTTTCGTCGGTACAACTGTTTCGAAATGAAATAAATATAAGGAATCTCAAATTGATAGATCCTTTTTTTTTATATATATAAAACTTTGTTTTGTTCTAAACGAAAATAGAACAATGCTAACTATCGTATGAATCTGCAGTGAATTAAAAAGAGCATCAGCAGTATTTTTAATTTCATATTTTATATTTGAAAGTAAACGGATATGGAAGAGAAAAACACGAACACTCACGAAATAATACAACGCACAGAAATATTCATCAATTTTTTTCTATGTTCAACCGTACATTTCAGATCTGATCCGTATGACTTGATGGATCTGAGAATTAATGGATTGAGATGACATCGAAGTGTGTCAAAACATTTTGAAGATTGTTGGTTTTAATCCTTAAATACAAGGTAAATTTATGAGTATTGGCAATAAAAACTAGAAAATGTAAAAAATATTTACGGCTATTCTCGTGAACATTTGCGTAACTGTAGAAAGTCATGGTATCAGTTTATTTGGCCAGAACTCAGCATGGTGCAGTAAAAGTGTCATTCTGATACGTTCTCGTTGTCTTTTCACAATGACTCATATCACATTATTTTTTTTTCTTTATCTCGCTGTATTGACCTTATTTCACTCGATTGTGAAATAATAATTTTGAAAGTATGAATACAAGACAGAAATAAAGAGGTTTATTTGTACACACACATATTTACCAAATGCTTTGTATCAAGCGAGACTCAACGACAGCCGATGGCATGCCGTATGTGCTTCTAAAGAAGGTAATTATTGAAGCAAAAATTTATTCATTAGATGCTGAAGTAACTCTAACACAAATATTTTGTAATAACGAACATACAACAGGCGAAATGATTTATTGCTTCCCAATCAAAAGAGTTGGAGGAACTATTAAGTCATTTGTGGCACTCATAGATGGCCAACATATTGTTGACATCAAGAACGTACAACGAGACTACACAGATCAACTGACTCATGATACCGATGCCTATTCATTGGAAAGAGATGAAAATTTACAAGATAACTTTATCATCAAAGTTGGTACTGTGCTTCCATCGCAAGAATGTACAATTAACATCAATTATACTACAAAATTAGGAATTCTGTCAAATGCAAACATTCAGTTTGTCATTCCAATGATTGAGATACATCATAATAATAGATATGTGCAATCAAATTCGTATACAACCGATTTTCATTGTACTGTAGATAACATGGTCGACTACAACCGACGCGAGATCACTCAAATTACTTCACCATCACATTTTATACATGTCGAGCTTTCAAAACAAAATATTTACTACATCAAATTCACGGAACAGAGCACTTACTTAGATAGAGACATTCAGATCAATATTGAACAAACCGAAAAACCAATGGGCAAAAGTGTGGCTGCTTTCTCTTCTAAAATTCTGACTACCAACACGGTCGGTCAACCATTTGATTATTATTGTGTACTCGACTTTGAAGCTGTATGCCACCAAGTAAATTCCAGTTTGAAAAGACCGGCACCCAACGATATTTGGGAAATTATTGAGTTTCCTATTTGTTTACTCTCAGCTGAAACTAATACAATCATTGATATCTATCACAGCTATGTTCGACCATCAATTAAAACAACTTTGAATGACGTATGTATTTCCATCACTGGTATCACTCAATCTATTGTTGACAGTTTTCCAACATTTGATATTGTTTGGGAACAAGTTCAACAATTTTTACTCAAACATTCATTAATTTCGTTAGCGCATCACAATTCTAGTTGTCATAGTTTTACTTGGATAACATGTGGCAACTGGGATTTAAAAACAATGTTACCGTTACAATTAAAACAAAGTCGATTAGATAGACCTAAATTTATTAATGAATTTATTAATATAAAAGAGTTGTACATGGAATATTATTCATCAACTCGTATTAGAGGAATGAAAGATTTGTTAAAAAAACTAAATTTAAAATTAGAAGGACGACATCATTCTGGAATTGACGACACAAAAAATATAACTAAAATCGCACAATGGTTTATTGAACATAAACATCCACTAAAATTAACATACAAAGAAAGTGGGCACAAATGAAAGCAGAACATGTGCTTGCACACTGAAAAAAAATAAGCACTCTACGAAACTTAAAAGGGTTCCGAGATTTGCAACGAATTCGAAACCATTTTTCTTTATCATACGGAACCTTCGAGGTTCTTCAAGGGCTTCGTAAAGTCTCACAAAACCCTTAAAGATATCGGAGACTCCGACACAGGTTTCATGAGACTATACGGAACTTTGAAGGTTCCGTACCACATCGCAAAAGGGTTTCGAATTCGTTGCAAATCTCGGAACCTTTTTAAGTTTCGTAGAGTACTTATTTTTTTTCAGTGATACACACCTATTATTTGTTGACGATGTGGGTGTGGATGAAAACACCTCAGGCCCACATATTCATTAGCTTATGTCCCATCTTGTGCATTTCTGTTATTGCAATATAACACTTTTCAAATCAATTGTTGCTTTTCAATCTTCGCTTCGTTATCATTCTCGTCTATCAGCTTCTTTTAAAGCTGTATACTAATAGCGATATGTATTTTATTGAATTGAATTCGAAATATTGAAGGCAGCTTTCCAGCATGACACCGACGAATATTATTAGTAGTTTAGAGCGTGGATTCGTTAAACACAGAACATAATGGTATGAAATAACACAGTCATAGATAAGCATTGATATCTACATACTAACAGGAGAGTGAAATAAAACTTTAGCGTGAATCAATTGCGAATGATAATTTCTCTACTGTTTCTTATTATTTCGTTGATTCATTGGAAACGCACTGAGTTTAGAATTTCAGTGAGATGATGAATCTTTATACTTTCTTTTTAAGAAAAAAAAGTATCGCTAATCCTCGACATAGCATGTAGACTATTCATGATGATATAAACGCCGTAAACATGGATATAATTTTCCGAATGAGGATTTCATTTTATTTGATATCAAGCAGAGTTACCAAACTAAAATAAGAATTGAAGAACCCCTGTTCGAACTTCGAAGGTCTTAACCTCGTGAGCAGCCATCCTATTCTGCAATGTCGAACATTCCAGAACCAGTGTCGCTCCCGGAATCAGTTCCGCCAATTCCGGAACCAGGTCAAACCTGAACACTGCCCGATTCCAGGAATTACAAAGTCTATTACTATTCTATCTTCTCCTCTCTTCTCTTACCCATGTAGTGATGATCCGATTCCGGCTCGGGATTCCGGAATTAGATGGAATTGGCCCCGGCATGTTCAACATTGCTGAATAGGATGTATTATCAACCTCGTCGGCTGCCAAATCATCGAATTAGGTATCCGGTCAGTAGTAATCTTGGAGACATTTTGCATTTTTCTTTCTCCACCTGCTTTTCGTTGAGGCAACCACATGTAGTACAATCTTCACCAAGTACATGACTTCAGTTCGGAATCTAAGCATACGAGGTCACAGCCTCTTGGATCATCTGGGCAGGTGCCTATATTTGGAAAACGTTATGGACTTATATACATTCATAGAAGGCATTGTTACTGCGCCTCACGATTTTCTTACCTTGAGCTGCCGATAAAGCAACGATTGCTATAAGCAAACCCACTATAATGAAAGAATGGTGGTCGGGCGGAACATACTTTATACTGTTCACTTGGAAATCGACGATCGAATTCTGATGCTTTGATTGTCACTTTGTATATGTTTGTCAGCGAAGCTGGGATCTTCTTATATACCTACGCACAACATAATTTCGAATACGGAATCATTCATCGATTCATAACAATGCACCAGAAAACGAAACTCGTAAGCATCCATCTGTATAATTAATACCATAAATTTTGTTTCTTTCTTTCTTCACCCTAATCAAAAATCACATATCTAAATACTAATTAGCGGAATAATAGCTATTTCCTTATTAATGGTTCTAGACTTCTAGTTGAATTCATTTACACTGATGAAAACAGTTGAATATGTTGAATATTCATGGTCATTAATTAATTAAAAAGTATTATTTCGCCTGATTTCAATGAATCTGGCCATTATGCGTTATACCTGCATTTACGAAGAGATTTCGAAAGTTTGATCGGTTGCTAATGCTTGTCACTGAACTAAAAGAAAACCAGCTCCAAATGAACTATAGTATCATAAACATTTTTTTATTGCGGCTGGCAAACTACGGTCTAATGGTTGGATCTCGTGAATGCAGTGAGATTCATATGGACTCAGGTATTATGTTTATTTGGTCCATATGGGTGTACAAACTGCGCATGAAACATTCACACTCATCTTATGTGCATAGTTGAAAAACCTTAGAACGAATGGCAGAAGGGATTCTAATAACATATATTTATTTACGAGCATTTTAGTGTGAACACAAAATCAGACATTTGAACTTTGCTGACTATATTATGAATATTTTATTTATAGAAATTTATCGCACTTTTTACCCATTCTTTTAGTTAACTGGAATTTCTTTGTTATTGTGACAAAAGAACAATTAATACGTTCTGAAGAGCACGAAAAACGAAACGAATCGTTACTATTCGTATGAATAAATTACAATTGAACGGTTGTGCTCTTTTTACTATTCATTTTATGTAATTACATCTACTCATAGTTGGCTGCATTCCTTTGACAATTTAGGCATCATAAAATGTATAATTACTTTCTCTACTGTAGTCATCATTATTCCACTATCAATATATTATCACAGCAATTCGATTTGTGTGTGCTGTTTTTGCATTCGATTTTACGAATCTGACTTAGAGCATATCAATTGTAATCGATCTTAGCAGTTTCGTTATATTAAATTCATCTTATACCACAAATAGTTTACTTTTGAATGGACCAAAATCTTTGCAATGACTGACATGTTCAGCATTCATTACAGAGTAGCAGTATAGCAAGTTAATAGAATAGTTTTATTAATAGATGTTAGAAGGAGTTATACATGTTTCATATGATATAATTATTCTTCCTTCTTATCTGTCAATGTTTGAGTTTTTCATTGAGAAAAAACAAAATGATATGCTTCGTTCGGGAATCGAACCCAAGACACAACATATGGTTAACCCTTTACCACCGGTCATATGGAAAACGCCGTACCTCTATAAGGGAAAATGTTGCCATATGGCAACATCCGGCTGGAAAGGGTTAACCGGGCCAGTGCTCTTACCATTGAGCTACCGAAACACGATTAAACATACTATTTTTGTTTTTCTGAATGAAAAATTCAAACATCGAAAGATAAAAAGAATAGTTTTATATGAGAAAAAAAACGACAAGCAAATAAACGTATTGTATATTGCATGGCGCGTGGGAGAATTTATGAGATTAAATGAAGCGATCTTTGTTTTTCACAAAGAAGAAAGAAAAATATTCAGATTTCTGTTGAAAGTAGCAACGAAATTATTTTCGATCACGAAAAGGTATCAAGTTTCTATAAAAGTGATGGATTGTAATTTAGGCAATAAACTGCAATGATTCGTAAGTTAAGACTGGGAACACGACTCGACGCACATTATCAATTGTTTTCAATTGGACATTGTTGAAGAAGAGAACTTTGTGATATTGATGCACTTTCGCAAGTTGACATGCTTTTCAATGGTTGGTTTGTGGTGAATATAATCTCGTGACCTTTTCTTGAACGTACATCTTGATCATAAAGATCGGTTAGTTCACGAGGAAAATCTCTGACTTGAACGTAATCTTTGCGAACATATCCGATTGTCGATAGATCTCGTGAATGCCATCTCTTGAAGCACTCTCCTGTATCATCTGACGTTCGTCATCAGTTAGAGATGAAATAATTGGTAGTATTTCAGTTCTTTTGTTTATTAAAGTTGTATTTACATTCTCTTGGAGGGCTTGTTTCTTTGAACACAATGATTTTTTTCTTAGACTTACCTGATTTACAGAGAGAATTTCGAGAGGCATACTTTGCATAGCTAGTTGAACCTAAAAAACACTAGCACACATCTCCATGCAATATCAATTATCAAAAACTTACGTGCTAAATAATCTTCTATGGTTTGAATCCCGTGTTTCTCTGGTTTGAAATAGATTCGATCACCATAGTATAGATCTTTGGGATCATCAAACAAACTCTTCAGTTTTCCAAAGAGAATGTGCCTAAATCTGTTTGGCATACAACCATTTTTCACATCCATGCCACTAGAAAAGAAAAAATATACAATTTGCTCAAAAAACTAAAAGGTGAACTCCGATTACTAGGCTGGGTAGTCGCATTTTCGATTCGTTGACGGGGAATCTCGTTCTTTAAAATGGGATGATTCATCGTCTCGCACATAAATGAATGAACGTGGTACATATTTGTTGGGTGTCTTTTTTTTGCCAATGAACCGGTCACATCCCAAGCGAAATATTTAAGGCGATTAAAGTAGCCTGTGTGATACATATCGCTACCTTGTTCTTAAGTATATTTTGCATTCATGAAGCGATTTCATAATTCTCTCGTTGAATCATAGATTACAAACATGCCTAACGACTAATTTTGAATATTAAATATTGTAAAAAAACCTTTCACTCAGACCTCGAGAGAACTTCATTGGTTTTCGATTGAGGATGACTTTTTGCATAAAGAAATGTATTAATGAACATACATTCTCTTGATTGACATTCTTGTATGATTCCTGGTTTTGAGCTAGTTCCATGAAAAATGTACGTCCTACGTTGGCTCTTGAATCATTTATATTCGCTTTGGCAGGCATACAACATGTTGGATTATTTTCCACGCTAATAATTTTCGCTTGAGTGAACCAACTAACAACAAGAGAGATAGTTAAGAGAAATAGACGAGATCGGAGACCATTGATCATTCCTATGCAAATGACCAATTTAAGGAGAGAAAAACTAAAACTGTCAATCGATTATAAAAATAAAGTTAGCTAAAAATATATAGAATCATGGACTTTTATAGATGTGAAGACCGAAGAGAGACCGGAAGCGTTTACAAATTAATTTATTAATATATTCATTTAATCATATTTCGTTTTAGGTAGAAATATTTTTACGATTCCAATGACACTAGTATTTCCTCTGAAAATAGTAGAAACTAATTATAAATTCTCGCCGCTATGCATCAATTAATTATAAATTACAGTTTACACAGTACAATAATTAGATTTCATTCTTCATATATAACCATACACCAACTTTAGTCGTGAGTAAAAATATGACAGATAATTTCACACACTATGTGAAGTTTTTATTTTCCTTCTTTCATGCACATCAACAAACAACTGGTGTCAGATAGCTGTTTAGAGCTGCAGATAGTGGGATATGAAATAAAAATTCTTATCTTGACTATTACACTAAAGAAGAACTGACTAGTTGTGGATATCATTTTATCGAACTGCATTTCTCTAGTAGAATCTTCGAAAGCATGAGAACACGATCTTTAAATAGGATAGTACTTCTTCAATTTTTAATTAATGGAGCGTTGATGGTAAATAGTCTCAGTGTAAAAACATCAATTTTCTATTATCCGTGGTACGGCAATCCTGGGACGGATGGACATTGGATTCATTGGGATCAAAATAATCATCAACCACCCGATGATATCGGAGCTAATTTCTATCCAAGTCTCAGTGCTTACAGTAGTCGGAATGCCATTGTTTTAGTTCAGCATATGTCTTGGCTCCGATCGGCCAATGTGGGTATTCTGGTCACATCTTGGTGGGGTAAAGGCACACATGAAGATCATCTGACACGTAATGTGCTCGATGCAGCGCGCGAATATGGTCTTGAAGTAGCATTTCATATCGAACCCTACAGCGGACGTTCGGCTGCGAGCATTAAAGATGATATTCAATATATCTATACTAACTACGGTACCCATCCAGCTTTTCATAAACAAGTTCGTTCAACTAAATGGGGGCCCAGTAAGATAGCTCGAGGAGTATTCTACATTTTTGAGAGTCTAAAAATCAACGATGCTAGTTGGACACAAATGTTGGATAGCATTCGTGGCACAGTTTTGGATTCTATTGTTATTGGACAGACTACAGATATCTCTCGAGTCGATTCGAGTCATTTTGACGGGCTGTATACCTATGATGCCTATAATATCGATGGTTCAATCTTCAAAGCAGTTAGTGATGGACTCAAGCAGAAGAATTCAATTTTCTCTGCAAGTCTAGGTCCTGGATACGTCGATACCCGCGCAGTGCCAGGCTCGACACGCGACAAATCCCGTCAAAATGGAAATACCTACGATTTCATGTGGCAATATGCCATTAATGCACAAGTTGAATGGGTTAGCATCACATCGTTTAACGAATGGCACGAAGGATCACAGATTGAACCAGCTATCGTTAAATCGATTGGCAACTACGAGTATATGAATTACGAAGGTGCCTATGGGAAAACTGGAAGTGACGCACAAAATGCTTATCTTAATCGAACTGCCTATTGGATAAACCTCTATGAAGGCTTATGAAACCCATATGATGCAAAAAGTTTTCTGTGTTTTTCATAACCTACCATGCCAATATACGTACGTTGCTACTGCGATTTTCTCTATTATATGTTACAACTATTGTGATCAGTTTGAAGTTCTACAAAAAGGTTTCTCCTTGTTTTGTTTGTGAACAATGATCCATCGAATGACAGAATATCTTTTATTAAAAACAATAAAACTAGCCACTTTGACTGTTACGTAGCTAGTCAAATGATATAAATCCAGATAACAATTCAGCTTGTCGGTTCGACAACTGGTGAGGTATTTTTTTCCGTATCACATCGATCTTTCATTATGGCTCTTTCAAATCTTTCGTAGTTGACTTGACACAGAATCTCTGGATTTTTCTGCTCTTGAAATCTATGTTGTGCAAGATCCGATTCCCATGATTTAAAGCCGTACAAATTTTCACCTAACTCTGTCAGTTGAAATGTTTCAGGTAAATCTTCTTTTAGCAATGGAAATGGACGCAATGCTTCATCAGCAATGGGTGCCATATGTAAATATTGAATGATTCGCATTTGATTTGAACTATTAGGATAGTTTCCATGTGGCAAGCGACTATCCCAGACAAGTAAACTTCCCTTCCTTATTGGCATACATTGAATATGTTCTCGAATAGGATCATCCCAAGGAATCTGAGTAGTTGTTGGATCTGAACTTTGATTAGAGCCCAAACATACTTTATGATTACTTTTTGTCCACGCAGCTATATAATGTTGAAAACCGGGCACTGCGTGAAACCCACCGTCTTGTTCTCGACAATCGACTAACGCTAGTATGGCTTGTAGTTTTCGTACACGCATGCCATTATTTGTTGACTTATTCTGTGCTGAAAGAGGACCATCGCTTGGCTGAAAATGACTCTCAGCTGTATATTCAAATCCATATGTTGTTGTTCGACCTGTCAATGGATTCATATCTAAATGCGACCAATTCGACATTGTCTTCCAGTTCTCTCGATCTTCTGTTTTTCCAAGCGACGGGAAATAAATGTCTTTTGTTGGTCGCATTAAACCAGCTCAAGTTACATTTGTTATTAATTCATGGTCATCAAACAGTGTGCGAAATACTTGATAAATCTTCACATTTTGTCTATTATCGCATGCTTGAGGATATAACCAACGTGTATTACCCAATATTCCCATATGTGAAAAACTAGGCCATTTCGAATCCCATGTTTCTGGTTTATCACGATCAATATCTGGATTGAACAATTCTTGCAAGTGTCTCCACACGTCATCAACACTACGTTGGCATTCTTGCTCGGTTAACACATTCGCCACAACGACTATTCCATGTTTTTCGAAAAATGCTAAAATTTCATCTTGCTGTTCAACATTAAAAGTAACAATAAATCCATCATCGTCAATGGGAAGTGGAACAGGTTGAAATGTTTCATCGTCACCGGGTGAAAGATGAATTTTTTTAGGCTTAGTTAAATTAATGCTATCAATATCATTCATGAGAAACTAAATAAAAGAAAAGGAATGAATTTACTTTAAAACATAATCGTGAAGTAATGTGAAACAACATTATAAACTTGATTTTCAACTCGAATGAATTGATGCAGTGAAATTACTCGTATCTTTTTCAAATCAAATAATCAACTTTACTCAAAGTTCTTCACTGATTCTCAATTGATTGAATCAACAAATACCCCTACCAATATACTAATATGTAAACTACATGAACGTCATATCGAAACTTTGACCTGTCCAGAGAATGAAAACTCTTACATGAAAAGATACTACTACTGTACAAGTAAATGCCGAGGTGATGATTCCGATGATAATAATGAGAGGAGATGCTCTTCATAAAAATAAGTTCTGAGTGACTGTAAGCATGAAAGACGAGAGAAATAGAGTTGACATTAACGTGGAAAAAACCAACCATGATTGGCACATATCAGTGAAAATAAAATAAAAACACAGTAGAAGTTTTGAGAGGATGAAGAACAAAACCAATAAAAAGTGGCATGAATAGGTAAGGATAGTAGAGTGGCATCTACTTTTGTGTATATAGGTGAGACAATTAAGAAAAACGTTTTTCATGCGGCAGTCTTCATTTTCAACCCGAAAAATACTAGATTTGTAAAGATTTAATCCAATATGTAGAAATCACAAATTTTCCATTAACATTTCAGCGCTTGTTTTCTTTTTGAGATTTTCAGAAGACTCGATTAAATAAGCAGGTATATAGACTTGATAGTGGGCAGTCAGGTGATATGCAATCATATTTCAAGATTTGAAACTGATCTGTATGTGAGTGTTTTATGGCTCTATTAAGACTTGATATTTTTTGAAAATATTCCTTATATTTGTACTTCAAAATCAATAACAGCTCTATTTATCGCTGCTCTAGTATATTGTTCAAATCGTGGAAAGATTTTACTCAACATCCAGTTACACGCGGAGATTTACAAAAAGGTTGAATTCATCGTATCGTTGAAGCACGAGTTCCTTTAAGTTGATTCCACTTATTAATAAGACATGCACAATTAGGAATAACGCAAAGAATAGTATATGAGCCTAGAATAAACTATTTTCTATTTAAAAATTTTGGCTTATTTGAGAAGTATTACGGGCCTACCCTCACATATGTTATAATCTTGTCTTTTTCTTTCATCTAGTCACGTGCCACATCTATCGATGTGATATATTTATATATATATAAATATATAAATATATTGATGTTGTTTTCTTGAAGGAGGAGAGGCGTGTGCGTTGTTTTGTTGTTTTTCCTTTTTGTTTATTGTGAAGTTAGTCAGTGATCGTTTTTTTTCAATAAAGAGAAGGGTAAAAATATCACTCCTAATAAGAAGAAAGAAATTTGAAGAAATTTTTCTATTACTCCTTTAAAATGTAACAACTTTAATTTACTTCATTATTGTTTATGAACTGTAATTGGATGAGGTACTTAATCCACTCATGTTGTTAATGAAAACTATGGGTGTGATCTTAGGTATTTCTAAAAATGGCTGCATAAAAATAGTATACAAGCACAACTACATGTATAATATGTCTTCGCGTTCGTATCTAATTTCATACTCATACATCAATTTTATTCAGTATTGATTCATTGTTAGAAGCCTGTGAATGATCGCAGAATAACAAGGTTTGATGATAAAACTAGTATTAGCACAAATTTTAAATAATGTTATCTTATTTTCAACGAAAAGTGCTTCTGATTTTAAGTTAATCATCATACATAATAGTCACGCGATATGGCCGTTGACTAATGGCAAAAGTGTTTTCAAAGAATGGCGCGGGAACTTTGAATTGAAAATAGATAGTATCAACAAACCAATCCACTAGATAACCTTTAGCAGCAGTGTGACCGGCGCCAATAAATATGTTTGGTCCATGTTCAATCAGAGGAATCACTGCAACTATTTTCGACGAATCAAGACCATGACGAAATCTTCCCATTATTTGAACGCCAGCTTGGGATAGTTCACCTGTATAGAATTTCGTTTGAATGTGACATAACACATTTTGAAGTTGAATGAATAAAACTATAAGGAATAACGAAAAACTAGTGGTGTGATTAACTTATTTTTGAATTGAATATACTAGTCAATAAAAACAAGGATCGATTCATTTCAAGTTTTTTCTTCTATAAAATACACAGCTGATTCAGATACAATTAATATAGTTACTCTTTTATAGTCACTATTGAATCTAAAAGTACAAGTTTATTTCATCATTTTTCCGATTCAAATCACACATACAGTCATTAGTCTGAGCTGTAGTAACAAACGTTTTGGAAAGACAGAGTAGAAACTCTGAAGAAGAATCTAATAAGTCTAATTGCCATCGTGAGTTTTGCTGTTTGGGCTCCCTTCCAAGTAAAATCAATGATAGAAAATTAGAATTAGATACTTTTACTAAGCAGAGAATGCAGAAAGAGAGGGAGCGAGCAGAAGAAAAAATAGTGATCACCATTGATTGTATTTCCCATACCAATTGACAGTCAACGAGCACTAAATGCTGTTGCATACAGATTCTTAGCAACAGCAAAAAATGTTGACTGCCAGTATGTCTGAAATGGTCAGAACATATAAATAAAAACAGTTTCGATACGTACTCGATATATTGTGTATATGAACAGTAGAAATATTGGTTTATTATGTCAATCAATGATTGAGAAAAACTGACCGCAACAAAAAAAATAACGATGAAAAAGTAAATGTACAAACATGAGATTGTACAACAGGAAAAGTCTGTGAAGAATGCATACTCATTAAAGTTTTCTAGCAATCATTTGGCATTGTTAAAGAACTATGAAGTCTACTAGAGATATTTCTTTGTCAAAAAAGACTACGCTGACAAGTTATCATTTCTATACTTGTGATAGTTTCTTCAGATTTTTCGTGAGCAATAAAAGAACTTCGTTGTCCTCTATATTGTAAGTACGCAAATAGAAAATATCTGGTACACACTAAGACATCTAATTGATAATGTAGATGAGAGTGATATATCATATTTTAAGGAAACTAGTTATAGAAGGATCGTATCATGCTTAGTCTAAACATAACTGAAAACTCTTTTCACTCAAAATTTAAAATTCACACTCTCTAATATTTGACTTCCGAATATTGCAAGTTATGCAAATAATGCGCAAAATGCAGCTCAGCCTAGTCTAGCACAATATCAATGTCGCTAACTTTTAAAAACATAGTTTCTGTATATCTTAAGTGTTATACACCAACCCAAAATAGTAGCAAGATAGGAGCCATACAAACATGGTACTTTCGCTCTTTTCAAAAATTCTTAAATCTGATTATGCTTTTATTTGACTCCTGAGTCTCACAAAAAATAATATTCAGTCAGTTATTTTCGCCTTTTGGAGAAACAGTCACCTATTTGCTCTTTCTTACTGAAATTGGAAGAGCGTCTGTTTGGATTTTTAAATGTTTCGTGCAAATCGGACGAGGCGTTGATGGTAAAGAGAAAACTTATTTTATTAGCATCTACTCCTCGTTCTGTATACTTTCAAGTAAGTACTGCGATAAATTATTCATCATTTATGCATAATACAGGATCAATTTCTCTAAATTAAAGCTCGAAAAAAACAAAATTTCCAATCTTGTATGTTAATATTGGAATACGCCAATCATTGTCCACGGAATTTCGAATAGATGACTACGTAAATCGAATACTACACGGTGTGCGTTCTTTGTTAAAAGAGACTTGATCGATGTTTGTAAAATTTCCAGTAGATCACTCTCTAATTTAAGTTTGAATGAAAATGAAACAATTCTTAAAAGACAATCATATTTAAGACGCGAAGACGCAAAAGAATACTTTTTTGTCTAAATTAAAAATATACTGTGAATAGGGATTTTCTCATCAACGTGGAAGAGAGAAAGAGCAAAATTGTTTAGAATACTTCGATGTATCAATGATAAGTATATTTATATAACTATATTGTTGAAAGTTATATGAACGTTTCTGTTTTAATTAATCATGCAATTATTGTTTTAGAAGCATGATAGCTGTTAATAAAAGTTGTAAATGGAAACGTCTTACTGTGTTTTCTGTTATTTCGATTAATAGTTACTCTTAATGATAGTTTCATCTCATTTTCTAATTTGTTTTTGAAGATAACCATCATTAATACAAATATAAAATTCAACTATTAGATAATATTGGACAACACATTGAAATCATTCATCTTTCACATAAAATTTGAGTGCAGCTGATTAGTATCGAACATAATCAACGATATTTTACCGTAAAATGAAAATTAGTGGTATACATATTATGATTTCTTCATATATTGTTTCTAGCAATTGTGCAATCACATGCATCAGATACAATAGAAAATTTGGCATTTTCAAATCAAACATGTATCTTGATCTTTGAATTTATTAATAATATTTAAAGACAACAAAAATAAAAAGAAGAGTTCCTAACATTTGTTACTGTTATATGAGTTATTAAGTAGTTCGACCCAGATAGCCATGTCGTACTGTTAGACAGAATGCATATAATTCAAAACTTATTGAGATTTAAAGTTCCTCAAACAATCATCAAATTTGATCTGTGATAAATTATTGCAGTGACTTTTTAGAAGTGTAGCTTTTACTATTATTTGCTACAGAGAAATCCTTGAATTTTTGAAGTTCTTGTTTTGATATTTATCTAGTCGGTATATTATTGAAAATAGTAGAAGTCAAGGTAGACATTTTATTTCAACTACCTTTTGTTTAGCGAAAGATAGTCTTTTGATATTGAAAGGAAGATTAAAACTTTTTTCTTTTCGAGTCATGTGACCAAATCTGCATAGATTCTTAAGATGATTTTTATTTATATAATTTTCTGAAACATTGCTAAGGAGGAAACGGTGGACGTTAGGGCGTGAAGTAACTTAAAGTTACTTCCAGCGGTACACTTCGAAGAATTTTTCGACTTCAAATTTACTTGAAGTTATATCAAAGTTGCAAAGCTACTTGTTCTTATTGCAGACTACTTGAGTGGTATTTTTAGCTACCACAAGCATGTACTTTGATGTAATATTCTACTTCAAGTTCACCGCTCCCCCTTTGAACATTGCAGTGCCACCTAATTCATTAAATGTAGATGAAGAATAAGATGAGTTCAAATACCTGTATATCTAATACAAGCCAGCAAGTGAATGCTGCTTTATATAATTGAGAAAAGTCCAAAACTTTTACATGCAAGTGCAACTTGATTTCATATAAGATAACAAATAATAATCATCATCAGTATTGAACTTACAACCAGCAACTCCATAAGTGTATTTTATTTCGAACAAAAACGCTTACTGAATATGATCGATGTCTCATGGTGTTAACCAAAACAAGCGTAACAACACAATGAATCAGATAACGCAGCATTGAAAGCGAAGTTTCGAAATATTACGAACAATTAGTGAAACAATTGTTGATTCCGATGAGCAGTCATCCTATTCCGTAGCGTTGAACATTCCGGAACTAAGTCAAACCTGAACACTGTCCAATTCTGAAGCAAGTTCGTCCGGTTCCCTGAGTTCCACGGAATTCAGTTCAATTCCGGAATTAGATGAAAGCGGAATTACGTCTAACTCCGGAATTACAACTTGTACCTTGGGTGTGGGTGCGGATGTGGATGTCATTGCGGGTGCGCTGAATTCCGGAATGGATGGGAAGTAGGCGGAATTTCTTGTAATTCCGGAATTGAGTCGGAAGGGATAAACGGAATTCAGGGAATTAGATGGAATTGGTTTCGTGAGCGGAACTGGTTCCGGAATGTTCAACATTGCGGAATAGGATGTATTCCCATTCCGATGAGGATGTAGTCTTCTTGCGTCAGTCGCATTAGCACAGTTAATCCACAGCTTGAGGATAGTCAACCTGATCAATCGAACTATTATTTCATGGCATCCCAGTGTCTCTCACTTTAAAACCACTGAATTGAGGGTACGATTTTACTTGGATAAAAAGTTGGAGAAAGAATATCAAATACTTCATACTGTTTCGTTTTAATCTATTACTGCAGTTTATTGATTCAGAGAGTGACGCCAGTAGCATTGTATTCACAGAAATCTGCAAGTCGGAAGAAGTAGCACGGCATGCACGCATGTTTGCGTTTCTTCCTCGAAAAGTTTACGTTGCGAAAAGAAATAACAACAATTTTCATCAGTACGTCACATTGCAATGACGTGTTTTTTTTATCAGGCAGGACGCTGAAAAAGAGAAACCAAAGTAAAAAAAATGTGTGTTTACGTCACTTCTGTTGTTTTTCAGACATCAACGAAAGCATTCTTTTGTTACTGTTCTCTAAATCAATTGACTGCCGCTATTGATCAAAACACAACGGTAGGAAGTATTCGATATTCTTTGTTGTAGCCGTTTGGCTTATTAAATTAGAAATCTATTCTTGAGAATACATCCTATTCCGTAATGTTGAACATTCCGGAACCAGTTCCGCTCACGGAACCAATCCCATCTAATTCCAGGAATTCCGTTTATCCCTTCCGATTCAATTCTGGAATTACACGGAACTCCTACGGATTCCGCCTAATTCCCAACGGTTCCGGAATTCAGCGCACCCACACCCTCAAGTTTTTTTTATTGCAGTACTTTTCAGTATATTTTAATTTTCTCCCAAGTTATAATAGTTATCGCTGAGATTTTTCACCTAAGATACTATCGACTACGGGCTATCTTTTGTGACTTTTAAAAGTACTATATCCAGGAATAATTTTTGATTCGTACCATATTTGATTTTCAGAAACCATGCCCACGCACTTTGGGCAACTTAGTCGGGTCAGTGAGATTGTATCCATTGAAAGTACTCTCGTTTGAAAGCGGGCAACAAAATGCATTGAATGATGTTCTCAAAAGTTTGGCAGATTAAATTTTAGCTTAGAAAAAGTTTCAACTTTTTCGTCAAAATTCCCACCTGTAAAAAGAATTAACATATCCAATATTTTTATTCTTTCACTAGTAGTAACTAGTGTTTTCTGGAAAATAACTACATAATTTGATAGCACTTAAAATTCTCTACAAATTCACATACGAACATATTGCGCTGCATCCTTCTGTTAAAATCAATTCTTGCACGATGAAAATATTTTTCTTCTCAAATTGTTATATATAGAAGTGTTGTATTCTTTTTTTCCCAATTTCTCATCCATATTTGAATAGAAAAAAGAAATTATTTCAAAATAAAATGCAAAGCGTAATAGAACATGAAATTCTCTATCATTGTACACACTAGAAATTGAATAGTATCAAATTAAAAATATCAACTGACTCTAGTCGAACCTTCTTGCTCATGCGCATCAGTTTCTTGAAGTTGTGGAGGAAGAAAATCATGTGCTATAGACAGATCTTAAGGTTTTCACAGACCAAAAACAAGAAAACAAAAGTTCCCTTAGGGAAGGCTAAAGGTTTGGCAGAGGAATGCAAAAGACATATACTGAGTTTTTAGAAAAACGTGATCAATATGATAGAATATTGTGCCAATAATGTATGGACATCCTTTATTGTTCGCATATTTGCGTTTTCATTTCTTTGGAATATCCTCTGATCCGGTATTAGGAAAGAGGAATACATTATGGTGAGTGTTATGCAATATGCAATAGGCCTTGCATAACTCGTTACTCTCATCAATCTATCTGTTATACTTCTTAATGTTATCCATCTACTTTTATGTAACGTGATTACATCCCAGAACAATGATTTCTGAAGCAGTATTCCGTGAATTTCCGGCGAAAACCTGCAAGAAACTCGCTGTTCCCGACCGAAACCCACCGGAAATTGTCCGGAATTCGATGCAGGAATCCGGAAACCGTATCTGGCTACCAGTTTTGACAGGTTCCTGTCGATTTCGGCTGGAACTGGATAAATCCGGTCACCGGATCCTTTCACCGGAATACTGCTTCCATGAAATCTCCGGAATACCACAGAACCGGCCGTTTCCGGGACCGGAATGTTCGACCTGGAATCTTTAGACATAACCTACGTAATGCGCATATGCCTATTATATCTTTTTCTATTCTTCTCTCTCTCGTGTGCACATATATAAAGCGAGTACATTGTATTATACATCAGAACTGGAACAGAGTTGGAGAATTGTATCATGGAATAGTGTAGCTAATATCATGTACACTAGGAATAGCGGTAACGCTATTCTTCCAGTTTCTCTTTGTGATCACAAATAAAAATAAAAGCTACAGCAGTAACGAATAATCTCTTTAACAGCATCTCATATATCAACAAAATATTTCGTTACAAATATGTCAACTGCTGAATATTTTTAACCGCGCAATCATTCTCTGAAGTAAAACATATCGTTTTCCTCTAAGAACATATCGATTTCTTCACAAAATATTAAAACATAAGCGATGGATGGATGGGTTACCCTGTAAAAAAAAGGGTTTATGAAAGTGCAGCGTGTTACATATCCTTTTCTCTGTTTTTGAAATATCTGATAAACCATTTTTCCAAATCATAAACCTAAAAACCGTTTATTATCTTCGTCATATACGGAAAAAAGGGTTTATCATACGTTGCACTTTCATAACCCTTTTTTTGGTTAAATACCCTATCAAAAACGATTTTCCGTTTATTACTCTGCGGATTTGTTTACAGTGTATGGCAGGCTGAAATAGATACACGAGAAGCATGGTAAAAAAACTCCTATATAACCGTCGCGCGCAGTATTGAGAAACATTTGTCTTGAAATAACTATTATTTATACAAAATAAGCTTGATGTTTCTTTTTGTGTTTTAAGGCCAGTAAAAAATAGCACGATATTTGAGTATCTCCAGTTCCAATTCGCTCTTTGACCTATGTTGGTTCTATATCAGGTTTGATTCAATAGAGAAGTTCTACCTATAGCAAATGGGAATAAATTCAAGAAATATTCACTTTTCCCCATTGAACTCATAATGCATTAAAAACTATTATCAGGGAATCCCATGGGAATCTGGTGGAAGTTCCAGGAATACCTGATGTAGATGTCAGAAAAATACTGAAATTATAACTTATGCTGACGCATAACAAATATCTGTTCATCCATTTAATATTTTGGAACCCATGCCTTTAAGAGAACTATGTAGAGGTGTGGAGAATAAGGGTGTGAGTGTAAATGTTTCGTGAGCATAGAAAGAAGACGCAGATCCAAACCCTAATTGATATCGTTTACTGAACATTTTGGGCTATAGAAGCAATTTCTTTCTACCAAAACAATGTGACCCAAATCATGACATCTAATTAGTATGATCATTTATACAGTTCAAGTAGGTGAGAAATTTCAAACGCTACCCACAATGGCGCTCGTATTGATTCATTGAAAAGGGAGTTGGAGTACAATTTTTAATTCGGCATAAAATATATAATTACAATTGAGCCAAGGGACTAGCTCTGAAGATAAGTTTACGAACTTTTTGTTTTATCCAATACTTAGTAAGTTGTAGTTTCGCAGTCAACACTAGTATTCCTACCCTGACCAATCATGATCTACGCGTTAATATCAATACAAAAAAGAAAATAGGTAAATAATCTATCAACTGTCTACCAAATGATAGGAACGATATACTAACCGACTAGCGTATATTGGTTTAATAAACAGTTCAGTTAATAAAATAGACATGGTTGATGGGGAAACGAAACACGTTAGCTCTAATCGATGTTATTTTGGTTTGTGCTGTCCTTTCATAGGCAAAGGAAAATGAAGCAGAATAGTTTTTTTATGTCACTAGTACTCATGAGTATCTTATAAGAAAATTTATTTAGGCTTAGTGATGATCGGGCTACTTTTTGTGCTGTGGAAGAATAAATATCACTCGACCTTCACAATTCAAGGAAAGCTTCGAGGTACCGATTGAATCTTCGAGAGAAAGGCATACAGCTAGAAAAAGAAAAAATAGACATGCGGAACTCGATGAGAATTTCGAATATTCGAGCAAAGTTCAGACAACTGAGTACATGTCAAAACCTGTGTTGTTTCCCTTTCAGATCCAGTAAGTTGAAATTTTCATTAAAGCTTCCAGAAATGTCACAAAGGATGGGAAAAGACTGTTTCGAAAAAAGCAGCATCAAACTTATCTCATGATCTTCTCCTTTATGATAATTTTAAAAAGACTATTTGTCAAGTTTATAATCTAGCCTTTAATCTTCTTTCCATATTCTCTAACCTGACGAAAATCATTGTAGCTCATTGGATCAAAAGACAAACTAGTACTTCAAATCTAATATTGCTTTTTATCCAAATCAGAGAAATATAGCTGATCATCAGACAAGATTTATAATTCATCTTCTTTGTCAACTACCAATAAATCTCAATTTCTCCTTCACGCTCAAACTCTTTTTCACTTGTCTCAAAATTGATGAAGAAAATAATATAGTTATAGATAGACAGCGTCTTGTCTTTCAGTAGACAGGAAGACTGTGCTGCTCTCTGATTGATTTAAGCATGTTCCACTATCAGATTATTAAATGAATAAAAGGTTACACATAAACTGCTATAGATTCATTTGATTTCACATATTTCTTTTATCTCATTAATTTATCTTATTCATTGCTGCTGTTTGTTATTCTACCTCGGATGTTTTCCCTTAAAAATAAAAAAGTAAACTGTCGTGTTCTCAAAATCAATTCAATATTCATCTAATTAGGTTAAATTCTAGAATTTTAAAAATAAATAGCCCTAGTGAACTATGTTGGGGTATGCTCATGAAATACATCAGCATCTGGAGTAAGAAAATCATGCGCTATGGATAAATCTTGATGTCTGCACAGGTCAAGCATACAAAAAAAGGTTCACATAAGAAATGGTTTTTCTCAATAGTTTAATGCAGATTTTCTGGCCATGTGATAAAGCAGTGAAGCCTTGGCACCCAGTTCTATGAGATTTTCAGGATTACCGTGGGAATCATAGAGATTAAATACGAATTTCTGGAATATCATTTGCTATTTTAAAAATTGTAAGCAACCATAGGATTCCCGGATTGCCGAAATTCCACGGGAATCCGAGAATCATGAATCTATCTTTTCCCCTTGTGGAAGATGATGATTGTGGTAAAGAGAACTAGTGTGTACGAGCGTATGGCATCATTTTTGAATGTAGACTTGAAGTGTTTTGGTGATAAACGAGCAATACAATCGAAAAAACTGTTTGTCTTCAATTCGAAGGTTTCTCGTCGTTACATGCAATTATTTAATTGATTTTGATGAACTAAATATATGATATTCAAGAACACATGTAGATAAATGTGTAAAATGAGGCACACTTGACTCTTTTTTATACTTCGTTCTTACTTTATATAATAGTAGACTTCTTGTGTTTCTCGTTAGATTCTGTCGATTGAGGTGAAAATTTTTTCATTCGATTCGGTTATCAAATCAAACAAACTTCTCAATTGTACACTAAATAATACTTAAGTAAAGTCAATCGATCTTTGTGAACCCAGAGCCTTTTTTAGGTAAAACATGGCATCTAACGATTCTACATTCGCTGAATGGCTGTGGCAATCCAATATAAATCCATATTCTACAACTGAAAAAGAAGAATGGTGTAGTTATACGGAAGAAGAATGCAGCATTATCGAAGAAGCGTATGTAAATGGTGACAATCATGTTGTTTTGAAGAATCACTACATCGATTTTGCGAAGGCTTTACAGATTTCTATACAAAACCCAACGCGAAGACGACCTGTCAAACGAGTAGTGCATAACAAAGGTAAAAAAAATCGATTCAATAAGCGATGATGGTGATGATATCATCACTCTGTAAGGCTATATATGTGACTTATTATCGTTAAGATTCTCCTTTCAACAGAATTTCGTTCTTGATTTTCATTATATTTTCAGAGTTGTGGATAAAAAAACAAGGAAAACTGGGTGAAGGTGCTTTTGGAAAGGTTTATAAAGGAACTTATCGAGGATATCAAGAAGTAGCTTATAAAGTTACAAAAACTCACTTATCTGAAGCAGCTCAATGTGAAACAAATATTCTCAAAACACTTCATCACCCAAATATTGTTCAATATATTGACGTCATTCATACATCAACACATACACTTCTGGTTATGGAATTAATTGATGGAGGTACTCTATTTAATTACATCACAAATACACGCAAGTCGACGAGTTACTGGAGCACCAGTCGAAACGTGATGACCGATGTGGCTTACGCTATGTCGTATTTACATGAAAAAAATGTTGTTCATGCGGATTTAAAGAGCGACAATATTCTTTTGCGAAATAACGGCACAGCAGTTCTTTCTGATTTCGGTCTTTCAAAGATAATCGAAGATTCATCATTCTATCAGAATGATTCACACACAGGTAAGACCCAGAATCTTATCCACAAGCCGAGGTTGTTTGCATCGTGTATGTCCAGGATCATTCACATTTGCGTTTGATTTGCTAACGTTTTCATCTGCATAACTTTACAGAAATTCATTGAAGCAAATTCTATTATTATTGATGGATCAACATGAAATTTAATCGATTTTTGCCACAGTATTTCTCCATAGTATTAAAAAAGGCTTCCATCAATTCTCGAAAAACACCTACACCCAGACACGTATATGCATAGATGAACGCATCGCCACCATGGAATTCCTTAGATGATTTCATTTGCATTCATTCTAGGAGCTATTCGATGGCTTGCACCAGAACTATGCTTTAATCATCCAGAAAGAAGTTCATTTCAATCCGATGTTTGGGCATTCGGATGTGTTTTACTTGAAATAATGACAAAGAAACTGCCATGGCAGGATAAATACGAAAAAAACACAACGCTTATGAATGCTTTGGCTAACGAAAGGAACGGGTCGATTTTCCAAGAGATTTGCCGTGAACAAGAAGCGCCAGAAAAATTTCGGCGAATCTTGTGCGCCTGTTGTACCTGGCCCAAACGCAATCGGCCAACCTTCGAGAAAATTATTAAAGATTTTCGTTCTATATCCAACAGTGACCTAGACAACCACAACGAACGGCAAGCGACATCGAATTCATCAAGTATGTTTCGCTCTTCACATCATGCGGACGATGAAAACCATTGGCGAACTATGTCAGCAAAAACTGCTGGGAAAAGGCAGGATAAATTTGCGAAGAAAGCATTGTACAGTTCTGACGACGATGACGATGATTCTTCAAGTGTCCGTACTCAAACCAATTACATACATACACCATGGGCAAAAGCAAGAGGTGCCTTAAAATGGTCTCCGTTCAGTGACGAGTGAACAAGCAATATCTTTACTCGATATATCACATCTTTCACTCATTATTAAATTAACAAATAAATAAAAAATAGATTTCAGAAAAAATATTAAAAAGTAAAACAAAAACTGAAATAATTCGATGAATGACTCTCTAAAGCACTACACGACATTAATTGAAAATTGTCCCCGATCAATCAAAAATTAATAAATAAACATATCTATTTTATTGCTATGTGGGTGTGGGGAAGAATTTCAGGCGACCTTTAGATGAGAAACTTAATCAAAGCGTGCTGTTGTGGGCCTACATTTTTAAAAACAGAGCTATCCCAGTCAGACAAACTATGAAAAAAAACGTGTGAAAACGCATAGGAAATTCAACACAAAAAAAATCGTAAAAAGCGTATATTTCTACGCGTTCATAACGCGTTAAGGGTAGTAAACGAACATCACTTCGTTCAAAAAATAAACACGTTATGAACGCGTAAAAATGTGCGCTTTTCGCGTTTTTTTCGTTAAATTTTACTTATGCGTTTAACTTCGTTCAAATATTAGCTTGTTACGAACACGTTAAATTCAAACGGACTTTCACGCGTTTGTTTACTGAAGCAACGAGAAAACATTCTCAATTACTCCCTCCAAATTTCAACCATCTTTTTATTCGTAGATACTATATAGTTTTCTAGTAAAAATTCTAACAAAATTCGGACTTTTATTGAGATTTATCTTAAACTATCGAATTTTGTTAGAATTTTTACTAGAAAACTATATAGTATCTACAAATAAAACGATGGTTGAGATCTGGAGGGAGTAATTGAGGACGTTTCCTCGTCATTAAATTATCGGATAAAAATCTGAAATCCATAATTTTTAGTTTAAAAAAACTCATATAACCTATCAGTCTTGTAAATTAAATTTATCAGTTTCAGATTTTTCTTCAGGTTATATACTCCGTTCATGAATGCAGTACTCAGTGGTATATAAGAAAGAATTTGTAGACGAAAAATGTAAAAATTTCTTACCTCCTAGAATAAAAGAAAGAAAATGTTTTACTTACTACAAATATAATTGTTGAAATTAATCTAGAGAAAAGAATAAATAGATATTTCTTTATGTAATCGTATATTTAAATGTTTTCTTATTTTCGAATGCTCCATTCAGCCAAATAAAAAATTCTAACATTATATTATTAATTATAAATGAATGCGCAAGAGTAAACCTGTGTGTGGAATAGATCTGAACGAAAAAATTGATTTCATGTTATGAACATGTTCTTACCGAGAATTTAATTATTATTCTACAAAGTCTAAATGAAAAAAATAGTTTGACTTTAATACGAATGCTTACCACAGAATTTGTTGTTCGAATAAATCGTCATTAAAATCTATACACAATTTCCAACACCCCCCAAATACTATTTCTATTGGATATAATTTAATCATAGAGAAAGCTGCTTATCAATTCGATCAATACCAGAATTCAATGTGTGAATTTCACCTTTTCCCAAACCTTCTAGAATCTACATGAACATTGTTTGCTAATATTGGAATTTGGAAACTTTTAAAATATTTTTGCTATCATACTGACGTATTGAAGTGTTAGAATATATGTTTCTTAAATTCTTGATCATCTATTAAAGTAAATAGTAGATATGCTGCATCAGCTTTACGCCAGTCGACGAAATTATAACTTTATCAACATTCTTAACCAAAATATAACTTCGACGAAAATAATCGTCGAAATTATTTTTTATTCAGCTATCAATAAATAACTTATTAAATTGAATGTTCTATTGTTGACTCCATTAGAAAATGTTTTTTGTACAATATTATTGAATAAATGATACTTATTGAAAAAAAAACCTTTTCTAATACAATCAACAATACAACATTCAATTTAATAAATTATTTATTGATAGCTGAATAAAAAATAACTTCGACGATTTGTTGTTGTCGAAGGTATAACTTCGTTGACCGGTGTAACTTTCACACAACAGATACATACAAAACACACTACATGCATAATTATACTGGATTACAAGAAGACTAAATAAAATTTCGATGGCATGAAAATTATATTTGAAGAAGTTAAGCAATGTGCAATGAGAACTCGTATGCTCTTGCATAATTAGAGGAGAGAAGAAGTTAGATATCTTCATGGAATGCCTTACATTTTTATGATTGTTTAAAGTGCAATAATGAATTCTAATGAAATATTAAAAGGTGATATGCGTTCATACGAATTTAATTTATCGAATATGAGGCTCGGGATTTTAACTAATCGTAGTAGACAAACTCCTTTCAACACGTTAAATTCAAATAGAAACATAGAAACGATGATTGATTGCTGAACACAATAATACTCGTCAACATTGAGCCATATACGCGCAAAAACGTCGAAAGACTAAAGATTTTTACGCATTTTAACGTACCGAGGGACCTCCAATGCACTAAAATGCGTTAACGAAATCGTTACAACGGTGTTTTAACGCTAAATTACCGTTAAAACAGCGTTATGATGAAACTTTAACTTGTTTCAACGCGTTTTTTAAAGAAACTTGCCTGACTAGGTAATGAAGGTGTACTGAACTTTCAGACTCATCTATCGTTTCGTATTTTCACGAATCAATCACCATTCATATTGTATAATTCACAACGGTTACATCCTCTGCGACTAAAAACGTCGATGAAAATAAAATATGTACGTTTTAGAACGAGAATGTGTATAAGCATTTTCGATAAAACGAAGATTCTCACCCACATCTTTATTTTAAAATGAAATCAAAATATTAAATTTCCCCATCCTCTAGTTTTATGTTCATTATATAGCACGTGCGACGCCTTCTGGTGTAAAAACACTCTTTTTCAGCTCTTGCGGTTTCTTTGGATTGCGTCAACTTCATTGCTTCTTCTTTTCCTTCCTTTTTTTTGTCCTGTTCATTTTTAATGTGTAAGCAACCTTGCTTTGTAAGGAACCAGGTTTTTTTTCTTTCTTTTCTACAGTGGGTCTAAATAAACAGCAGAATCGAATCGTCAATGAATAAAGCTTCGCAGAGTCGTTAAAAATTTGCTTACACGTGTAAGAATTTTTTTTCTTTACTGCGCTTCGCCTTGAGCTCTTTTCATTAGTGTGTTTTTTTTCTCTCAGAATAGTGTGGTTTAGCTTTTTTCCTTCCCACAATGCTAATGAAAAAGTAAAAAATATGGAATTTTATACAAAAATCAGATCCATTTAAAACATTTTTTGACTTCATTCGACTATGTTTTCATACGTTTTTTTATCTAGGTCGATTCAGAGAAAAATCTTCTCAAATGCTATCGTTTGTATGCAAGTCAAAGCAAATAAATAATTTTTTTAATGTTTGATGTCACTTGTCAAATAAGTGTACTGTGTATATGCGAATCAGTCTTTTAAGTAAAAAAATCGATGTAGTACAGACATTTTCATTAGCCAGATGAGAAAGTGTCGTTCATTTTTTTTATGAATCATGAATTCTTGCATGCTGACATTTTGAGTTCTTCAGAATAGGTTTTTCATCTCATTTCAAATACAATTTTTTTTCAGCACCCTTTTTATGACCATGAAAAACTAAATTTAGATTCTTCATGACCTTTTCAACTCAATTGCTTTTTTTCTCTTTCTCTTCATGTGCAGATTGCGATGTGATTTATTTTGTTTGCTGTTCCAGTGCTACATACTCATCAGCAGTACACCAATTATTTCGTCATGCGATCATTAATAGAAATCATACAAAACAAATTCATACTAATAATTATTCTCTCAACGATTATTCGGGCACAATATCCTTGCTCGTGTTCATGTTGTGTTGGTAGCAATTGTCAATCTTGTATAATCAGCTATGCTTATGCTCCTTCTTGCACAGCGACCAGTTGTCTTCAAGTTTGCAGCGCCAGATATTATCAATGTGCAGCCAATGCTCCCTATGGACAAGCCAGTGGAACGTGTTTAAGCGCTACAACTATCACTCCTTTAAGTGGTCCATACAGTTGCCGATGTGACTGTTGCAATTTAAACTCTTCTTCTTCGTGTGCACCTGCACTTGTTGGATATACAACTGCTTATTCTTGTTCTACAGGTTCGTGCAGTATTTCATGTAACTCTCAATATCCACTTTTATGTGTGTCGAATCAAAATGGCCAAACACAAGGCACATGTCAAGGACCTAGTATGACAACAACGAGCACTACGACAACTGGTGCTTGGCTGGGTAATGCTTGTTCATGTTACTGTTGTCAATCGGGTCCCTATTGTTTACCAACTATCAATGTGGGCAATACTTCGTCACCGTATTGTTCTATGTATGCGTGTACGCAGGCATGTCAAGCTCAGTATCCATCATTGTGTCCTTCTACACCTTATTTCGGACGAACTAATGGTAGATGCTTGAACGCCACAACGGGGAACACTCGATGTCAATGTAGATGTTGTGGTACCAATGGATGTAGAGGATACAATGTATACACTAGTGCAGGTTGTACTTCATGTTTGTCACTATGTCAGCAGCAAACACAGTGCGCCAACGCTTATCAAACTACACAAAGTTGTTATGAAAATTCATCCGTACTCATACGATTTGATTTTTTCCAGCTTGGACTATTTTTTATTGTTGTTCAATTTACATTTGTTCGTACTATGTGAATGATGTATACCATTAGATGTTCCATTTTTATAGCCTTATTAATAGATAGTTTTTCTCTTCCAAATAGGATTGATCTGTCGTTTATAAAATTTATAACAGTAACTTCAGTAATCATCGATGCAAATAAATGATTATGTAACCTTCGGCAAGCGTCCATTCATATCTCCATCTTCAAGTTCTGCCGGGTTCACTGAGTCCCGTGTATTACACACATCGATGATCATCCTTATATTACTAGAAAAAGCTCACAATCGGCATTTATTTGCAGAATAATCATATAAAAAATGCACATGATCAATTATTAGTTCACTAAAATACTTCCATCTAGAATAGATTATTATAGATAATTCGAAGTTTTGATAAATATAAAAATTTTAATGGCCATACAAAATATCATCCACAAAATTTATTCTACATTTGTTTTACTATTTTTTTCACAAAACTTATATTCAATTAGGCTTTTTTTCTTGTTCACGAGAGTTAGTTAGAGATATACTTCAATGTGTTATGTGTAATTATAAAACCAGTTTTTGCATTAAAATGTTTGATTCTACACGAAAACATTGTATTAGATTTGGAATTTTCGCTGAGAAATGGCCGAGCAAACTTCATAGTATTCGAGGCGTCTATTACAGGAAGATGCAATTGTTTGATTGATACAAAAAACAATGAAAGCTCTCGGAAATTTAATTAAGGACTAAAGTCTCAGCTGTTCACATATACCTTCTATAAAAACAGATGTCACTTGTTTCAGATGAGTACGTCGCAGGAGAAATATGATCATCATCAATTTAAATAAATAGAGACAAAGAAAATATTCTTCATCTAGTTTAGATACTGTCTAATACTTCACTTACATAAAACAAAACAGTATCGGTGCTAAATGTCAAAACAGAATAAATATTGTCATCATTGCAGTGGAATATACACAGAGAAGAAAGGCAAAAGGTTATTGGGTGTTTTTGTCAAAGAAAATAATACTCGATGATGACAATCTTATCTTTGGACTTCCTCACAGAACAGAATCAACTAAAGAAAAACGCGGGCTCGCCTATCGTTTAATCACTTCGTATGCATTTGCTTCTTTTTTTCTACAACAACAACAACAACAACAAGGAGAACAATGCTGCTATTCACATGTTTCGCTGTTGTTTCTTGTGTTCTAGTCCTATATTTTTATGTAAAACGTGCTTTTTTCACGTTGTATGGTTCTATACCTGGCCTACAACCTCAATTTATTGTTGGCAATTTACTACAAACAGGTATTATTGGACAAAATGCTCCGATGAATATTGTATTTCTAAAGCTAAAAGCGAAGTTCGGTGATATATTTCAATTTTGGCTTGGTTCTACTCGTATCATCGTTGTGAATTGTCTTGAAGATGCACAACACATTTTCACTCATCGACAAATCTACGACCAAGGAGACATATTTGTTGAAAAGCTTGGTCTTGTCAATCCTAATGCAGTTTTATGTTTGCGAGGTTAGATAACATACTTCTAATCCATGTTTTCAATTGAGTTCAGTCACACTGGAAACTTTGCTGTGTGGTGACTTTTTGAAAGCTGGCAAGATCACGATTTTAATCACCCGTTTATTTTTTTAATCAATTTCTCATAGGAGCCAAATTCAAGCGTCATGCGAGTATTGTTAGTCCATTGTTTCGTGGAAACAAAATTAACGTACACTTAGATGCAATCCTAGATTGCACAGACAAATTATTGATGCGGTGGCGAACTTATAATAATGATCTGGGCCAGGTTCATTTGAATATGATTGAGCAGTGTCAACAATTAACGTTAGCTATCTTTGGCGTTATTGCTTTTGATTTTGATCTACAGACACTTGAAGATGAAAACAATAGTGGTAAAAACGAACTCACTCGTGCATTGTACATACATTTGGAAGCTGCAATGAAGCTCATACAATTACCAACGATCATTGGCCGAATTTATCTATTTTTGAATCCTGTATATCGACAGGCAAGAACAATCATCGATCGATATTTGCAACGAATGATCGAACAAGAACTACAAGAAAGTTCAATGGTGAGAGCTGAACGAAAAAGAACTAGTTTGATTGCTTCACTAGTTACTTCATTACAACAGGACGAGAGAGCCGAAGCATTAAAAACTGAGGAAACTAAAAAAGGTAGTCATTATCATGCTCCGAAAGTTTCTGTATAAATACGAAATATTATATTTTTTAGGTCTATCCAGAGCAGAAGTCATGGGCGAGATGCTTTCATTTCTATCAGCTGGTTATAGCACGACTGCAGCTGCACTGGTGTGGTTTATCTATTTCATGAGTAAATATCCACAAGTTCAGGCTAAAATCAAACGAGAATTAGCCAACTATCATTTTCAACGTCTCTCAGTCGAAGATCTCGAGTCTCTCACATATTTGGATTGTGTTTTTCGAGAATTATTCCGTCTTGTACCACCTGCTATTGGCACAGCTCGGACACTTGTTATGGACGATCGATTGCCTGCAACTGGAGCCAATTTGAACAAAGGCGATCAAGTGTTTATTTCATTTTATAATTTAGCTCGAGATTCACGCTATTGGTCGGAATCGATTGATCCTGAAATATTTGACCCAGAAAGGTTTTCAAATGATAATATTAAATATAATAATGCAGCTGCATCGATACCATTCGGTGGTGGCCATCGTCAATGTATGGGACAAGATCTGGCTCGATTGGAGCTCAAATCTATTTGTGCACGATTCATGCAATATGTAACATTTGGCGATGGTGGTCCTTTACTTAATGCTGGTGGATTTAAGCAGACAGATACTATTTTGCCAAAACACATAGGTGTTACTATTCATGTTGACTAAACAAAATAGATTTCTCAACGGCAATATCTTTTTTTATTTCTTCAAACATCGTAGCTTATTAAAAAAAACGTAGACTATCCAGTACACTTACTCTAGTATGCCTGATAAACTCGGCATCGAACTCATTGTTTGCATCATGCAATTTGCATGTCTATTTTCCTTCATTTACTTGCATACCTATGCCATGTTCTCTTGATATAATTATTATTTTTGCTGTATTAACTTCTATATGTTTCAGTAAACCATTTGAAATATATATCCTATTCCGTATTTCTTCACGGATATTTATGTTCCTACAGATACAACAACATGAAGATAAGTATATATATATTTATACAATATATTCATATCTCCTCTACTTTTCCATTTGTCTCTCTTTCTTCTCTAGGTTAAATTCAAAAGGAAATGTTATTTTTCCTCTAAAATCTAGGATTCAGTCAGTGTTCGATGTGAATTTCTCTTCAAATAAACGCACTCTCCATGAATACTAAATTTAACCTATCAATCTATGATAGAGCAATACTTAATTGAGGCTAAAACATAAACACTGTGTATAACATGGGACCCTCTCGATTGGTCCCCCTTATCAATTAACTCAACTGGTCCCCTTTTAATTGACTCTCAATTCGTTCCTAGTTGATTGATTCTCAATTCGCCTCCCGGTTAGCTCGTCCCTATCCAGAAACAAATATAAGAATAATAGTAATCTATAAGGTGAACGATGCTATTGACGAGAATCTTGAGCTTTTTCTTAATGACCATAAGGGTGGATTGATCACTGATATGCAACTCGCGATTAAATGCGGACGCACTTTGAAGACAAAACTTGTTAAATGATTTTTTTTCTTGTTCCTTGTATTACTCTTGAATAAAACAGCTGATTGTTGAAAACCATCTGTTTATCAAATTAGTCACCAATTAGTAGCCATTGAATTGGCGGACGAATTTTATGGGGCGCGAATTTTATGGGGGACGAATTGAGAGTAACACGTATAACATGCTTCAATCAAACTAATTTCAATTTGCTCGGGATCATTCAACACAGATCATAGTTATCTATTAAAACACAATTTCTTTGTAATCAATTTTGACCCATTGTGTAGACATTGATATACTTTTTATCAGAATTTATTGCTCGAACGTATACATCATTTTTACTCACCCTTTAATATTTGCGGGAGTGTCACAATTTGATGGATAAACCGTAAATTTAATTTGTATGACTTATTGTATTTTGTGGTAGGCAAAATGATAAGTATGTTAATACACTAATAAATACTCTCTTATTTGAATAGCATAGCTCAGGAGAATTGCACTTATTTCAAGGGAAAAAGTGAGTACTCACTCTACTTCAAAACTAATACTATTAGTGTAGCTGGAGCCTATGTGGATTACGGGCGTGAGAAGTCTATCTTTTCTCTTCGTGAATTTTTTACTATTTTTATGAATCAGAATCTTCTAAACATCAAATATAACTGAATAGCTCACACAAAACAACGCTCGATGCAAAGACATCATGTTTGTTTTTACTTCAATTCTTCTGACTAGACTTTATATGCATGTCGTCATTGGAATTCTCCATTGTGCTTATCAAGTTTTCAACAGTGTTGCAATGTGTCCGTCCTTTTCGTTTAATTAATTAATTGAAAAATGATGAAAATTTTAGAGGCTCAAAATTAGAATGATGGTTTTCACGATTTTCTCAATGTTGAATAATTAAATATATGATTAAATCCTTTAAATTCAAATGTTTTGATATGACAACTAATTGTATCGTTTTGCGAAAAAGTGAGACAGACAAAGTTGTGCTAGTTGTAAATTTTATCATAGGCCAGTCTGATGCATTGTTTGTTAGATTTCTCATTTTGACATAATGATGAATGCTGTTCCATAATTATCTTTCTACAACGCACTGCATGAAGCTAGTGACTAGGGGTGCCAGCGTTCCCCGTTCCCAAGAACGGGAATATGTTGAACGTTCCCATTTCTAGGAACTGGCACGCGTAATAAACTATAGGTTTTTTAGAGATCTTCGCAGAAACCAGCAAGCTGCTTCATTTCTACTTGTGTTTTACTTGAGGCACTCCTGCGTTCCCGTTTTTAGGAACGAGAACGCTAGCTGAGTTCCTCGTTCCCAGGAGCGCAAATGCGCAATACATCCTCATACTTAGGAACGGAAACTTCAAATTGAATTTCCTATCGAAGGAATCGGAATCTAGAAATGTGCTCCAATTCCTAGGAACGGGAACGCGTTCTTGTTCTTAGAAACGGAACGAAGACGCGACACCCCTACCAGTGACACATTTTGTATAGACAGCATACAAAAAAAAGAATAAAAATGCAAGTCATCTGTATTCAAGCTTATGATTTATTAAACGTTTTCTTCTTCAAAAAATATGGTTGGCTACCTTGAATGCATGGAGCCAATCCTAAATTCTGAAACATCTAATGTTAGCATCATCCAATAGTTATATTTGAGCATGAACAATTGGCTTGATCTTGTTTCTATCTGTGTATGTCCGAAAAGAAGAAGAAAAAGTCAGTAATAAATTGTACATAGCTAAACTAAAATTAATTTTTAACACCAACAAAGTAATGTAAAATCAAGTACTACTGTGAATTAACTATCATATTTACTCTGCCTTTTATTATACTCATTGCTACATGGATATAGATGCAGTCAGTGAAAATTCAATTGATCAGGGCTTGAAAAAAAGATTATATCTTGTAATAGCAACCACATAAAAATTTGGCGCTTGAGATTTAGAGTCGAACTTATTCATATTTTTATGTCTGTCTTTTTTTAATATGGCAACGCCGTGATTTTTAATACAATCTATTCTAGATAAATACAATCGAAGGTCTCGATGTGTGATAGGATTTGAGAATAGATATGCCTAATTCAAATGAAACAATAACAGTAATAATAATTTCCGTTGGGAAAACAAATGAAAGGAGCACCCAACGCTAAAAGTCAGTCATCTTTTAAAACACTATCCCATGCTACGATGTACGTTAAGATCATGTAGCAGTATGATTTATTGGTAGTTCAGAGAAGCATGCTGATAGTCTAAAATATTTATTCGAGATTATTTTTAAGTTCGCAATAAAAATGAACTAATAGTTTATGTGCGATTTTCTTTCGCTATCGTTTGTTTGATATAATCTTTAGGATATAATTAAGAGCTAAAATTATTATATTTGAAAATTTCGCCTTGTGTCTTTTAAATTAATGTCACATAAATCACCTATAAGTATAGAGTGCATTAATAAAACAATATTTTTTTTCTTGTCACTGATTGTCAATATTTATTAAACCATGCATGTTTTCCTTATTTTTACTGACAGTAAAATATTCTGCATGCACTTCAATGGTTATCATTTAGAGTCGCGAAAACCTCTGACAGGTCTGTTTGCCATGATATCTGCATTCTTTGCATAATATCATTACTTTGCTCGAGCTACAATAATTTCTTTGTGAATTATTCAATTAGTTTATTAGAGAAAATTTTGAATGTTTGCTAATAATTGTTAAATTGAGAATTGGTTTTGAAAATAAAAATGAAAATAAATCATTGATTTAAGAATTTGGCAATTACAAAAACGTTTTTTCGTACTAAAATTTTGATGATTTTTACGCACGGCTTTACTCGTGCAATCAATCAAAATGTCAAGGATATCAATTAAATGAATGACATTGCAGTCCATCGTCTGAGGTTATTTCTCGATAAGTTCACTGACTTTGCTCTACTTAATGTTTTTATAAAACTTGCACGACGATAATAGTAAATATTTTGGCAGTGATTTTCTTTCAAATAACATGTGTACTAAGAACAAAATCAGGCATTTCTTTGGATAATCAGTATTTTTGCAGCTGATCTTAGCTCCTATAAATATGAAAGAGATCTGTTCAATCGTTTTAAACCCCCAAGATTATCTCCAAAGTAACATATCATTATTGGTAAAGCTATGTCTTCATCATCTAAAGTGGTCATTCGATTAATGATGCTGCTGTTGATTTTGCTTGTATCCCAGTCAAATGCGAATCAATTTAAAAGTGATAATATGTGCAGCATAACACGAGAGGTTTTATGTGTCAAACAAGTTTTCGAGATTATAACAACAACGGTTAAAATTATAGCGCGAACGATAAGTGAAGTTGAAACGAATATTGTAAGCTCAGACGCTAACATTGACACAGTCAACCACATTTTCAAACAGCAACTCTATAAAATTCGTGACCAGTTACCCACACGCCAATATCATACAAAGCTTTTAAGACTGAATAATATTAACAAAGTAGTAATTTTATAAACTTTTTTCAATTTCTTTTAACTTATCTTTTTCTTCTCCTCTATAGGCATATTTAATTCATTTACTTTTGGAAGCACATGATGCTATGAGTTTTTATTATAATTCCATTGATGATATATTAAATGTAAGTTTTGTATCTTCATCAAATGTTCAGCTAAAACAAATTCAAGATAATCTAAGATATGAAATTATTTGTGAATATCGTAGCGTGTTAAATGTTTATTCCCATGAATGGACACCAATTAATCATATAAATCGGTTAGAGTTTGCACCAACAACATATCCTAGTACTCCATCTTTTACTCATAATTATCAATCGATCTTTGTTGTTAAAATATTGAACGAATGGATGAAACTTATTGATTCAGTTATAATCAAGCTCAAAGCAGAAAATTTTCTAACTGCCAACGCATCGTAAATAACAACTAAACAACTCCTCATTCTATTTTATTTCATCTGTATAAGTTATAACTAAGGCTGATACCTTTTGAAAAAATAAATGAAAGCAATCCTATCAAATAAACTAAAATAATCTATTCAGTTAATATAAAAATAAAAATAGTTGTCTTGCTATTTGACGACTAGAAATGTTTTTCGTCTACTTTTTAATACTTTCACTTGAATAATCATGTGTACAATGAGTCTGCCTGGGATTAGATTGCCGCTAAAAACAATCTATTATCTTTAAAATCAACGTTGAATAAGAAATTCTTTTTCAAAAATTTTGAAGACAATTGTCTATAAAAAAAAATAGTAATTTAAGAAAGACCAAGATTCATAAAGTCTTTCCCAAATGAATATTGCACAGTAAAAATATGTCAGTAATATTATGTTGCAATTTTGACGTACCAAATGAATGATTTGTATTTCCGCCAGCATTCATCTTATAGTTTTCCTGTATAACTATACGGCTCGCATGAACACAAATTGCAACTTGTGTTGGAGACGGACAAGTTTTGTCTTCATTGAATTGCCAAGCCCTATCAATTTCGCAGAATATCATGGCTAGTAAAAAGTTACTATTTGATTAACGCAAATAATAAATTTTTACGGCATACTATCTTTTCTCCCTCTGATATATAAACTCACATTTTTCTAAATTAACAGTGTTAGGATACAGAACGAAAGAATTTATCAGAGGAATACAATGTGAAAGAAAACAGAAACGGTTTCTTTCTTCATTTGAATTTTACTCAACAATTGAAAATGATGCCCTGACGATGGTAGTGTGCGAGCGAGAGTCATCTGCGACAAACAGTACGCCCATATGGAATCCATATAGTGAAAAGACTACAAAAAACATTTTTTAAGTACATTTCACCATAAAATGAAATTCATATATTGGCAATGGTGCAATAATCATTTCGGGAGAGAGAAAGTTTCATTTGATCTGATTTTCATTCCGTGGACAATGTGAATGAGTCCATCAGTGCTTCAAAGTTGTCAATTATTGAAATCAAAACTTGTTTTCTATTCAAGTGATTGAATTCCCTGCTTTCTTTAAAATATTGAGAGTAAATAAACACTGGAATTTCTTTCTTTTCTCTCGAACTCAAATAAAAATGACGGTGTACAAAAAAACTTCGGAAGCATCACATGATTACTTTTTATTATTTCCAAAATACACTATATCTCGCGAGGTTTCCATTACGATTTTTTGACAGCTAAATTCAAACTGAAGATATAACATGCCAGAAAGCATCGCGAACCAAGACAAAGTGTTCAAAATTAAGCCTTTCGAAATGAATTATTTGATTTTTTCATTGAAAATACATCACACAGTGGCTCCTAATCTTGTATTCGATTGTGTTCAGTTCGATCAAAGTTTTCACAGTAACAAGCCGAACAACCATCATCTCCGATTTTAATTTACTTCAGAGTCATATTGACTTCCAAGATACTGTAGCGCAAAAACACAGGAGTTCTCTTCACAGTACGTTTATTCGGGTAAGTATTGACCTGCAGAATGTTTCGAGGCTCTTTCGAAGTTTATCTAGCTCTTTTGCTCATCTAAAACCAATATTTCAGATATTATCCTGCTGATTCTTCCACTTCATCATCGTTCTTCTCGTAGAAAGACAAGGCTTTCAGATCAAACACAAAACTGAAATGGGTCTCTCGTTCATTCATGGCATCGCTGTAGGAATAGTATTTACATTTATCATACTATTCACTAAATTCTACCATCCCTCACCATCCGTATCTTACTCTACCAACAACATCACCAATCGAACCTCAGATTTGCATCATGTTACTAATATTTCATATGAAGGCTATCAATTTTTCGTATTTTCTCATGAATCTCCCATGGTTCGTGCATATCTTGACGTCGTTCGGGATACTGTGTGTGGCTTAGCTCTTCGCACACGAGAACGTGCCTACAGTTTTGATAGTCAAGTGCGCCCAATGGTTATTAGCCAACGCATAAAAGGTTTAGATTGGCCACTAACTGGCATTACTATGGTTGGACAGAGACGACTGATAAATATCGAATGGGCTATCAGATTCGTTATTGCAAATGATGTGATGGGCGATTTTATTGAATGTGGTGTTTGGAGAGGTGGAAGTTCAGTGTTCGCTCGTGCTATACTAAAAGCTTTGAATAATAATGATAGACATGTGTGGGTAGCTGATTCATTTCAAGGACTACCAAAAGCGAGAACGCCAAATGATCATGATCATTGGTCGAAAATGGAATATTTAAAGGTATTCATTTAGGCATCTATTAGCGAACGAATAAAAGGTTCAGATTGGCCACTAACTGGCATTACTATGGTTGGACAGAGACGATTGATAAATATCGAATGGGCTATCAGATTCGTTATTGCAAATAATGTGATGGGCGATTTTATTGAATGTGGTGTTTGGAGAGGTGGAAGTTCAGTGTTCGCTCGTGCTATACTAAAAGCTTTGAATAATAATGATAGACATGTGTGGTTAGCTGATTCATTTCAAGGACTACCAAAAGCGAGAACGCCAAATGATCATGATCATTGGTCGAAAATGGAATATTTAAAGGTATTCATTTAGGCATCTGAAAAGAACAAGTTGTTATATTTATGCATTTTAGGTATCACTTGAAGAAGTTCAGACAAATTTTCGGTCATTTAATTTACTCGACGATCGTGTTCATTTTTGTAAAGGATATTTCGTTGATTCCCTTCCACGCTGTAATGTTTCTCGAATAGCTGTTTTTCGAATGGATGGCGACATGTACGAATCGACTATGGATCAACTCTTTAATTTATATTCAAAATTACAGATCGGTGGCGTTATTATCATCGATGATTATACAATTTCAGATTGCTTTCGAGCTATAGTCGATTTTCGAAAGTGGCATAATATAACAGAAGAGATTCTATCTATTCCAGGCGATGTAGCAGGCCGGTGTTGGATAAAAAGAAAAAGCATTCAATTACAAATGGAACAATATTTACGATTACTACCAACGACAAAAAGCTGAATGGTATAAACGTTGGACATTAATTTTGGATGGGACATCGGATATCCGAGATAGGCTTAGTAAAAGATGACATTTTGAAATTTTAATGAGATAAGCATAACTGTTCCGAAACATGGAAAATATCTGTTGATGCTCATTATTATCTACCGTAGTGCCGCTGTTGCTATGTGAAGAGTATTTTTTAGGATAAGGCAAACTATAAAATGAACAAAAAACATGTTGGAATTACACTTATTACGTTCAATGAGTAATGTAATTAATAGTCAAAGAGATTTTAAAAAGAACGACTTGCACTCTGTAAAATAGAAAATAATATGTCTGTCACAAGTTCTGTAATCAAGCAGTTAACATCTGGGGAATATAATAGAATATAAAAATTTTTTTAACGATCGTAAATGTAGATATCAATAATAGTAATCATGGGGAATAGAAACGATAGTGGCTGAAGATGAAATAACAGATGCTATTATCTTGACACCAAATGCTAGACAAAATTATATGTGTATCGATCTGATACAGATCGAATGCATATTTATTGGACCAGTGCCCAATGTGGACGTAGAGTATATGAAAAACCAGAGAGAAAATACGAGTGCACAATGCTATTACGATAGAAGTTACATCATTTTAATTTTAGTTATGTATATGGACCGTCTCTCTGGTCGCGTGTAAATCAATCGTATATATTCTTGAGATGTCAACACCGTCGGCTAACTACATATCAACATCGGAAAATGCAATTTGACATTCATTTAAGAAAAATATTCGAAGTCAACATCCATTCATAATGGAAGATATTCCATCATTACTTCTGAAAACGTTTTTTTTCTGCATACATTCGACTGGGACTTAAAATGCGCATCCTTAATCTCAGATGTGACCCCGCTAAAAACACGCTTACTATTTATTGTACTGTTGATATTTCACGTAATAAAAACAGAGAAAACAATTTTACTAAATAAATAAATAGCGATGTACTTCGCTAGTGCTCTTTTGATCGGCAGTATACTGTGAGATGGATACTGCCTAAAATTATGAATTATTTTCATTGATTGTAAATGAACTAATATTTTAATACGCTGAGCTCTCACCATGATCCATATTTGCGTGTCGTAAAAAATCAAAATTATCTTTCTTTCCGTTTTTGTATGCATATATTTCGTACAAAACAATTAATTCATAGAAATGATCAAGCTGCTGAACAATCTAACAGAGCTAATCTTTAATACTAAGCTATGAAGAAGTATCATCATTTAGCATTCGCAATAAATTTATTTTCGAATATCATATAACTCGCAGCAAGTGACTTGTATTCACAACCAATATTTTAAATTCATGTTGCAGTAGTCAATGAATAATTTATGGTGAAGAAAAATCTAGAAATTCGTATAATTTATCTCTTGTTTCATCTCGGTCGACGTGAAGAAAATTTATCCAATTGAATAAGACACGAATAAAGCTGATTCCGTTAAATGAATAAAAATATGACTGCTTATATTGTGTGTGGTGATATCGTTCAGCTGATTAATGAAAATTCCACATTTGCGATTTGTAAAGGATGAAAAATGAATATCTGGTTGCATTGAAAACTAACCATTGCTAATCGGAGAAACACGACTCGGAATAAATTACAGAAATAATTACTCGTAACTCGTTAACTATTTTCTTTTAAACAAAATTCGTGCTTCGCACAAATATCGTATTAAAATTTCATTCTAACGCGATCTACGTTACTGAATACAAGCTTCTTCATCGTTAAAAGAATATTGAAATTCTCGTTCAGTTTCTGCATCTGTGTATTGATATGTTCCGAAGAATAAAAGAAAAGAAATACATTTTTTCATTTCCTTAAAAGCTATTGCTAAGTCATTTCGACGTACGGCGTAATCAATTTACGTTTCTTTTATAGTCGTTCATTCATGACTCGAGAGGCGTGATGAAAGGAAGAACCAGCCATTAATATATCATGACGTTTTTTTTTCTCTTTCGTTTCTTTCCTTTGTACACTTTAAAGATATCAACATTTCGTAATATTCGACTCCAATACGACTTATAATTATCCGTGATCTCTCTCATTAATATATATATATATAAACAGGGTATCAAGTCAGTTACACACGGTAATTTCTCATTAAGCAAACAGTCATACAGTTCTGGAAGCAAAGATGTAAGTATACACTAGCTACTTGAAAAATTTGACATTCTGCAGTACAAAAAAAATAGATCAATTTAGTTTCTAAAATCAGGTATAAATATGAAACCATCCGTATTGTGACCTATATCTTTAAGCAAAAAAAAGCACGAGAGCTTAATTTGATTTGATCTGATAATCATGCAATTCACCTATGAATATCGTACAAAAATCATGAACATTACCCTTTAAACGCTTTAACTTTTTAAAATTTAAATCGATGCACTCCCTGTTCTCTTTAAATGAACTAGAGTAACTGTAGGAATGTTTCTTTTCTCTAGCACTCAAATAAAAAATATACTGAACGCAAAAGCTTCATCAAATCATATTTGCTGATCAGCACAATGTACTCGATCTCTAAATCTTTGCATTATGATTATTTGACAAATAAATTGAAACTAATGACATAATATAAAAGAAAAATAATGATAAAGAAGTCAAATTGTTCAAAATTAAGCGATTTAGTCTGTTTAAAATTCAAACTCACTTGATCCTTCTCATATAGTATCTTATGTTAAATTCAGTCCACATTTTTGCAGCGAAAACCAAATAAATGAAAGTGTTCGATTTTACTTTACTTCGAGTGAATATTGCCTTACACATAACATAGTGAAAGAGTGTCCTTACCTAAGCGTGACATCAGTATTATCGTCTTATCTATGTTGTGATTACTTTATTGTCTATGCCGTGATAACCTTCTTATCAATGTTGTGGTTACCTTCGTGTCTATGCTGTGATAACCTTCTTATCAATGTTGTGATTACCTTCGTGTCTATGCTGCTGAAGGACATTCCTCTCATCATTTAAAAGGGATGAGAAAAATATTTGAGAGTGCGCTGGCATGTGTGACACTTTACCCTACACTTCTAAATAAACAATCCGGTAACAACTAAAAATCGTTACAGAAAGGTCGAAAAACATTTCTATAGTGAACCATCAATATTTTAGATATTAACCTGCTGATTCTTCCACTTCATCATGGTTCTTCTCGTAGAAAGACAGCGACGTCAGACCGAACACAAAAACTGAAATGGCTCTCTCTTTCATTCATGGCATCGCTGTAGGAATAATATTTACATTTATCGCACTATTCACTAAATTCTACCGTCTCACACCATTCGTATCTTACTCTACTAACAACATCACCAATCGAACCTCAGATTTACGTCACGTTACTAATATTTCATATGAAGGCTATCAATTTTTCGTATTTTCTCATGAATCTCCCATGGTTCGTGCATATCTTGACGTCGTTCGGGATACTGTCTGTGGCTTAACTCTTCGCACACGAGAACGTGCCTACAGTTCTGATAGTCAAGCGCGCCCAATGGATATTGGCCAACGCATAAAAGGTTTAGATTGGCCACTAACTGGCATTACTATGGTTGGACAGAGACGACTGATAAATATCGAATGGGCTATCAGATTCGTTATTGCAAATGATGTGATGGGTGATTTTATTGAATGTGGTGTTTGGAGAGGTGGAAGTTCAGTGTTCGCTCGTGCTATACTAAAAGCTTTGGATAATAATGATAGACATGTGTGGTTAGCTGATTCATTTCAAGGACTACCAAAAGCGAGAACGACAAATGATAACGATGATTGGTCGAAAATGGAATATTTAAAGGTATTCATTTAGGGGTCTGAAAAGAACAAGTTGTTATATTTATGTATTTTAGGTATCACTTGAAGAAGTTCAGACAAATTTTCGGTCGTTTTATTTACTCGACGATCGTGTTCATTTTTGTAAAGGATATTTCGTTGATTCCCTTCCACGTTGNTGATGTTTACTGCAAAATTAAGTTTTGGTTTCACTGAAACGACATGTTCTTCTCTGCTGTTTCTGCAAACGAAAAAAACATTTTTTTTTTGTTTTACCGACAGCTTAACGGCAGAAGAGATATTTAGGTACATTTTGATTGATTGCCATGATAACTGTGTGAAGATGTATCCAACATGTTTTGGAAGAGTAATCGCAACTGGCCAAGCAATTGTTGATGCAACTCGTTGTTCGTCATAAACTGTCTTCGCGTGAACTGAGAAAATGCAACGAATGAAATTAATAAACTACAGCAATGCCAATCATAGTTCATCGATGAATTTTTTCTTAGCACTAGCTATAACTAGTTATGACAATCTCCACCAGTAATTTTGACTGTGTATTGCAAACAAATTTGTGTAGAATATTTTTTTGAAAGCTCGTATTTCATTTTCGGCATCTAAAACATCATACAGAAATCTTAAAAAATTTGTACTACTATAAAATTTCATCGTCTGGAATGGCGTTTGACTGTACATCAGAGGATTTACTATTCTGACGTTCATAGTAACACTTACCATGCACTTTGCACACTCGTCAAGGAAGGCAACAATGTCATCTAAAGTGCATCTTTTAAAACGCCCTCTCGCGTTTAGAAACAAGAAAAAAACTAGCAACGTGATCAGCGTGGCTTGCAATTAGGGGTGATTAGGCATTATTGCCTGTGAAAAAGCGTGGCAAACTAGCAAAACTACGCTTTCAGCTGCAACTAATCATTCTTGGGAAAAATGCTGGTTCCACTCAAAAACATCAGTCATTAACAGAACGGAAGAAAGCGGTACAAGTGCTCGGAAGTGACTGTGTCCACCGTGGAATTTCTGTTTGGTGAATTTCGCAATCGACGCTCTCCCTATAAATACGTATAAGTCAGACCTGTCTCAATCTATTCCATCACAAAATTATTTTCAATTAAAAATATGCCTGCTAATAAAGTCCTCAATAAAATATCTTCATCGTCAATCACGACTATCATATTATTCAATTTCCTATTCATTTTAAGCGTAACTCAATCAGATGCCCACCTATTTAAAAATGATGATATGTGCAACGCGACACGAGAAGTATTATGTGTCAGAGATGTCTTTGCGATTATGAATAAAACAATAGAAAGTATTTCTCGAGCGGCAATTAAAACTGAAAAACTTATTTTTGTTCGAAACCGAAAAATTTATGATACATTTAAGCGATATGTTAATTTCGAAATAGATTTCATTGATTCACGTTTGCCTAACGACAAGTATCATGTGAACTTCTCTAAAACTAGTAATGATATTCACAGAGTAAGTTCATGATCTTTCTTTCAAGGTTAATTGCTTATATTCTTTTCTTTTTAGGGAGATTTAATTGATTTATTGTTGGAAGGACATGATGCAATGAGCTTTTATTACAATTCAATCAATCGTATATTACATATGAATAACGTATTTTCATCAGAAACCAACAAATTATTAAATCAAATTCGCGACCATCTACGATATCACATGATCTGCCAATATCGAAGTGTTTTAAATGTTTATTCTTACGAATGGAAATCAATTCATCTGATCGAACGAACTCCGTTTTCAACGATAAATCATACCATTTCGCTGTCACTCATTCATGATGTTCACTCAATTATTTTCGTTCAACTATTGAATGAATGGATGCCAAAACTTCAGTCAGTTATGATTAACGCCGAAGGAAGACTCGTGTAACTATCAAAAAACTTGCGTAATTTTTTTATCATTTTATCTATATCGGCTCTAATTGGCGTGGATACATTTCTTCCAGCACATAATGATTCTCTTGAAGCGAGATCATTTTATTAAAGTCATCACTCATAAAAAATTATTATCTTCCTATTTAATAAGAAGCGTTTTCTCCTTTTACGAAATTACTTGTACAGTGAATATATTTTTGATTTCGGTATTTTTTTTTAAATAAAAATGCACTGCCTTCAATTCAGTGTCTAATGAAAGATTCTTGTTTTTTTAAACTTTGAAGCAAACCATTTACAAGTCGAGAATGAAGAGTCACTAATAATAACTAATCATTTCAATCGATTACGTTCTTTTTACAGGCTCCATCTGCCTTCGCAAAATCGATTGATTAAGCGAGAAAAAACAGAGAGTGTAACGTAAACATGGAAAAGATTACTCAATTTCAACGCGAAATAGACAACGATCAAAATTACACTATCAAGTGATGATGATAGTTCTCGAGAATACTTGTCATATAGCAGATATATGTTGACTAGTAAAGAGCGAATAACACTTTTTTGGATATTATTTTGTTTTTTTGCATTTTACGTACTTCTAATTTTCGCTGAAAATTTGTTGTAGAAAGGGGCATCAATCACGATCACAAAAAAATCAAGCAGCAAGCGAAAACGACTAATAGCATATTTATTTTTTCGTTATAACAAGAGTAAAAATATGAAAGTGGGTAAGTAGAGAGAGAGAGAGAAAGAAACGAGAAAAAAAACAGTATTTTTCGTTGTTTTTTAAGTGTAATACATACACACCTAGGTTTTATTGGCGTTCTATCTTGTTTACATTTTACTGCCACAGTGATCATCTTGCTTGTTTGCTTTTGTAGAAGAAGTGCATGTCTTGTATAATTGAGATAATCGATTTTGTATGAACTATAATCATAGCTTTGGATACTAATTGTTGATACTATGACGTTTTAGTGAAATAATTGTTAATCGTTTTTATGTGCCCAGAATTCTCCCACTTAATTTTTCTGTTGATAATTTAATAAAAATCGATGAGACTCAAAGTATCAAAGTTTAGTAGTTTATTTTCAAAGATAGAAATAAATTCGTTTGCACTAATTGACAGAAAAATAAGTGATCCTATTTTATTTCAGCTGTCATCGATATTGCCTACTGTTGGTCGGCCTGTTGCTCAAACGCTGAATTTAATTAGCATTTGGTACAGACATGTTTGTCGACAATTGATATCGCATAACATGAAGGAGATAAATTAAGCGTACATGTGTTCTACTCTCATCTTTCGTCTATTGAGTTAAGTTTAGTAGTTTAGCTGAGTTATTAATAAACTGGGTTCGATGTGGAGAGTTTCATTCTTAGAACCCACTCTTTAGATATTCTTACGGAGTAAGCAATAGGTATTGATTTGGCCTCCTCCAATATTCATGGAATTCTGTTAGGTTTTTTGCTCTTCAGGAATTTAGAAAAGCTGATAAGTGATGAACAGATTAAATGTGATACCTTTAGTGACTAGCAGACTTAGATCTGCTATCATAGTATTCGATGAGAATCATTTTCAAAACGACCTAGGCCTCCACGTGACATTTAGTACTAACGATACCAGAAACAACAATATATGTCGACTTTTTTAATGCTATTCGGCCTATTATTTACTTCTAACTGGGTTTCCAGACTATTAGTTGCGCAAGATAGAATAGATAATCACCAGCTATAACCACTTAGCAAGAGTAAATGCCAGCAAGGCCAACTCAAGAGCAAGCTATAACAATGAAACTTCTGATGAAATATTGTTTTCTTCAATAGATATAGCGAATGCCGGGAACGTTTTGATTACCCTGTCAATATGTTGATGATAAATTGTTGACTTTTACTGGCCAAAGTAAATAATGGTTCAAATAAAAGAGTATGAATCGTATCTTGATCGTTTTGTGTCCGCTTGAATGAACTTGTTTCGACGTTACTCTAATAGTTGATTAATGAGTTTAAAAATTCAATCATCTGATTCATCAATGTGTATGTCTGTTTTCGAATCCAATAAGTGTCTTGGCTCATGGTCAATTCCATCTGGTGAAGTTCTTCTATGAGTGCGTTAAGCCGTTTGTTAGTTGAAAGATTTCGCTGGCACGAAAATCGGTTGCACTTTTTCATTATATCAATAGATTGTCAGCGAGCAATTTATATAGTATTAGTCACAAACAGTAGCATAACTGCTGTTCTAACGGCGATGTGATATTATGTTTGCGAAGGATTTTTTTGTTTTCTTAATAGAAAGTATATGTTTTCACTTCATTTCTATGGATATTCTTCTTATTGAAGTGTTTTACTCGTGTTTTTTTTGCATGAATTCACATCGTGTCTTGATTTACATTATACTGTAGACATTATTCCTTATAACTTCCTATGCAAGAAACTTCTTTTCGGCGGTTTAATCATAAAAATTGTAACTGATTATATTATCGATATACAGTATGTAAAAAACTTATTTGATCACTTACAACATCGCTTTTGTAAAGTAAATTTCATCGTTAAGAAAAAACATTTTCTTGACTTCCATTACACCATTCGATAGAGAAAATTGTTTTCTGCACAGTAGTATTGTGTAAAATTTAAAATATTTCGATAGAATCTCGAAATACCTGAGTCCCTATCGATTTTCTAGAAAACTACAAATTTTTGGATTTAAGTGAATAGAACCTTGACTCAAAAAATATCATTAGATAGAGAAAGAAAAACTGCACCGAGTGACATTCTTTACTTGCTAAACCTATAGAGCAAATCAAAAGAGAATTGCTGATTATTGTTAGTCTTTTTCATAGATCCTACATTAATCTTGATTTTTCCGTCACAAAATAAGCTCATAAATATTTTTAGAGAAAACGTGGTTGCAGAGAATTAAATTCTCCTCAAAATGATGTATTTGAATTCACGGTAACTACTTCTCTTCGAGTTGTTGCGGCCCTATCTTTTCGCTTGTACATTCTTGATTAAGTTGAGAAACCTTTTTTTTCCGTTTTGTTCCTTTCTGTATATGATTCATCGCGTTATGCTTTTCCTGTCTGTGCTACAAAACAGATATGACAAGATAGAGCCTTAACAATTCGAAGAAAAGTAGCTACCGTGAATTTAAATACATCATTTTGAAGAGAATTTAATTCTCTGCAACTACGTTTTCTCTAAAAATATTTATGAGCTTATTTTGTGACTGAAAAATCAAGATTAATGTAGGATCTATGAAAAAGACTAACAATAATCAGCAATTCTGTTTTGATTTGCTCTATAGGTTTAGCAAGTAAAGAATGTCACTCGGTGCAGTTTTTCTTTCTCTATCTAATGATATTTTTTGAGTCAAGTTTCTATTCATTTAAATCCAAAAATTTGTAGTTTTCTAGAAAATCGATAGGGGCTCGGGTATTTCAAGATTCTGTCGAAATATTTTAAATTTTAAACAATACCACTGTGCAGAAAACAATTTTCTCTATCGAATGGTGTAATGAAAGTCAAGCAAATGTTTTTTCTTAACGATGAAATTTATTGTACAAAATCGATATCGTAAGTGTCCAAACAAGTTTTTTACATACTGTAGCTACCAGCATCTACCTTCTGATGTTATATCTATTTTGATAGTTGTCCCTAGTAAAGTAGATCTATTCGTTGAATGAACCAACTCTTCAATAGTTGTGCATTGTTTCTCTCTCTCTCTCTTTCTCTCAAGACTGGAGTATCAATTCTTGATGAAGTCTTATATCTATGTATGAACTCCATACTCGTCTTCTTAATCTATTTCAATACTGAGACCCTTCACAACTTTCAGACTGTGAATATTTGCCAATTATGATATATCCGACATCTACGTTTGATCATTCAAACCCATCGAAGTTTGAAGTGCTTGACAAAAAATGATGTAGAAAGCATAATGATGAATACTGTAGGAGAAGCAAGTCGAGCAGACTAACAGTTTCAAGCATGAGGAGTAGTTTTCATTTTTATCCAACTCCTTGAAACGCAATTTGCCAACGTCTTTCACATTCAGCCCACTAACTAAAGTGATTCATGATTGACAAATATTTACTTTGATATTATAACTTGGTAAAAATTACTTTCGATTGATAGCTCAGAGCGAAGAATCAGATGTTAATATCCGACGTGTAGTTTTTTTTATGTAGGAAATCAAAAATGAGTCATAGCAATGCCGGAAGCATTTTTTAGATAAGCATGACGATTACGGATTTTGCAATTTGAGTCTTGATGAAAAATTCTATTTACTTTGATCAGCTGCAGTCGAAAAAAACGTGTTACACTGAACCGTTGTCGAGCCCCAAGGCTGGGTGTAAAATATCAATATCTGTTCTTGTGTGTAATTATATTATAATTAATGACATGATACGCAATTGATGCATTCCGTTTTATCCCTATAAGGAGGCCAATTTGAAGAAACTAAAATAGATGCATCACATTCTTTTAAAATCGAAGTGAATTTTTAAAAAAATTGTTTTATTTCATCTCTTTGTTTTCTTCGTCAATCCACACACATAGTAAATATGGCTGCAAACAATATGTACCATCGGTGCAAATGTTATTTTCTTGTAAATATTCAACGATTGTAGTCCAAGTTTTTTTTAACATATTGTTGAAATGAATCGTTGCACTCTTCAATTCATGAAATTCGTTCAAAATATGAAAAATATCATCACGTTCTTTCACATGCGAAGAAATATATTCTAATTTCGGTAATCTTTTACTGAGCAGATCGATATCATTACCAGTTAGGGCACATTGCACATATAATTCTCTTATTTGTTCGCATCTATTTTGATCCTTTGAAAGCCAACCGATAAATTGCGCCAATGCTCGATAATGGACGGTTACTTGACGAATATTTGGTGCTGCTAGTAAAATATCATACAATGCAAAACTTTGTATGACAGATGGGAATATTAAATGACGAATAGATGATAAACTAATGATCTGCATTAATTGATCGATATTATCGATGTTACATTCGACCGATAGAGTTCGAATGTGTTTGTACGGAGATAAAATGAGAACTGGTGCAGGTAGATTATGTACTCTTAATTTTTTGCAATTACCATCGAATGCACAAGGAGTTATTGAGTAGTTAATGAAGTTGTCAATTGGTGGATACCAAGCATCAGATGGAGCAAAATGAGGTACGGAGAATAGTTTTGCGCATGATTGAGTTTCGGATGAGATCAAACAAGCCATTTGGAAATGTTTTTCATTTGTCCAGAATGGATTTTGAAACGGTGTAAGTACATCATCGCCAGTCAGATTATTCTCTTCGGGTGTTATATTTAATGCAAACTCTGTTAGCTGAGGTAGGTTTGTTTTAATTAATTTCTCCCATCGTTTTGCATCCAGAAGAGCTAATTCGCCATTTGTCTCCAATATGAAACGCTTGAGGGATTTAGTCAGCGACAAGAGATTTTCAACTTCACTGAATAAAGTCCATCGTTGTAACTCGAGTACTAGAGAACTTAAATTTAATGGAATATAATCAATCATATATGAAGTTTGGCTGAATGGCACTATGATGTGAAGAGAAACGAGATTAGGAACCCATTGAAATATAATCTTCAAGTCGGTCCAACTACAAGAGAGAATTTTTAAATGTGTTAGCTTTAATAATGGTTGTTGCAGAGTTGCTAATGTTGCGCTGTTCATAAATGTTAAATATTTTAAAGAAGACAAACTTGTAAATACTTTGGTGATATAACGAGAATTGTTTTTACTTATTTCTATACAACAGTCAGATACGATTAATGATCGAATTCGAGGATGATCTTCAAGGTGTGATAAAATTAAACATAGCATATTAACATTATCAATGTGTATCATATTTATCAATTCAAGATTCATACAGTGAATAAGAGGTACAAGAGACATGAACAGTTTTATTTGACCTGGCGTATGTTCGTCATCGGAAAGAGTAAGACATTGTAGTTGCTCTGGATGAATACGTTCGCATATAAAATAGAATGTTGATTTATTCATTGCTTTACAACTGAGTCGAATATGAGAGTATGAATGAAGTATAGTGTCGATATATGAACTCATGCTATCGAATGCCTGCAGAAGATCTATTGGACTTAAATAATCAAATATCATATGTAGAACTTCCATGGGAAAGCTATCAAGGGTACATGCCATGGTTTTGGAGATAATTAATTCAATTAAAAAAGATTTGGGGTTTTCAAAACTATTGCTATGATATTTATCAGAGAATTGTGGATGATGAGTTTTAGTTGAATGGCTTTGAAAAATGCAAATCGGTTGAAAATATTTTCGTTGATTATGCAATTCCACGGGAACCACTAGAAAAATAATTTTATATTCAAAAAGAAAAGTAGGTGGCGCTAATGAGCGGCTTCAATTAGAATTATGAGTATAGAAGGAAAAAAATTCTAATTTTTGGGAGTCAGTAGAGAATAATTGTGTTGAATATTTTTTAATAATTCCTTTCTTGTCCTAAAATCCTATAAAATATAACTAAATAAAAAACTTGTTCGATTGGGTTGTGAGATATTTTACAATAGACTTTGTGTCAATGTCAACTAGAAATCTATCTTGTGTTTAATTCTACAAGTAAAATTTTGACGCTCCTTATGAGTACTAGATAATGTTACAGGACATGAATGAAGATCAACGATGTGCATTATGGCATCAATGCATTTTTAGTCGCGATTAATATTTTATCCAGCATGTTGATCAATTTTCTGCATTCCTTTGTGAGTCTCGTTGATTACGTTTATTTCGTGTCCATTATATCGATTCTGAAATCAATCGGCTGAAACTAGGAAATAGCATTGTATACGAATAAAAGCAATAAAAGAAACTGCTATTTTGAACGTCGGAAACAATGAGTCATCAACTAAACTTTCACCTCGTATCGTCAAAATGTTTTTGTTTGTCAGGCGTTCTCCTCTATCAGTGCTATTTAATTTCTCACAGGAAAGATCACAATGCCGTTTCTTCGACCTAGATAATACAATACAGATGTGAGAAACTAGATCTGTTAAATAAATTAGCACGATACTTTGTGAACGTTAGAAGCAACGTCTTCTAATAAGAAGAAATTGTTTCATGCCTCTGGATGACATAGAAAATTTTTCGAAACTATCAAAAAATTAGTTCTTTATCTTTTTCAATATTTTTGATCATTTATTCTCACAGTCTGATGTCAATAGAGAAACATGTCGAATCTAACAGGTGGGTCATAAATAAGTAGACTGTTAGTATTTTCCGAATTTCTTCTCTTCCTCTTGCCCGATTGAGCTGATTCTACTCTCAAAAGATTCCACATTCAATTTTCTACAAAATAATGTATAGACGATAATACGAAATTTTGAGATATTGTTTCGGTTGAACAAAATACGAGGCGTCCCAAAAAAAACTGAAAATGTAATCGTTTTCTAGCAAAATTTTGCAATTTTAAATCTATGTCAAAATTGTATACAAATCAGATCCCAAGTTATGTTTTTACACATTCAGATATTCTCTATCTGATGGGGACTAAATTCATTTTATCTCCTTGCGTTAACCTGATAGATCTTGTTCGAAGTATGATCAATTTGCGGATGGTCCTAATAAGTAAGTCAAAAAGGCTAAAAACCAGTGATAGAACTTTTACGGAAACCATGAATGAAAGGATAAAATAAAGAGAAGAATTTCGCTTTGATGAACAATCGAGAGAGAATTTCAAGGGCTACAATTTTACATATTTAGCTTTGGCACGATTAAACAACTTGATTTATTATTAGTGAAATACCAATTTTTAAGTTACATTTTTTCAGTTTTTTGGGACACCTCGTATTTTGTTCAACCGAAACAATAGCTCAAAATATCGTATTATCGCCTATACATCATTTTGTAGAGAATTGAATGTGGAATCTTTTGAGAGTAGAATCAGCTCAATCGGATACGAGGAAGAGAAGAAATTCGGAAAATACTAACAGTCTAATTATTTATGACCCATCTGTCATTTCAGTATTTTTAAACTTTGACCTGCAGGAATAAATGTTTTCTGCAAACATCGATAAAAGATAGACTATTTGAATGTATTGTCACATACAAATATTTACTTGTGTGATCTTTATCATACATGTCTGAAGTACTATTCATGATTGTCTGTATAAGAAGGTAATATATTGAGAAAAACATCACGTCTGTCGCGTAAATATTATTCCTGCTTAATTAATATATAAGTCTGCTTTTTTATATCCTCATTCAAAAAAACTTTTGTTCTATTTTTGCTTCTGACATCAATCGCCTTCAATTTTTCAAATATGTCTATATTAGCAACTTTAAAACTCATAGTTTTCGTTATTTCAATTTTTATTTTTCCGGCCTATGGTCAACAGGAGAACAAATTAGATGATAATCTATGTCCACAAATGATAAGCGTACTCTGCGTTAAAAAAGTCCTTTTGGATATCGCATCTGAAACTGAAAAGATTAAGGATTCGGCTCATAAAATTAAAAAATATATCGTAAGTATAATTTTAGTGTCTCATCTTTTTATCTGTGTCCAAACGTTTAGCGTGATCATGAACCAGCCCCAGCAAGTCTCGTAGAATATATAAATTATACGATGAGACATATGCAATCAAATCTACCAAAATCATATTATCATTATCATTTTAGGAATACTAAAAGCAATATTAATAGAGTATGCAGGATAATTAATTTCCGATAATTTTACTATACTTAATATTTTGATGTTATATAGACGGATTTCATTCATTTGATTCAAGAGGAAAATTATGCTTTCAGCTATTTGTATAGTTCAATTAATAATATTCTTCATATAAAATATATCTTTGGCCATTCAATTGATGAATCATTGGAAAAGATTTCCAACAATTTAAAAATCAATATTCTATGTAATTATAGAAACATTTTTCATGTTTATTCTGAATCATGGCTACCGATCAGCAAAATTAACGGAATCCAAATATTAACAACCCGAAAAAGAAAAATATCACCATTCCTACATCATGCGTATTCCTTTATAGTGATTCGATTATTAGAAGAATGGGTAGCAAATGCTAATCATATTATTGGCAATATAGACAGCAAATACTTTCGTTGATGTTGTTTTTCTTGTTCATTCCGTAATTATAGTTTTACTAAGTTTCTTTGTTTCTAACAGTAAATATAAATAAATGCTTATGTGAGTACATTTTCTTTGTCTTCTCATGCACAATCTAGAACTCTACAATGTCTTTCATATTTTTATAATTTTTTAGAGGAATCATCGAGTTCAATAAAATAATGATTTGATCAATCTATTAATTTGCAACCGATTGTCTGCCGAATAGATGCCCGTTCTTATTACAATATGACTCATGATAAAAGTCACACCCCCCGTCATAGGAGCACGTGCATTCAGTCAGGAGTCTTTAAAATATCATTTTTCTTTTTGTTTGAGGTTGAAGTTTCTATTGTTCAAGTAAACCTACAATTTATCTTAGCATATGTCATGATTTTGTGTCACTTACTTGCTAAAAGCTCGTGCTTGAACACTTTCAAAAACATATCTGGATATTGAGGTAAATTGCATTTAAAGTCGAAGGCAAAATAGAGAACGGTCGGTTTTTATTCAAGAAGCAGAGGCTAATCAGTAGAATTTTGTTGTATTGAAAGAAAGAAAAATGAATGCCTACTGGTAACTATTCAAGAGCCCCACGAGATTGACTTTTGCAAATATCTACAAAGAATGGACAAGCATAAGATTCTAGTTTATGCATCTAAATTATGAAACATGCATTTTTTCGCTGCAACTTCTGGTTAACTAAACTTTCCATGTCGCCTTTTTTTAAACTATGATGCATTGATCTAAAATGAACATTACCAGAGACTACCATTGCTTTGATGCAGCTCAGCCGCATTGGTCACACGGGAATCGAATAAAAGAAATTTTTTGTGATAATCGATTTATAAATCATTTTATTGCAACGCAGGTAATATGTAATCTGAATCTCCATTTTCTGTCATCAAAAGAAATACCTGCGGACTTTCGAGTTCGAATTTCTATAATCATCCATTTTTTTAATTTTATTTTTAAAATTTTATTTATTGTTAAATTAGATGATTTTTTTTTTGTAAAATCTCATCAATTTTCACTAAATCAATAATCATACGACTGACAAAAAAATCATAACTATCTTGTTATATCGTTGAGTGGCTACAACACATTTCCGCTGTAACTGCGATCGCACTCTGATTCATAATTACGAAAAAATGCGCCGTTCGTAGTCATAACCATGATTTTCCTGCTGTAACTGTGATTATTTTATCGCAATTAACGCGTAACTACATTACAATCGAACGCACGGTTCTGATACCGGGTGGGGCAAAAATTTTGCGACATTTTTTCTCTTGCAAATATTCTGATACGCAAATAACACACGATTCTAAAGTTCTCATCAGCAGATACAAAATTCAATTCTCTACAAACTCATGTTAACTTTAATTTAAAACAATGAACCAAAAAATATTTATTGGTTAATGTATGTGACTCATTCAATGACAATTATTTCCTACTCAATCTTTTATATATTTCCAAGGTTCTTTTCAAATTCTAAGAATGCATCTAAGAAGCTCGATTTCTTGTAACTGGATTCCGCATCATGAGCATTTTCAGGAATGCCTATAAGTGTTTGAGAATAATCTATATGGGTATAAAAAAAAGTCACCTGAGTGAACATCTACAGCACAAATAGCTTTTTTCATAGGATTTAAATCTTTTTTCAGCTGATCCACTTAAATAAAGTCTTATATGAGCGTCTCATAACCAGAAAAATCAATTCTCTATTAAATTCTGATAAAATTAAATCGATTTAATTATGAGTGCAATTTAAAAAAGCTTTCATTGCGAAAGCATTAGCATTGAGGATGAAAATGTCACTTTTTCAAAAAATTGACCTAGTGTCTAATCAGAGAAATGCGTTTTAGAAAACATTATATTGTTTGCAATCCATAGAGCTTTTCGAGTTGTGCCTAGCAGTGATTTATACTCTGAAAATAAATATTTCTTAGCAGAAGAAAAAGCATGACGAAAAAATGCGTGGGAAATAGATGTAATTTACTGGGCCAAATACATTAACCAATAAATATTTTTTGGTTCATTGTTTTAAATTAAAGTTAACATGAGTTTGTAGAGAATTGAATTTTGTATCTGCTGATGAGAACTTTAGAATCGTGTGTTATTTGCGTATCAGAATATTTGCAAGAGAAAAAATGTCGCAAAATTTTTGCCCCACCCGGTATTATATTCGACTGCGAATATAATTACAAGAAGACTTCCTCAATCGGTATTCGGAGAAAACAAAATTCTTTGAATAACTCTGAAAGATATTCTCATATTCGCTGCTTTACGATGAAAAAGACTTGCATTATGTTGGCAGTAGAACAAATATTGGAAATTCAAAAAATTCTATACCAGTAATCCACAGTTATCATAATTAGGATATTGAAATGCGTGACTGTATAAATATCTTTAGAATAACATCAATTATGAGTCATTGGAAGGTTGAATATCATGAAATGTGTTTTGGTAGGAATCAATCAAAATATTACACGATAAATCAAGGGTATGATTCCAACATAAGTGTTTGTAGACTATTTACCTACCTATAGAATGACTTTGTTCCGTCGTAGACATCAGACTTGAATGATGACGATAATAAATATTTAACAGTGGCTCTTTGTGAGAATATTTTCATTTAATAGGAAAAAATTGACTTGTTTTTTTTCCCCATGACCAATGCAATTATCTTTTTTTCTTATTAATAATCACGCGTATAAATAGGAAGCACACTTTTATGTTTCTGTATTAAAAAACAAGCCAGTTGATTTTCTATACACATCAGTTAAAGTTTGTTGAATACAGCCATGGTTGCATTATCGAATAAGAATATTGTATTAATTGTTTTCGCATCAAGTTTGTTTGTGCTCCAAATCAATGCAGAACAAGAGCATGATGATATGTGTCGCTTAGTACGAGACGTTTTATGCGTAAAAGATGTTTTAATGATTATAGCAATGACGACTAGAAGTATGGAAAGGACTATAAATAAAACTCAAGTCGATATTGCAGGTAGAATTGGAAATAATGATACAGCCAATCGTTATGTGAAATATCAAGTTGGAAACATTGATTCACAGTTACCAACACCAAAATATCATACACATTTTTTTCAACTGAATAATATTAATAAAGTAGTATTTTTTATAAGCTTTTGTTCGATTTCATTTAACTTATCTTTTTCTTCTCTTATTTAGAAATATTTAGTTCATTTATTTTCGGAAGCACATGATGCTATGAGCTTTTATTATAATACGATTCAAGATATATTAAATGTGAGTGATACGTCTTCAACGAATGATTTAAAAGACATTCAAAATATTCTAAATAAAATGATTTGTCAATATCGCAGTGTGTTGCATGTTTATTTCCATGGATGGACAACTATTGATCGTATAAAATCAGTGGAATTTTCAAAAATAAGCTCTCATATTTCGCAAACATTTTTAAATGATGCTCATTCGATGATTATCATTGACATATTAAGGACATGGATGGATAAAATTCATTCAGTTATTCATAATATTGAAGCAAAATATTTTTAATTTTTCGGAATACTTAAAATTGTAATCAAGAAAATCTCAAGATAGTCGCACAACATTTTCTCTATCTATGCCAATGCTTTTGTTCATACGGACTCTTAATAATAAAATCAATTTATTATGTACGAGTCATAAAAAGTAATTTTCTGCTATTAGATTAGGTACTGAGACCCCTCCGTTTTATTATAATCATGAGGAAGTAACAGAAATGTGACGCACTCTTTGAGTACATCAAGATAATTGAGTGAGACACATTGGGATTAAACTTTCAACTCAATTTTTATACATGTATCACGATATCGAATAGCAGAATTTAGATCTGTTATCTTGTCTCTCTCTCTCTCTCTCTATGTATCTATCTATCTATATATACATATGTGTACATCTAATAAATCTTATAATCTTTTGAAATATTTCAATAAAAAAGAACGAATCTTTGCCAAGATGTTTAATTGCTAAATTTCTTCCATAGGCACTTATGCTCTAAGAAGTCATCAGAGAGGCAATGGGGACTCAGAAATACATGTGGTAGTCCCCAAATTGTACTGATTGCATGAGATACCTAGTTCGAATTCGAATATAAATGGACTCCCAACTGCATGGTATCAATTCGAAAATAAATGATAGAAACAGATTTAGTTTAACATGGAGTGGGCGTGGGTCGAGGGAGACTAAGGGGTAACTGTGGGTGTGGATGTGGGTGAGGGATACCAGGAACGGGTGCATAGGGGTATCCGGGTTACTTCAAATGCGGTTGTGGGTGATGGATACCATGGAGGAGTGCTCAAATGCGGGTGCGGGTGAAGGGTATATAAGTATTCATATGTCGCAGATATCGAAAAGTTAAACTAAAATTAAATCTAGGAATAGATTTAGTTTCCCATGTCGCCTCTTTTTTATCAACTGTGCCGCAGTTACGCGTAGAGCCAATTCTGCGTCGCAGTTACGCGTAACTATGACGCATTGATCGTAGTGAAGATTTCTACAAGAAACTACGCTTAGTATGACTCAGATCAACGTAACTGCGCCCTAGTGATCGCATCCTACGATCTGTTGTAGGTATAAATGGCCAATTACAAATTATTCCTCCTTATTTGTAATTGGCTACACTCGAACAATAAAACTTAGTCACAGAAAATTAGTATAGATAGTGGTGTTTATCACATTTTCGTTCATAAGTCATTCTACTACAAACAGTGAAATGCATAGTTTTTATTTCTTTTAAAAATTTCTAGATTAAAATTATTTTAGTTTTTCAATTTTTTGTAATTAAATTTTTTTTCTTTTATACATTCAATTTTTAAAAATTCTTTAGATCTTAATTTTAAAAATTTTTCTAGATATTAATTTTTAATTTTCCTTAAGTTCTAAACTAAAATTTTTTTTTAAATTTTTATTTTAGTAAATTTTTAGATTTTTCTAGATTTCAATTTTTCAATTATTTTTATTGTGAAAACTTTTAATTTAAAAATTGTTTTTTATTTTTTATAAAAGTTTTAATTTTATAGTTGTTTTTCATTTTTTGTGCAAAAAATTTTTTAAACTCAATAAAAATACAAATAAAAGGAAACCCTAATCTATGTTATATTTTGTACCAATTGCGACGCCACTGTGAACTATAATTGCGGAAAACTTGGGCGCAGTTATGCGTAACTGTGATTTTCCCCCCGTAACTACGCGTAACTGCGATTTTTTCATCGTAGTTGCGCGTAACTACGTCGCAATTTTCCGCAATTACGGGTCACAGTGCGATCGCAGTTTCATCGTAATGAAACACATGGGTTTAGTTTACCTTTTTTTGTGTTCTCCCTTTCTATTCGAACTTGAATTAGACAGCTACTCCTCCGGGGAGTCCCCCAAATAAAAAGCCCCCGGGGACTCATGACAGGGAGTTCCGGGGAGTCTCCCAAATAAAAAGCCCCCGGGGACTCACGACAGGGAGTTCCTGGGGAGTCGTCGGGGGAGAGTGGATTAGGGTGATTATTACATCTCAGCTGGGATATAAACGAAACGAATACGATACTAGCGACCTCTTTTTGTTGAAATAAATATGCCATGAACAGTTGCTTAGCGGATTGTTGAGTGCTTCTTTTTTAAATAAAATTAAAATCTAACACTTTTAGTGGTATTAAGATTAATTCGAAGATAATTTTCACTCATCTGAAGGTTTTTCTTTGACGCAACATTCCTTGATGGCTGACACCGAATGATGTCCGGCTCATTTAATTGTTACGAGTTCTGTATCTATTAAAAGCCATTGTTCAAAGCAATGAAATCCGTTGCTTTATGGGGTGAAAAACCTGCAGAAGAAGATGGAGAAGAGCAATCGTAAAATTATTTGTTTTAAATAATCTTCCTTCTAAACTAAGATTAATTTAGAGTCAATGCTCTTTGTTTTAATCCGGATGGATCTCAATTGTTAGCAGCTGTTGGAGCAAGAATACTTGTTTATGATACTGCTGAAGGAATTTTAAGAAGTGCTCTTAGCGGTATGAGAAAAAGATTTATCCAGTCTATTCTATTTTAATGTGTCAATTGATTGTAGGACATGGCGATGTAGTAAATACACTCTCTTATGCAACAGATGGCACTCGTTTTGCATCAGGTGGTGCTGATAAATTAGTTGTGATATGGACACATGAATTACAAGGAATGTTAAAATATGCGTATGCATTTTTTTGTTTTTAATTAAACTCTCGAGTTTAAAAAAGAAAAAAATAATTTAGACATGATTCTTCTGTTCAATGTGTTACTTATCATCCGACATCACATTTACTTGCTAGTTGTTCAAATGCTGATTTCGGTCTTTGGTCACCAGAACAAAAAAATGTCACAAAAACTAAGCTGACTGGTCGAATAACTTGTTGTGCATGGAGTGCAGATGGACAATTACTTGCATTTGGATTATATAATGGACAAGTACATATTCGAGATAAGGTAAATTAACATCATCATCATCATCATCATCATCATCATCATCATCAAAAATTATCTCACTCGTTTGCTTTTCGAGTATCATTCTGATTTGGTCGAGCACAACTAAGGAAAATCAACTGTGTAATGATGTAGAGTTATTTTAAATTTTAGGAGGGAAATGAAAAACTAAAATTTGACCGATCTGACGCAGTAAATTCTCCTGTATGGAATGTTTCATGGTGTCCCACAAGGTAAAATTGTATGAATTAGATTATCTCATCAATAGGATTTGTTTTTCTCTGTAGAGATGACGAACTTCTTCTAGCTGCGGTGGATTGGGGTCAAAAACTGACTTTATATCAAGCAACAGGTGCTAAACAAGTAGGGACTCATTTGAAATTTCTTTTTCTTTTGTCATTCTATGTAAAATAATTAGACTGGAAAAGAACGTAAACTTGGTTTCGATCCATGTTCAGTTAATTGGCTTGTAAAAGATCAATATAAACAAGAATCGCACGCCGAATATATAATTATTGGTGGTTCTAACAAAGAATGTACTATATACAGTCGTGAAGGCTTTAAACTAGGTACTGTATGCACACAAGATGCATGGGTTTGGTGTTGTTGTGCAAAACCCGACGGATCAGCTGTGGTAAAGACAAACGTTTCAGATTTTCATCTGCATTTTATTTCTCTCGTTAGGCTATTGGTACGACTAATGGATTTATTGGAATGTATGATGTTAAATTTGGTGTAGTACACGGAATACATAAAGATCGTTATGCGTATCGAGATAATATGACAGATGTTATAGTTCATCATCTAACAACTGATCAAAAAGGTATGTTGGCTAATGAATTAGTATTAGACACTATTTTCTATTTCTTCTCTTGTTTTAGTGAAAGTCAAATGTCGAGAACTAGTTCGTAAAATTGCAACTTATAAGACAACACTTGCGGTAAGTTTTAATGATAATTGTAACGAAGACACAATAAAAGTAGAAAAGTATTACGATTTGGTTTTGATAAGAAATTTTATTCTGTTAAATTTTTTATAACTTGACTGAACTAAATTGAGCAAGCAGCTCTCCTAGACCTAGGAAATACAATAGAGTATGTCTGTTTTAGAATCATGCTGACTTTATCACTGAGTTTTGAAATTTATAGAAAATTCATCGTCTATGAAACGATATTTTGTTTAGATTCAAACACTTGACAAAATTCTAATCTATGAAGCACCTGGTGATGTTCCACATGATATGAAATATAAAACAACGTTTAAGATCAATAAAAATATTGAATGTAGTTCAATGATTGTTACATCATCGTATATTATAACATGTCAAGATAAACGTTTACACTGTTTTAATTTTTCTGGTGAAGAAATACGCGTTTGGTTTGTACTATAAACTTCTATTTCTTTTGTTCCCTAAAGGTTATGATTATTCGTAGGCAAATGGATAGTCCTATACGTTATTTAAAATTAGTAGGAGGTCCATCGGATTATGAATCTGTTTTAATTGGACTAAAAAATGGCGGTGTCTATCAAGTATTTGTCAATAATCCATTTCCTCAATTCTTAGCTAAACAAGCTGGTGTTATCTATTGTGTTGATATGAATGTAAATCGTACTAAAGTCGCGATTATCGATGATTCATTAACACTCTATGTTTACAATGTTCGAACGAAAGAATTACTTTATCAAGTAAAGAAAACAAAAACTCAAATATTTATTTTCTTATGTTTTCTCTTATTTCAAAGGAATCGAATGCACAAACAGTTGCTTGGAATATTTATTTTCCTGATATGCTCGCATTTTCCGGAGATGGCCGTATTAATATAAAAGTAGCAGATTTTCCAGTCTATCGACAAAATTATCAAGTAAGTTAACTTCTTGTTGTACAAAAAAAGAAGAAATGTAACAAACAAGTCTAGGCGCCTATCTCTGAAGCCGACGTACCGGTAATAAAAGAAAATAGGATAAAATTGTGCTTGTTTGGATTGAACTAAAACTTGTGTTTCTGCGTGTGTGTGTCTAGCGTTCTTTGATTACTCATGTTCAACACTTATTTGATCATAATCCTTAATCAGTATGTAAAACATAAACAATAACATAACTAATATATGACTACTAATATAATCGATTACGTCTTTTTTGTTTTTGGCTGATTAAACTTTAATACGAATTTTATATTCCAGGGTCTTATTGTTGGCTTCAATGGTTGTACGATCTATTTGTTACATTTATTTGCCATGAGTGGTATAACTGTGCCTGTGACTGATGCTGTTTATCGTTATATCGGAAAGAAACAACTCGAGTAAAACAATTGTTTTTGAATTTTGCAGAAAAAAAACTGAACTTTTCTCTTTAGTAATGCATATCGATTAGCGTGTTTAGGTGAAACCAGTAAAACATGGGAAACAGTAGGACATGCTTGTTTAGAGCAAAGTCAATTTAATTTAGCAAAAAAATGCTTTAGTCGTATAAGAGACATTAAATATTTGAATTTATTATCAAATTATGAAGTAAATTAAAATAAAATTTTCAAAATAACGAAACATGTTTTTCTTTCAAAGGATGCGACAAAACGTGGTGAAAGTAAAATGAATATTTATCTGGGAGATTATTACGCATATAATGGTCGATTTCAAGATGCAGCAAGAAATTATCAGCATGGCGGAGCACCAGAACGAGCCATGACTATGTTTTCTGATCTACGAATGTTTGATCAAGCTAAAGTAAGTTCGAAGAAGGATGTTTTTGTTCTTTGCCACTTTCATGTTGGGCTTTTCAGGAATATATGGTTGCAGGCGATATGGATCAGCAGAAATTATTAAATAAACAAGCTGAATGGGCAATAACAATGAATGAACAAAGGCGTGCTGCGGAGTTATATATTGCTGCAAATGATTTTCAAAAAGCTATTGATTTAGCTGGCAAGAATAAATGGGCTGATCTGTATGTATTTAAATTTAATATTTCTGAGTGAACTTCGCTTTGTAGCATTTTAAGATCGTTACAAAATTAATGAAAATTGGATGAATTTAACTAAATCATAGAGAGATTGGGACAGTTCAGAATGCATCGATATATATATATATATATAAGCATTCGTGAAACCTTTTAATATAGGATTTATCTTATGTCCTTAAAAGGATATATCGACTCGAAAAATTCATCTTACACGCTGAATCTCGAAGTAGTTTTTCGAAATTAGAGTCTCTCAAAATAAATCTCTATAGAATTCAATATTTCGGAGTTTTAGCTCTGAATAATAAAACAAAATGGCGTTAAGAATTTTTTTTCTCGAAGACTCAAGATTTTGTTTTTCTTTATCCTGACGTGAATTTCTATATTCGATTTCAAAATTTAGATTAGCATCAATCACAAGTAAATTAGATAAAGCTCAAGTTGATCTTCTGCGACGTTGTGCGCGTTATTTTGTTGAAATGAAACAATACACCTATGCTGCTGATGTCTATGAAAAAATGGGCGATATTAAATCTCTACTCGATATGCGTATTATTCTTTCGCAATGGGACGAAGTATTTGTCTTAGTGCGTCGTTATCCAACATATGCATCTGATGCATATTATAATTATGGTCAATATTTAGCGGAACACGATCGTTTTGTTGATGCTCAGCGTGCGTTTCATAAAGCCGGTCGTGTTAATGAAGCACGAAATGTGTTACAAGCCTTGACAAATAATGCCGTCAATGAAACACGTTTCAATGATGCTGGATATTATAATTGGCTATTATCAAAAGAATATTTAACTGCATTAAGTGAAACATTAAATGATGATTTACGCGCTGATCTATTTAAACGTTATCATCGTTGTTCATTATTAGCTGACCTTTATTATGCATACCAATACATATATGAATATACAACTGAGCCATTTGTTGATACGCCACCTCTTATATTATTTAATATCGCTCGTTTTATATATCATAAATTAGCCAATTTAGCGGGTGATATTCCGCCGGCATTGTCAAAATTTCGTACATGTTATGCTGCATGTAAAATAGCAAAGATTTTAAATGCAAATAAATTTAGTCGGCAAATGATTTATTTAATGCGTGATTTAACATTTACGCATAATTTAGGTAATAAACGGATCGAAATCGAACAATTAGCATTAGAAATGGAAGCGCGGACATTTACCGACGATCATGATTTATTGCCTTTATGTTATCGTTGTTCGCATCATAATGAATTATTAAACGCACGCGGAAATGAATGTTCAAGTTGCGGAAGTCCATTTGTAAGTTAAATTATGTACTTCTATGACAACAGAAAATAATTATAGTGCAACTGGAATCGATATTCGAGTTTAGAATTGAAAGCGAATAGAAGGTGATCATCGACTATATTCGTTTGATCGATTCAGTTGTTTTATGTTGAGATGCAAAACGAAGATTTCAATGTCTCACTGAATTCACTTATAGACATCCGTAGATGAGTTTATCTACTTATAGGGAAAAAACATTTCAGTTCGATAAATTGCCGATGAAAAATTCCAATTTTGAAATTTTCTTTCTAGGTACTTTCATTTCTTTCATTCGATGTCCTTCCTTTGGTTGAATTTATTTTACCATCAGATATAAACGATGAAGATGCTTTAACTCTTCTCGAACAAGTACCTAATAGTCAATTGGAAAGCTCGACACCATCAGCAAGAACGAATCAATCCACAATGAACCGGCTCGTTATAACCGAACAAGGAAATGCAGCACGTGCTGAAGACAAAGATCCATTTCTTAAAAAAATGAGTAAATATAGTTCAAATCCAGATGAATATCGGCCTGTTGTCGTCGATCGTGCTTTACTCAAAGCAATGGATCCATCCCTTGTGTTTATATGCAAATGGTCATTTCCATTAAGATGGAAATGGTATCGTATTATAGTACCGGAACAACCTGTTGGCCGATGCAGACATTGTAATAAGGTAAAATCTAATTATTTACTGTGAGAAAATATTAGCTATACATATATTATTTTATAGTTTTATCATAATGATGAATTTGAATTGGCTTTATTAGAACAAGGCGGTTGTCCATTCTGTCGCAATAAAAAAGATACTGATTTGACAGGTGAATACACATGTCATTAATAATTTGTAACTGAAGAAGTGTTAGAAGCCTACAGATATTCTATTACAAGTATGCGAAAAGCAAGTAGTGTTGACTTTAGATTTCAAACTTCAAACATATTTAGACATAAATGAGATCACCTGCTCCAAAATCATTTGAAAACTTCTAAAGATCCACACTATAAACGCCACACAAGGGAGAGGTCGTGTAGGTTAAAAGATATATTTACGTGAGAGGTTGTTTTTTCGAAAAATTTTCCCGAATAAATCGAGAGAAAATAATAAAATAAAATTTATATTTCTCACATAAACTTCAAAGAGAATTCGTATACACTTTAGATTGTTAATTTTATCGTGTTTTCTCTGTATTTAGAAAACAATGACGACTACTAATCAATAACAACACGTTTACTTATTTACTGTTTGTTTTGTTAAATATTTGTCATGAAGTTATACTTGGGTTTATAGAATTAAAACATCATTTTAATAAATTAAATTTTTGTCAAATATTATGATGCATATAAAGAATAATTAGACTCATCATTCATGTCTTTTAGTTTTGAGTAGAAAAAAAAGCGATTCATAAAAGAACACAAAGGAAATAAAACTAAAAAAGAGCATGGCAGTAACCAGCAGAAAACATGCTTTACTCAGCAGACATGTTTGGTTTTTGTACAAGTCCGTCGTAAAACAGAATGAAAAATATACACAGAAACACAAAAGAATAAATATATATTCGCTAAGTTAGTTCCGTAATATGTTTGCCATCATATCTCTCTGTTCTTTAGAAATTGTATCGGGAAATTTAATATCGAATTTCACGATTATATCACCACGTATTGAGGGTTGTTTAGTATTGGGCAGACCATCACCGGTTAGTCGTTTTTCAGTTGTTGGCTTTATTACATCATTCGATTGGAGTTTCCGCACACGAGATGGATCGAGTGTTGGAACATTGATTATCGTTCCACATAAAGCCTGTAAAGTAAAAAAACAAAAACATTATATATATATATTCTAACGACTCGCTTTCATTCGAAATTCTTAATCGAGATGGATAAAAATAAAATGTTATGAGAAAAAAATAGATGGTAAAACTTTCTTTTGAAATTCCCCTCCGATAATTTTATGTAACATCGCAATGTACTTATCAGTTGTGAATACTTATTTCAAAAATAAAGCTTTGTACTGTAGACTTTGCTCTTCCTACGAAGAAAAATATCGAGTCACTAAAACAAATTCTTATCATGCGGTACTCAGGAAAAAAAGATTACTGATAATTGTCAATCTCTGCTATATCTTTATCAACTAAACCTATAGGTGCGCCCGCAAACCGACACGAATTTTTCCCATTATGGACTGGGTGGACGAAATTATCGGGTGAATACTTTATTGCCCAAGGACAGTTCTACCATTATGTATCGAGGTATACAATAGCGAAAGGAGAAAGACAAACATGTTTGTGACATCCATATTGACTGATCAAACAAATCTTGAAAAGTAACGGTAAATAATATAATATAATGCCGCATTATTCTATCAAGAACGACACAGAACCTATTTGAAAAAAAGAAAAGTACCCACGAAAATAAAGCAACTGATGTAGTGCGCTGACAACTATGATAATCTAAGTCAATAAAAACGTCATTCTAATCGAAATATATCTATTAAGTCCAAAAACAAGTTATTCTCTTTAATATTGTCCTTTTTTTTGTAATAAAGAGGTTTCGTTCTGCGTACATTTTACAAGTCGACTACTATAAATCTTATACAATTCGATAGCGATGAAAAGTTGCTTATCATCTCAAGGGGAGAAACTTTTATTGTATCGTTTTACAATCGGATGTTTTTTAATCTACTACGTCTACGTATATTATGATTGGCTCGCTTTGAGATCGTTCTGTTTTAATTTAACATGCCTCTTTAAGAGTGATTTTAGCTGTATAAATAATATCGCTACCATCTCGACGAAACGTTGGATGTGGTTTATCTTTGATTATAAATACAATATCCGCCGGTATGGTTGTTGATGTTTGATCACCTTCGCGTGGAAATGTTATTTTAGTACCTTGTTTCCAACCAGGTTTTATATCAATTGTCAAAACTTTATCCTCAATGCGAGTTGAGCGATTATCAGAATTCAAAACTTTTCTTGAGATTTTCATTTTCTTCGTTGCACCTGTTGCAATTTCCTCAAGTGATACAAACAGTTCATGCTCAATTGGAGGATCTTGAGTCTTCTTTCTAGTTCCGTGCATTTGTGAACCACCGCGATTACCGAAATGAACGCCTCCCATATTAGAAAATGGACCAAAACCGCCTAGGCCATCATCATCACCAACACTAATACCAGTATTACTACCGTCAGCACCGAAAAACATGGCAAATGGATCGCCACCACCCTAGATTATTTTCAGAAATCAAATTGAAAACGAATAAAACGATGATAAATAAATTCTTACAAAGAACATTCGAAAGGTTTGATGAGGATCAACATTGGAGTAAAAGAATTGTTGACCGCCACCACCACCACCACCACCTGTGCCGCCGTTCGCCTTTAAACCTAATCATAAAAAAGAACTTATTACAATGATGTTAAGACCTTCACTTTTCTTTTACCTTCTTCACCATATTTATCAAATAATTCTTTCTTTTTCGGATCACATAATATTTCATAGGCTTCAGCTACTTCTTTAAATTTTTCTTCAGCACCTGGATCTTTATTTTTATCAGGGTGATATTTCAAAGCACTAAAAATTACTTAAATTAAAATATAGAACATGAAAATTTTCCTATTAGAACTTACAGCTTTCGATAAGCTTTCTTTATATCATCATCAGAGGCACCTTTGCTAAGGCCTAAAAAATAGAAAAATCTCAAGTAAAACGGAACAAGGAAAATATCTTACCTAATATTTTATAGAAATCTTTGCCCATATCGTGTATATAAATAATAAAAAATAAAACTTTCTAAAAAACAAACTAAAGAAATGATGATAATATTTTCTGCTTTATTGTTCGATGTTGTTCTCAACCACATTCACCTCATTTTTCGCTCGCTCACACACACACTCTCTCTCTCTCTCCCTGACTTGTAACTGAAATGAAAACTTTATGCACGGACTACAGTGACATAGCAAATATTGCTTGAATGCATTTTTGAATGGATTGACTTCTCGTTTTTTTCATATTATATTCTATCGCTGTTCTTTCACAATCTATTCGAGAAAGTACTCGAACCGTCGAGAAGCTTCTTTGCAGTAACAGAACAAAATACATTCATCGTCAGAGAACAGAACAGAAAAAAGTAAAATCAAATGATTTGGCATACGAACTTCCAATGGAGAATATGTCGCTATTAGTATAGTTGCTTTTTTCTAACTTGTGATCACCATGGATCATGTTGAAAAAATGGTAATCATAAATTTAGTTTAATCGAAACATATCATGCCTCCAAAGGCAGGCCAAAAAAAGAGCGCAAAATCCGAGGAAGATCCGAAAAAGAAAGATACCTTGAAAAATGCAAAAAAAGGTGCCGACGAATCGAATGCAGCTGGTCTCGGTAATACTGATCTTGGTTCAATATCAAATGAAAATGTTACATCGTCAAAAACAGGTGCGGGTAATTTAACTCGTGGAGCATCTCACTCAGGTACACCATTAGATGATCATTCAAATAAAGAACCAGGTGTATCAACATCTGAACTCAGTCAACACACAGATGGAAATCGAGAAAGTGGCGAAACAGGACTTAACACTGGAGGTAGTATAAATGGTGCAGCTCTATCAGAAGCTGATGTTAAATATGAAGAACCTATTCTACCGAATCTTATTGTACTCGGGTCTGTAAAAATTAAGAAAAATAAAAATTCATAATTTTTTTGTTATAAATCTATATATAGTTATGAAGGTGGTAAAGAAAAAGGTTTATTTGAAGGATATGGTAAAGCGACATATGTTGGCGGTCATAGCTACACCGTATGTAAATTAATAGATATTTGTCATTTGATTAATTGATGATAATTACAATAGGGTGATTGGAGTGGTGGTATGATGAATGGTCAAGGACGATATGAATGGGCTGATGGTGTTGTTTACTCAGGTACAATTGTGAATAATCAAATAGATGGTGTTGGAACGTATCAGTGGCCAGATGGAAGGTAGAGACGAAAAAATGAATAAAATGCAATCGAACAATTTCTCTTTTCAAATAATTAGTGTATATCAAGGTGATGTATATCGAGGTCGTCGACATGGTACAGGAATCTTTCGACATGGCAAAAGTCTACTTACCTATGAAGGCGAGTGGCGTATGGGTCATATCCATGGAAAAGTAGACTAATATTTTTCATGGATTGTAGTTTATATGGAGATGATTTTTCTTTCGTCTACATTAGGGTACATTACAATTTGGCCGTGAAGGACAAAACTATTACACAGGTGATTTTATAATGAATATTCCATTCGGAAAAGGTCGCCGACAATATGCATCAGGAAATCTATATGAAGGAATGTGGGTGAATGGAAAACGACATGGATATGGAGTATTTTCATGGAGTAATGGTAATGGAGAATATTTAGGACAATGGGAAAATGGTGTGCAGGTTTGTTTCTTTTCTTTTGAAAACAGACTCCAACGATAATAAAATATGTAAAAAAATGAACTTTTTTTAGAATGGACATGGTGTTCATATTTGGTATATTATTCGAGCTGAAGAATCTCAATATGCATTGAGAAATTATTATGAAGGAAATTTTCTCGATGGACGACGAAATGGATATGGAACATTTTATTATTCAAGTGGAACTAAATATATAGGCGAATGGAAAGCAGATCAGAAACATGGAAAAGTAACTATTCAATAGGCTAGATATGAACGACATTCAGATCATGTTTGGTTGAGGTTCTAGTGACAGACAAAACGATACAATACTTGTACCTATTAATTTTCCCTATCGTTGATCAAAGCTACTTAAGATTTGAAAAATATGTCAGGAACTGGCGGAATTCCTGATTAAAATAGCTTCACTCCACTAAATTTATCGGGGCGAGAGTCTGCGATAAACTAATTTTCTAAGTTCAAATCTCTGAACAAAATAAAATGTTTAACACTGCAGCATCGAATGTAAGTCATTCGAATCTCAATGAAGAACAGTCCCGTATATCCAATCTTGCTCAGAATCGCTTTGCCTCTCAAAATGAAGTATTTCTTCATAAACTACGAATGCCATATCAGAAAATAGATATTAAATGAATTTGCTTGTAGGGTAAAGTCATATTAAGAAATGGTACCATGATTGAAGCTGATTTTCAAAATGATCGTATAATAACTCCGTTAACAAATGATATGACTTCCATGTTAACAATTGAATTACCTGAAATCGTATCGAAAACACCAATACCATCTGGTAAAACAAAAAATAGATCATATCTTCTCAATCGATGATTGTATTATTTTCTATTAGCATCGAATACGCTTGATCCAATGAATTTAAGACGAAGTGAAAGTCGAAATACAATAAGCCCTAATTTTAAATTACAATTCAATGGTGCCTTTCATCATATGTCAACCAACGAAGATGATAGAATGAAAATTTCAGATCAGGTTTACAAAAACAAATTAAGTTTTATCTAATCGAGTACTTTTCTTTTCTTTTCTTTACATTATAGATGTTTCATGTTTTATTTCGTCATCTTCCACAATTAAAACAAATCTATCGTATTTATGCTCGATTAGGTGTTGATTTACAAACAAATATAGATAATACATTTTTGATGACTCGTATCCAATTTTGGCGCTTTGTTCTTGATTGTAATTTACATAGTTATGGTGTTACAACAACGGAATATGATCGATTGATTGGTAATGACATTAAATAGAAAATAGAAGATTTTTATTTAATATCTCCCTTTTCTGATAATTATTCTAGCGGAATGTTTGCCAACAGAAAATATGCATGGACCCGATGAATCAATTTTAGTACGCGAATTCTTAAATGCTATTGCTATCATTTGTTTTCATTTACATCGATTGAAAAAAGTGTTCGTCATTTTTATTTTGCATAATGAAGAAAATTTGCATTTTCATTAATTTTTAGACAAAGTGAAACTGCATCATCCGAAAAACAACCCATTAGCTTACAAATTGCTACTTCGATGGAGACAATTATTGAAAAAAATATTTTACAGCTAGCAGGAAATATTCGAGGTTAGTAGTCATGTTTTATTCTTGGGAATAAAATCTCGTAGGCTGCCTTCTTTCTACGTTTTTTGTTTTGTTATAAGCGTAGCCAAGATTTAAACACTATCTTATTAAGTATATCTAGAGAATAAATGAAATCTACTAAAGAGAAAGAAAATCATAAACTGATTAACCACTGTTGAAGCAGTATTATTTGCATCGTGTAGATTATAATGAGTCATGAATATTCTGAAGAGCTTAGTTCAATTTTCTTTCAAAACTTTTTCTCAGTAATAAATTCTGAACTAACAGGTTATTGTTGTGAAAGTTCTAATAACATCGATTTTGAATGCTGCTCATGTCTGTTGTCGATTCAATGTGTTTTCAGTTCAAGACGAAAAGTGTAAGGAGAACTCTATTATCTCATTTTTGATTAAGTCTTCGTGAAACAGTTTGTACGTAATGAGATTCCTTTGATCATGTCCTTCAGTGATTTATTAAGTTTAGAATTAGTGAATTGACGCTATAAAATTGGGAACATTATATTTGATGAGTGAAATAAATGAAATGATCAGTACTAAAATAATCAGTAATTAATCTTAAAGTGATCAGTTTATTATATATAATTACCAGTAAAAAAGATAAAATTGATCAGTAAAACATAGAAAATTGGATGTGGGTGTGATTATTCTGCTCATCTACACTACCAACACTCCTTTTTTTGGAATTCCTTGATTTCCATTTATTCCATCATTTGCTTCCAGAACCTCTTTGTTTGATATATCACTTTCATATTGAACAATTTGTACGACTTCCATCTTTTTTACTCGCTGGTACTAAGCTGAATGCGAAAGAAGGAAGCTAAGAGTATATTTATATATGTTGTACGTATCAGCTGTACGATATATAGACCAAAAGAACAAACATGAAAATCAAGTAAGTCACCTTATAACACATTTCAATTTTTATGCTAATCCTTTAATCTAATTTACTGATTTTTAAATATATCAATTAATCGAAGTATATTAATAGCTGACCACAGAAATAATGTACTGATCATTCAATTATTTTACTGATTTTATATTTATTTTGCTTCCAAGGTCGTAGAGGTACGGTGGGAAACGGCCGGAAAGCAAGAAAAAGCGCTGGAAAATGGAAGCAGTATTCCGACCGGAAATTACCGGATTTTTTCCTATGGATTCCGGTCAGTTCCCTGTGATTTCCGGCTGTAAGATGACCGGAATACACCGGAAAAAATCGGTCAGTTTCCGACCAGAATACTGCTTCCACTTTCCGGCCAGATACGGTGATTTTCCCGCATCTTTCCGATCGGTTCCTACGCGGGATCCGTCCTCCGGAATCATTGACCTGGGTTACTGATCAGTTTACTTATTCTACTGATCTCTTAAATGATAGTCTATAACATTTGTATTCTATTGAATAGGTAATCTATTTGCTGAACCACTCAAGTTTATACAAGCTGCACGATATAAAGAGCAATGCTACAAGATTTATTTAGTATTTTCTACCAGAAACAAAGTTTGTTTAAAATTTGTTTTGCTTTCATTATATTTTCCTCGTTTCCGTTCTCTCAAAAAGAAAGAACCACACGATATGATAATGCAAAAACGTGATTTTCTATTAATGCTCAAACGTCTTCAATTAATTGATCCTGTACATTTAACAGCATCACGTATTATAGCAATGTTAGCTGAAGATGATCCAAATATTCGACCATTAGGTTCAACGACTCCTACCGATATTCGTTTAGATATCGATGTAAATTTAATTACGGAATTTACTATTTATGAAAACAAAATTTTCAAATTCTATCTTTAGATGTGTTTTCTTGAATTTTTCGAAGCATTAATTGCTTGTGCACTTGTACATCCAGGTAGTAAATATTATAATACTTATGTTAAACCACCAAAAACAGCTACATCTGAACGTAGTCTTGGTTCTCAGCCATCTATTGGCTCGGTAAGAGAATGGCCCAGGATCGTTTTCTCTTTGATGATAAATACATATATCTTTATTTAAGCCAAGTGCTCATGATCGACAACAAGAAAGTCGAGTATCAGAATATCCAGCTATTGTTGTTCGCGAAGTATCTGAATTAACACAAGAAACTCCAGATGATATCGATAAGCCTCGCTCATCAGCAAGTCGAGGTATAAATAAAACAATTTTCTTTTGTTTCATGTATTTTGTTTTCTCTCACTATTAAAATAGAACGTGAAACAAATACGAACGCAGGCGACGCATCTTCATCGTCTTCCTTTGTAGCAAAACTTGATGATTTTTTTAATGGAATATTTTTACCAGCTACGAACACATTTGAAAATATTCGAGAACAAATTCGGGTTGATCAGGAAAAAACGTGGCAAGGAATGAAACACGACGATCACAATAGTGATGCAACATGGCCTAAACAATATGTTGTACTTACTGAATGAATAATTTTACAGAGCTGTCTTTTCATTAAATAAATTTAAATTTCGTAACTTATCAGGTTTCGACTTTTATACATTTGCACAACCAAATTGGAATATTAAAATGTTTGTTTTTCAGTTAAGGCATCTTTCTCAGTTTAGAACATCAGAATCGATTCGATGCTTCAGTGCCTGTATTTGATTTTACGAGATCTGCTAAATCGAAAAGTTCTGAATTGAGATGTTTTAATGAATATTTAATGTGCCAATTGTTAGTGGCATATATTGTTGTCTGTTTTCATCTTCATGCATACTCATATACAAATCGTGATTGAAAGGGTTTGCACTGGCTTCATTGCATACTTAAATGACCTCTTTATATAATACAGTGTGTTGGATACGCTTTCGATTCAAAATCGAGTTTATTTTGATTAGTAGTGGAGTTCTGTACTTTATATTGACTACTCTGCCATAAAGAATGTTCATGGATCGCTGGAAAGATGAAATGCTACACTTATGACCAAATTTAGAAAAATTTGAATCCTTTTTCTTCTGCCATTTCAGATGGCTTGGAAACTCTGATTTTAATCGACTTTTCCTAGGTGTTACAACTGTGTTGCGATCACAATGTGACATGTGATTGTGAAAACTGTGGGGTAGCAATGCACAACACCGATGTTTTTGTGGTTGTAGCAGAACATAATTGCGTTTGAATCATTGTAATCACACATAATTGTATCGCGCTTGTAGAAAGCGATAGCGCTGTAGGGAGTATGGTTATGACAACAGAATTTTAATTGCATGTACGTATGCTAAAATGTTGCAGTTACACCGATTTTTCTCATAATTACAGGTTACAATGTAATTGAAACGCAGCCATAATCGTGTCACAAATCGATCATATTGAAAGTCGATGGTAAGGTGAATTTTTTACGAGAAAAAAATCAAATGAGTCTTTTACTAATGCGATGCTAACTTCATTAGGCTGACATGACCGCTACCATAGATATTCCTTCAGACTACATCAAAACATTATATTACGCCAATGAAGTTTGCAAGCTGTAGAAGTGTCGATTGCTTATTTAACTTGCAAAAACAAAATAGTTTCTCATTTTGATTAGAGCTTGTCCAGCTAACTCTACTACCGGACAGTGAATATGTTATTATTTTTATGCATTCTGCTTTTCTCGTTACTTTTGAACAGTTTACCAGAGTAATACGAGCAACATCTTATTTTGTTCATTAAAATGTGCTCTACATAGTGTACTTTTCATTTTTCCTGTCTAAAATATTCTTTCACCTGTCTTACGAAAAATACAAGATATATATAAAAAATAGTTTACACATATTAAGTACCCTTTGTATTTTTCGTAAGACAAGTGAAAGAATATTTTAGACAAGAAAAATGAAAAGTACACTTTGTAGACCACATTTTAGTGAACAAAATAAGATGTTGCTCGTATTTCTCTGGTAAACTGTTCAAAATTAATGAGGAATGCAAAATGCATAAAAATATAATAACGTATTCACTGTCCGATAGCAGAGTTAGCCGGGCAAGTGCATTACCTATTGTTATATTGGTGTTGGTGCAAGTCATCAACTATTTTTTCTGTTTATATTGCATTCGGATAGCTTCGTGGCCGAATGTATAGTTCTATTGTATTAAAATTGATAAGCTGTTCAAAGATAATTTAGAATGTTGACATTAGCCTTACGGAAAGTCGATCGAAAAACTACGTAATTTGAGAGCAGCATCTCTTGCTTTTGTATAAATACCCAGATTACCTTAGAAATACTGTATTCAATGATCTTCCAGCCAGTGGCGGAACCAGGGGGAGGGAGGCTTAGCCCCCCTAGACAGTGTTGAGCCCCCTCTAGCGAGATTTTAGAAAATGCATTTTTTTATATAAATATGTAGTAATGTTTACAATTTCATGTTTTAGCCAGTGTGGTCCGCTATGAAACTCGAAAACTCCCGCAAGAACCAAGAAAAAATTTCAAAATCTCCCAAAAAATCCAGAAAATCTTCAAAAATTTCAAAATTCTCCAAAAAACTAAAAACAGCTATCAAAATCCGAAAAAAACCAGAAAAATTTTCAAAATTCCCAAAAAAAATCCAAAATGACCTTCAAATTCTCAAACAATTCACGAAAATTTTTTTCGGGGGCTCAGTCCCCCCCTAGCCCAAAATCCTGGCTCCGCCACTGCTTCCAGGATGACATAAATCATATTCTAATATTGTTCAATCCTTTATTCTAGTTGGTTTCATTGTGAATCTCACAGCGATAAGTCGAATACTAATGGATGTATAAACGAATCAACTAGTCTTTAATTCTTAGTGAAGACAAACCGTGAACTATTTTTTCATAGAGAATCAGCATATAAGCCTTGGTTTAAAAACGTAATATAAATGAGTAATAGTATTTAAAAAGTGTAGTTAGAGGTCTATCCAACACAAAACGATCATACAGCTTTTCAATCAGTTCCATATTTTGTTTATTGGAGTTATGAAAAAAAATAACAAAAAAGAAACTGAAAGATATTCAAAATAGGCAGAAGAAAGAGCACGTAGAATTAGATCAAGCTGAAAAGGATGTATTTTAATATATTTGCACGAATCTCATCATATTCACTGTAAGTTGCACATTAATAGACTCATGAGAAAACACAGAAGTATATTGCTAGAATATAAAAAATGAAAGTTACTTCAGTATATCTCTACGTATTTGTTAATCATTCTAGTTTATGATAAAGACAGGTTATTTAAATTTTCCATGAATTTCGCATCATTAAATCGAAATACATATCATTATCAATTGACGCACTGACACCCGCATAATAATCGACAAATTCCTCACGTGTTACCTAAGAATAATCATTCTAAATATAGTAAATAGAATATAATTTCCTACGTACAACACCATCTTTATGTTTTCCATAATCAAAACAGTCAAGAAAATGTCGTAATACTTCATCTTGACTCCATTCACCATTGAGATATTTGGGATGTTTTTTCACATCATACACACCACGCAAATCTTCAATTGTTATTTGACCATCATGATTTCTATGCAAATGTAGTTTTTTCTTTAATCGAAATAGTTTTTGTTTCTAACATACTTATCAAGTTTAGCAAAAGCTCTAGCAATTAGATCAAGTCGAAAATTATTCATGGCAGGCTAAAAATAATAATAATTTCATTTTTTAAATATAGATAACAATGAAAAATATACTCGTAATTTGCGTAGAAATTCTTCATAATCAACACTACCACTTTGATCAACATCGATTAAACGAAATAACTCTGAAATTTCAGTTTTCGAAAAGTTTAAGCCATATTCTTCAACACCTTTTCGAAATTCGTCCAAACTTAGCTTTCTATTTCTGTCATCGTCCATAATTCGAAATAAGCTAAAATAAAAACATAAATATTGCAAAGTGTTTTCGTCCATAGATAAACGAATCCCCCAATTTAAGAATAGACATACATTGATAAGCCTTTAATACCTTGTGCTCCTCGAGCCAAGCATGCTGCACGCAGACGTTCCAACGGGTCTTTTGTTGTCGCCAAAATGTTTCTTGATTGAATTTCTAGTTCTTTTTGAAGACGAGCTGAAGCTGCCATGATAGTTTTTACAGGTAGATATTGATTAATTTTCTAGGCCGCAATCTGTAAATAATTCGACCGCAATGAAGAAAATATTTGGGTAAAAAAAGAAGTTATATTTAGTTCGATTTTCAGTAAAAACTTAACGAGAACACTTGACATTGATACAATGGTTCGGTAGCAACACCATCATAAAACCGTTAGGTTTTAAGTACGTTGTTATGGTAACGGTCAGAGGTCGTCAGTATTCATTTAACGAAACATTAGAGTTAAATCTTTGAAAAAATTTTAATTTAATTATAGAATCAAAGAAAATTCCTTTTATTCAAAGAACAAAAAAATCAACGAATGATTATTCATGACATCTGGCGCTACTGTTGCATGTGTAGAGCATAGCGACAACAATCCACGATCATGTTGCCTTTTATTACATGTTTGGGTATTTCTTCAGATCAGATCGACAACATCCCCAGTCTATTGGTCGTTACAATGAGAGGAATGTAAGGAAAAGTTATTGGTTCATTTAATTCAGTCAATGAAAAATAAATCGATAAGAGAGAGAGAGAGATGGCGTACACTTCTATACCAATCTATTCTAGTTCTAAATAAAAAAAGGAACAATTATAATAAGGAATAATCCAATTAAATGATTAATGAGTTTATTTTTAATATGAAAAAAATGCTCTTGATTGCGATTTATTTCTTAATAATCTTTCTAACTATCACAATGGTCTATGCTCCGCTATCTTCTCTTGATGGTTTAAATATTCGAGAGTGGAATGAATTAACTTCAACAAATGAAAAAATTATAGAGTTCTGCCAACAAGTTGGCCTACTATATTAAGTAAGTTTGTTTTTCTTTCTTTTCTCTCTTAATTTCATAAAATACTATTTCTATTACTTTTGTTTTTTGTTCTAGATTCATCTTCATCCTAGTTTTGCTCTTCTGTTCTCTTGTTTTTCTTTTTTTCTTTTCTCCTTTTTTTAGAATAAATAACATGAAGTATTTATTCAACTCATTTCTTTTACTAAATCACTCATCAATATAGAAGTGTACGCCATCTCTCTCTCTTTCTTATCGATTTATTTTTCATTGACTGAATTAAATGAGCCAATAACTTTTCTTTTCTTTCCTCTCATTGTAACGACCAATAAACTGGGGGTATCGTCGATCTGAAGAAGTATCCATGTTTGTGTTTGTTTGTGTCCTATTTGCGAGTTGATCGTGAGGGAATGAGTGCTAGTCTATCAGATAAAGATAATTTTACAAAATGATAAAATCAAAATATATTGTAATATTTCATTCATGATTTTTATCTCAAGACCTGAGCATTTCAATTATATATGCATACAATTGACTCGGCATTACTCATAGGAAACTGTAGGCGAAAAAACAAAAAAAGCGTTATTCACAGAAATCTTTGCAATAGACTAGAAGATACTTTTGTTTGATATTTAGATTATTTAATATTAAGATAGATCTACTTGTTGGTATTGCTGTTTTTCTAATCTTATTTTCAAATCATCTACTGATATGACTGCAGCTGCATGTCGCACATCAGCTCCAATTATCTATCAAATACAAGTAATCTCAACACAATCACAATTCACACCGGTTTTACCTCGAACTTCAATATCATCGTCAGCTTCCTCAATTAATTCAGCTTCAGAAATTCGCAAATCAATCAGATTCAAAAATACAACCACAAATGATATAAACAATAATGACCAACAAGTAACCAATACATCTATTCAGGAGATTCGAGATGTAGAAAATAATGATGAAACAGTGGTAGATATCGATAAGGAACAATATCTGGCATTGGTTGGCCTTCGGCGGAAGACTAAAAGTCCTTCGAAGTGTATTTCAACATTACGGCCATTAGTAAAAAGATTAGCAGCTCCAATTTGTTTACTTCCATTACCAAAAAATGGTCAACGTGTGCGACAAGCTTTATATATTTTATTGCCATTCTTAAAATTTTTATCAATTATCCATGATATTGAACTATATTGTTCGCCGAATGATCAAGCAAAAGATGGATGTCTCCTAACACGTTCAGTAACACAGACACGTACATCGGAGCCAATAAACAAAAAGACAAACAAACGAAAAGTATCCAAGCCAGGTAATGTACTGATCGATGAAAATTATATATAATACTATGATGGATGTCGCAAATAAACGAAGAGAGCTAATTTTTTACTTGAATCCTATACCAAAACGAAGAGAATTTTTGTTATCATTGTTAGCACATCATTAATTCTATGTGCTAGATTGGAAATTTTAAAATCCTTTAGTATCGAATATCTGTAAATAGTCGATATTAGATTTTTTCCGCGAGTTCTATTCATAGTATCGCTATAATATTGTCTATGATTTGGATCGATCTTTTCAACAAATTCATTTGCATGCTGCACAATATGGCATGAGTGATACATTGATGGCTGTGAACTAATGTATATACTGAGTCATGGAATAAAACATTCGCACGCACGATTGTCAAGCATATTCATCATAGTTGCGCATGAAAAACATATACTCCCCCCCCCTCCCCCCAGAATAAAAACCCACTGGGCTTCTATTTTGCTTTGAAAATTATAAATCTAGACATGGACTTCTATTGCGATCAACTTTTTGTATATTGCAGCTAGGATTTTATCAGTTTACAAGCACAGAAACGCTCAGAAATTAAACTCGGAATGTTTAAATTGTCAAAAAGTTTTCAAAATGTTAACGTTAATGTTGGATCACACTAACGCTAGACGATGATTTAGATGCGCTTTCTAGTATAACGGTAGTACATCTACCCGGATAGCAGAAGATATGGGTTCGATTCCCATGAAGGTCATCTTTTTCGTCGTTCTGTCACATAACATCAGTGACACTGCTTGTCTCTTCCGTTCTATAAATATTAGAGCCTAGCACAAAAGAGCTGTCATGGCTTCCTAGAGAGTATAAACTGGCAAGGATTTCTTTTTTGGTTCAACACTATAAAATCAAGAAAGTCATGCGTTGTTTACCCTAGTATTCGCATTAAAGCGCTTATCTACTTCAACATTTCATGGGATTTTATATGATACGAAAACTGCCGTTAGCATAATGCATTGATTTAGGAAATTGTCGAGCTTTAAAAAGTCAGAAACTTTCTATTAGACATATACGAATATAGTGCTACCAAACGACTTCATCATGAGCGCTTATGCATACTTCAAATATGAAATATGAAATGTGGCATATTTTAACTACCGAAACAGATAAGAATATACAACTAAACCGTTGACAATAGAATAAAGATCTCTCATTTCTAAAAACAGAGATACTCGAGATCTTATAAGTGCTATAATAATCGATACCGCACCATCATTCATTGGCATCTTTTTTTGAGTCTTATGAACTCTCGCGTGACTGATATCGATCATAGCTCAACATTTCGAGAAGTATTATCTTCATTGAAAGAGATATGCTNAAACTGGACAAAGAAAATCAGTATTTTATGCGAAGAGTCGAGTCTCCCTTTAACATTCACCTTGTCCAAACGAAAAAAAGGACCTTCGAATAACTTTAGGATAATATTGAGATAAAAGAACCATTTTCGATAATTTTATTAAGCAACTTTAGAGGTCCATAGTGTGTGTATTTTGTGTAAAAAAACAGAAACAAAGCATGAGTAGAACAAGAGAAATATGAATTTCAATCTGGTGCGAAAACTTTTCGATCACCCGTTATTAGAATGCATACAAAGTAAAGCAAATGAAGCATATAAATTGAGTTACAGCGAAACAGGGATAACCAATAAAGTAGTCCATCCAATATGTTAAATTCCCCGTTTTGTGTTTATTTAAGATAGGGCGGGCTTTTAATATGTCCGTAAAATTGTAAACCCAGGACTGGGCTTCTATTCTGTGGGGGGTTTATATAATGGAGTGGCACACATCCGAGTCTTATCTATTTATTCATCATGACGGAATTTCGAAGATTTTCTAATCAACAGAATCTATTTTCATCGTCATCCATCTGGGGATCATCATAAAAATTTTCAAGTGTATTACTACTATATTATTTGTTTTGGATGAAATGAACGAATAGTTCATAATGAAAAGCATTCTCTAAAATCAAGAGAAAAATTGAAAGACAAAACATTGAAGTTATAAAATGTTGATAAACAGATATTTTATTCTATCTCTGTGGAGTACTTTCCAAACAGTCTCTCTAGGAAATTCTCTATCTTGACAAATGTTTTGATGACCGGTAGATTTACTTGTAAATAGAATAGGGAAAGAGGTCTGAACGATTTGTTAAACTCGTTTTTCATCAATTCTTTGCAATATTAAAACAAATAATCGTTCTATACAGAATTTATCAGTATGGCTTCGAATGCTTTTCGTAATAATACAAGACGAACTCCGATGAGTCAATATATTCATTCGACTCTACAATGCAATGTTGTTGTTGATCGTTTGGAACAATCAGCTATTGATCAGATAATGAAAAAATCAATCGAAAATAATCAAACAAGCATTGCTATGACAGTTTGTATTTTCTCTTCAGTTCATAATCGATCATTTGTTGTTTATTTTTCTCATCGTAGTCAAAAGTAAAACGATCCCTACGAAGTTCATCTCAACAAGAATGTTCTTCTCTTTCCGAAGTTCGCCTCTCGTTAAATCAAACAACAACAAAAACTACAACAACACGAACAACGATAACAACAATGACAACCGAAAAAACAACTGTTAAACAAAAATCGACAACACCAGCGTATAATGATTCAAAGCGTTTAAAAAAAACAATTGATAATAATTCAATTGATAAATTTGATAATAATAATCATGCAACATTAGCATATCAACGGATTTATTTAAAATGTTTTGTTTGCTCAAAGCGTGAATATATCGATGTTGAATCTAGCAATAGTGACATATTACATTCACATTGGCTGGAACACGGTAATAATTTATCATTGAATATATATGATTCGATAATAGATTCAATTTTAACACGTGTTGTCGAATTTTTTCATTTTCCTAAAAGACATACATTAGACGGAAAAATTCAAACTGTATTTATATTAAATTCAAAAGAAATACGTAAGACTCCATCTAATGTAGTAGATGATGATGCTTGTATAGTTCTCGATTAAAAGAGAAATACTAATAAGACTTCTTCTTCTTCTCTTTGCTCAGGTATCGGAATCGATTAGATTTTTGTCTTTATTCTATCTTTTCTTTATCTATCTAACATGTACAATTATTTCTTCACTATTTATTTTTTGTTCGTATTTGTACTGGTCTGTTTATTTTCAACAAATAACAGACGTTTTGTTTGGAGTTTCTCTTTGGTGTTTTTTGCTCTTCCGTTTGTCACATTTTTTACTTATCGAACTCAGAAAAACAAAACAGAATCCATTTGTGTAAATAAATTTTCGACACAAAGACATTTATTAATTATCGATCGAAATATATTTATGTGTATTCCTTTTATTTACGTCAATTACTGTGTGTTTTAAAAAGCAAATATTTTCGAAATAAGAAGGTAAGCAATTTATATTCATGATATTGATTCATTTTATACATGATTCTTTGATTGTTTTAGGATACAATTAATTTACAATGTCAGAAACAAAGTCAAAACTTAATGATCACGCTGTCAATGCAAATATATGTATATATATATATATACACGTAACATTGATATTTCTAACGATATCCTGGTATACATTATAAAAGACGAATTACGTTTAATCAAAATTCAGTTCTTCTATGTAATTTACTGATATTGTTATTTATTTTCCTCTTCTCAAACGCTTTCAAAGCACGTCATTTGTTCTAATAAAGATAACAAAACTAATCGTCTATAATCTTTAATGCTTTTACATTGACAGTTTGAGTGAATGCTCATTGCAGAAACGCGCTCTAATACCCAAATATTATGTGTTAGCTGTCTTAAAAAAAGAATAGATACGTGAGGATAAGAAATGTTCGCATTATTTACACTTGAGCGCCTGATTAGATAAAGCGTGATAATCATCGAACTAAACTACTCTACGCATTTTTCCAAAGACTGCTTACATTGGATTCCTGAAAAGAACATCGTGTGAGGACGAGGTGGATTTTCTGGTTTTGTTTTTGGGCGAGGTTTTAAGTAGACTTTCTATAAATATATAATCTAGCGTTGCACAAATCTTGCTTTGCGAAATATTATTTATTTTGCAATTCCAAATATTGAAAATAGTTCTGACAAGTTTTCCTTATCTTCTGTGTGCTGTTTTTTCAAAAAGATTGATTGGCCTGCATTTAGAAAGAGTTCGATTCGGTTTTCAAGCTTGAAATTTATAAAAAAAAGGATTCGCAGTAAGAGCTTGCATTCTTGCGCAGCTGATTAAGTTGACGGTTTTCTCATAAGTATATTCTTTTAAATTAGTAAAAATGGTTATCTTTTATTGACGAACTCTTCGTTGCGATAAAAAAAACTATTCGATAGTGTGCAATACAAAAGTTTATGGAATATGACTGCCAACAATTGCTCACTTTGCTTGGGTTTCATATTTTCTCTTATTTCTTTATAATAATAAAATCAATCAGAATGAAAGAGACTTCATGTATGAATTACTCGAAGACAAACATGATGCAGTTAGCTGGCGCACTTTGGAATCTATTAACACATAAAATGAATTATGAAAATAAAGATGAAAGTTGTTCTAAAGTCAAGCATTATAGCCATCTTTTCAGATAGATAGCAACCATGACATTGAGCGATGAGAAAAATGTCAAGATACAATAGAGCCTAAGTTCGTTTGACATGTCTCCCATATTAATGGTAATATAAATCACAAAGTATTCTGTCACATTAGAGCAAGAGTTTCTATTTGTATTCTCGATGTTACGCTTCTGGCAGATGTTTCATCTTCCTACTATTATCTGTAATCAATTCCATATCAACAATAAACAACAACAAAAATGGCATCGTGGTGAACTCTGGCAATCAGAATTTGAGATTTTTCTAATAGTTAACCAAAGATCTTCTTACTATTTTATTAAAGAAAGTTATTACATTCTATACATAATCAAGAACAGTATTATGAGAATGCTATTTCATGGACGAAGGCTCGATCTATATATAGAATTTCTCTGATATTGTAAAACTAGACGCTACCAAGGTTTTCTATCGGCATGATTACTCAGGATTTAAGACTTCTTTTTCCAAAGAAATATTGTGTGGTTTCTAGAAATTGCTCTACGATAGTAATGCAGCCATTTTTTGCTGCTAAGACACTCAAACATCAAGTATGAATCATCGCGTTCATTTACTGTCAAATTTTATGATAGAACGAACAAACAACTACAGACCCCTATGATTGGTAGAAATCATTTGTCAACGTTCCTTCGTTTATTCTATGGAAATCACTTGTTAATGGCTTCACTAATAAATAATATTATTATTTTTTGCAGCATAATTCATGATCATGAATCTGATAAATGATCGATCAAATTGAAAGTTTTAAAAATTGTTTTCTTTTTATCTTTCAAGAGATATGCGACGCTGTATTAAACTTGTTTTTGGAAGTTTATCTTTTATAGTTGCTTTAATTGCGATTGGAATGGGATATTTAAAACTTGACGGTATTTCTCGACAAAAATGTAAGCTGATATATTTCGTTTAACTAGTTTATTACATGTTATTCTTTTTATTAGTGTTTGCAAGTGTTATGTATACAATGTCAGATCCCAATGATACTCGTATTATGAATCTACGATGTAATGAATTATTAAAGCATTCGACTGTTAAAGGTCATGTGTTAGAGATAGGTGCTGGTACAGGAATAAATTTTCCATGTTTACATAATAATACAAATATTGAATCATACACAGGACTTGAGCCTAATATTCATATGCATTCATATTTTTACAAATTTATTCAACAATGGGATATTCCATACGAGATTCGCCTTTCAAACAATTCAGCAACAGATATGCATCATATTGAAGCAAATAGTGTGCATACTATTATTATGACGTTCGTGTTATGTAGTGTGCCAGATCCATTGCCAGAAAAAGTACTTCTTGAAGCACATCGAATATTAAAACCAGGTGGAACTTTTATTTTCATAGAACATATTGCTGCTAATTCTGAAACCAATCCATTTACTTATGGATTTCAAAAGGCAATTGAACCATTATGGTTTATTATTGGTGATGGTTGTCAATTTAAACCGATGACACACTATTTCGATGCAGCAAAAAATGTCTATTCAAAGGTTGACTATGAATATATTGATTTGCCTGTTCCGTTGTTCATGATAAAATATGGTGTCAAAGGAAAACTGGTCAAATGAATGGCTCTTTTCTATGCTATATTTTCATTTGGTTGGCTGACGTTTTTTAAATTCTTAATAGATACAATAGATTACATGTAAATCTGTAGTTGTCATTAAATCTCAAACTGCTACAAGCAGTCAGCAGTTCAATAAAATTTTGTCATAATAGATTCGTAGGAAGCATATGATTTCGGCGTTGAGTACTTGTTAAAGACGTACGGAGTGTATTCAATTCCTTTAATCATCGAAGCAGAATTTACCCATGTCAGAAAATACGGTCGGTATACGACCGTATACGGTGAAAATACGGTATCGTTTACAGTGCCGTATTACTACATCCAATACTACGGGAAAATACGGACAGCTTACTGCCGTAAAGATGTCGTTTTCCTACCGTTTACTTTCAGAAAACGGACCGTAAACGATATCCGTTTTGATCGACTTGGGTAGCTTTGCTCTTGTAAATGTTAATTAATTCATATTTTGGTCTATTACTAACATCGGTTGATTCAATTCAATCGACCTTAAATTTGTACATGAAAATGATTAAATGATGAATTTTCACTTGTTTTAGAGATTCTCAGTCTTTACTATAACATACTTTTGACCAGCAGTAGGAAACTGATGAGCATGCTTCCAAAATAATAATTTAGTAAAAGTAAATTTATAACAAAGTATTATAGGACAACAAATTGGTACGTATATATGCTCATCCCGAAGAGTGAATTTGTGCGATGTGCTAAGAAGATAAAATATTGCATTATGAATTATTAGCCTACGAAAACTTGGTGACCGCACATATCGTCGCACGACATTTCGTCGCAATAAAAATTCATATTGCTATAAGTTAGTTGTATATAAAGGAGAGTATATTAATTGAATTAAGTGATTTTGTTCAATATGTTATTCAACTAATCACCTTCATAAATGTATTACTCTATAATAATAACACTGTCTTTTATTACTACAACTTCTTTTTTTCAAAAAATGATAGAAATGTTAATTTACAATTCATTTTTTTAAAATTAAAATCACCCAAAACTTAAAGCTAAATTCTAACTAAAATTCTACGAAGTTAATTTTATAATAAATTTAATTTTTTTGAATTAAATGTAATTAAAATATAGCTTTACATATAAAAAATTATATTTTTTAAATTTAAATTTAAAAAAATGATTTCTCGTCTTAATAATTTTTTTGAAATAAAAATGTGCTACCTCTCAAAAATGGGATCAAAAGAATACTATTGACTCACAGAATTAATTCGGATTATTTATTTTTAGTGTTCGTAGTGTCGAAAACCCAAAAATCCATTTCAAAACTTTTCCACAACCACTTCATCCAATAGTTGGGTAACTTTGCAAATCACAGAAAATTATCATAGAAATTACTGAACGAATTATACAACTCAAGAGATAGTACATTTTTCTTTCATTTCTTCTTGGCTTTTCTTAGCTCCAGATTTCATCAGAAATCGCTTGCTTAAAAGATCTGAGTTGACTTTCATTTGATAGCAGACTAGTTGCAATGGCATAGAATCATTTTGCAGAACTAAATAATTTTTTCAGTACTTTTTTTTACAAAACTAGATCATTTTTTCTTCAAAACGAATCTATTATCCATCATATCGATCTAGTCCCGTGTCGCCTCTTTTTTTATCAACTGCACTGCAGTTACGCGTAAATACGGCGCATTGATCGTAGTGAAGACTTTTCTTAAATACTACGCCTAATGCGACCCAGATCAGCGTAACTGTGTTCTAGTGATCGCATCATACGATCCATTGTAACTGTAACTGGTCAATTATAAATAATTCCTTCTTATTTGTAATGGCCATTCTCGAACATTAATGATTAGTCATAGAAAGTTACTATAAAAAGCACTGCTCATCGAAAGTTTGGTTCATAAACACATTCTACTATAAACAGTAGAATACATGTTCCGAAAAATATTTAAATATTTTTCCCGTTTAAGTTTTATTAATATTTTTTTTATTTTTCAATTTCAAAAATTCTTCTAGATTTTGTTTTTGATTTAAAAATTTTCTAGAGCTTCTTTTTAGATTTTTTATTTAAAATATTTTTCTAATCTAATTTTTTTTCTTTTGTTTATTAAATTGTAAATAACTTTTTTAAATGTTAATTTTTTGATTTTTACAGATATCTATCTATTATTTTCCTTAATTATTTTATATTTTAAAATACTTTTTAACTTTTAAGTTTTTAGTAATTGTTTTATTTCTCATACTTTTGTTTTTAATTTTTTTATCAAACTTTTAATTTTATAGTTTTAAGTTTTTTATTTTCTGTGCTTAAAAATTTTTCTTTTAACTCATAATAAAAATAAGAATGAAAATAAAACCTAACCTGTATCATCTTCTGTAGCAGTCGCGGTGCATTTCTGCCGCAAAAATGATCGCACTCTGGCCCGTAATTGCAAAAAAATGCGACTCAGTTACGCGTAACTATGCCGTAATTTTCCGCAATTATGGGTCACAGTGTGATCGCAGTTACGCCGTAACCGCGCCGCAGTTTCATCGTAATGAAACATATGGGCGTTATTATTCCATAGAGTGTACATTTAAGTGATTAATTGAATAACAAATTGAACAAAATCACTTAATTCAATTAATGTACTCTCTTCTTTATATACGACTAACTTATCGCAACGAATTTTTATTGCGACGAAGTGATCGTGTGAGGAAATGATTGCGACCATATGTACTAGTGCCAAACAAACAACAAACTCTACGTTTTAGTATGTAGTAAAAATCAAAAAGAAAAGAACGTGTTGACTAGCTATATAAATAGAGACAGTGATTAATGTCTGAATAACAAAATAAAGTCATTCACAATTATCGACTTTCTATACGAGACAGTAGGTATTCAATATGAGTGGACAAAAAGTCAAGCCCAAAGCTACTGCTGCTGCTGAAAGTAGAAAAGCAACATCATATGCAATGCAATCAAGACATCGGATGAGCCAGAATTATTTGGTAATTTGGGTCAATGGTAATATCGATTCAAATAATGAAGAGTGTCAAAATACATTGGAGCAATCGCGTGCAGTTGTCAGAGAAGTGATTATTTTCACAACATCGGCCCAATGTATTCAATATCTGAAAGGTATGGGTGACGAAAAGGCATTTATTATTTCGTCAGGAGCCTTAGGACAAAACCTCGTAGATGAAATTCATACGATGACACAAGTTGATGTCATCTATATTTTTTGTGGTGACAAGGCGTGCCGTGAACAATGAGCAAATGAACTGGTCAAAGATTCCAAGTGTTTTCACCTTAATCAAACCAATATGTGAATCACTCAAAACCGTCACCCATGAATGCGATCATAATACAATTTCGATGAGCTTCGTTCCACAGCAAATGATGACAGAAGGAGGCAACAGAATTTGATAAAAAAAATCTTGATCAATTAGAGCCATCATGCATGTACTAAATGTTATTCAACGAAATCATATTATAAATCTATGAATACTTTAGTGATCTATTGCCAACAACAAAACATTCCTGAGACACAAATAAACTTATTACAGAGTCATTACCGTCAGAAGCCACCGATCTGGTGGTATACGAAAGAGATGTTTCTCTATGGTATGTTGATATGGATGCGCTGATAAAATTAAGCTTTTTTATTCGAGATCTCGATCTTCAACTGGAACAATTGCACGAGGAACAGCCGGCGAATTTCCAGAAATCATTTACTATTTTTCGTGGTCAAGGGCTCAGTAAAAAGGACTTGCAGAGTCTAAGTAATTCAAAAAATGGACTGCTTTCGCTCAATAACTTTTTATCAAGTAGTATCAAAGGAGATATGGCTATAGGATTTGTTCAAGATGCACTACACACAAATGCATCTACGATGGATATAATTTTTCTTATGACAATTGATCCGAATAAAACTTTAACGTCGACAACTAGATTGGTCATGTTCGATGTTTACAGTGCTCTTCCACAAGAGAAAGAAACACTTTTTGTCATGCACGACATTTTTCGTGTGAGTAATATTAAACAGACAATCAAAAATAATCATCTTTGGGAAGTACAATTGACTGTTACAAGTGATAGCGATCCACAACTGGCTGGTCTTGCCAATCGCATAAAAAAGGATCTTTGCGGTTCTTCCGAATGACTTGATGCTCGAAGTGGGTCATTTCAATCAAGCTGAAGAACTATACAATGAATTACTCAAGAATGCTTCCGACGACAATGATAGAGCACATATCTTTCATCGGCTTGAATGGGTGAATCACAAGCTAGGTGAATACAAAAAAGCCATTTTATTCAACGAAAACGTTCTCGAAATGAAGCAAAAACTTTTTCTAAGGGATCATTCTGAATTTACTAACATTTGTAATAAGCATCACTCTTACTTACACTATCATCGGTGACTACACAAAAGCACTGGAATTTTACGAAAAATCACTTGAGATAAGAGAAAACATTTATATCCAACTTGAAAGTTTCTATTTTCAACTGAATTCAAGTTTCCAATTTCCCTAGTCAGCTCTCCCTAGAAGAATCCTTGGGACTTCGTTGTTTTGCGGGGGCTCCCCAAGGAGTTGCCTGGAGTAAATGGATGGAATATCTAATTACTAATAAATTCTTCTTAATTTTTTTAAATTTAAAAAAATTCAAGAGTTTTTTGTTATTTTAAAAAATCTCACCAATTCTTCCCGAGGAGTCGTCGGATGATAGTGGATTAGGGTTGACACTACTGCTTGATTGTGCAACAGCATATATACACATTTAGATGAAACTTATCGTGAAATAAAATTTTATTCAACGGCATTGACATATTTTGAAAAAGGATTAAAAATATGTGAAGTAAAGCTATCGAAACATTATCCTAGTCTATCTGAAATCTATCACAATATGGCAAAATTATACTTGTCTATTCGGCAATATAGTGTGGCAAGGAAATATGTACAGCAATCAGTAGATATTGGGCAAGAGAAAGTATCTTCAACTCAGCCGTATCTATTGGAATACAGAGAAACATTAGATGAAATTCGAAAAAAAAATAAACTAAATATATTTTTCCTTCTATTACATTTTCTCTATAAAGATTGATTTGATTATTATTTACTATTCACTAATCATGCATGCATGCGACCAAAAACTACGTATAGAGAGGATCACACCGTAGTGATGGAGCAATGAACTTAAGTAACGACGACAGGGAACATACATGCATCGGTGGCTTTCACGGGTACTGCACTACCATCGCCATAACTGAATAATGAAGAATCTCTCTGGGCCAGGCTACGAAGCCGCACTTATAGGTTGTGATAACATTAAAAAAATCGCACCTCTCACTTGCGTTTCATAGATATACAGTTCATCGAGTTTTTTCATGTCATTCACTATTTCTTACATGTGAACTGATAGAATACAGCGTGTGCATGCATTCGCTACGCTACCATTGCTAGAGAGGAAAGAACGAATCATTTTTTACACGTGTGTGCATTTTAACGACGCTAGAATACGAATCGAACGAGTAAAATCAACATTCATGTTCAGAAATGAATGATGTTTGCTTATGGGATATAAATTTCTATCACTCATATCGTATCTTGATTACACCGACAAATAATTCAAACCTTTCGACCAAAATTACAGGAAATTTTTGATTTTATTGTTTCCTCTTGATCTTGACATTATCATCCGTGAATGGACGCGATGATTATTACTCATTTTGAATGACTAGTTATTATTTATCAGAGTACTTAACGAAGGGATTGCTATTGCATTTTTATAACTGTACGATAAGCGCCATGTAATAATTTCAATTCAAATATTTATTTGAGATATTATACTGAATGTTTCTTTTTTTACACCAATAGAGAGTATCATGGTATTTTTCTGTCATTATTTCATTTGCATGAAATACTAAGTCAAACATTGATTTTCTAATTCGATACGGTGGTTTAATTACATGTAAAACAGCCGTTCATATCTCATTATTTTTCTGCACAAACTTATTTTTTTTCTTAAAGGCAAGATTCTAATCATTCGCCATATTCTTTCATAAATAGATATCATCACCATTGGTTTTAATAGTTGAATAGAAGAATTGACTGATGAAGGGCAGACAATCAATGTTAAACCTTGATAAACTGTATGTCATACGAATATTAACAGTATATCTTGATTTCTCTTTCCTCACACACAATCTACCCGGTGCTCTTATCTGTATTTAAAAGAAAAATATGCACATACATATCTCTAAATTTTAAAATAGTTCATATCAACATGTTGTCGGTATGAAACGATTTGTTGCTTTATCATAGACTTCTGTGATATATGTTGCTTGTTCTGGTTCTCGCGACCGACGACCATTTCTATAACAGGAAGTATAATCATTCCATTGTTCAGTCGTAGTGGAAGGTGGATAATAATCGTAATTATTCGTGTTTATATGATCCGAATGAGTTGAATGCGATCGATATGTTGGAGAAGTTTCCGGCCTAACAATACTTGTGATATACGCATTTGGACGTTTTTTCGATGGTGCTACATGGTTCGATGATGTTACGTCAACAGATGATACGGTAGATGCTATTTTGAAATCAGACTTTTCGTGTCGGTTTTTAGTCTTTTTTTTCATTTCTTGTGAAGTAGATTCATCTTTAACCGGGATTTTTCTAATTTTAACTTGTTTAACCTGAACGAATAATTAATTATGTTGAATAGGAAGAGCGCATAGCTTATTAACTGTACCTTTTCTGGACGAGATACTTTTATTGGAACTTGAATTGGAATGAAATGTACTGAATCAGAACTTTTGGATGATTTTATCTTTGATTTTGATATCTCTTTTAAAGTTGATGAAGCAACTGGTGATGTATTTTTATCCGTAGATATTTCACTAGCAAGATATTTTGTAGGAACTTCTGGTTGTGGTGTGACTGACGGTTTATGTTGAATTGTAATTTCAGTGACTGATGTAGTATTGACAGCTTCTTTCGCAGCTGCTTCTTTCGCAGCGGCTTCTTGTCGTTGTCGCTGTTTTTCGACAAGAAAACGATCAAAAAGTATCAATTGTTTTAGAAATCCATCATTAGGTAAAACACATGGACGAGCTTTAACAACATGAACGATACATTGTTCGAGTGAGACATTGTATGTATGCATGAGATAAGCAATAACAATAGCTGGTGAACGACTAGCAAAAAAAGTATTTCTATTAGATTCATCATTTACATTTAATAATCGATTCAATTACCTTTGCCCATGACTACAATGAACAAGTACACGAGACTTATTCCGTTTCGCTTCATCAATAAATGTAAAAGCTTGGTTAAATATTCGTATGATATCTTCTTGATCGTCATCACGAAGATCAATTGGAAGCGTACGAATATCACTGGAATAGTACGGACAAAGTTCAACATCACGTATAGCTACATTAAGTATATATCGAATACCTAATTTTGATAGGCGATGCGTATCATGTGCTGAAATACAATTACCAAGAAATAGATACGGTTCAATTATTATTGATGGTTCAGTAACATTGAACTGCGTTTTAAATAGGCGATGAAGACGATTAAGGCGTACCTCGGCTGCCAATATTTGATTTAAATGTGTTGCTGCTGTTGACTCTGTTGGCTGGTAGTGTTTAACTTGAGACATTTTTCAATGTGAATAAATGATTGCTAATTGCAAGTAAAACGAATAAATAAAGATGCAAATACTCTGTGTGTACACCCTACACACACGATGCGAATCTCGCTCTCTAGTTTTGCTCTTTCTCTCGCTTTTTCTCCGCTTGCTCGCTCTCTTGTTTTAAAGTATCGCGATCAGAATAGTATGCAGGCATTATTTCATGCACGTCCGTGTCAATATATATACATATAGATTTAGATATAATGGGTGAAGCGATGATGACCTGGTGATGAAGTGATAATAATAAAAAGTAGGACCGATATATCTATAAAATAAATGTACGCTGAATTGAATCACAATATGAAAATAACGAAATAAACTAAGATGGAACGACCAGCATCATCACTTATTTTTATTATTTTCACAAAAAACTATTAATATGCTTTTGTATTAATTGCAATATGGTTTCTCTTTTTCACTTAAGTTTGTGACAAGTGATAAGAAAAAAAAATGTTTAGCCTTGGATCTAATAGTATAAAAACATATTTTTCTCGTCTCATTCCAAGGCTAGCGATTGATATCTCTTTTTATTGGCCTTCAACTTCACTGAAAATGACTAATAAATTAATTAAGAAGTTTCAATAGAACAGATGACAGTTTTTCATGTGCTATTTACACAACAACAACAACAACAACAAAACGAACAGAAAAAATTTCAATACAGTCACTCGTAGAAAAATTCTTTGTAACCAAAGTTAACAAATCTATATTTTTAGATCTACTCAGCAGAAATTATGGCCTAAAAAATGAATCTTTGTATTTACGCTTGATGAAACCAAATCCATATACATCAGTTTCGATCTCATTCAATTATTCTACACGACAACAGCATGTTCCTTGTTGTAATCAATCATATCGGACATTGTGATCTTTACCGACTATTTTTCATACGAGTATTTCGTGATTCATCATAATAGCAAAACATTGATTTATATGTAAATCAATGTTTTATTTTAATTTTACATGATGTTGAAAAGTTTATGATTCATAAATGATGATGATTATATTAACAGCTTTTTATGTCGCATAAATGCTAATTTTTTCGTTAAAAATTAAGTATGATACATCTAAAACATATAATTATATATATATAAACGTGTATATAGCTGGTTTGACAACTATGAAAGACATTTTGTTTATTCTATTTTGCTCGTTTGCAAATGTACAAAAAAGGGCACCATTCAATCAGGGTGCGATAATGATAATGGTGGACGAAATTCGATCATTAACACATACTCTTGTACAGTACTATTTGAGCATTTTTGTTTTGCTAAATGCCAATGTAAACCAATTTTATGATAAAGACGAGCATTTTCCCAATCGAGAACTTCGTTTACTGCATTTTTCGAACGCTTATTCAAACATAACACAGGACATAATGAAAGACCAAAGGTACAACAACAACATATACAACCAAATAATAACCTGAAATAGAGAAAATAATAGTTCGTTTTTAGAATCAAATATTTGGTGGCATTTTGTTTTTTGACAAGATAAGGTTAACCTTCAATGTTAATCTTGTGAACAATTTTTGTTCGTCTCGTCTTTCATTTTTATATAATGATAACATTTCAATAACTTATCAATTTCATTCACACATACAATAAAATATATATATATATATATATATAAATCATTCTCTGACAATAAATTTGTCTATTCATACATATTGACTTAACATAAAACAGGTAAAAACAACGACATGGAAGATTTACGAAAGGAAAACAATAGATGGAAAATGTTCACACGGACTTATTGACATCTATAAAAAAAAAAAGACATTTACGAACTCTATAAAATATTGCAACCTAAACCTTTATCTAAGGAAGTTTATCTATAAAAAGTCATCGCTTTCTTTCACTTACCATTTAAAATTCATTGGAACATTTTTTCTCAAAAGCGTATTAATTCGTTTAATCGTTTCTTGATATTCATCTCGAGAGACTTTATAATTTAAAGCTTGTGGATATTCTTCATCAAATTTATTATTCAATGCAAATACAGTTATATGACCAGCACCGCGAATAATAATCGGTTCAGCTAATCGTGCTGCGTAAGTTGGTACAATATCATTATTATCATCAATGATTTGATAATGATTTATCCCAGTAAGTTCAAGAGGATGTTGTTCAGCAATTATATCCAGTTCCTCCATCGTTGTTTTTATATTTTTACTATTTATTCATAATCTAAAAATGAGTCAACTTATTTTTTTCTTTCGTTCTACATTTTAGAATGTTTTTATGTACTCTATTCCTTACGCTAGCAATATATTTTTTTCATCACGAAAAAACTCATTCTTAAAGAAAGAAAAAGTAACGGAATAGCTGTCAGATTCATACGCTTCATTTCATAGTGTATGGCACACATAAAATACCAACTAGACCTTTCGTAGAAATAACGGAACTATATAAATATTCAATTTCTCGCCTATGATCCAATATTCGTCAGTAAATTTTATTTTGTGTTTTATTCTCAAAAAAGAACTCTAATCATTGAAACAACTTAACAAGTGTTTAAAAAAGAAGAAATGGCAACGAAAAAAATTGTTCCCCATCGTTTTATTCGTTTGATTATTGCTCATCTTCTATGTGCTATTCATATGGGCCTTTCAATTTATGTTCTCTACATGATTAAGATCAAAACACAGCTATATTTCATTCCTATGTTTGGAACGATTTTATTCGGTATTGAAGCTATAATTTCTTTGGCATGCTATCGATGTAAAGAATATTTTCGTGGTTTTTCGATTCTTATATTTGTTTACGCGGCAACAATTATAGCGTCTATATGGGTTCTTGAACTGCATCGAATCAATCAGCTTAAACATGATACATGGAAGATTGTTCCTATATTTTTTCCTGTTGCCCCTTATCAACATGGTAATGCTGCCCAAAGGCCATGGGTTAATCCAAAAGAAATTTTAAAAAATTTCAAATATATATGGTCACAAGTTGAAATTCAAGTTTTTCTATTTCTTCTTCTTGTACTTCGTGCATTATTGCCTAAACAAGATTCGATATCCTATTTTGGTAAAACAGATTTGTTATTTAAATATTTTGCAACAGGCATGGATTCATTGGATTTTATTGATCTACTATCTTATCCTCAGCTCTATATAAATACACGTCTCGTTTATGCAACATTAGTTGTATGGTCAGTTAGTTGTTTACAGTTTGTTATTTATGTTCCTGAAGTTACTAATCATCGATTAAAGGAATTACATTCGTTATTAACCAATTCTCTGCTTATAACATTTCTTATGGATATTCCATTTCTTGTTATAAGATTATATGCTATATTTGGTTGTGGTAGTCATGATTATACAAGTTATTTTTTTGTTTTTAAAAATATTCTTCTGATATTATTGCAAATAGCACGTATACAAGCCATTATTGTCGAACGAAATCTCCATCGAAAAGATGAATTAGCTAAACTTACGTATAAACCACAATCGCCGTTTGATACTCGAGCTAAACCACATCAGTTATCTATACCATTGTCGAATAATAATAATAATAAGAAGAAGAATAAAAACAAGAACTCCGGTGGAGCTAAAATTATTTATACAAATTATGCGCAAAATTATCCAAGAAGACAACCAGGTGATGGTAAATTTATCAATGCAAACGGTTTTAGTAATGTTTAATAATATCTGAAAGAATGAAATAACACTCTTTGAAATGATTTATTCGATATATTACGTTTTTTTTTTCGACATTCAGAGAGAACTTCTAGAAGAGAATAATATCAATTGGATTCTGACCTCAGAACTTTGAAGAAGTGACTATCGTAAGAAAAATATCGAAAAAAAACTTTTATCTTCACAGCTATATTCTAAATGTTACTGTTAGGATCTCACCTATGAGGGTCATTAATTTTATATTTGAATTTTTTTGTCCAACTTCAATTTTAGAGGTCATCTGTGTATATTTCGAATATAATCTCACAAGTAACAAATCATTGAAAACAGTTGTCTCCTAAGTTAAGAATCTTACTCTTTTCTCTTTTGAATGAGCAGTTGCTTATCCTGGTTAGCTACTATTTCTTTTTATTGTTTGATTTTATTTAGTCATGAATTTAGTGAATTTTTACACTTTTAGTGTCTATTGTGTATGATGAACTTTGTTGAGCTTTTTAATGTTCTTCTATCGAATTTCATAAAACGAAAAAAGATATAACACTTCGATTATAGTCTTTTAATGACTGATTTCAAGTGTTTATCTGTTTTTTGGTATATTTTCTTTTCACGTTATCTTTACTGTAAAAATAAAAAAAATGAGCATACGCTTAAAGAAGAATTTTATTTATCTTACATTCGATCAGATTCTATTGTTTTAGGCTTCTTTCTGACAGTTTTTCTATTTCATTACATATTGTGCACACAATCACAAGCAGCAACATTCACTCATTATACTGTATTATCAGTACTGACTCTGGATAATGTTTATGTTCTAACACCATCTATATGTCTCGTAGTAGGCATAATATTATTGTGAGTAGTGATCAATTTCTGAAAATTGAGATAGTGCTAAACTGATAATAATGAAGTATTGTAATCAATATTTGTTCTAGGAATGAAACGATTTTACAGATAATGAAGAGAAAAGCCGTTCCAATTCTGAGCAGGAGAACAGTACAGGATATTCTAAAATATTAACGAAAATGGAGAAAAAACTATGCATACAAACAAATATTGTATCTTGTGATGGATGATGGAGACGGCATGATTAAAGCTTTGACAATAACCAATTAGAAAAGTATGAATAATCTATAAACAGTATTGGAGACAATAAGATGAAAGAATATTAGAAAACATTCAAATATTCTAGCGTAAATTGAGTGATTTCTTCGAAGTTTTCCATTTATACATGTGCACATAGAGGGCGCTCTAGCACATATCAAAATCATTGCTCCAGAATTCCGGCAACTATCGTCAGGAACCGGTCGGCATTTTATGAATCCGACAGGATTCTGGCGAATGTGAGTGACCTGAAAATGATAACTTTACTTTTTTTTATTAAGAAGTAAAGTTCGGTGCGAGATATATTCTACATTCGGCAGCATCATAGAAATTTCTTTTGGAATTATATCAATTTCCATATCATATTTTGTTGAATCTACAGAATAATTATAGTGAACAATAATGAATAATAAACTATCAGTTCTCAATTCTTCGAGACATCGTTCTATTCAGTATGCTTCCTTTTCCCGACCTTTCTACGGTTAATCTATTGAAATACACCAGCAAAAAGTGCCCTCTATCAACTAGGACGCATTTCGCTTCGAATTTTTGAATGAATCAGTACACAAAAGTAATCTATGGATATCTCATTTCGTAAAAACATTCTTTTTGCACAAATATGCATCAAGGTTTGTTATTGCAGGCACTATATATGTAGGTACAGAGAACCTCATCTTCTAGAGATTAAATTCTGTTTAAAATAGATATGAATTCAAAATCTTTTAACTCAAGTTTTGATGGAGGAACAGTGAAATTAGTAAATAGATGATTCTTGGTAATCGAAAGTTTTGAAAAACCTTCCATTAAAGGTGACTTCTTTGTGAGAAAAACTAGATGATTATTTTGACTCTTTGCCCTATGCCATAGTTCACTTTTAGACTTTTCGTCTTACTCGTTTTGCTCAAAATATAGAGCACAAATTTCTGCATTAAGCAATGTATGACTAGACTTTCTTGATGAAGATCGCTACGTGAAAAGTGCAGAATACTAAAAATGTCTGAAAATTATGTGTATCGCTGTATATGTGGATGCTAAAAACATAGAGACACAGAGCTGGGGAGAATACTCGAAGTATTCGTATTCAGAGGATTGACACTCGTACTCATACTCGAGGGTCAGTACTCGTAAATATACAAGACACTCCTGTCTTTATTCATTTAAAAATATGCACGTTTCGTATTGAAACATTATCCTGCCTGTTGTTCTGTTGAATACTGAAGCCAACCACTGATGACTTCTTTTCAATCTATACTATGGTACATTTCGGTATTTGTACCAGAGCCAGCAGCGAGAAGATTTCCAAAAAGGAAATTTCCTAGCTAAAAATACATATCTTGGAAACTACAGAAATGAAAAAAGTCAAGTTTTAGAAAATACCCAAAACATTCGTAATTACCGTAATATTACTCATCATAAGTCAAAACCAAAATAAAGGAGCTTTCTCAAGAAATTTTCTGGAAATTATGACAAATATAGAAATTTCCGTAATTTCTATATTCATATTGTACAAGGATAAGAATACATGTGTATATAGATTTAAAGACCCTACCTTCAAGAATGGGAATAATTTCTTGTAATTTTGGTAATTACCTGAAATTACGATAAATACAGAGGCTACTAGTGAGTCTACTTCTTTTTGTGTACTAATTTGCTTTCATATTATGAACTATTGCAGCAATTAACGGAAAATTTCTTTTTCTCTGTGAAACTAGTTTCAGAAATTTTGCTGAGAGGTATCTGAAAATATGTTTTTTTCTGATAATTCTCTTTCGTATATAATGGCAATTACGGAAATTTCTGTTGACCCTATTATATGTCGTTTAATAGCGAGAGAAATTTGTTATTTTGTGAAATTTACTTTTTCGGAAATCTGAACATACCTCACCAGATTTGGAAAGAATACTCGAAGTACTCCGTATTCGAGAAAGCCCACACTTTCCCAGCTCTGTAGCGGTAAACAGAGGATCATTCGGTTGAGTAATATTCTGGGATTTTAATATTCAACTCGTTGATGTCTCATATACATATAGCGACGAAGTCGTGAAACAAACTTCTGCCTATTATACACTCGCCAGTTAGAGAATATTGATTTATCCTTGATCATCTTTCACTTTGTGAGTCTGATGTCATATTTGTTTTCTCCGTCGTTGGTCTGCTTTCGTTTTCTGTGCCATTCACGCATAAATAGATTGCCACGTCTTTCGACTTCATTAACGATTCAATATTTTTTTTCTGCCATAGAAATACAAATCACTTATTCATTTTTCTTTCTATGAAAAAGTATACGTGAAGGTCTCATATACTAGATGATATTTATTTCTCTTCTTATCTAGATTTATATTCTATCAACTCTCACATGGCGTCCTCGACAGTAGCAAAGACGCACTGCGCTCCATGTGGTAAATTAACAGGTATCTTCACATGCCGTGGATGCGCCAAAGATTTTTGTACACGTCATGTGAGTGAACACAGGCAGATGCTCGGAAAACAAATGGACGAAGTCATTCTAGAGCATGATCAACTGCGTCAAAAATTGGATGAATTTATGGCTGATCCTAGAGTACATCCTCTAATGATAAAAGTCGATGAATGGGAACGAGAATCAATTGATAAGATTCGTCAGGCTGCCAGTGCTGCTCGACAACAACTATCGAATAGGATTCGAGATACAAACAAAGAAATCGGTGATTTAAAACTTCTCAGTCAGGAATTGACCAAAGCTCGTGACGAAGATGATTTTGTTGAGACAGATTTAACAACATGGATAGAAAAACTTGAGAAGCTGTATAAAGATTTTAATGCACCCGATACTATACAGATTCTACAAGATGATAATGAGAAGCCTTTTATCTCCAAGATTACTATTAGTGCTCGAGAATCGATAGAAATATTTGAACTGTCCGCTGGTTGCACGCGAATCGAAGACAATGGTCAAGTAATGGTCCATAACCGATCAGCTAATCATGGATCAGTATGTGGCAAAGGTCAATATTCATCCGGACAGCATAAATTCCGTTTTGAATTCGAGCAGTTTAGTCCACAGAATTGGGCTTTCTTTGGCATCATACCTAAAAGTTCTATTATAAAAGACAGCTCTTGGAATACTCCAACAGTTTACGGATGGACAACAAACTGGAATGTCACTCGTAATGGTACTCAAGAAGGAGTAACAGTGGCAACTAGAAGCGACATAAACAAAAACGATATATTCGAATTATTAATGGATTGTGATCGACGAACAATACGCTTAACATGCGTCAAAATGCCAACCACTGCTACACATCAGCTAGATGTTGACATTGCTCTGTGTCCCTTTCCGTGGAAAATTTTTCTTGGACTTCAATCATCAGTAGGAGATCGTATTAGAATACTATGATTGAATTTCTACATGAGTAATCTTCATATGTATCGTAGTCTTTTGTAATATAAACTGTTCTTCTTATCATGCGGGTGTTGGGAATGTCTATTGAATTGCAAAGAATAATTACTAGGATCATTATTAGACAACTTCGAAACCTTGCGACTGGATATAGATCGATCTCGCACAAATGAAATTTGAAATTTCTATAAAAATAAACTAATGTTAATGTGAAAGGGTTCAAATGTTTTCCTAAGTATATATTTAGGAATGTTGAAGATCAAATCTGATGGCAAGAAACGCTAGTATGAACGATTATTAATTCTTAACTCTGTTGATTAGCGATTTCATCAATGAAGATATCCAACGATATGAACTTTTAATTAAATATATCTTATCCGACACCATGAGAATAATCATATTCGAAAGCATAAACTTTTCTCCTAAACAGTGGGATAAAAGTGTACCGTTAATTTTCTTTCTTTTTTATGCCATTTGTTGCAGAGTCAATCGATGTTTAATAACATTTGAAACAGCTAACATCTCATACGATCAGTTAACATTTTCTATTTTCATCCAAAACATTCTCGCCCAAACCATCTCCGGTTAATACAAAAACAGTTTATGACTAATCCCGCGATGACAACCATCGTCTAACTCGTATGATCTCTTGGCTTGAATATTAGCATACCACTTTGTTCTGTTCTCTCATCAGTCAAATTCATATTGAGTCGAACTTTTCATCTTATCTGTAATTAAAAATCCATAATCTCATAATAAATTTGAATCGAAACCAACAGGCATATAATAATTTAATTGCATACCTATTTCTACCGATGTCTTTACTTTTAATTATTTATAAATTTAACAATTTCTTATGGTAGAATCAGATCTATTCTTCGGCGATGTCAGAAATATCAGACCGTATATCTCCATCTGAGAAAGCTAATAACGCAAATACCGACGTTTCTTTCTCAGGCTCGTCGATAATTGATCTAATGCCTTTTAAAACTATAACCCGGTCGTTGTAATGATGATGTAAACTACCATACTACCGATCATATAGGATACAGGACGACTTAATAAAAGCCGTGTTGAAAAACAGATTCTTGCTAATTCTGTTTTTAGAACTTCTGCTGGTACGATTAGATGTCAACTCAAAACAAAACAATAAAATGGAAGTACTTCGAACTGAAAGTTAGCATATTTTGTCGAATCCTTGATGATTCGTTGTAGTGCATAAACCAATTTCTAATCACACATCAATCGACATAGAAATATAAGATAATTTGTGCACATAAACGAATTTCGCAAGTCTTTAGATTCGATTGTAATCTCGAAAACTTCAGCTCAAACTTTATAACAGCAAATGCAGACTCTCCAGTTCACTCGAATGGATTTTGTAAACGAGGCTAAGAGACGTTTTTCTCAGAAAAAAACACTAACACCCTCAAGATTTTCTATTCATAAGAATTGCTTAAATATTTTATTTTATATAGTTCGAGAAAAACTGTACTCTGTAACCCAACCAGTGACACTAGTGATTTCCAATATGTGTAATAAAACTTCGTACATCCTTTGCAATCGAAAAAATAAGACTCGGCAGAAAGAAGTACAATTCCGTTTTATTATTCGCCGTAATCATAGGAGTATATATAATCGCGCACAAGTAATACATTTATCAAAATCTCACTTGCTCACCTAATCACCCAATATCTTGCTTAAGGCAGTGACAGTTGCTCTCTTATTTTCATACTGAATTTAATCACGCATCTATTATTGTACTACGTAGCTTCTCAAAAGAGATACTTTTAAAAAAAGACCCATAGCTACTGAATGATTTCTTATAGCTACTTGATGAATTCATAACTACTTGATTATTGTATAACTGCTTCCAACTTTACTATTATTATTCAAAGATCACGCATTTATTGAAAGTTCATGTGCCTCTTTAAAGATTCTACATCAATTAAAAAAAAACATCTCAGCCATATTACAAACAAGAGACAAACCTTATTAATATGATTTCACATATTTTTCCAAAAAATCCTATTACCTATCTCTTCCTCTTTTATATCATTAATACCCCCAATATCATAAATATTTGAATATCCTAATGAATCAAATACAGATTCACATTATGAACACAAATTGTTTTACTTGAATTTATCTGAGAAACAGCATGATGAACTTCGCCCAGGTCGAACATTTCGGCCACCGGATCCCGTAGGATACTCCAGGGAATATGCGGGAAAGTCACCGTATCCTGCAGGAAAACACGGGAAATCGCTGGAACATGGAAGTAGTATTCCGATCAAAAATACGGCCGAACTTTTCTGGCGAATTCCTGCCAAGTTCCGGTGCTTTCCGACAGGAATTGATCGGAAATCACCGGAAAAAATCCGAAAAGTTTCCAACCAGATTACTGCTTCCACAAAAACAACGGAATTACCCCGAACCGGTCGTTTCCAGGCCGGACTGTTCGAGCTGGGTCAATAATAAAAAAACAACATCAACTCATGAACATTTGAAAGTAATCCGAAATATAATAGAAATTCAAATTTCAAGCATTTCGATTATTTCATCGTCATCTAAATATGAAGACTTACATGTTTCACTTTCTCTTTAGTACATCCTTTTTAGCCTCCGTCGTCCTTTATATCATGGTATCATAAATATTTGATTATTCTCATGAACTCTATATACATTCACATTGTGAATACAAAATGTTTTGTTTGAGCTTTGCCTTAAAAACAATATAATGAGATTTATTCAGTATCTGTGATATTTATTCAGTATCTATACGATTCATTCAGTAGCTATGATATTTATTCAGTAGCTATGATATTTATTCAGTAGCTATGCATGTAAGCACTTCCGAGTGTGACAATAAAAAGAGCATAAACCAAAAAAGTAGCTATGCTATTTATTCAGTATATATACGATTCATTAAGTAGCTATAAGACTTATTCAGTAGCTTTACTTAAGAAAATGCAGCAGACTATATTAAAAAAGCATCTCTTTTGAGAATGAGCCATTATTGTATTGTATAACACAAGAAATTTTGCAGATTGTAAATCATGTTTTCGATCTTTCTAGATTTCCTAACGAAATATGAACAAATCCATTATCTTTGCTCTTCTCGTGGCTTTACTTGGTATTGACATTGCTACAAGTCAAACCAAATTCACATTTCCTGTAGAAGCGTGTATTGGTGGTTTGGCCAATGGCAGTTACGTGGGTTGTGCTGCTGCCCTGGCTAGTTCCATTTTGAAGATTCATCAATGGGGCGAAGACACACCGATCAATGTGTGTGGTAATCAGTGTACGAGCAATCTAAAGGGTCGCTTTTCGAGTTGGAAATGGAAATGGGATGCCAAGTTTCAATGTTCTACAAAAGGTCAAGGAATAGTGGGAACATCAACTGCATTGAGTCGAAATGGGTCTGTGCAGGGTGCTATCCAGGACTGGATCACAAAGGCATCAAAATCGGGTGCCATTAACGTAAATGACTTCAAATGCTGATTTGTTTTTCTGACATTGTAAGCAAATGAAAGTTCGATTCTTTTTTTTAATAATCAAGCGTTTTGATACATTGTTTCAATCGTCAGGAGATGTATGTGTTTATTTCTCTGCATGAATGAGAAAAATCGAACTTAAACGATATGATCCACCTGTGAAGAATCGCTTATATTATTAAACATCTCCTGCTGGCTATTTGCTTAGAATAGATGTTCGTGTTGAGTCAATTACAGTGTAGCATCACAGAGAGACTCCTATTGTATATCGTAAAACTTACCATTATTTATTATTTTGGTTTACATCTCAAGTAGTTTGACATCTTCTACTAAAATGAATTTTAATTTTATCGCATTTTATGCTCAATGTTGTAATACTAAATATGCTATTCTCAATCTGGATTTCGATATGGCTATTAGATGCATAAGTATATTCTCATATTTTCATTGATATTTGCAAGTCTGTTCTATACTATCGCTATAGTGGATTTTCCTACTATAAGTTGTATCATACCGTTTTGTAGAGAACTATAAGGTAAGTAGTATTCTCTGAAAACGAGCAGATTCTGTTAATGTTCAATTACTTAGTTAAAACGACAAATTTCTTCGTACTGTTGGTCAACATGAGTGAGTGACTTTCTTTTCGCCAATCGATAGGATAGTTCATAGTTAAATTTTATGCTCAGCCAACAATCTGGTGGCACTGCTAGTTGCTACCTATCTTCTCTTCGTATAGATCTTTGTGAATGGTTTCGATTCTGTAGTATTTCTTCATGCTTGTCTTTAGTCTCATGATTAATAAGAATCCATTTCACAAATTCTCATCACGTTATCAACCTCTTCAAACTAATTGATCGTCGTTCTGGCATTTGGTATTGTAGATAATTTTCCGCGATGTAGAAAGTGTTGAGAAACAAAAAGTTCGTCGGGGTAAATCTATAGGGATGTCTTCAAAGTCATTTTTTTTCGAAGCATCACAACATAAATTTCTTTGAAATCCTATGAAAATAATTTCGAGCTCAACAATTAAAATGTATGTGCGAATGCGGACCGATGAAAATATTGACACTCCAACCCATCGTTATACTAATGGTATTAATATTTGAGACTCGTAAGAATGCTAACAAAAACTTTTAGATGATTATAATCTTCTAGATAGACAAATTTTAGAGAAATATGTCTGTACAGCTTCGAAAACGTTTCATCTATTCATTGGAAATTCACATATCCAACGCATAGCAAGTTAGAAGATCTTATTTACAGAATAGTTCATCATTTTTCAAATAAAAAAATTCAAGACGTTTTTGAAGTATATTATCAGTAGCATAAATGATTGAAAAAAATAATATTTTCTTTGATCATCATGTCTGTACGGATTATTCCCCTTCCTCATTTTTATTCTTTCGATCTTTGATGGCTCTTCTGTACAACTGGCACCACATAACAATAAATCAATGTAAGAAAAAAAGGAACAGTTAAAACGATACGCAGAACACCAGCGCAACGAAAAAGAAAAGAAAAGTATCTTGCAAGATCTTTACGGACTTTCATTTTCAGTGACATTCACAGGCTCGTTTTCATAAACAAAACCGCCACCACCGCCAGCTGGAAATGCTGAATGTCCAAGGCCATATAAATGTCCTGAATATTTTCCTTCATCAATAGAATCTTCGAAAAATAATTCTTTCATTTTAAAAAATGCCAAGCCAGTCATTAAACTATCACTACCAGCTTGATGTTGTGGACCAATGCGTTCGATCTAAAATAAAAATTTCAAAAGAAAAAACCTCGAACAATCTACTCATTCAAAATAAAAATATTTACCTCTAGTTGTTTGGCTACTTCTTCAAGGCCACCTTTAAGATTCTTGCAACTTTTCATTAAATATTTCACATCGTAAATTGTTGGAAAAAATATTTTTAACAATTCAAAAAATTCACTTTCGGTATCCGGCAATAATTTTCCAGTCAACATTTTCAACATATAGCCAAAATCATAACCACTACACAGAAAAACAACAACATTATCTACGAATGAATACGAAACACTAAATACATACGCATGAAATGAAAGCCATGTGACATTTTCCATAAACACAACGCCTGATGTTGTTAATAGTTCAGCAAATAAATGTGGATCAATACCTTCTTCTTCATGCTTTTTAAATTGTATGCCCGACTTTTGTAACAATTCAATTGAATCTTGAGCATACATATCCATTCTAAAAGAAGCATTTACGAAAATAATGATCATCGTTTCTTTTCGTAATCTCTATTTTGGTACTTACGCTAAATTAAAATTAAAATTAAATTGATATGAACAAACACCCGGCGGACTTTTCCCTTGACTGTCCATAAATGTTAAACCTAATTGAATAATTTTCAAAAAGTCTACATTTAATTTTAAACATTGATACTGATATTCTGCCGTAGTTTTAAATTCCCCGAGTGGTCGAACAACAATACCAGGGAATTCAGTATCCTGAAAAAAAAAAATATAACAATGGCAACTACAATATAGCCTACGAAAACAAACCATAGCAACAAATGGATATTTTACAATCAATTTTCGTATAGCACGAAATTCTTCGTCAACGTTATGTGCCCAAACATCTTTTATTGTATATGATGGAATTGGTTCTTCCGGCATTACGAATTTATTTTTCTAGAAAACGAAAATAATGTCAAAAACGAATAAAGCCACAAATATTACTCACTCAATTTAATAATTCATGATGAAGCGAACGATAGTCTTATCGATTGCGCATTTAACTTTCGAATAATATATATGATGAAATCATGAAGGAAATTTACGTGCACATGGTGGAAGAAGCCTGACTAATCGGCTTTCACCAATCAAATAAGCATATAGCATTTTGCTGGAAAACTGGAGGTTAGTGACCTCTCTCGCTGAAATATTTCATTTATTTATTAAATGTTAAATATCAATTTAAAAATGATAAAGACAAAAAAAAATAATAAACTTTTATGTATCTTCCTCCGTGCCATATTTCTCCCCGCAGACGACACGACATTTCTCTTCAGTTTCAAAACGATTAGCATTTCCTAAAATGAGATAGAAAGAACATTTCGTGACGGAAAGATTTTCACATTTTTGTAAATTTTACCTCGGCAGCCACCATAAGTGAATTCTTTGCATTGCTTAGTTGATACATCAAAATAAAACGATGGGAACATTCCCCGACATGGACCTGGTAAACGTGGTAATTCACATTCGACCGGCAGTGTACGATTAACAGCGATTGCTAATGAAAAGAATAAAATCATAAGGCAGTAAATCAATTTGCTCATATTTGAAAGTAACATTGCTATACGACGCAGGAACAAAATGAAGTAAAGAAAAATTGCAGGTGTTTTTGTTTGGAAAGGATCGAACGGCTTAGACAATGTAATAAAGAACATAGAATAGATCGATAAGTATGATTAATACTTTCCGATGAATGATATGTAGAGCGATTAAAAAATATGAAAGAAACTATATAATAAATTGTTTTGATTTGCAGGCATAACTGAAGAGGTTCTATGAGTGTAGAATAGATCCATGTTGAAGGCCTACTACTCGATCTTCTTGATTGATCAATGTAAAGTCTTTTTAATTGTGAAGTTCAGATGAGGCTGGTTTTTTTTTAAATGAAAAATAATTCTTATCTATCTTTCAGATTAATCAATAGATTATATCTTTCAAGACATATTCAAATGAATTAATACGTATATAGTCATTCATGTAGAAATCAAGAAAGTTTCAACCTCAAATGAATAACATTCATCGAAATCGGTTGGTTTTTTTCTCGTATTTATTTGACTTGAACAGAAAATTTTTCGTAGAGGATGACATGAAGAACAATATTTCTCCAAAATTCTATTGAGGAAAATTTTCGATACCATCTGACCTATAATTTTCTCATCACACTATGTTATTTCAATCCGTTATTCGAAAACAAATATATTTACATATGATTAATTCTAATCGTTTATTTCATTGATCATATTTTCATAATCTATACATGATTTGACATTTGCTAAACTTAGTTGCTAGACATACGACATGCACAGTATGAACAAGAGGAAATCATTTTTACAGAGATACACATCTATGAATACAGACACACAAAAAGACACATTTTCTACACCTAAGATTTGCATTGATTCCTATTAAAAGTCGGCATCGAGTGTTAATTTATGTTCACTTGTAGTAGACATAATGCCAGCCCGTTGATAATCGCCGACACGTTTTTCAAAGAAATTTGTTTTTCCAGTGATTGAAATATTATGCATAAAATCAAATGGACAATCGCAATGATAAATCTGTAACATAGCAGGAAAAAAATTCTTATGCAGAAAAAAGAACGAATTCTACAACTTACTTTCGAACAACCAAGTTCAGCCATCAAACGATCAGCAACAAATTTAATATATTGTGCCATTGCAGCTGCGTTCATTCCGACAAGCGAACATGGCAGAGCATCAGTGAGAAATTCAATTTCAATATTTACAGCATCACGGAGAATTTCTTCAATACGTTCAGCACTTGGTTTATTAACAATATGTTCGAATAATAAACAAGCAAAATCAGTATGTAAACCCTAGAATAGAATCAATACATTGCGAAAATTTAAATAATAGACAGATGCAGGTTGAATATTTTTTTTTAGTCTCCACAGCGACTCTTCTATTGACGTTAATGCTGTGAATGAATAAAAATCTAACTAACCTCGTCACGACTGATCAATTCATTGCTAAATGTAAGACCAGGCATAACACCACGTTCACGTAACCAAAATATTGATGCGAATGAACCACTGAAAAAGATGCCTTCGACACAAGCGAATGCAACTAAACGTTCAGCAAATGAAGTTTTGTCATTCATCCAACGGATAGCCCAATCGGCTTTCTTTTTAACATAAGGTAAAGTCGAAATAGCATTGAATAAATGTTCACTACGAAAAAATAATATATAGAATTTATTGAGAAAAAATCTCAATCATACCGTTCACGCGGATCTTTAATATAGGTATCAATGAGTAAACTATACATTTCCGAATGAATATTTTCTATAGCTATTTGAAAACCATAGAAACAACGAGCCTCGGGAATTTGAACTTCCGATGAAAATTTTTCTACCTAAAAAGACTGAATAATTATAACCGAACGATATTTTTATGCAGGATTTTTACATACCAAATTTTCACCAACAATGCCATCACTGGCAGCAAAAAAAGCTAAGACATGTTTGATAAAATATTGTTCATCGGATGATAAACGTGACCAATCGTTCATATCATTCGCTAAATCAACTTCTTCACATGTCCATACCGATGCTAATGCACGTTTATAAAATCTCCATATATCATGATATTTTATTGGAAACAAAACATAACGTGATGGATTATCACGTAAAAGTGGTTCATCCTGCGCCGATGATTTCGTTGGATCATTCTTAATCGTAATAAAAAATATATAAATTATATCAAATGTGGCACTACGAATTTTTGCTTTTAAAATAAACTTACAATTAATATATTCTTTTCATTGAGTTCATTTCCATTTGTTACAGTAGAAACATTGATGTCCCGCATGATATTGAAATAAAAAAAGGACCTGTCTGTACTAAGAATTAGAATGATATGCTGTAACAATGTACTTTTCTGCTCTTTCTCTCTTTCTATATATATATATATTCGAAAGAAGAAAAAAAGCCGTTTGAAAAATCAAATAGACGAATAGAATAAATGTATCTTTGTCTACAGTAGACGAATGTACATATTATATTTTATGAACGGAAAGAACATGGAAAGCAACGGGTGTGACAATTGAAAAATATAGAAAAGAAAAACAAATGAATGCAGCTATTCAATTTGCACATATATTTTAAATGAAAATAAAAGTGGATTATGATCCAATTTGTTATATAAGAGCTTTTGCATTTAGAGATAATACGCCTTTGTAAAAAAATATTCCATAATAGGGTGGTGCTAGGTGAAATGAAAAATGTTCCAAACAGAATCTTAAAGACTAATTAAATATAGAAACTTTAGTTGTTAGATTGATATAACTGAATTTAATGATATTTAACTGTGAGAATGAATGGTGAAATTACTTTTTCAAATTTTTATATTTGTAGTGCAAAGTATAACAGAACCGAAGATCAGGGGTTAAAGAGTACGATCAAAGTGAAATTATTTCATTTTTACTATAAATATTCTTGATCTATTCTAAAATTGTTTATGATCAATTCACCAGTTGTATGAGCATGGTTCCTCATTATTCTTTAAAGTAGAAAGGGTTAAATTTTTACAGAAATTCTAGATTTTGTTGGCCGACAGTATCTGACAAAAAGCAAATACTTTGTTTCATAGTATCATTATCGTCCAAATAACCTTCTAGCAGAAATAGAAAATAAAATATCGGATGCACCAATAGAGTACAACTATCTTAGTGGATGGTGTACTGTAGTCAAAAACCCGCAAAACGTGTTTCGGGGGGGGGGGACTAATCCTCGTCTAACCGAAGAGTCTCTGTATAACGATCTGAAGAACTATCAGGATCTATTTTCTTTTAATTAGTTTTTTTCATTGGCTCTCATTTCAAACAGATCATTGAAACACGTTATTATTTTTTGTGAACGATAAAGGTTTTTCTTTTTTTTTAATATTAAAAATAGTCGTTGACTTCTTTTGTTTAACAATAAAAACAACAACAACAACAACTATCTTTCATGTATATATTTTTTTTGTGATACATCGCTGCAATTCCACAAGGAGACAAATGTTCGTTTTTGTTTCATTTTGCTGCTACTTGTGCTGTCGTCAATGTAGTAAGATTAGTATTAATCAAAGCTAGATTTGCTTTCCATGATTCAAGTTTTTCTTTCAATGATTGCCAATGTTGTTTTGTAAATGTTCGTTGAACAGTACTATCAATAATAACTTTACGAGCAAGATGATCGATCTTACAACGTATCATTTTCGTTCGAACAGCTGAAAAAAGCGCAAAATTAGAATTTTTGAAAATGAAATTCTGCTTGTCTTTACCTTCAATGATAAATGATTCAACGTCATCGGCTGTTATTTGCATTTGTTTTTCGATAGTATCGAACGTTACTTCTTTTTGGTTTTCTGCACTTTGAAGAAATGTTAACAATCGCATCTTAGTGATATTTCGATCATGTTTTACACCTAAATATATATGCAATTGGGAAAATAGAACAATTCTTTTAATATTTACCTGATGAGTCAATGAATGCTTTTTGTTTAGCATAAAACTCTAAATAATCTTGTAAACGACCCGAAACAAAGATGTTCAATAACTAAAATAGGAAAAAAAATTTAAGTATGGAAATAGATTCTTAATTTTAAATTTACATTATGAATATTTTCGCCTTCAAGAACTTTAACTGGTTCAAGTAAAAGTAAATGATCCATAATAAAGACATTAGGATCATTTATACTATTAATAATACATCTATAGTAACGAGAGAGAGAGAGAAAGAAAAAGAATTTTTTTAAGAACATATAAAATGATTTATCATTATACTTGAATGCATCCGCACGAGCCTTTGATGCGGTTTCTTTTGTATATGTACCAAGTAATTCCAATAGAAGTTGTAATGCATTGCCACTGAATATAAATGAATCGAGAAAAAACCAATGAAATATTCAATTTTCGTATGAAACAAAAAATATATACGAATCTCCTGTAGCTGCATAGGCTTCATGCATGTTACGATAGAGTTCTTGTACTTGTTCAGTTGATACCTTCCATTCTTTGACCCATTTTTTAACCTAGAATTAAAGAAACATTAGGTTTTAGCTCTTGAAGATTATAATGCTCTTCTATTGGAATTTAGATGTTTGATCACAATCGGATCTCAAGCAAGGTGATAAAAATCAGAATATTCAATATGATTCTATTCATGAAAAAATATGTTTAGACGAAAAATGACTGCCCTGAAGCTTATTTATTTTACGGAGTCTAATTATTGCCTTTTCTCTGACTATCGACTATGCCAAGCTCGATATCAAACAATTATCTTCTTTCATATAGAGCTTAGAAAAATAAGAATTTCACGTAGAATAGTTCACATTTTTGAACAAACGGCTAACTCTCTTCTTGGCACCGTTGTTCCTATTGGAAAACATCACAAGCAAAGAGAGTATAACCATACCTGATTGAGTCCAACTGAAACAGCGTTGATACATCGATGGTTTCGAGCGCATTTGATTAAATCAATCAAAATTCGATATTTATCTGTATTGCCACGCTCTGGTACAACATAAATTAAATTAGTTAGTCTATAAAAAAATGCAAACATTTAATTTTCTCTTTAAATCAAAATAAAGTTTTTCACTTACACACGAAGTTTCATTGGTCCATATTTTTCTGGCAAATTAGCATTAATAATAGCCTCGGAAAAATTTAAAATGGGCCGATTAATTTTATCTTCCGGTACAAGTAGAATTAAACTCATAACCGAATTAAGAAACATTTCCATTTCTAACAATTAAATAGATTTCAAATAACAATACAACAAAAACAAAATTCACAAACGGTTACCTCCTTCAGCTATTGTTTCTTTAAGAACATTTCTTAATTCTCGAATAATCGATTCAACTTTATTTTCAAAGTCATCTGTACTAAAATCTAATTCCGGTTGACCACCATGATCATGCATAAATTTTCCAATATCTTTCAGCTACAAAACTCAACACAATCGATCAAACAACAACAAAATATTTATCATAACATCATACTTGATCGTTAGGTTCCACATCCGAAAAAACAGCAGCAACGCATGTTGCTATAAAAAAAACAAAATTAGATGAATTAATTTACAATCGAACAAAGCTCACTTGGAATATCTTCTTTCATTCTTACGATGATAATAATAATCTAGAAATACAAAAATTTGTTACGCATTGCATTATTTTTAGCATAAATATAAAAACAGACACACAAATAATATCTGTAGTTAAATAGTTCACAATTTCTCTATGCCAATAGAGACATATTCAAATGGAAAAAAATATTAATACGAAGACTAATAAAGAAAAATAGCAAAGAAATTTTCTCACACGAAATAAAAAACCGAATCATTTGATATACTGTTGATAAAAGAAAATGCAATTAAGTCGAATTCAAATATTTTCATTTACTGATGAATCATTAAAAACTGTACTATTCTGATTTAGTAATAGTTCGTGTTTAACTTGATTGAGAAATGATTTGGCCATTCTATATTGTTTTGATCTTGGCAAGTCTTCAGTTAATATTAGAGCAGCGTCGATGCGTTCTGAATCGAAATTAGTTTCTGATATTAAGCGACTACGTATATCGTCGATTGTATTAATACTTGGGCCACAGGAATGTCTAGAAAAAAAAGTCATAAATAAGCAAAGCGCTTCGTCTATAATTGCAATTGTATATAAATAGATGAATTCTAGAGTTGGCCATCGCGTCTGAGAATTTAGCGCTGCTGCAATGGTATTCAAAAACATTGTTTTGATTTTTAAGGCTATGATTGGCTTAAACTACAAAATGCTACTGATAACTGATCAGTTTGTTAACTGTTCCCGTATAAAATATATGATACCCGAGATTCGATGCGAATCTCTTCTTAAGCAAGCTGCCGCCATGAACATCTTTGATGCGTTTGACCAAGGGAGAGGCGAGCTCCGGAAGTAGAGCATAGTGGAGGCGCACCCAGTCAAACATGGGTTGAAAAAAACGGTGTTTTTACGCGTAAACAGCGCACATTTTGATGCGTTAAAGCGCTTCTTTTGTTTTGAATCAAATGATTATCTCAATGTTGTCATTCGTAAGCTTCCTTTATTTGCCGAAAAAAATTCAAATTTCATGAAACGTTAAAGTGTGGGCTTTTTACGCGTAAAAACAACGTTTTTTTCAACGTTTGTCTGACTGGGCAGCTGAAATCTACTTCAGTTATACTCCAGAAGTCTCGCTTTCCCCCCTTAGTTTTGACAAAGCTATCTTTTCGTGAGCTCGTCCAGATAAATACCTCAACAAGCAGTTCAGTCGATGATGATTATTTTTCTCTCATAAGAACTGAAGCAGTTTCAAATCGTCAAGTTAGCACAAGTGTCAGTTTTCGTATGGATACTTGAATAGTGAATCGTTCTAGTCAAGAAATTTTTACAGTTAGTTTCTACTTAGTAAACCTGTTTTCACAAGTGATGACTATACACAACTATCTTCAATGAATTCGAAATCAGCAAAATATATTTCGGAAGCAATTTATAATTAATTACAGTGTTAAAAGCTCAATCTTCCTGAGACTCGTGTTTATATTCAACATAGATAGGAGATGCGTCTTCTCGTGTCAATCATATACCTTGTAGTATCATTTGTAGTAGCTACATAATTGCCACTAGCATCATGAAGATTAACCAGACGGATTTCTTCTGGTGCGACTGGAGATAAATCTAAAGAAACGCATAACCAATAGGTAAGCAAGTTTGATATTTTTAGATTCTTACTGTATGAATCATGGAGACCTTGATTCAATGAAATTGTCGAAAGCACTCTGGAATTTATACTTGAAGTTCGTTGTGAAACTGATGAACCACTATGATTATGTAATGGTGGTAAAATATGTTGTATAAACCGTTGAGCAGCTTTTCTTTTTGTAACAGATACTATTTTGTTACCGTTTGCTTCCATATTAATTGGTCTAGGAGGAACGGGAGGAGCCGCGGAAGCTCTATTATCCGATGAACTTTGTGCACAGTTAGAATTTTCATGAGTTGTTGAAAGAGTTTCTAAACTTTGAGCACTTGCATTTGTATCTGATTCTTGCTAGAAAATAATAAAAATTTGCATAAAAATTCTGATAAAATCTAATTTTGTTTACATCATCGGATTCATTTGGATTTGCGTCTTTTTTATTATGTTTCGATGAACTATGAAATGGATTCACAATAATAGATTCGAAACCTTTTATTTCACTACGACAAAATGGACATAATGGTAATGGCTTCGAACTGTGTTGATTCTATAAAACAAAACAAAAAAGATGAAGAGCTACTCGATCACTTTAGATTAATAAATGAATTTTACCTGCCAAGCTACGAGACAGCTTTGGCAAAGTAAATGACCACATGGCTGAATTTTGCAATCTTTATTATTAGTTGAGCATATTTTACATGATTCAAAACTTGAGCCCATACCACAATAAATTTCGTATTGTTCTTCCGAAACATATATACGATCGGATTGCGTTGGTCTTAATGCTAATGACAAATCGATCTGAATATTTTTTCCATTCGGATATTTATAACTAGAAGATATTTGATTCAGCGGAAGTCGATAAAACTTCAATACTTACTATCCGTCGCGTTCCCCATCGATTAATGCTCGAATTAATGGTTTTGTTTGTGGTATTGTTTGTAATATTGTACGTTGTGTTGTAACATAACCGATAGCCCATTGCCCAAGACGTGTACAACTTAACCGAAATACATAACTACTTGGTTTGTCAATATAATTCGCTAATATTGCTTTGACTTCGTCATAAGTCATAAATGCCATAAAACCAGGATGAGCAACAGCCAATAATTTCCAGTTAGTTAAAAGTGTCGACCATGGATGAAATAATCTATTCGAAAAACAAATGCAACTGGAATTCTTTTTTATATCACATTTTTGAATGTCTGGAAGTAGATTATATAAAAACCTTTTAACGGTACACAGACCCAAAACACCCACAGTCACTTGATTCTACTTCAAAAACGCATCAAAAAAAGTATTAAGGCCGATCTCAGTGTTTTAGAAATTTGATGTTTTACACTATCCTTCGAACCAATCAAATCTGACTGTACGTAACCGAAATTTCAAAGTGCAGGAATACACGATGCCGATAGACATTCAGTTTTCTATGAAGACGTTTCTATTGATACATCGTTTGCCGTGTTTTATCCAAATTTTCTCTGCTGGTGCGACCCCCAACCTAGACATGTGACATGATCGAAATTAGCACAGACCTAGTTGATATCACTCAATCTAAAATAATTTCGAATTTACCTTGTAAAAACATCGAATTCAAATATTGATACATAATTATTATCAGTTAAATCAATCGTATTTTTTAAAGCTAAAGATTCATTATAGGATTGTATCAGATGCACCTGATGAAGTTTGTCTTTAAATTCTTCCCATGGTACAATAGTTCTATAAAAACGCAAAAAGAAATTTGTTGTTTTTTCTTCTTCTCCTCATGATTTATACCTATTATGAAAATTGCTTTTCCAAAAATCTGCCGCTGCTTGTTTTGTTAAACGAAAACTTTCGCCCTCATAAATGCCATTGATGAATAAAGATTTGAGTTCGGTTAAATTATGTGAAAAATACAATGAAAGTTTAATGAAATATTTCCGATAACTTGACTGTTCATCATACATATGATGACCAGCACGTTTAAAACATTCGACTGTTTTTGAACATAAATAATAAATATGTCGAATGAATATGCAAAAATATTCTATATCATTTAATACATGTAAACGGTCATCATAAGAATCGATTATATCCGATAGTTTTTGATAGAAATCAGGTAGAATATCAAGCATATATGGTGGAGAATTTTTTAAATTCATCTTTGGCATTTGACAATACTTAACAATACGGTCCATTTTTTTCCATATTTTTTCTACTGTCCGCCGATCTACAGGTGTAGATGCAGAATGCTTACGATTCTGATTTGAATGGACTACTGCAATCGATCGGATACCATTCGATGAATTGTGTTTCGAACCAAGCAGAAGCCGTTTTATATTAGTTGCTGCGGCCTGAGCCATAAGCTTTGGATTTTGTTTTTACAATGAAGGAAATTTCAATTCATCTAGAAACAAATTTACAAAAAGCACTAATTACTATACATATTATATTAATTAAAAAAAAATACAAAATAAAACGAAGATGCTGTAGGTCGATTTTCAGATCACATGGCAAAACGGATAAATACGCTAAAAGCAAATATTTTCAAACAGTATATGCGTCTGGTGAATCATTTATCTTATTTGAATTTCGCAGGTCACATGGCAATAGCCAACATATTATCGGACCTAAAGAAGAAAAAGAGATTAGAAGGAGGAAAAATATTTTAGTTTTTTCTTCTTCGTACCAGAGCCAAAAACATTTTCAAATAACACACGTTTCGATGGTAAAACTCGTGGCGTGTTGCGAGATTCCTTGTCTAGTTTCAACGAATCAATCAGACTTCGATCATCAATTATGGATTGTATTTGATCAACAAATACAGTTATAACAAATATGCCAAATAAACATGCTTCAATGCAGATTACTATTGAATGAATGCTAGGAGAATGAAAATGATTTTTATTTAAAAAAAAAGCTAAATAGAGCTATTTTCACATTCTACATACATTTGCGCTTCACTTTTTTGCGGAAAAACAATTAGCGACCAAATAATAAACGATACTGCATAGAGACTTGTTAATCCTAATAGAATTTAGACAAGAAAATATGTTTGTTTAGAAAAATTAAAAGAATTCTATTTTACCAATATAGAAAAGAAATAAAATAAAATATTTTTGATTAAATTCACCAACACAATTATTTATCCCTGAAAAATTTCAGATTCTGCTATAGGAAAAATGCAAATCGAATGTTACTTACAAGGACAATGATGATCCAATCTAAAAGAGTAAAAATCATATTTATTTATTTTATGTTTTAACATTTATTATTTTGCAGTAAGTATTCAGACTTGAAAAACGTGAGAAGACCTTCCGATCTTACGCTTCTTTAGCATTGACACTAACCCTCATAATTTCGCAATGCACTATACTCGGTTTTTGTTTGTCTCTAAGAGACCCGTGTCATCCAAGTGAGAATCGGTTTTTTACGCTGTGAATGAAATTCAAATATACTATCTAAACTTTAGAGACCTATCACTAGAGTCCTCTTTCTCGATTCAGTTTAAAATTGAAGTAAATTGTTACCGTCTGACGCATCGTTTGCAAATTCTAAATAGTCATAAAAAGATTACATAAAAAATTAGATTTTTATAGATTAAGTTTACCGGCAATGATGTGAACGAGCTGGTCGATAAGTATCACATCGATTACAAACTAATATAGAATAAAAGAAGATGTTTACATTCTATAAAATAACTTATTTCTATAGTACCTGTCCAACCTTCTTCATTTACCTAAAGGAAATATAAACAGTTTTTTTTATTAAAGTTAAAAAATACTCTCTTGATTTTACCTTGAGAAGAGGATTCGTAGTAGAATTTGTTTTTAGATCAGAAAAATCAAGTTTCCTTTTTGGCAATGGCACAAAACCCGGATCCGAATATGCTGCACGACCATGTGAAAGTGTCGCAAGAAAAACAAGTGTACAAATAAGGAAGGCATTCAATGTTCCATAAAAGCTAAATTATAGAAAATGATTTATTATTAATTGTAAAAACGCATTTGAAAACCAACTAAACATACCTCTCATTAAATAATGGAATAATTAGAATGCAAACAACGACATAAAGACAATGCAAAAGCATAGCATACGTCAATATTACACATATAATCCCACATGGATCCTTTCGAAATAACATTTTATTTTAAACTAAAATAAACTCACCGATAGAAATAAACATTACATACTTACAAAACAAATATATTCTATTCCATTGGTTTCGAACAAAAGCCAATCAAAAGCGTGCCATTGATCATTTGGAATGTCCACTAGCGCAATCTAATTGTTTATGTAAATGGACTACACAGAAAACAGAGATTCTGGAAGATATGAATTCCAATGCTATAATTGACTTTTTTAGTGGCACTGTCGGTAAATATAAGCATTCTATTAATTGGATAATTATTATTAATATTTAATAAAGGTGCAACAGCATCAGTTTATGTTGGGCAACCATTAGATACGATCAAGACAAAATTACAAACATTTCCAAATAATTATAAAAATTTTATTCAATGTGGACAGACTATTTTTCACGAAAATGGTTTACGTGGTTTATATGCTGGAACTTTACCATCATTACTAGCAAATACTGCAGGTTTCTATCTATTAAGAAAATTACTTTTGTTTACTTTTGTTTTTGTTTTTTCAAAAAACTAAAATTTAGAAAATGGAATTTTATTTATGGCTTATGGTCAATGTCAACAGTTTATTTGCGTATTAAGACATAAAACAAGTAGTGAACAATTAACTACAGTAGAAAATATGGCAGCTGGAAGCGTCGCATCTATATTTTCTTCTATAGCTTTGTGTCCAACAGAATTAGTTAAATGTCGAATACAAACTTTACATGAAATGGAACACATGAATCCATTAAATAATGAAAGTTCAATATTTAAAAAGATGTAAATTAAATTTTCCTAAATAGAAAAAGGATCTTAGGATCGACTTTTTATTGTTTTGCCGATTGCTATTAGTTCGCCAGTTGGTATCACTCGAGATATCGTACGTGAAGAGGGTATACGTGGTTTATTCCGTGGTTTAACAACAACACTACTCAGAGAATGTCCAGGTTACGGTTGTTTCTTCGGTGGTTATGAATTAACAAGAAAAGTTTTAGCGCACGAAAATCAAAAGAAAGGAGATATTGGTAAGTAAGAAAGAAAAAAAATGGCGTATTTAATAGGATAAATAAATGATCCATTCAAATAGGATTTGTAAAAACATGGTTATCTGGTGGAATGGCTGGCATCTGTTTTTGGATAATTATGTTTCCTATTGATGCAGTTAAATCACGTATACAAGTGTTTAAACCAAAAATGAGTTTGCCACGATATACATTACAAATAATAAAGCTCGAAGGTAGAATTAGATTTTTATTTTTAATCAAGCATCGTTGTTTTTTCCCCCCATACTATAGGATTTAAGGTTCTCTATGCTGGTTTAGCTCCAACACTGATTCGTACCTTTTTGGCTACGGGCGCCTTATTCATCACCTATGAACAAATTCGGTTCCATCTCAATCAAATGATTTTGTCTCGATAGACAAAACAAGTCTTTCTTAAATTCTATTTCTTTATTAATTCTCGCTGCAAACCTGACAACTCATGTTTTTAATAATCTGATGCATTTTCTTTTCTTTTTAAATTTATCTCATAGCACAGATTTTGTTTTCCTCTTCCTTTTTTTATTTTATATTTTTCATTGAACAAAAAATGATCTATTCTGAATGAGTAACATCAATATTAATCAACAAGAAAAAACATCTTCTTGTTTTGTACGTGCTCGCACATCAATACTCGCTCTGAATTCGACTAATAATCGATTGATAGCAGCTGGACAACAGAGTAAGAAAAAATCGAAATAAAATAATTGTTTTTTCTTACTTTAACTTTTCTTTTTAAATAGATTTTCAATTATTTTCTCTTGAACCTATTGATGATATTGAACAATTTAAAGAAATTCATGATTTTCGTAATGCACCAAGACCGTCGGCTATATCACGTTATGCATTCCAACCAAAATATGTTACTTGGAATCCAAATGATGGTTTGATTTTAATTTAGAATAATCTGAATTAAATGTGTTTTTTACAGAAAATTATTTTGCCACAGCAAGTGGTACCAATGGATATTTATATATGTGGGATGCAACTCGATTAGTTACAATTGATCAATTAAATGTTCATAGTTCAACTGTTAATCGTCTTCAATTTCATCCACAAAGTAGATTTGAAAACAAAAACAAATTGTTAAGGTATCGATCAAATATATCTTTTAGATCCAAATCTACTATTAACTGCATCTCAAGATGGTTACGCAAAGGTATGCATATAGAAAAAAGTTGACTTTTATGATAAGCAAATAGATAAGAATCATGTGAAAGACCTCACGATTTTTCAAATTATCTTACACATCTCTGGCAGACAACGAAGAATATTTGAGATTAAGTTTTTGTTTTGGATGGGGAATCCGATCTAATAATTATGAAAGAGTTATCGATGATCGGCACTCGTACTTGTAGCGTGCGGTATGCATAAGACATTGAAGTTCACACGGTTGATTTGAACTAAAATCAGTTTAAAACAAATGAGCCGATTCAGAAATCATAGTAATTAATGTATCGTTATCGCGATATCGAACGTGACCTGGAAATTATCGATTGATCTCATGGGCTACGTAGATAGAGAAACGAAAGCATAATTTGCAGAACCGAAGAATACAGTATTGATCTTTGAAGTTTTCTTTCTTTCTGGAGAGACCTAATGTTTAGAATTAGTTAGACCTAACATCAAAGCCGAACTTGAAATTCTATGAATAGGCAATAATTTTTTTACTAGAAACAGCGTCTTTTGTTATGATTAATCGAAGTCTTGGTCCCGTTGGGATGATTATAAGAAAATGCTATTAGCAGAATTTTTAATGAATATCTTCTAAGTTTTCCTTCTCTAAACCATCTTGACACAGACTTGTAACTTTTGATGTTAATACCGAGAAATTAGATTATAAGCGATGGATTCAGTTATTAATAGTCATTGTTAAGATTATCACGTAATTAATGATACTTCACTATTAAGATAAAAGAAAACCTAAAATAGAAATTTCAATGTCTCTAATAGCGTTGTTAACGTCTATCCTACTTCTCGAGGTCATCTTGAAAACATTCTTTGTTTCTTTTAGTTAATTGATTTTCGAAATAATAATGGTGATAGAGTTGTAACATCGTTTCGGCATGCCAGTAAAGAAGCATTTCGCCATGTAGATATCAATATATCAAATACAAATAAATTTGCTTCTGTAATCAATGATCAATATTGTGTTCCAGTAAGTAACAAAGCACTATTTCATATTATTCTCTATTGTTTTTATTAAGATTTGGGATATTCGACAGCCTATACAGCCTGATTTTTCTATTCTTACACGAGACAAAGTCTTGTGTATTGCATGGAATCCTCATGAACATTTTTGGCTAGCAACCGGTGGTGTTGGTGGTCATGATCGTGCAATACGTGTAAGTTACTATTGCATGATAATGCTTTTTCTAATGAAACAAAACCTAAAACGCATAGATTTGGGATGCGAACAGCAGTGATAATCCCCAAGAACCCTTATTTACCGTGTATACATTCGGTCAAGTAGCTAAAGTTAACTGGCATCCAGCATGTCGTTATCAGATAGCATGTTTTACTCGTACAACTGATCAACGTATTCATGTTTGGGATGTTCGAAGAGCCTATTTACCGCAAGCATCGTTTTGTCACCATCGAAGTAAGAAAAAAGGATTTTTTCTTGATACACGAAAGTTCGTTTAACAAAAATATTCTCCCTTTAGATGATGTTGAAGATTTTCTTTGGAAACCGAACTCGGATAATATAATATCAGTGGATCGTGATGAACGTCTAGTTCATGCTCATATATCAAGTGCAATACAAAGTGAAAAAATTGTTTCACTGTTTTCTTTAAATGTTACTCCGATAGGTTGTGTTCATGTTGCGATGCCAAATACTCATAACGATTATGTCCATGCATTATGTGCTGATCGACATATTTCATTATCGTCAGTCAATATAGCAATGTTGTATTCTCAAAAAACAATGTCAATGTTTTTAAATTGGAATAAAATGATTAAAGGAGAAAGTCTTTTTTGCAATTACTCAAATAGTTCATTTGATGATTCAATTCAATTGTTTCATCTATTTGCTCGACGGTGGACATTTGGAACCGGTGATAAATCCCCAATAGCTTTAGCAAACATTTGTGATAGTAATAGTAGTGTAGCCGAAGATTTAAATCGGTTAGATTTGAAAGCAACATGGCAAGTTATTAAAATGCTATATGTTGATGATAATGCTTTACAAAGTCATCGAACATATCGACGGAACAATGCACAACCCACAACTACACGTCATTCTCGAAATGATCCAATCAATAATCATCGTTTCCATTACTATCAGCCTGGAAGACGATTAAGAAGTATTGATCAACAACAGCAACACGAACATAGGTTGAATGAGGGATCGACTGATGATGAAACCATTAAATCACAAGACCAAACAGCTCTAAGTGATTCTAAATTGGGTAAGAAAACGATCATTCGTTTTAACTGAGAAACGAAAAAAAAACAGTACTGCATTTATTTCGATCATGCATATGTAAATTTGATAATCTACGAGATAGAGTGAATCGTTTATAAATAAATACGAACCGTTGTAGGTGTATGCTGAGGAATCCAAAGGTGTATTCAATCTTGGTAAGTGGAGTAATCATACAGTCTTACCTTTCAAGCTACAGCTAGTGCTACGTTCGTAAACTTGTGATGTTCTACTATATCATTCGACTAGGGTTCAATCAGGCTCCTTGATAGGAAATCTGATAAAATCTCATTGCATTTGATTTTCTACTGGGGATAGAATTATGCGCTCTTATTTGAACTATTTTAAAAAAATGCTGTTTTTCATTTTTTCTTATAGAAATGATCGACGATACAGATACATATATTGTTCGAGACGTACTAACTGATGATATCATTTTTATAACACCTGAGGATCTATCCAATAATGGTCTTGTGAATGATGTATCATACGATAATGATGTGAATTTACAGCTCTACTCCTTTCGTTTCTAATCTCTAAAGAATCATATTTTTTAAAATCTTAGATCGATATTGAACCACGACAAGATTCAATGCCTAAGTCAATTATATACAATGAGCCATTAGTATTAATTAATAAACATGGAGATTTTCAATTGAATAGATTAGCTCGTCAATTTCCACAGGCAGTCATGATTGGCAATGATGATGGTCAAATGGAAAACGAACATGAATATCACACGTAAGTAAATCGACTTTTCAGCCTGTTGTTGAGGTTTTTCCGAAACAGCGAACCACCAGATTTTCACTAAAAGAATATTTTTCTGGACCCACAGGAATAACGCTTTGCCTATAATCTATTGCTACTCTTCTGACATTTCTCTATGGACAGTATTTTAGGAAAAAAACTCTCCTCAATAATTTTTTTTGTGAGCACTCAACCCTTCTTCAGAAGCTGTCCCTACAAAACGTTCAGCTAGCTAAAAATGCATCTCAATCAATATTCTACCATCAGAGGCATTTCTTTCTAGTACAAATAGTAACACGCAAACATCTATACATTCAATCTCAGCTGAAAATAAGAAAACCTTTTTTACAATCGATGAAATTTATTGTCCTACAATTTATAATCATTCATTAAATTTTGATGATATTATTCGGCAAACACTTCGGCATTATATAGACAATGTAAGTTCAGATCTAAATTTGTAACAATCAATTATTTTTGTATCGAATTTAGAATGAAATTCAAGTAGCAGTTCATATTCTTTTGGCTTTATATCCTCAATTAAATGAACGTAAACGTAGTGAATTATTCAATGGAGTCCATCTACAATGGCTTGTTATGTATATTGGTATGCAATCACTTTTTTACTAGTATGATTTTAAATAGATTTCTTTCTGTAGAATTATTACAAAAAATGCGTTTATTTATTAAAGCAAAACAAGTAACAAAACATTGCATAGAAACCGAAGGAATTCCTCTTAGTTATAATCCAACGGAATTTGACGGAACTCTTATATTTACTACACAAGCTCCAACACCTAAGCGTGCTCCACCGATTTCTTTTCCTACAGTACCTTCGAATAATAAAAATTTTCCGGCTCCCGTCAAAGAATTCATGTGTTCTATTTGGTTCGTAGTTTATTTCCCAGGTAAAATAATGATTGTAACCGTAAAAATTATTTTAGTCGAATACCATGTCGTCGTCTATTTTCGTTTTGCGGCGTTTGTTCTCATGGTGGCCATATCGATCATATTCAAATTTGGTTTAAAATGCATGATGAATGTCCCTATGGTTGTGGTCATAGGTGCACATATCTAGATAATCGAAGTCGTCCTAGCTGTTTAGTTTAGCATGATTTATTTATTTTTCTCTGAAACCGATCTTTTCACTTTCAATAGTGTTTGAAAGAGATGCAACGAAAACTTTGCATTGCTCTATTTTTGAATCTCACACAGAAAATTTTTTTTGTTTAAAAAATATCTATTTTGTTTTCATTGTGTTTCCGGTGGGAATTTTTTTTCTAAATAAAAATATTATTCTTGTGTGATATTTTAGTATTTCAAGAAAGTGTTAGTTATATTTTTATTTAAAAATAAATACGCATGGATTTATATATTGTATAAGTTCATATCGGTAAGAAATTGTTTTCGATTTTATTTTCAAAATAAGTCTACGTATAGAATGTGTTTTAACAACATGTTCAGCTGAGTTTGGAAGTCAGTAGAGAACGTCAAATGATGTTTGCTTAGTTTACAGACATTTAGATTTTATTGAAAACAATTGAAATTAATCGAATATGGTGAGTTATAATTACATAGTTGAAGAAGTAGAGCACGCTTTTTGTTACAGCTTGCATTACATAGAAATACAATCTACACACCCACCTTTGTCGAAACAGAGGTGGAAATTTCCGTTTTTCATTCTTGATCTGTAGCTTGTTGATAGTTGCATATAAAAGGGTAAGAGAACAGAGCATTTTTTTCATAGAGAAAACATCGTGTTACTAACTGCAATGAAATGAGAAAAAAATAAGTTTTATTTTCTGAACTACTTTAACCTCATTAAAAGCAATTTTTTAATTAAATAACGCTTCTAGTTTTGTATTTATTTTACTACGGTAAATTCATGGATTTTATGAGTGGATCAAAATTGCCCCAATGAGAGCGCACTAGTGAGTAGTCTTTTTTTTATTCTATTATATTCTTAAAGATTGTTGTCATAAAAATATTTATTTTAAAAGTTCATACAATCCCATAATTTTCAATATTTCTCCATAATAAAATTAACAATGTGAATCAATTAATAAAAAAATTATCTTCCGCGCTTTATTCTTTTCGTTCTGCATATATTGCGAAATATTTTTTTTGCATAACAACCTACTACACTTTTCTCGGAGTTGGGAATTAGCAACGATGAGTCATCTGCTCGTCGTCAATATTACTTATATTCGTATATAAAATATCATGAATATCCTCATTTTTTTCATTTTACTATTGTATTCATTTTAAATATTGATCAGCTGTTTTATTTGAAAAGTCAAAACGTAACTTTAACAGGTAAACACTCGAACCAATCCGTGAGACACAATCATCCTTTTCAAAATTGTCTTCTATAAGACATTAATGCACTAGAAAAATCTCTCACCAATCACATATAAATTACGTTCGTATGTCCACCAGTTGTCGCTAGTACTTCCGCTTTGTGCTGAATGTTATGCATGTTCGATAGTTCGGGCGTATGTATAGAAGTATCCGTGACAAATATTTACAAAAAAATGGATGTAGATTATAAAAATTTAATCTATTATAGATGATTGGTGTTAGTTTTATTATTTAATATTGACGATGGATAATGGCTGACTATCTCGGTCCACAACAACCACCAACAAAAAAATTTCGTTCGGGTCCAAATGCAAACGAATCAGGTTTTTATTAAATTAAACAATTTGAAAGATACCTTTTATTTTCTATTTTTAAATAGAATTCGATTTTAAAATGATTTCACAGTTTGATGCATCCGATGGAAATAATACACCAGAGTTATTCGATATGGCAACTGGTTTCAATGATCCTATGGATACTAATCAACAACAGCAGCAACAAACGTCCACGTCAACCAATCAACAAACAAATTTATATCAAGCGCCACAACAACGAGTTAGTTATATTCAACAAGCTCGGCCACAATTATCATCATATCAAACACCTAGTTTACAACGTATTCCAACGATGCCAACATCAACTATAGTTCGGCCATCAAATCTCGTCTCGAATGGTATGCCCACACAACAATCAACTATTTATTCTCCTCAACAAATGATGGGCACATCTCGACCTGTATATTCACGTATGCCAACTGGCCAACAACAAGCAAATATGTCATCGACACTTGTTCGACAACAATATAATACACCGGGAATGGTTTCAATGAACCAAAATGTAACACAAATGAGTATTGTTAAAGCAAGTGATCCAAATAATAATAGTGTATTCGTTACAAATTCACAGCAACCATCCACATTAGTCGGTTTACAACCGCAACATACAGTGACACAAACACCTCAACTGACTAAATCGATGTCAGCGGGTTTACCTTCGTTGTCAACACAACAATTAAATCAATATCAAATTCAACAACCACAAATGCATATGCAACAGCAAAATCCTCTACCGTCTTATAATATAAGAGTACGTCATAGTCTCGATTATCTTGAAGTCTTACAAGTTTTCTTTTTATTTATAAACCAAAAAAAAGAACAATGTTTTAAAACATACATAGGATAAATCAGTTTTTCTGGCATTTAGACAGTGAATTTTAATATTCGTAGAGATTAATAGAAATTTCTTTTATTTAGACTCAGATGATGGATCAAAACTCAACAAATTCGCCAAATTATATCATAACAACTCAACCACCACCACAACAACAACAACAACAGCAGCAGCAGCAGCAGCAGTCTCAACCAACATTAAATAATATTCCATCATCAAATCAAGTAATGATTCAAGCGCCTTCGAACAATCCTCAACAACATAATGAAGTTCAACGAAAGCAATTCATTCAGAAGCAACTTGTCCTACTACTACATGCGCATAAATGTCAACAACGCGAAAAACAGACTATTAACGGTGAAACACCGCGTCCAAGTACATGTACATTACCGCATTGTAGTACGATGAAAAATGTTCTACAACACATGACCAAATGTAATGACCATAAAACATGTACAGTTGCTCATTGTGTTACATCGCGACAAATTATTTTACATTGGAAACAATGCATTAATCCTCAATGCCCAATTTGCCAACCGCTGAAAACACCATCAACATTAGCTAAACTAAATCAAGCGCCAACTAATAACAATAATGTTAATAATGCTAATGTTACTCCTAGTAATAATAATAATAATAATAATAATAGCGCAACAACAGTATCACTACCAATAAATAAAGAATGGCAACGGCGTGTAACACAAGAAATGCGAAATCATTTAGTACAAAAAATCATTACTGCACTTATACCAATAACTGATACAGGTGCCATGCGTGATAAACGTATTATTAATTTAGCTAATTATGCTCGACGTGTCGAAAGTGAAACATTCGAAATAGCCACTAATCAAGAAGAATATTTTCATAAGTTAGCTGAAAAAATTTATAAAATTCAAAAAGAATTAGAAGAGCGTCGAGAGAAAAAACGTGTACAAGACATGCAATTAGTTATACAACCCTCGTCATCAACCGGACAACAACAACAATCAACAATAAATGATTGTAATCCTAAAATTAATACAAATCCAGACCCAATGACCGGTGTGCATATGCTATCACAAATTCGTACGACGACATTATTAAATGATTATCTATCATCAACCGCAAGAAATTCTTTGCAATACCCAGCTAAATCTGAACCATTAATGACATTAACAAACAGTAGTTCAGCATCTGGAACATTTACAATAACAAATGTTCCGTCGAATGAAGATTTAAGTTTTCTTTTAAATGGAGATACAACACTCAGTAGTCAAACTCATGTTATGGATACAAAAAATAGTCTCGATGGAGCTCAATTTAAAAATGAAGCAGTATCACCAAGAATAAATCATCAAGTATGATGTTTTATTAAATATTCGAAAATCTTGAGCCTTTTGTTTTGTTGTATATTAACGGTTATATCATTTAAGAGAAAGAACATGCGACTTCTGAGCCTTCCCATGAGAAATATTTTAATGCATTAGATTTTCTTTTCGAATTTGACACTTTAAATAAGAATATATTAAGTTGATTGTCAGATTAAGTTTATATGAACTAAGAAAAATATGTTTTTGCTTTATCATTCGGAAATCGTTGGCATTTGAGTTCTTGGCTTGCGAGCAAGATGTTTTCGAATTAGATATATATATCAAAGAGAAAATAAATCTAGTATTGATTTTCGAACACACTGCTTTTACTGAAATAAAATGAAGAATTAGTTTATTAGCATACGATCTGTTGGGAAGAAAGTCGAGTCTATATAGTATATTTCTTTCTATGCTTCTTGTAGGATAGCTCGTTGATGTACTTTATACGTCCAGGACAGGTTTTTTTAGCTGAGCAATGAAATATTTAACTCGTATATTTTGTAAAAACAAAAATGAAAATTTTTCACGAGATTCGACTGTACTCTGAGGGAGATCTTCGTAACGCTACCCGATGGTCACCGCTTTTAACCAAAAAAAAACAGGAAATATGATTAGCTATTTCTTCGAAGTAAACCATATATATATAAATTTTTACTTATTTTAACGAAAATAATCTTAGTTTTCACAAAGAACAAAAAATAAATCCTATGTCGGTAATTCGAAAATTTGTATAGAATTGAAGACCGTGTTACTTTATTCTGTCAACAAAAAAATTAAAATATCTCTTAATTTAGTCTATGCAATTTACAACGATCAAAAAAGAAGAAACAACCCATGATAATTATTCTCATTTATCAACAGCGGCGGCATCAACAACAGTGATGACTAAATCTGAATCTTCAACTACCGATGATACGAAACAAAAGCCTCCACAAATCGATGCATCAAGTAAACAATTACCTAAGCATCCCGTACAATTTACTGCCGATGAATTACGTGAACATCTTGAACCAGTTATTCAAAAAATGCTTCTCATCGAAGAGTCACATCCATTTCGACAGCCTGTCGATCCCGTTGCACTTAATATACTTGATTATCCAACTATAGTTAAAAGTCCAATGGATATATCGACAATGCAAGATAAATTAAAACATGGTCTCTATAAAACTCCATTAGAATTCTGTGATGACGCATGGCTTATGTTTAATAATGCATGGCTTTACAATAAGAAAACCACGCGTGTCTATAAAATGTGTACAAAACTATCGGAAATATTCGCCGATGCTATCGATCCTGTTGTACAAAAAATGGGCTATTGTTGTGGTCGACAATATGTATATTTGCCACAAGTTATGTTTTGTTATGGAAACCAACTGTGTTGTCAAATTCCACGCGATGGCAATTATTATTATTATAACAATCCGGAACCGTCGCGAATAAATTTATCCGGTGATAAATATACATTTTGTTCAAAATGTTTCGATTCAGTTAAAAGTGATTCAATCTATGTCGGTGATGATCCAGCTCAAACATTAGTTGAAATACCCAAACATTTATTTCAATCATCAAAAAATGATATACAAGAGCCTGAAGCAATGATCGATTGCATTGTTTGTACACGCCGTTGGCATCAAGTTTGTGCACTACATTTAGATCAAGTATGGCCCGAAGGTTTTATATGTAATACATGTATAGCTGATTATAATATAAAACGTAAAGAAAATCGTTTTATTGCACCGAGATTAACAGTAACTGATTTAGCAACAAAATTAGAGAAACGTGTCAATGATTTTCTACGTAATGAAGGTTGTCAAACAGGTCGCGTTACAATACGTATATTAGCTGCCAGTGATAAACTATGTGAAGTAAAACCACGTTTAAAAAAATATTATCCAAATCAAGTACCCGATGGTTTTCCATATCGAACGAAAGCTATATTTGCCTTTCAAGAAATCGATGGTGTCGATGTTGTTTTATTTGGTATGCACGTGCAAGAATATGATGGACGATGTCAAGCACCCAATACGCGACGTGTGTATGTCTCTTATTTGGATTCGGTGCATTATTTTCGACCGAAAAATTATCGTACAGAAGTTTATCATGAAATTTTAATTGGATATTTGGATTATGCTAAGCAACTTGGATATGTTTATGCTCATATATGGGCGTGTCCACCCAGTGAAGGAGATGATTATATATTTCATTGCCATCCAGTTGAACAACGTGTACCGAAACCAAAACGTTTACAAGATTGGTACAAGAAAATGCTTGATAGAGCTATTGTTGAACGTGTTGTTATTGATTATAAGGTAAACCATAATTTTCTTCCTATTCAAAAACTTGACTCATGTAGGAGTCTTCTGGAAAAAGGACGAATTCATATTCATTGAGAATTTTATCATGAAAAGTTCGAATACAGAATTTTTTAATGTATTGAATTCTATCGGAAAGTTTTCATGGAGATGTTGGTTAAAGACTTTTCTCAATAGTAGAAGAACTTGTATATTGTCATTGTGAAGACGAACAGTACCGTTGGCTTCAGTTATTTTATTTTTTTTATTTAAAAACAAAATAAAAGAACGAGTCTTCTAATATCACAAGAACTGTAGTTAGAAATATTATATTTTATTATTATTATTTTAGGATGTTATGAAAGATTGTATGGATAATCAAGTGCAAACTGCTCTTAATATTCCATATTTTGAAGGTGACTTTTGGGCAAATATTATTGAAGAAAGTATTAAAGGTATGTTGTATTAGTTGAAAATCGGATAGAAATGTTATTCCGATGTGTTTTAGAACTTGACCAAGAAGAAGAAGATCGAAGGAGACAAGAAGTTGAAGCAGCACGAGCCATGGAAGATGGAGGTTTAGATGATCTAATCGAACCGGAAGATCCAACTGACGTGAGTGTAAATCTTTTTTTCTGGGCAAAATTAGAATTCAACTTGAGATAAATTCATTGAATTACACATTTTATTAAAGCAGACATTCAAAATTTATCTTTAGTCGAATTCTAATTAGGACTTACTTCATTTTTTCTGAATAACAAATTCAAATAAATAAATTTTACTGTCATATAGATTTCTGATAAACGTAAATCTACGAATACACAGAAAAAGAAAGGTTTGAAGAAAGGAGCAAATCAACGAAAAGTAGCCAAAAAACAAATGTCGAACTGTACTGATTTATTATCGAAAATATTCGCAACGATGGAAAAACACAAAGAGGTAAATAACTAAACTTTCCTTAGAATATGTTCGCATGGAATAAAACTTTTGAGCTCAAATAAGAAAAAGTCTTAGCGCAAGTTTAGTTGAAAATCTCATTAACAATAAATTTTGATGGGAAGCAATTTTGTTCTGACTTGTGCATATGTATATTCGTCTTTAGGCATTCTTTGTTATTCGTCTTCGTAATCCAATAGCATCATGTCCAGCTGTAAATGATACCGATGCTCTTATTCAATGTGATCTAATGGATACGCGAGATGCATTTTTAAATTTTGCTCGTGATAAACATTATGAATTTTCATCGTTGCGTCGTGCAAGATTTTCTACAATGGCATTACTCTATGAATTACATACATCAACAACAGATAAATTCACATATAATTGTAATACATGTCGACAACAATGTGATATACGTTATCATTGTACAGTATGCGAAGATTTTGATCTATGCGAAAAATGTTATAATATCGAACCGAAACATGAACATAGAATGGAACGCTCGGTTCCATCGATTGTTGAAGATTGCGATCAAAATTCTTCAAATCCAAATGGTAAATCTCTCGCGACTTCACAACTGCAACGTCAACAATCCATGCAACGTTGTATCGAAGCACTGTTACATGCCGTTAATTGTCGAAATGCTAATTGTGTTAATCGAAGTTGCTTTCGTTATAAACGTGTTATACAACATACGAAGGATTGTAAAGGAAAAAATAGTCAGTGTAATGTTTGCAAACAAGTTATATTTCTTTGTTGGTATCATGCAAAAACTTGTATGGATCAAAATTGTCAAGTTCCATTTTGTACAAATTTGAAAACGAAAATACAAAAACAAAGAGCAACGAGTTTACAAACAGATCGACGTCGTATGCAAGCTATGATGCAACAAAGAACGAGTACAATTCAACCACAAACATCAGGTAGATTGTTTTTTGGATTCTGTTTACTTCATCGAACAAAAACTCGAAGAGATGAGAAAGATTCCTAATGATGCTCTGTAGAAAAAAACGTCGATCAATTCTTTGATTCCGAACGATGGTTTCTTGAAGTTTTTCTATGCGCCTTAAATTGTCTTTCAATAGATTCGAAATGTTTTATTCTTTTAAATCAATGTTCTAATTCATTTTTCAGTATCCATAACCCCATCTCGTCCAGATCCAATACCAAGTTCTCCTCATCTATCTTCTTACGAATCATCAGCGTCAAATCAAACAATAAATAATTCGACAGGTAAACCTTCGGTAACACTTATTCGTACGCCGCCATCGAATTGGCATAATCAACCGCAACAACAAACATATATAATGACCCAAAAACCAACGAATGGTAAACCCCTTAATAATCTATCTCAACAACAATCATCCAATCAATTAAATCTACTAATTAATCGAGTTAAACAAGATCCATCTATGGATGAAACCCAACGATCAGATATAAATGATCCAAATCCACAACAGCAACAACCGATGTTTCCATCGTTATTAAATAAAGCTTCGGTTAATCGTTTACCGTCATCCACGTATATTCAACCACAACAACAGCAATGGTTTCCGACCGCATCTCAGCAACAATTTGCTCCGCCTCCTAATTATACGGCGGCAACTCGTGCCCGTTATACGTCTAATATGCAACAACAACAACCTCAAAGTCAACCTTCCCCACAGACACTTATAGCTCCTCTAAGATCGAATACGGCAACTGCGCCACCAAACTATTTAACGCGAACAAGTTCAACGCCAAATCTAACTCGGCCGCCCTTAATAAGACCATCACAATATCCTTCTCAACAGCAACAACCGCCACAGGATCCATCTGCACGTTAGTGTGTTTGGTTTTTTTCTTCTTTTCATTTTGATTTTGTCTGTACATGTTTGTTTTTCTTTTTTTCTTCTTCTTGCGTTTATTCTTCATTTTTTCTTTTTTACGCCTATCTTTGATACACACTATTAACCTCCTCCGTCTTTTTGCTCGTGTGTACGTGTGTGTATGTCCATTCGTTTCCTATATTATCAAACATAAAAACATAAAAGTAGTTACTTTTGAAACAGGAACGATTTTATTTTTCTGCTTGAGAGTGAGAGAGAGAAGAACTTATGTGCGTATGTATATAGATTTGAGATATTCATCCAACAGCATGCGCTTGGTTCTATCTTTTTTTTCTGTGTTGTTTGTCGCGTGCTTTACTCTTTTTCTTTTCTTTCGCGTTCCTTTTTACAGAAACAAAACCTAAACAAGAAGAACCGTGTGTATATCGGTTTGATTTGTTTTTTCTTTTTTTATTCATTGTCGTTTTCCTTGAACATTTTTTGGTTTTGTTGTTGTTTCTCTTCTCAACTATTAAGTTGTTTTTTTTTCTTTTTTTTCTTTTGATATGTGAATAATAAAACAAAAACAACAGGAATTATTTTGTTGAACTGTAAAATCGGATTGATGAAATTGTGATAAGACTACAAAATTTTATCCTAAAATAATTAGGTAAGAGAAAACAAAACAATTATCATCAATTGTCTGGCACAATTTGAAGTTACCAGTATTGAATCTCTAAACTATGAATGACTTGTGAAGCACCGTGGCGTAGGTCGATGGACGATATGGTTTTCTTTTGTAAGTTTTGTATCCAGTATCAATAGTTTTTATTGAAATGATCTCACATATTTGCTATTGCAAGATGAACAGCTACTAGAGCAATTGGTTATATCTGTATGATAGAACTTTCACCCAATTGCCAGCAAAAAGTTTCATTTAAAAAAATCTAAATCCTGACCTTTGCATTATATTTTTCAATCGAATTCAACTTGAATACCTTCTGCGTAGATCTATCAGAGTTTCATACTGCTGTTCATCGAGTTTTGATCTGATCGATGTGATGGTCAGCTCAAACGTAGAGACTGATTCTGTAGTCTCAAATTGCTACACATGCAAGTGGCATGCATTTGTCTTCAAATGCGATTTCTTACTAGAGTTCGTCGAAGAATGTTAGTATCATGATAGTAGTAACTGTTACTTTTTTTCTCTAAAATCAAAAATCAAATTCATCGTTATTGCTTCTAGTTTATATATTTTGTTCATAGAAAACGATAACACGTACAAATGTGAAATAAATCCATCCGACGTGATAATGGAATAGAAATAAGATGATCAAATCAATGTATCATTTGACCATATTCCTTTTGGACTATCCGTCAGTAGAAACATATTTTGCGAATATTCCATCTCATGACGATCACCATTCTTCCAAGTAAAAACGCCTTCACCTTCTTTGAGACCGTCGGCCCAATCTTCTGCATACGTATTTTCGTCATCATAGAAAAATGTACCTTTCCCATTCATTTTATCTTCCTTAAATTGTCCCATGGATTGCTCACGAATTCCATCAACTATCCGTTTCCTATGCATCTAGGGTTGCTCCCGATTGAGGAAAGACACTTGCGAATAATTTTACTCGTATCGTTCACCATCAGACCATATAAAATGCCTTGGCCTGTTTGCATGTCACTGACCCAATCGCCTGTATACTTATTTTCATTGACATAATAATACGTGTCTTTTCCGCTCATTTTATTATCCTTGAATTGGCCCAACAGTTATTCCTATATTTTATGGGCGACCCATGCGCATACATTGATTTTCACAATAAAATGGAACACAAATATATGAACACATCATCTCGTAACGATCACCACTGGCCCATGTAAAAGCGCCATGGCCAGTTCGACTATCGTCAATCCAATCTCCTGTATATTTATTTCCATTGGCATAATGAGAGACACCTTTTCCATGTTTTTTTTCCTTTCATTAATTCTCCTTAGTTGTTATTCTCTTATGATGTAGAAAATTCGATCAGTTCTCATGAAGATCGAATACCAAAACTCGCTAGAGTATAATATGTGAACTACCAATTGGTAGTTGGTTCTTTCACTCAACATGGACATGTTAGACATCGAAGGCCTTTCACTCGATAATGGCTGTTTGTACTCTATAAAACAACGAATCTCATCATCTATTTAGAATTTTAGAAAAAAATCACCCATTCAATCGCTGCCGGACTGCTGTTGTGACATCCGATTTACCAAGGCTAGTAACACTTCGCAATCATCTTCATCAGTCAATTCCATCAAATGTATCAAATTGAATGTTTCATGATTTAGCGAGTCATCTACTACTCTAATTCGTATGCCCGAAATAAGAATAACGTCATCCTCATCTGGAAAATTGCTATATGCCGATATCTCTTTTCCGTTGTTTGCTTCGACCATGAACAATGTTGGTACAGATCCAAGAAAATCTTTGACAACTTTAACATTAGAAGCACATGAACTAAAACATTGCCACATCAGGTTTTCATTGGCTGGATAGTTCTTACTCTACATCGCTATCGGGACCACGCCATAAGTTCTTTGAAACGCTCGGCAATTTTTTCAATGTAGTGTGCAATAATTTAAGATAACCGACCCACGGTTTCAATGCTGATCGATCTTTGTTACGAAGTGCTTTATTGAGAAATCGATAGAGACTTTCATCGCCCCATTCCATAGTATACAAGTAGACTGACGTTGATTCCTCACGAATAAGGCCGTGCTCTGATGAAAAATGGCATTCACTCTTTGCAACTTTAATAATTGCATCCAACTGATTTTTTTTCAGAGACAATCGGATCAACAGCTTGTCGAAGTAAAAGTAATGAGAAGGTGTAATATCCATAGACAGCTGCGAATGGCATTGGTTTAAAGTTGACATCTGTGATTTGAAACATGATTCTAGAACGCAATAAACTCTGTCTTTGACTGATATCAAAGCGATAAAATGTTTTGAAATTGTGCTGCTTTTATACTGTCAGGCTTTATTTTTTCTTTGTTTTCCAATTTCAAGTGATTTCCGGCTGTACAAAGCCAACGCTTTCTTTATTCCGCTGTTTGGGTTGAAATGTGAGTTTAGGAGAAGATCAGAAAGAAGTATTGAATTTAAAATAAACATCTCATTTTACGGTATTCGGCGTCGATAAATACGACTCATAAAATGAAGGAGTATGCAATGTACAAGAATAAATTGATCAAAAGTGAAATGTAAACGAAATTTAGCACCTTCGAAAAAGATCACGATTGTAAGAGTTTCACGTAGTTCATAATTCAAAATTTTGACTCGATATTAAGACTTGTGTATGAAATGATTTCATAAGAATCGAAAAAATATCTCACCTTCAAAGGTTATATGAGATCGGTGAGCAAATCGTACTTCTCATTTTCTTGCATATATTTCTGTGAAATTCGATTACTTATTTTGTGTCAAATTTCAGTTTGGACTGGAAAAGAGACTCCTCATGAGTAAGTGCAAAAATTGCGATTGAATTTTCTATTGAAATAAGAACAAAATTGTAATCAGCAGGAAAAAAACTAACTAGGATCGTCATTGAAAATGTGTTTGTCTTTCGTTTAAAGTCCTTCTTTGATATGTCGTTACTCTGATCCAGTACAGGGTAACCTACAGTATAGACGCGTACAAAACATATTTTGTTTGCCAGTCTTAACTCTATTGTTTTGTTTGACGCGCAGAGACAACGAAAACGGCTGAATACATGTGACTCTGGTATGGTTTCATTCTGTAAATAGGACAAGCAGAATCTATCAAAATATATTTGAAAATAACAACGAAAACAGAATTTCTTCATTCGCCTATATCACTATACTTTTGATAAGTCGTGAACAATTAAATGCTTTATGCCAATCAAACATAAGCAAAAGCAAAATCTAAATACTATATATTGCCAAGAATATTGAGACTCTACGTATCGTCAACATGTACGAATAAGAAGCTTTATCTCGTACATTTCAATAACTGAATTTTATCTAGTCGTGATTCTACTTTAATGATTAACAGTTCGCTGGCATAACTTTTATCGGCCATCTTTAGAAAATGCCAATTCGTAATTTCTTTATATCTTTCCAAACAACTTTAGTAAAATGAGCTGTGTTTACTATTGTCAAATTTATAACTAAACATTTGACTGTGCCATGATTGTGTTACTTCATTACCTTGAAAACTCCGGAAAAAAGGTATCGTTTGGGTTTCTCGTTGGTTTTGATGATGTTGCTGACAATATAAATTTTCTCCTATAGAACATTCAGTCTAAGTTAATTAGCTAATAATTGAGAACACCTTAGACATGTCTATATATCATGATAGACAAATACTCATTTCCCGATTGAATATCATTCTTTCACTAGTATAACGAAAGTTACTAGTAGTACTAATGATAGTTTAATGTACCAGCTATTCAAATTTTATTTCTATGAAAAGATATATTTTAATAGGCAAATTACATATCGCACATGCTAATGGAATGTACTGTTCGCAATAAATATTATTTTCTGTTTATCGTACATGTCTACTCAAAGATGAATTAACTATATTTTTTGTGTCTCCTCTAATTATCCTATATGATAAAAATAGAACACAATTATAAGATGCGACATAAAAAGACGTGATTTGATTGCTAATTATTTGCGTTTACCGGACAACAAAAAATCATCAGGATTTCAGACGTTTTTAACGTTTAGTGAACATTGTAATTTTCTAATAGTTATTTTGTATTCCTTGTTAATCTTAATAATATACTCGCGCAATACCAGTGACGACTGCCCAATGCTTTACGATGGTATTTTAACTGAAAAGCAAGAAGTTAATCTGCAGGATTATTGGGTTAGAATTTATGAGTGGAACATGACTTTTTTAAAGTCCGCTTTTGTGATGCAAGTACACAGACTTAATGTTCTGATTTTTGTAATTTTGGCTCGTTCGTTATAAGTAACATGAAGAATGGCCTTTCTAGAGATGTTGATTTTCTGGTCTAAACTGAAGAATGATATAATCTTGATAATAAGTGTGTGCAATTTTGAGTTGGCTTCACTATAAAGCAGTCGCTTCTTCGACTAACATTACATGAGATAATTTGTACTCATAATTGGTATGACGAAGACACTTTTCAATTCGAGATTTCGAAAAGTTAGCAAATGAGATAATATGAAATGACAATAGAAATAAATTACATAAAAGAAAATAATGTTTCATTGTGTGTTGTTCGATTTTCGAAATGAATGGTATACTGCTAAGACAATATATATATATATATATATAGACGTTTTTAAAACATAATCTTCATTGAGTACGTGCTTTCCACATACAAATAACTTTTTGTATTAATAAATCTGATCTACGTATATGCATTAAGCTAAATAAATGAGGAAACAGTGGATTCGCATCCGATTGCTATGTGTACTACAAAAACTGAGTCGAATTAAATTTGTTGTGAATAATTCTAAGAAAAAAAGTTTTTTTTTGAAAAATCTCTGTACCCCTCCGCCTCGGGGATGGCCTGGTCAATACTGACAATTTTTTCGATAACTCAGCCATTTCTTGACGGATCCTTCTCATCTTCGAACTCGATTGAGATATTGATGAGATCATTCTGTGTACAAAATTTCATGGCAATTGGATGAGGCTTTCAAGAGTTATCGTATTAACGGACGGGCACACTGATCGAATCTAGTGTACTCACTTTTTTTGAGTACACAAAAACGAACCCGATAATGATCAATATCTGTTTGTCAGTAGAAGAAGTCATCTTAGATTTATTGTTAGGATCAAGTTTTCAAAACATTGACGAATCGTTCTTTCGATAGCAAAATTGATTTATTTCGGTTTTATTTTTAACGCTAAACAATAAATGATTAGGCGCGTGTTAATTGAAACCCAGAATGCGTAATTTAGTGAAACTTTGAATTGATTCTGAATGAATACGTTCTAAAAGCGATTATAAATTAAATGAAGAAATTATAATCATGACCTTTAATAACGCTTTTTTTAAATATTTTTCTGTTGAAAAAAATCTTGTACAAAACGAAAATCTCGAAAATTTCTTACTAAACAAAATGCATTTGACCTATGATTTAAAATTTTCATTCGATCTATGAAATGGTTTTTGTTTTTTTTGACTCTGTGTGTTGCCTTTCTGATTTCATATTTTAAGTGTTTTTTTTAATATTAATTGATTGAATACGCAGGTTCGAGGCATGTGCCAACCGTGATTATCGCTATTGGCATTTTCATTTCGCTTTATAACTATATATATATATATATCAAATTAGATAAGGTCGTGATGTTTTGGTGATTGATCACATCAGAATTGATGAAATATTATATCTGTTGATTTATTTTTTTGATGTTTTTGTCATGTGTATCCTTGAACTACAGAATAAAATCTTTTCTTGTTTCGTAAAAATATAAATATTATTTTTCTATTTATTCTTCTCTTAAATAGTCGGTCCTAAATATCGATTAATAGCAGCAAATTCTTGCCCAGTTTTTTTTCTATTATGATTCATATTTTAAATTGGTTGAAACCACGTTGGCGTTTTTTAATTGTTCTATTAACACCGTTAGTCTTTCTGCCGATACCACTTATTGGCAAATCTTCTGTATGCTGAATACAGTTTCTTTTCCGTTCTTTTTTTCTAATGATTTAATTTTAGCAAGCGAGATGTGGCTATATTGTAATTATTTTAACTATCTATTGGGTTTTTGAAGCAATACCTTTGCCAGTAACGTCACTATTACCTTTGGCGCTTTTTCCAATGGTATTGGAACCACAGAGTTTCGGTTTTTTATTACTATTAAATTGTATTGATATGCTTTTAGGCTGGTATTTTAACTGCTGAACGTGTAGCGCCGCATTATTTCAAAGATATAATTACATTATTTTTCGGGAGTATGGCACTTGCTTATGCCGTTGAATCTGTTAATCTTCATCGAAGAATTGCATTATTGGTATTAAGTTTCGTTGGGACATCATCGAAATGGTAGCTGTATACTTTCTATTCTTTTAAATTGAATTGAATATATGCAGGTCTATGGCTGGTTTAATGGGCGTTACTGGTTTTCTTTCCATGTGGATTAATAATTCAGCGGCCGCATCAATTATGTTGCCTGTTGCATTAGCAATTGCAGATGAACTTGAAAAACATAGTAAAGGCTGCCAAGAGAAGAAAAATCGTGCCAAAGAAGCTGCAGCTGCTGCGAATGGTAAAGTGATGATGTCGCATAATAATAATATTGTTGATATTTTATGCAGAAGTTATCGATTTAAATCATAAAGACTTTGTTAATGAACGTCCCATCGAAGCACCTCCGTTGGATCAATTACATATTGACGAAACGTTCGTATTGAAAAAATTAATTCAAAGCAAATATTTTCAAAGTGATTTTGAATTTTGTTTTTTCAAAGAAAACTGCCAGTTTCTGCTGCAACAAAAAAGCGTTTCCGATTACCATGGAAAAATGGAAATTTACATAAACCTACAGAATCAACAGAACAACAATATGAACAAATAAGAAAAGGTAAATAAATAACTTTAAAAAATTAAAATCAAAGCAAATTTTTCTTATAGGCTTTCTTCTTGCTGTTGCCTATTCAGCAACTATAGGCGGTTTATCTAGTTTAGTTGGAACAGCACCAAATATTTTTGTTAAAGGTTTCGCTGATAGGTCAATTATGAAACAGAAAACAGCAGCTCATATGGTTTTATTTATTTTTTCATTCGTTTATTTTTTCTATTTCTAGCCAATACAAGAATACTGCTTTTCGTATAAACTTTCTTAATTTTCTTCTCTTCGCATTGCCAGTCGCTTTATTAATGCTTGTCTTATGTTGGTTATGGCTGCAAATTTTTTACAATTTCAAAGAGTTTGAACGACTTTAATTTTGCATTTTGAATGTTTTCTTTATTTCTATTAGATTGTTTCAATTCCGCATAGATCCAGAAACCCGAGCTGCACAGGCTGATTTAAAAGCCATGTTAATTAAGCAATACAATGATCTTGGAAAACCGAAGTAATTAAGAAAAATATTTTTGAATATCATTCATTCTCTGTTGTGTTTCAGTTGGAGTGAACTTTCTGTTGCTATTGTGTTTGTTTGTATGATTATTCTATGGGTCACAAAAGACTTTTCAGGTACACCAGGATGGGAGATTATATTCGAAGAGAATTATATAAGTGATGGAACTGTAGCAATACTGTGTGGAGTTCTTCCATTAATATTACCGAATGCAAATCCATTGAAGAGTAAGGTTACTGAAATACTATTACTATCATAGTTTGATTCGATACTATTACAGAGGATTGGAAATATGAGCCAATAATCGGATGGAATGGTTTAGCAAAACATATGCCTTGGGGCGCATTAATTTTACTCGGAGCAGGTCTAACTGTTGCATCTGCTTTTCAAGTTAGTGGTTTTCTTTAGTTTCAGAAATGAAAACTATTATCGATTTCGAATCTGTTTGATAAGGCTTCAAAACTATCGGACAGTGTTGCGCATGCACTTCGATTTCTAGCGGGTATACCACGCGCAGCTGTTATTCTATTGATTATTATTATTAGTGGTCTTTTTACGGAAGTAACATCGAATTTAAGTACAGCCAGTATCTTTTTTCCAGTTCTTGATTCAGTTGTAAGTTGGCATTATTCGTTTCAGCGCGAAAAATAATGATATCTTTGTTTTATTAGGCACGTTCTTCTGGTATGCATCCAGCGCTTCTCATTCTTCCATGTACATTAGCAGTTTCATTGGCCTTTATGTTACCTATTGGTAAATGAATTGAAACTTATGAAAAACAATATTTATCTTATGATTTTTAAGCGACACCACCGAATGCAATTGTTTTTGCTAGTGGCTCTATTCGTGTGGTTGACATGGTAAAATTTCTATATGAAGTATGAATATAGAACTTTGTTTTTTATTAGGTAAAAACTGGTATTGTTATGAATATTATTGGATTTCTTGTCATCTTCTTTGCCGCAACGACTTGGATGCCGAAAATTTACGGATTGAATGATCGCGCAACGGAACTATTTTTTAGTGTCAATACGACATTAAGCGTTTCAGGATCATACAATGGAACCGATTGAACTTTTTTCCTTTTGATAGCATAACAAAATATTTTTCTTTTCTTTTTATGTAACATTTGCTTGTAATGAAGAAGAAAAAGGGAATACGATTTATTAGGATTAGATAAAATTGTAGTCAAATCACTTTTGATCTTATTTTATACTATTCGTGATGGCATGGCAGACGATCGGATAAAATTAAAATTTAGGATCATTTCAAATTTTATTACTGAAGTCAGTGATTTATCTACCGTATGGGCAGGGTGGGCGCCGCCCACCCGAAAATAAACAGTTGATTTCATAAAAGTAACGGGTGGCCCTTAAAGAATGGTGGTCTCATTATTTACTCAATATCGTTTTTGCTCTTCATTGATTTGAACTGAACATTTTCCCAAACGATTGAGCATTCAATTCTCTACAAACTCATGTGTAAAAGATTTTTTAAAACTACAAAACGGCTAAGTACTAAAACGAAGAAAAAAGGTTAAAAAATCTTCAACTTTCAAGCTCAACATACATTAACNTCACATGGAACGCGAATTTTCAAAAAAAAAGCGGATTTAGTGCTTGAAAGTTGAAGATTTTTTAACCTTTTTTCTTCGTTTTAGTACTTAGCCGTTTTGTAGTTTTAAAAAATCTTTTACACATGAGTTTGTAGAGAATTAAATGCTCAATCCTTTTGGAAAATGTTCAGCTCAAATCAATGAAGAGCAAAAACGATATTGAGTAAATAATGAGACCACCATTCTTTAAGGGCCACCCGTTACTATATGATAACAAATTTTCTAGCCAGCACCCCCTCCAAAAATTTCAACCGCCCACCCGAAAAATAAAACCTAGATAAAACACTGTCCGAAGTCATCCTATGTTTGAATTTCATTCATAGCATATTTAGGTACCGTATTAGAGAATAGGAAGGAAAATCAGTCTTACCCCAAGCAGACAAACATTTGGAAAAAACGCGTTTTTTAAACAGAATTTTCAGTTTGTGTGCGTGAAAACGCACAATTACTTGATAATTTAAAACTACAGCGTTTTAACGCTCATAATTGGAGCTTTTGCCCGTTTTCACGAGCACAAAGTGAAAATTCTGCGTAAAAAGCGCGTTTCTTGCGTTTTGTTAATGACAGTTAATGACGCACAATTGCGATTTCTGTTAGAGTGTTTAACCGCGCTTTTTCAAATGTTTGTCTGCTGGAGTATATCTGCATCGATTAAACGAATGTGTGAGTCGAGTTCTTTTATTTCTGGTTGCTTGGTTGGTGAGTGGTGTTGAATACGGAGGAATATTTTTGAGAAATTCATCAGGTTAGCAGATCAACAAGTCAACTCTCATTTAATACTGGATGCGATAAAAATTAACTTGACCAAAGTTGACTGGTTTATAGAACGATATTATGAAACTACTGATTCCAGCACATTCCTTCTAGAAATGACAATTTCCCAGTGTTGAAGAAAACTTCTAAAAGCATAAAAATGCTTTTATTTGAGAGTATAAAGTATTTAACAATGTAAAAAAATTTATATCTATATCTTTTTTGACTGATAGATATTATCGTAGCAAGAAAATTACATCATGACTAACTACACAGAAGACAAAAAACCTTTGCATTTATATTGCGAATAAGAGACTTGTTTGTCTAATAGTTTAATTTTTATTTAGCCTGAAAAAACTACAACCATGGCACATGATATGTGGTTTTCATCATTTAAATCAATGTTTGACGAAGCTTTAGATAACTACGATATTTCTGGATGGAAAATCAAACGAATGCCAAACAATGTGGACACAGACCGACGAGCATTAGAAGCGGGACGACGAAAAGGCTGGCCATTCCGCCTACACAATGGCAGGGCTAAGTAAGCATAGACTTTATCTTTGGCATCTTAAAATTTTTCTCGGAAAAACATATAGATTTGAGTGCCCGTGGTGTAGAAAAAAATGGACTTCAGCTTACACAACGATTGTTTGGAGAGCTAATTGGAACGCAGGTGTTATTCAGATTAATATAGAAGAACAAGGCTGCCAAAGATGTAACAGAATGGGTAAAGTATCAGTTATTGATGAAGAGCATATCAAATTTGCCTTGGATTGGATGTGCCAATGGCTACTGGAGGTTTTCTATGGAATAAGAAATGAAGAGAACAGTAGTAGTGACGATGAGCCTGATGAAGAGAAAAAAATTACGGATCCACACGATTGCGGCCGTTGTAACGCCGGAAAAAAGGGAACATGCAAAAAATGTAACTTAATTTTCCGGCAACAAATGGTTTTTGTGAATAACCAGAGAAGGCGGTGATTCAACGCTTAAGATTTATCCGATCTGTGTGACATGAGATGAATGGAATGGCACGAAACGTTTCTCTATAGCAAGTCTAATTTATTCTTTGATTGTAAATTTTTCATAATACAGGGTATATATTTTTGGTTTAATAAAGCATGAATAACAGAATATTTGTACTGAAAACAAATGAAACTGATTATGCATATGAGAATCATGTCGGTTCCACCAACTCTAATGTATCTGTTGTTGGATGACCATAACAACATGCCTACTTCATTTAGACTTATCTACACTCACACTCTTGGGGTGTTAATACAGCATAGACATTTTCCTTAGTTCGCACTTGGCTCTATTGATATAAATGATTATTTTTATCTCATGTCTCCAGCAGACTTCATTTATTTTTCGGCGACATATTCTTTGATTCGTTTGCTTGAAATGCACTGTAGTCGTTGTGACGGTTGTAAATATTGAAACAACCTGTAAATATTGAGATAAATGTGCAAATCGAGCCATTGTTTCTTTTTGCTTAACGTCAAGCATTGTCGACAATGTTGATGCTTATGCAGATGGTTATTCAACATTAGCAATTAATGATTCTTTCATACCAGTCCAGGTCAAAAACGTACGGTCGGAACCGTTTGAGATGTAGCAAATTTCTTTTAAATTCCGCAATCCGTTCGATGTCGAATAGGTCACTGCAATCGGATCCGGTCTGGCCGGGTGTGGGTGCGTAATCGTGCAATTGAAATGAATACACACACACACACTCTATTCTGCTTCCTCAAATGCTTTAAATTGCAAAAAAATGGAAATGCTTTAATTATCATCGATTTTTTTATCTTTGATTTACCTACAAGAATAATTTTGATGATTGGATTGATAAGCAACACAACTGGAGTGTATGTTGGTGTTGATTTTCTTTTCAAGAACATTCACACTAACAAAACTCGAAACAAAGAAAAAACGGTTTGAATAATTTGAAGAAACCAACAGAAAATGTCTTCCGGCTAATTAAAAAATGAAAATTGATAAAATTCTTTAGTAAATGTTGAAGTCTTTCTTGAAGATCACAACTTGTATAGCATGATGTGATCTTGCTGTTGTAAAGAGTTCTACAATGCAATACATATCCAGTGCAGAATAAAAGAAGTTTCCCAGGACGACAGGTTCAACTGTCGGACTACTTCAGATCCTATTGGGCAGTGTCGTGTCTATCTATCAGACAATTGTTTTCTAACCACAAGAATACGACAGATTATGTGATCTATTCATGTCACCCTAAATTTTGTTGCTATAAAAACGTTTACTAGGAACTCATTCTATCGTTCAATGAAAAGCGTTTATTAACAGGCAGGATCAATTAATTTGTTGAATGAATCTATAATTCTATCGGATGAATGATTTATTTATCTTAGCATAATATATAACAAACACTCTTTATTATTTTAGATCCTTATTTATTTTAAACAAATGATATTTTTATCTGCTCGCTATTATGGAACATCAATTTTGTATTCTAACAGAACACATTCATATGACAGAATACAACGCTGTACAATAAATTATTGTAATATGAAACTTGAAGATAATCAATTCTATTACAATTACACGTTTTCTTTTCAGAATTATAAATGAAATTCTATGTATAACAAGGAAAATATGAATGAAAATCTTTGCCATGCACCAATAGTGTCGATCCCAAGTATAAATATTTTATATTAGCACAATTCTCACGTGTTGCTTCGCGTGTAAAGGTTTCTGTGACTTCTTCTATGTATGAGTAGGGAATTTCAAGATCAATAAGACACGCCCATGTCGCACAAACCGATCGAAAACCGTCGGCTAACCGCGGTTATTTAAGCCATTTTAGCGACTTTATAGCGTAAAAACCAACGGTTAACCGGAAAAATAACCGCCAGCTAGCGACATAACCGATGACTTATTCGGTTAACTGGGAGGTTAACCGCAGTTAACCGTTGGTTTTTACGCTGTAAAGTCGCTAAAATGGCTTAAATAACCGCGGTTAACCGACGGTTTTCGATCGGTTTGTGCGACATGGGACGGTAAAAGCGTGTTGGTATTTACTAAAAGTTGTTCTGCAATATCCATATTCCCAAGACATATACGGAGATGCGTGAGATGAGGAAATACAATAACCGACGCGATTTGATCACTCTTTTTTGCTTCATGTGATGATTTATAATTTCGTGGTTTACGATTTAAAACAGTTAGATCTCTTAGAAATGGAAACGAACGAGCAATTCGATCATAGATTTTATACTCAAATGGATAATGAATATCAAACAACAATATAACACGTACATTTGTAAATGAACCTCCAGGAAATGTATTACTAATATCATGCATATCATTCATTTTATATGGAAGTAAATAGATGTGGGATCGAGCCATTCCATCTGAATAGTGATCTAAGTAAAAATCAACTTGATGAAATTTTCCATTGAGAAATGTACATCGCATGTGTTTATATAACTGATTATGAACAGAAGTACTGACGTTCGTACGAGTGATGATATTAAAACTGAATGTTTGAAGTTGAGGCATACGATCTAGAATATTGTCTTTGGGATGAATACCATCAATAAAGGTTGATCGATTGATAACACTCAGATACAATGTAAGTTGTTCGAGATGTATCATTCGACGAAGAAGTGGAACAACTTGACTATCATATTCAATAAATCGATTATATGAAGTGAAAAACATTTTAGATGTAATATATCCTTAAAAAGACGACACACTTAATTAATGTAAATAGAGATGTAAGACGCGCCGCCGACAATTCTTTGTTTCATTGGGCTATATTGACGGCTAACCGTCGCCGGCGTGGCTTTCACCTCTAAATGTAAACAAATACTCTTACTGTATTAACGATAGATACATTTAAATTGGAAATGACATCAATTTTCACAATGAGCGTACGTAGTTGACTGAGGCGTCCGTCAAGAAGACATTGATAATTAAATTATCAAATGTCAATACTGGATGAAGCCATTTAGAACTTTCGGAAAAAATCTAAATCTGTTAAGGTTGTGAATAGAGCAAAAATACGTTGAAATACATTTATTCTTAAGTCGTTATGTGATCGTGATTCAGTATCGTGGATTAAGACGACAAGATGCGTGATTTGTTTTTTTAAAATATGAGCAAAATGAGATTCGTCTAATAAATGTGTCGTGTAGGATATTGTTTATAAAGAAAAATATTTTCGACCTGTCAAAACTCGCATTGCTAACTCTTGTGTGAGATTGATAAAAGCTAGTTTACACAATCGAGGATATTCACCAGTGTAAAAAAACCCGTTCCATAAGAAATGATTCAACAATAAGTTGTTCACTCATATAATGTATTTGAGGTAATATATCCAAACAAAATCGATCTAATATTTGATCAGATAATGAACAATTTTGTTCTTCTTGACAATTTGGTTTTATCAATTCAATAGAACGAGTATAAATTTTATCACGTATTAAGTTATCGAATCGTCTATTAACATTTAAAAATGAATAAAGTGCGTCAGTTTTATTCAATTTATTCCAAATAATAAGAATTATTTCGTCCGGTAGATTCATAATATTAACTATCGAACGGTTCATATTTGTTTGGAATAGACAAATCGTTAATAAAATGAGAAATATACTGCTCAATTATTCATATACGTAGCCATATATATATATATATATATTGACGGCAGAACTACAATATAGAGAAATGCGAACTCGTCTAGATAAAGTTGAAATATCAATTTTGACTAAAATTTTATTTTCAGGCAGAATTAGAATTCCGATATTTGTTTACTAATTAGGGAGAACACAGTTATAAAAGTGAATCAGGATCAAAATCTTAATCTTCCATGCAACATCAAATGAGAACAGGATATGATGAGCAATGGGAATACTACATTGTTAATCCATCCAGGTTGACAAAAAATTTAAAGAAACAGGACATGATGTTTCTTACCGAAAATATGAGGTATTAAAAGCAGTATCACCATTTACAATAAAAGAAAACAAAATCAGTGTTATTTTCATTTTATTTCTTTCTAACTTATTCTATGATCGATAACTGCTATTGCTATTTGATAATTATACCTATTGAAATAATGACTATATCTACCATAAAAGAATTCTTAATAATATTCTTTGTTCGATGAAAATAATTGACTAGGAAGATACTCAGACGACGAAGATTCACTAAAAGAATATGTTGTTTTCATTTTCATTTTTTTATCTGATGAGAATAAAAATATAGTCAAGTAATTGATCAGATAAGAGACAAATTAAATACATAATTGTTCAACTGATTTAGATGGTTAATAATATTATTTGATTCTTGTACACATTATATAATTAATACTTCTAAATCTAGTTGAAATACAAGAATTTTTTAAGCTATTTTAATATTTATATTTAACTTAATATGAGATAATTTCAAAAAGCAAAATTTCATAAAAAATTTAAACTCAAATCGCCTATTAAGATAAATAAAATTTGATTTTAATAACACCAGCTATTGAATGTTCATAACATGCTTTTCAACACAAATAAAAAGAACAACTTAATCTTGTTTGATCAGCTTGACCACGTCTTTGTTTTAAATTTCTTTTTCATGTTCAAATAATGACATAGTTTGGCTTATTATTATATAATAAAGATAATTTTTGTCTTAATTTACAATTCTCAGTTATATAAAAACAACATCATCAACTGTTATATCTGATTCGGCTGAAGAAGATAGGCATTAAGTATATCATGTAGTAAAATATTCCTAGTTCTTTCTCGTGATGATCTATCTTTTATTTTCTTTCTGCTATTCTTTTATTCTTATTTTACTTTAAAATCAACAAAAAAAAAATGATGAAAAATACATTTGTCGATTTTTCTGATTATATATTTATTGATAATCACTTTTTTATTTCTTTTCCCAGCTCATTGATGGTATCCATGACGTCACTGGAAACAAATTTGGCACTTGATATGAATCCAATAGCTTCCGGATAATGACCGCCGTCGAGCGCTTGAAGCGCTAATTTCAGCTCGCCATTAAGTGTTCCTGCATTTTTTTTATTTTAAATAGCAAATTAGTTACCTAAAAGATAGAAATCTTTTTTTTGTCATTTAAGATTTTATTTGTTCCTTTAAAGGTTAACAAATTAGACACACAATGAGTTACAAAAATATTTAGTAAAAAATTTTACAAGATACATTTGATTTGATTTTTAGAATACAGATCACATAAATATCTATTATAAATTATATATTCGCGAAGAAAGAAAATAACAATAAATTTAGAGCATGTGAAACGTTAAGGTCTATTGTACAATAATAATGAACGATAGAGTGGAAGATACATGTTTTACAATTTATACGACGAAACATAACATTTACACTTTTTTGAATTAATATTATAATTACATTTTGTTAGGGTGGTTGAGGAAAATATTTTAGGATAAACCACTCTAAAATAGATGAGGAATATTTGTAAATGTATAATTGTTTTCTCTGAACGTTGAAAAACGTGAGTAGGTCAAGCTTCGTATGCCTTGCTTTTTCTGATAATCGTTGAGGAAATTTAGCATTCTTTCGAAAACCACAGCTTTTATAATAAATTTTTGATGGACAAGTAGCTATTAGAAATGCTGTCCATGTTTGTTGGTATAAGACCGCTTCTAATGACTGCTCTAGATGTTTTTCAAATTTTACCCAGTACTTATAAATATAATCTCGTAATAAAAGATAGAAATCTTTATATTAAATGGTAGTGTATTTAATTACTTTAGGATATAAATCTTTATCTTTGTCAACTGTTGGCATACCCAGGTCGGTCAAAACGGATATCGTTACGGCGTCGTTTACCGCCGTAAACGACAAGAATACGGGGTATTTCCGGTCGTATACGATGAAAATACGGCCCGCTACGGCACCGTATTTCCCCGTTTTAACAGGGACAGTAATACGGCCATATTTGCCCGTAGCGTATACGGTGAGAGGTATACGGCCGTTTACGAAAGTTTTGGTAGTCGCTTACGGACCGAATTTTGATTCATTTACGGCCATAAATAGGTAGTTTATTTTCAGCTTAATCGTCATATTAAACTTGCTATTGTATGCTGGCAAAGTCTATAAACTACTACAATATTCGAATTCCTTTTTTCTTCGTTTTAAAAAAGCATTTTTTATTAGAAAAACTAAAAGAAAAAAGAAGAAACATTTATTTTATTTAAACTTTCACCTATTTTCCATGATCGGACAAGTTACATGGGAAGTCGAAATAGTAAGCAACGAGAGGCGCAAATATACAAGAAAATTTCATAAATTTTTCAAAGCATAACCAATCTAAAAATAGAAAGAACAAACAATTTCCTGCCGAAAAGTATTAAAAAAAACTTGGCATTATGTTTTTCTAAATGAAAAGAGAGGTCGATGATGTCATCCTGCTGCTAAAGTCTCTTGCGTACTCACGAAAAGCAAAGATCCGAGAAGTTCAAAATATTCAAATAGAAAAAAGGAAAATAAAAAATCGATTAAAACTCCGTAAAACCCTCTAAACTGTGTTTCAAACCGTACCAAAATCTTATTCGAAGCAGATCTTCACATTGAAACAATTTTCTATAGGGGCGCCACAATCGAGGATTTATGTTATATTGTTTATTGAAGTCGATTTCTTAGGAAATGTAGAATTTTTTGGTAGTTTTCATGCAGAAATTAAGGAACAACGTTGTTGCTGTTGAATTGTGTTTCTGCGTCTGCTGACAGCATTCTACAGATACGACAAAAATACGTACCGTTTACGGTGCTTCGTATACGATCATTCGCAAACGATCAGCCGTTACGATCATCGCATTTTACCGTATTATCGCCGTTTACGACCGTTCACTGATCGTTTTATCCGACCTGGATTGCTTGCTGTTTTAATGAAGTTACTATAGTAGCACGAAAGAAGAGACAAGACGGTAAACTGGACAAGATAGGTTATAGTTCAATCGCAAGGGGGGGGGAGCTGATTTCTGATACTAGAAATCACTGGAAATCATTAGAAATCACTAGAAATCAAGAAATCAGTTTTCCCCCTTGTTTAATCGTTTTCTTTTCATGTCAGCATTTTGAGAGAAGATAAAAGAATCAAATGTAAATTCTATAGGTCTATTCCAAGTCACTGTAACAGCAGATGGCGTGGATGTGGAAGAGTGAATAAAGAGAAAACTCGCACACACCCTTAAGTGATGACGTCGCTCGATTGCGAACATACGAAGCTACTCTGAAAAAAATAAAGGAGGTTTACAGAACCCTCCGAAAAGGTTCTGCAGATTTTCAAAATGCTCCAAATGTGTTCAAAGTCTCAAAAAAAGGATAAAAATTTTGACAGAACCTTTTGAAGGTTCTGCGTTTTACCTAAGTGCAGAACCATCTCTTACAGAACCTTTTTTTCGGTTCTGTACAGCAAAAAAAGGTTCCATGAGAAAATACGAAACCCTGAAGGTTCTCTACAAAACGATTGGGTTCAGTACGGAACTGTAACGATTAATAAGACTCTGTTGAGTTTGTATCGTATTGACAAACTGGATAGAGGTGGAGTAGCTTACAGCCACTCACGGCATTGATGTTTATTCGTTTGTTCACATATCCAGAGTGTAACGACAAAACTAGAGAGTGTCGCCTATGCCCGTCGGCATGATGGCGTATTGTGTCATCTGACATCTCCAGAGTGTAACAACTTCATACATGACGCACGTATATATAGGAGAGAGATAGAAGAGAGACAGGAGAGAGATACATTAGAACAATGGAAAGAGAACAGAAAGAGAAGGAAGGAGAATCATCGAAGCGTGCCATCAATATCGGCACAGGAACCATTAAGGTTACGCACCAACGGTTAATGGTTTCGTACAGAACCTTCAAGGTATCGTATTTTCTCACGGAACCTTTTTTTGCTGTACAGAACCGAAAAAAAGGTTCTGTCAAATTTTTTTTCCTTTTTTTGAGACTTTGAATACATTTGGAGCATTTTGAAAATCTACAGAACCTTTTCGGAGGGTTCTGTAAACCTCCTTTATTTTTTTCAGAGTAGTGCTCCATTCATGATACTAAACTAATGTATCAAGATGCTCATTCGTGCAGGACTAAATAGTATCCAAATAGTCATATTAAGAAGGATTTTTTCGAGATAGCACCAAGTAAATAGCAAGATTATATCTTTAAAATATCGTTACAAATCGAAAATGGTATTATTTTGAACAAGTCTTATTTATTTGGTCATTCATGTATTATACCTTCTATCATTGATCGTTCTTACTTATATACTAACAGAAAGAACATAAACAAAATCATCTGCAAGTGTACCTTTCTCTAGAGGATATCTGAGAAGCCCAAAGGACAACAAACGTTCGCAAATTATGATCTATTGATTTCCTGTTTAGAATAAATTTTGATTACAATATAGTTAATTACTATCAATCAAATACAATAGAGCTTACACAAATTTGGAATTTATTTTCCCTTGATAACTGAAAATTCAACACCACGACGAATCTTCGTCATTGTTGAATCAAAAGATACAACATGCTACATCAGAGTCAAGTTAAGTTTAGAGTAAAAATGTTCTTTATAAAAATACTATATTTCCAACAATGCTAAATGATTGGTTATAATCACTGGCAGTATGTACGTAGCAGAGAGAAGAAATATGATTTAGACAGCAGAAAATATTTATTATGTTTTACAAGAACTTTTATCAATCGCAAACATTTGAATTCTATGGTTCATATCATCATTGACCCATAAATTTCCATGTTTATCAAGTAACACTTGAGATGGCCTATATAATTGGTCTTTGTCGTGACCTTCGCCTCGTTTTCCAACAAGAACAATGCCTGATTTACTATTTTTCAACCATCGCATAATTCTATTATTATCATAATCAGCAACATAAAGATTATCCGATTGATCAGCAACTACTGACATTGGTTGATAGAATTGATTTAGATCATGTCCTGCGTGATTTCCACCAGCTCTAAGAACACCTTCTTTTTCACCAATAATCCATTCTATAATTCTGTGATTGTCTCCATCTGCTATTAATAGTGATTTGCGATTCTTAATAGAAAAATAATACGGAATAGACAATTGATTTAGATGATCTCCCTCTCCATTTCCACCTGCAATAACTTCATCATTTGGAAATTTTAATATAGAATTGAATATTGCTTCAGAATAGTACAGTGCCCCTTCGTCATCAATATACAATCCGAAACACGACCCATTTGTTTTAATCGTTTCGCCTTCACTAGCATTTTTCTTCCACATTTGCACTCTATGATTGCCTTCATCACAAACGAAAATTGTTCCGTTTTTATCAACAATAGCACCGTTGGGATATCGAAATTGATTAGTTTGATTTCCTTCGCTATTTCCACCAGCAACTATTTGTCCAACCGAAGAACCATGCTCCCATTTAACTACACGATGGTTGAATCCATCTGTTACGTAAAGATTTAAATCATCGTCTAGGAATATCCCCGATGGAAAATGAAATTGATTTAATTCTGATCCTGCTCCATTTCCGCCTGCCACTGTGGTACCATTAGTATCCCATGTGGCACTTTCACAAATACCATCGCCAGGTATCGGAGATACAGCTGTAAAGTAAAGAAGGTATATATAATTTTAAAAAATGTATTTTTCTGTTATAAATACTTGTGGATGGTATTGATGGGCACAATGACTTAGTTGCCATTTGCATTGGATAACATACTGGACCATTTTGACATCGAGAATGTTTTACACAAGTATAGTCTGGTTTATAACATGTTTTATTATCGCGCGCACATGATGATAACTCAGAACAAGAAATAGATAGAGATGCACAAATAGAACTTTGATTATTATGACTTAGAGGTAGGCAACCACATCCTGCATTCAATGAACATGTTTGATACGGTAAACTATTATCACAACTTTGTTCACAGTTGAGTTGATCTTATTGCAAAGATTAAATAGGTTCGTTGAAAAATATAAAGAAACAAAATCGTTTTACTTACGTAATAAGCAAAGTCTAATAAAAGAAAAAGAAATAGTTTAATAAATGATAAAAAAAAAGAATTTTTTTATACCCGAGGATAAAACATGTAGAAATGTACGTTATCGACATGAGTTTTATTTATTTTATTTCTATTCTATTTGTCTTTGCACTCTGTTTATAATGAGAATATAGTCATCTCTGTAATCATCATGACCAAGTGCGTAATCTTTTTTTTGTTTCTATTCTTCTGTTCTTAGTTGTGGCCTATTCTCTAATACAAAAAAGACTTTGCAGCGTACATATGACTAATTATTTTTTTTAATGTTTTATTCAGTTGACATGTGTATTAATAAGTTTAAAAATTCAATATTACTGTAATCTATAAACGAACAGACTATTTTATTGGAAGCAATGTCATCACCATTTTTCTTATAAAAATGCGAGTAATTATAGTGGTATCGGAACAGCTTAGGAATATGAATTAATGATGAAATTTGAGAACACACAATGCAATGCTTCATATCGAAATGTGCAGCAAATTATGAGGTCCATCTCAACATTTCTTTCGACGACTATCGATCTATCGTTTCAGGATATTCTTATTGATTGAGTAACTTTTCTGTACATTGACAATTTTTTTTCCGTGATTAACTAGACAGGCACCAGCTCTTATGAAATGATGCAAGCATCTGAAATGATAAGCAAGCCGTCGCATTGGCTCATAAAAGTAGTTTTTCATCCATGACCACTTATAAGTCATGAATTTTTTTAATATACTGCGTTTTTTCAGCAATAATACTTGATTGAACAGTCAATAACTAACGACGAACTTGGGTTACTTCATAGAAAACGTTGCCCGATTGTGATCCACACATAGCATCATTTTCAAAGAAGACTTTGTCTTCAAACTCGTTCGGACTCAACAAGCTGAAGAGTAAAGAAATACCAGTCGATCTTCTCATTAGATAGTATATGCATTTAGTAGCATCAGTGTCTGACACTGCGTAGCTCGGCTAACACGTCGAAACTCGAGATCGCCAGAACGTTGAAAAAATACCATTCAATACTAGGATGAAGATAAATATCTGTTCTTCCTATCAAGCTTGTAAATATTAACTCGTATAACTTTATTCATCATTTGATCATATGATTGGAAATTTTGATCGAATTGAAATAAAACAAAAATATATTCTACTAAGAGCCACGGTCTTGTGATGTTTACTGACGATGTCATAACCTTTTCTTGAGTTTGACAAACAACAATATTCTCGTGAATTTTACTAAATGATTGGAAAGTTTAATTCATAAATTATATAGCTAAAATTGTTGTTCAATCATGTACGGTCTGTTCCTAGTAGAAAGGAAAGAAATTAAGCGAAAAATTTCTAGTCTAGAATGATACATCGAAATATTTTCGATTATTAGACGTAATCAATCAGCACGCATGCGTTTTTCTTGTTCGATAGTTATTAATCACGCTAGGATTGTTTGCACTCTAAAGCGGTTAGTTTGTTCAGTAAAAGCAACTACACGTGGTGCTCGATATCGATTTAAGCATAGTATGGCTCGTACATGGCGCCGAAATGTTGGTGACACAATGGTATAGACATAAAACGAGGCGCACGAATGTACACATAGCAAAAGTCGTCTAGCACAAAGAAGAAACTTGTCTGCAGCTGTTGTCCCTTGACACTCCTTGTTTGTTGTCAAAAAGTAAGATTGCAAAAGGGATGCTGGTATTACTGTAAAAAGTCCAATACTTGTTTGAAACAATATCATGTGATTTACTTGACAATGAAGTTGATTGTTGTTTGCTGTGTGTGTATGTTTACGATGAGTAGACACTGCCAAATTCCACCAGGTAAGAGAACCAAAAAGGAACACTGATACCCGATGATACTACAGTAGTCAGAAAAATGATTGCTCGAGCTCTAAATAATGTCATCCATCCCCGTCGATAAGTCGATCGGCACGCTTGCAAATAGCGTTCAATGGCTGCCAAATACATACAAGAAAGAGCTATTACTGTAGCGGCAAAATATAGAAATACTTGGAAATAACGGCGAGCGGTTCATTCGACGTGTCCATCGCTTGTGTTAGAAAAATAAAATATGATAACTTTTTGCTTTTTAAAAATTTAAAATGAAATCTATGTCAAGCCGAGAACAGTTCAAATGTGCAAAGTCTACTGTGTCTAATTCAGGTTTACGTGGAAGAATATTGAATAAAAGAAGAACGACGCGAACATATAAACCTATTGGAAGTTAGGCTTTTACGGTGTCGAAAAACAAAACTCCGGCAACTCAGATAAATCTAGACGACATGATTTTACTGATACTTTCCGACTGCTTTTATATAGACACAAACGTTCACTACATAACTACTCCGTTCGATTCACCGTTTTTTAACACAATTTGTCATGCTTGACTTTATCAACAGTTTTTTTGTTCCAATTTAAAATGAGAAAAAACCCTGATAATTCTCTACACACCAAGACAATAATTTTCAATGCGGATTGTAAACAAGTAGTTCAATTTCAACAGTAAGCACCGATCCATTGAAGAGATACGATTGCATATTGCTCAAGACGGTGAGCTGAACGTCAATCTTCTGATTGCATTGTCATTCAAACCAAAACAAATCTGTATAGAGATGGACACAAAGCAAGGACTCGAATGATGATCAAATTTACTTAGAAAAAACAGATATCTACATTACAAACAGCGCGGAGAAAAATATTTTCGAAGAAAATTTTATTGGACTCTTGATCAAAATTAATTGGTTAAATTAAAGAAATAAAATTTACAAAATAGAGTAAATTTACTCGATTTAAAAAAAATGCTTTTGTTGTTCTTTTAGTAGAAGTTCGATGGTGCTTAAATATGGTCAGTAGCAAACTTTATTGCACACGCTTTCGACTATTCGTTGATGAAGTTGATTGGTTTGTAGTACTAAGACGAGTTGAAACTAGATTATAAATAAATTGGGCTGAAGTTGCTGATGATTGAATTTGAGCGTAGTTCAAATTTTGCCCATCTTTAGCAATTAGTTTAGTAATATTATCTGATGCTTTTATATCCTGTGCATATTGTTGAGCGGGCATTGTATGACGACTATTAACTGTTTCAGTGCGTTGCAAATAAAAATGAGAAATCATATGTGTAACATTGCCTTTGCCACAATCGAATGAAATAATAATAGCATCAGATCGATATTTATCATATAGTGCTTGTGAACGTATAAGAACTTTAACTTGATCTGTATTAATGATCTCAATTGGATGTGATGAAGTTTCAAGCCACCATTGTGGTTGCGTATGTATAGCTGCTGATACAAAACCTTTCACAAATGCATGATTAGGATTTACAACTTCGATACCAACAACTTCATCACGTGTAGCTTGTCCATTATGTTTAACAAAATCAGAAAATGCTACTTCTAAAACGTGCGTCAATGCCCAGTCAGTTGTTATTAAATGAAGACCTTTGTCAACGAGTTCTCGTAGACGATAAGCAGCTTCTCTAGGGAAAGAAGAGGCGCAATTAATATATACGGTTTGACTGGTACGAAACGGATAGGTCATTATTTCATATTGTTGAACAATTGTAAATTTCAAATTAGTTTTTGTCAATACCTGATCAATATGATCATAAGTACCCGGTACTACGATAATATCATCCTCACGCATATTTTTTATTGAATTTTGTTCGTGTTGACTCAAACTTTCTAAAGCTATCACACCACCAATACGATACGCTTTTTGCATATCATCATTACCATGAGTCGTAGGAATACGTGTAGAACGATTCGTATTTAAGGTTGAATTTGAAGATTGGCCAAATTTACTAGCTGCTGCAACAAATGGTGGCGATGGTTTAGGTGAATGCTCAAAATGACTGCAATGTGTTGGGTCGTATCGATCCCGACAACCCGCACCATATCGGCATTCTTTTCTCACAATTGAAACTAGATATAGAAAGAAAAAAAACATTTCAGTCCATCCATCTCAACTGTGTGATAAGAGTTTGTTGCGGTATTTGCAAGATATAACTTTTAGATATTCAATTTATGTTTCGTAATTGATTTCCCTATAATAAAATTTTACTTACATGGTTCACTACGAATAGTATCATTATCGATAGTTTTGATTTTGGTTTCATTTCGTTCCATTGGTATCCGGGACGACATTTTCCTATTAGTGCTATGAGATGTTCTCTTGTCCTCATCCTCATCTTCATCCTCATCAGAGTTCTTGTTGCTACGATTCGAACTAAACTTATTTGAACGCCAGGATGCTGTTTCTGTTGGATGCTTGAAACGATCACAATGTGTTGGATCGGATAGATACCGACAACCGGCACCGTATCTGCATTCTTGTTTCGTATTTCGAGCTTTAAACGATAAGAAAAGAGATATATCAGATTCAATGTTGGACTTCACAATGCACTGGCCGAGTATATGATATCTGTGTGATAACCTTTTACTTACATGATGAAATATTAACTGGCTCATCATGCACAGTTTTTGTACTTGTACGGTCTTGTTTATTTACTCTTAGTGAAGAATTCGAACCACCGATACTATAACTTGATTTTATATTATTATTCTCATCATCGTCGTCATCATTTTTATGATTATAAGATGAACGTATCGAATTTGAAGTTCTATTTGACGATGGGCCAACAACATTACCTGATACGACAAATGATGATGATGTTGTAATTGGATGTTGAAAGCGGTCACAATGTGCTGGCTCATTTTTCTGCCGACAACTTGCGCCGTATCTACAATCTTCCTTCGTATTTGAACCTATAGAAATGATAATTGAATGATGCAAATTCGAAAGAATCACGTATTGTTACATACCACTTCTTCTTGAAGAAAAATTAGTTTTCTGATAGAATTCTGGCGGATGTTTATATTTTTTCAAGTGTTCTGTAGATCGATCTGAACATTGTGCATTATGTTTGCACGGCATAAGAAGGTAAGGAAGACCGTTGTGCCGATGAGTACGACGATGTTCAAGGTCGCCTAGTTTTGCGCAATGAGCTGCTCCATATTTGCATTCATCAATATCGTCTGTTGAATGTGTGTAACAGCGTGAATGATCACTTTTATCTATGTCACGGCATAGATCTAGCCAACAGCATGGATGTGAAAAACATTCATTGTGTTCTGTAGACCCATTGTGTTGTAGCAAACAGTCTGCGCCATCTCTACATGGTTTTAATGCTGGAGTATTCCACGAATTATTGGATCGCATATTAAGAGTAGACTTCCGATTTGTACTATGAAATAGAATATTGTTAAAAATGAAGGGTATGTTGACGATTCGAATCAACTATAAATGTGTTTCGAAAACAAAATAGTACTGGTGACAGAGTTAGAACGAAATGATTGATTTCACAGATCTTACGTTAGATGAAGTTCAACTGTTTGAGATCAGTATTTTTATTATACAAATCATAGATACTGAAATTTATATCTTGTAGATTCTCTTCAAGATCGATGATATATGCGATTTTTAAATATCGCGATTCGATACATTTTGATCCTAGATGTGAGAGTCAGAGACGTGCACAGGGCAGGATGGCCCTGTTGTCCTGTCCTGCCGCCCGCCAGGATCAAGGTGGGCAACTGGACAGGCAAGGACAGGAGAAAAAATGATGTCCCGTGCCCTTCTCTGGTGTGAGTGCACATGAAAATAAGAACCTGGCTTGTGTTCTAATGTATACACCTAAAAATTGTGTAGAATAAAGATTAGCTGAATAAATTCTCTAGATGCTATGCTCGTAATTTTTACAGAGAAGCCATTTACATGTTGTCCGATCTTAGCTTAGGCGATCGAATTTTCTCACAATGATTATAAATTCCTACTTTCTATCTTCCATTCGTCGTGTTGGTGTGTCGATAGTATAAAGAAATGCTTGTGAATGACGATTGACTCAAGCTCGGAAGTATTGTCGAAGAGAAAAACAACATGGTGTCAAATATGTTTTAAAGTTAAACTTAAGAGAACAGAACATGTCGGAAGAAAAAGAAATGCAGAAAAAGGGCAAGATAAATTTACAAATGAAAGCCCATTTTTTCAAAATCAAGAACTCTAATGATACCATTTTTTGTGTGCACATTTGAATGAAACAATATTAATCATGAATAATACTGGCAATGGCATTTTGTTTCGTATTTATTCTATTTTTAACACACAACAAAAGCATGTATGCTGTCGACATGTGCGACACATCATTTGAAAAAGCACAAAAAAGAATTTGCATTCTTTATTTTTTTCCCTTTAGCTGGTAGTGTTGACAAGAACTGAAGAGTAAAGAGGAGAAAAGTTAATTTTTTATCGCATTATAATGCTTGCGAATCGTTTTATAGCAAAAACCACTGAATAGAAAAGTAAATTAACAGTTCTAATAATGGTGAACTTCAAATGTTTTGAGGAGTCTGAGATGTGAGATAAATAATGCGCAGATTTAAAGAAGAACTAAGGACAAAAAGAACTGTGCTAGTGAAGCGTAGCAACAAGCAACATTAATACATTGTAAAAACTATACTTCTGAATAGTCATTAATATGTATACAAGTATGGTCGCTCCTTTAAATAGCAAGCAAATTAACACTTTGCTCAATACTGGTCTCAATGGGAAACCGTTCGTGGATGAAATTATTGAGAAGTTGGGTCAAATTTCTTCTGGTATAATGTCGGCTCATTTTACTCATGATTTTATTGCTTCCAGCTTTGTTCCTCGAGTCAATCAAATTCTAACACAATGGGGTAGCAATGATCATCGAACGATGTTGAATGAAAATGATTCAAAAACATTGCTTTATTCAAGTCATACAATATTTCACATGTCTAATTCGATAGACAATCAACCCGAGATTTATAAAGATTTACTTGATACAGTCAAAATATGTTTGAATAATATTTCATCATTTGGTTTTTACATTACAAAATCTAACCAAGAAGACGATTCTAATCTAGTCTCATTTGATTGTCTAATATATGTTTTGGAAAGATCAAGTGAATCAAGATTTAATCTATATTTTCCCTTACTATTTGAGCTTTTCGAAGTAGATATAGATTTCTCGTTGAACCAGTAGTACGCTGTGTTTTGTCAAAATTTTCTGTAGATGTTCTTTCTCGTCTACGTGATCTTCCTTTGAATAATACAGAACATTTTCTACTCGTCACATATTCCGATTATGTACTCAACTGTGATCAAGAAAACGGGCGGTATGCTCATTTACTATTAGATCGAATGCATTTAAACTACGTCCATGTGTTTAGCTGCCCATATGGTGACATGAGCGATTGTATAAACAATCACTAATTGTGTTTAATTGCTCCGTTGAGATTAATTGCTTTCGCTAGTCGCTCTGTAGAATTGAATGAGAAGCAATCGTTCAAAACAATTTCGATTGAAATTCTTGAATGCGGTTTGAACAATTTGAGCTTGAATGTGCAACAGATCACTTGGAAGAATTTAGTTGATTCAAGTCTTAAGATTCTACTTGAAATTAGTCTTGCAACCCCACACCCACACCCTGGTATACAGGAGAATCAAGAATCATTTACAAAACTTCTTAATACTCTATTGAAGTTGAGCTATGACCAAGAACAACGAAAACATTCAACTGCAAACATTTGAACTCACGTCAGTAATTCTACTGAAAAACAGTTTGTCAAAATAGTTGGTATCCGCAAGGTTCCAACTTTTTTCGTAGAAATACTCTAGAAATACGTTTGTTTCTATTGTTTAACAGGTCGTTCGACTTTTTGCCATAAAATTTATTGAAGCAGTACACCACGAAAATGACGAATACAATCAGTCGGCAGAATAATTACTCTACGGATTGAGAAGTTAGGAGAAATCGAAATAGTATCGAGAATTTTGTTCTTCTATATTTCCTCTCTAGATATGATTGAAAACAATACTATTCGCGAGCAACTCGTAGAGAAAAGTACTCTTTCATATTTAATTAAGTATGCAGAGAAGTGGCCAAACAATGAAAGTTCACTCGAAATCATGTATGCTATAGTATTCACGGAGAAGGGCAAAGAAGAACAAAAGAAAGAACAGTATAAAGAATTCAACGAGTATGTTAAACGACTTTATCTATCGAGTAAAGATGAAATTCGACAAGCAGTACTCATGGAACCAGTTTGAAAGTTACTGATGAAAATGATTTCATTGAAAACATTGAACATCAAGAAACCAAGCTTCATAAAATTCTGTATCAGATGTGTTTCATATGATCATTTCTTATTCATACAAGAATAAAACAGTATGTCGTCAGATTTACGAACGTTTTCTGAATAATGGCTATCGGGTTTGGATCGATCGTTGAACGAACGGCTGAAGCCGTCGAAAAATCAAACTTCATTCTTATCTGTCTATCAAGTGCTTACAAGAAAAATACGAATTGTTAAGCGGAAGTTGAACACGCGTTTAATCGTAGGAAAACCATTTTTCCTATCATAGTCGAACCGAAGTATAAAGCAGACTGAACGGCTTGGTTTGATTGTTGAGAATAAAATTCATGTTAATTTTGCTGATAAAGTATCAGAAGAATTCGAAATAGCTCACAAATGCTCGTAGTCGAATTGCAACGTAATGTTTTTGATTTGTTGCAGCCACCGGCTCCCATCAAGTGTTCAATTGCTGAATTTGACAGAAAACAAGATGAAATTCAAAGACAATCAGTGATCGAGTCAATATTGAAGGCGTCATGACTAAAACATATATATTTACATATGCCTGGAATTCCTCAACCAAGATATGATCACATAGAACCAATCAATAGCTGGGATGAAACACATGTTGTTGACTTGCTTGTTGAAAATAATTTGAAAGCCTACTATCGATATTGAGAGGAATTGATGTTCAATGTCTAATAGAGCTTTATCGAGTTTATCAACGTTCACCCAACAATACGAAATGTTCAAAATGGATAAAAAATTGAGAACAAATTAATTAAACAAAAGATTAACATTAACAATATCATTTTTAAGTAGGCATCACCTATCAATTCAATCAACTCTTCAATCAATATGTTAAAATAACATTATGGATAATTAGATTAGAATCTGATAAGATGATCTTGTATTATCATTTCATTTTAATCAATGTACCTCTTTATTCTTATGGTCAATTTCAGATATTTTGATACAAAACAAAGCTTGCTTCATATGAAAGCCATATAATTTTAAATATCGACTTAAAATTATTAAGACTTTGTCATCTTAAATTTATTTATCAGATATATGATTGCTTGCTTCTTTCTGACAGTTATTTTATATAAAGAAAAGTGTATGAAAAGGTCAGTCAAGCAAACATATGCAACTCTATTTGATTATTTTGAACTTCGCTGACTAAAGAACTCATCGACATTTAAGAGATTCTTAAAAACTGTACGGTAAAATTAATATTACTCCTTCTTAAAATACATGAACATTGAGAGAAATAGAAAATCCTAGCTCAGTTTAATAAATCAAAGAAGTTCTTGATGAATTTTCTGATTTATTAAGCTTATAAAAATTAGTTTCAACAGGCTCATTTTTGTGCGATAATCTAAATGAATCAAGAAGATCCTCAAATGAGAAAAATCATCGCTGCTAAGAAATATATCCTATATTTACTATTTTCTTGCTGAATTAGCAATTCAAACTGGCGTGATTACCACAAAAATGAAATATTGTTTTGCAGCTATATTTACTACTAAAAAATCAATGTATCTAATTTAGACCGAGGTTTGACTAGGGATGGCACTTTAACTTTACTTTAGAAATTCAAGTTTAAAGTTTACTTTAATAAAAGTACTGTAAAAATGAAAGATAATTTTTAGCTCTTTATGTGCAATTTTATGTGGTTATTAGAGCAACTTTAAAATTTAATGAACAGGGTTTAAAGGTACTGTAAAAACCATATAGAACTGTCCATAAAGAGCTAAAAATTACTTTTCATTTTTACACTAGAGTAATGCAGCCGGGCCGGGTGCTGGGTTTAAAAAAAGGTCTCGTTGGGCTGAGGAGTTTTTAAAAACCCGGCACCTGACCGGCCAAGCAATGAGATATAGAAAAAAACGGCAAATTCCTCAGATCATACTCAGTTGCAGAAATAGGAGTTTGAATCCTATTGAGTTATAATTCACAAATGTATCCAATAGCCATGATGAGTCACCTAATCTACCCGACACTAGCAAAAATCGGTTTACTACCGAACCCTATATCCAGAATAAGAACCTAAGAAGGTTTTGATCTTGGTCTGCTAAACCTTTTAGGCTCTGAAAATCGGTACGAAACCTTCAAGATTCTTATCCTGGATAAAGGTCCGGTAATAAACCAATTTTTTTTAGAAAGCACGAACAGCATTGTTCTACTGATGTTAAAGAAACTTCGCAAACTGTGATAGATACTTTCTTTAACCCGGTTCTCCTGATTCACTCGTGATTTTAAGAAATTTTAGATGATTATTTTTGTTAATTGATGAAAAAAAATTGGGTTTTGTATTGTGCAAAATAATTTATTATGTCAAATAAAAGCTTGAAAACTTGATCTCATTGAGATCATCTCACTAACACAACTATTAGCAATATTTTAACTACAATCCGGTCGGGTGCCGGGTATAGTTGTCCGGATTCGGTTCGGTTCCAGGTGGCTCCGGTTATGAAAAGTTGCACCCGTGCAGGACTCTATTTTACACTACTTTTATTAAAGTTAAAGTTTTAAAGTATTATACTTTAACTTTAACTCTTAAAGTTTACAGTTAAAGCGCCATCCCTAGGTTTGACAATCAAATTTCTCATTTCACATGTATGATAAACAGTTTTTGAAATAATTATGATCAGACTTAAATATTGAGTCATTAAATATTTCAATAATGTGTGCCAATAATATTCTAGTTCCGTACAGCTATTAGCAAAGAACATAGTATCAATTGGAAAAACCAATGTTCATTCATTTTCCGTTAATAAATAATTTTGATTTTTCTCCCCTTTATGATTAGATCATCATTGAATACTTCGACAGCCAATGAATCTTTTATGTTTCAATCATCTTATCAACATCTGCTTGACTTTAAAATATAAGATGCTCTTATCGTTAGCTTATTGTCTTAGTTGTTGTTAATTCATTTTTAGCAAGTTCTTTCCACACAAACAGTAAGTCATTATCATTTATGTAATTAGTTATATTTGCAGTACTGCAAAGTATTTCTCTTCAAAAACATCATAGTTATTGATCTTAGTTTTATAGTTTAATGAAACTATTTGGTGATGTGATGATATTATCGGTGGCATTTTAACTTGGTTCTTTTGTCTCCCAATAGTATCTGTATATCTTTCAAGTAAAAACATAAACGAACTTTCTGATCAATGGATCGATTCAGATTGGAAAAATCAAGTCGATTTACAATTGGTGAATCCTTTTGTTATTATGAATTTTCGATGAATCTGTAGAAATATTTAACTATGTAAAAATGCATTGAAATGAACAACAAAAATAATACCATAAAGCTCTACTCTTTTTTCCCAATAAATATGTATTAGAAGTGTTTATATATTTCAAAGTAATTACCTCTTTTTTACTTTGCCTTTCGGGATAGAATTTATTCCTTCAATCGTAACACTTTGAGAAAGAAAAATACCGTTGGTGGCCAAAAACAACATCTTTGTTTGATCGGACAATATGCCCTGTTTCTGCCTACTTCGTCAGTTTTTTTTTCTTGCTGCAATCATTACTTTAAAAGCGCATTCTTCTCTTTGCTTCTTTCTGGAGATGAGTGTTTTGAACAAATATTTTTAAATTCAACTTTTCATAACACGTGACGGTGTGAATACTCATTTTCGCCGAATGTAAAAACAGCACGCCAGAAATGCGAGTGATTTGAAGATAAACGATGAAAATTTATTTCTAGATTATGTGATGGCGTCAGTTAGACAACAAAAAACTTGTGTTGCATGTCAAAATGGAGTAGCCATATGTAGTGGCTGCCAAGAAAGCTTTTGTTTAACTCATTTTACAGAACATCGACAAGAACTCGATAAAAAAATGGGCGAAGTTGTGTATGAGCATAATCAGCTACGAGAAGCTCTCTGTTCGCAAAACACTGTTCATCCTCTTGTGTTTCGCATTGAAGATTGGGGAAAAGTATCTATTCAAAAGATTAAGAATACAGTCAAGCAAGCTCGTACAGATCTACAAGCATTCCTTGATCGTACAAAACATCGGCTGGTAGATTCACTTGGTAGCATAGCTGACCAATTGAAATTGAGTCAAACAGCAACTGTCTATACTGAAAAGGAACTTGATAAATGGATGAAACAATTAGTGGAACTAGGTCAGATGTTTGAAAACCCACAGAACATTGAAATTGTAGAGGATGAATCAAGAAGTTCATCTGTTCGTATGATCAAAGTGACGGAGAAATCCAATAGTGGAACTTGTCATACGATTAACCAAACAATATTGCAGTCAAGACCATCAACGGAAGTAGTATCAACTGGTACGTAAAGTTCCGTGTTGATTAGTGGCGTCGCTTTAAAATGCGCAATTAAACGTAGTAGCAATTTAATTTTAGCATCGTGAAGGAAACTTCGCATTAGTACCTTCAAATCATACTGAGCGACTTATAGCGAGTGCGAGTGGAAACATTCGTAGATGGCTACTTCTACGAACGCGCAAGAAATTCGATCGGTTTCAATAGAATATATTGGATTGATCTCAACTTGAATCTGCTGAGTAAGATTATCAACAGCTTTACTCAAGGGGGAAAAGCTGATTCTATGATTTCGGATGATTTCATTGATTCTACGTGATTCCATAATCACTATAGATCTCAGTATTATTCTGGATTTATGGATTATCTCATCAGGGCGAACTTCATAGAATCACTAGTTCAGATGAACTCACAGAATTCCAAAAGATTTCAGGTACAAGAAAGACAGTTAAGGTAATCTCACCACCTCAAAAATCGATTTTGCTGCGGATCATTGAAGCCACTTGAAACTTGAAGAATATGTTGGGACTGTAGTGAATGAGCGATGGTAAAGTTGTGTGCTGTATACGACAATGTTTGGCAGAGATATTCACCAAGAAAGGCTCAAAAGTAGCTCATGCAGGAAGCAAAACTTCTCTATCCAGTCTCATTCTGTGCATTTTTTTGTTGGAACTGTATGTCAGGATGTAGTGCTTAGTAGAGTCTTTTTTCAATTCTTACTTTTTAAGAGAACAAAGAATCAAAAGTTCAATGAGTCCAAACTTCCACAAAAAACGGTCTCTAGCTATATTTGCCCTAACTTTTAATAAAACGAAAGCTCACTTTAAAAAATAGACTCTATTGGGTATTGTATTCTGAATTACTCTTTTCAAAAATAATGAAATGAACACAATGAACATGGATAGAGAAATATTGCTTGCTTGCGCGATCGAGAAACATGAAGTAAGAACCAGAAAAAAATATTTTATAATTTTTTTGGAATAAAATATGCGTTAAGCGGAAAATGAAGGAGTTTTCTGGAAGCAGCAAAGCACGAAATTAAAAGTCACGTGTGACAGATCTCAACACACGCTGTTCTCCCTTACGCTTCATTTGATTTTAATTTCTTGATAAAAGTTGATCATTTTTGGCTAGGACCGCCTTAACCCAGATATTGACAATCATAACATGTCAAATACAAGAAATGTTTTCTCTTTACCACCAATTGTCATGAACAAAATTATATAATTTCATTATTCATAACAACGAATCGTATATTTGAAAGGCACGTATTTAGTCGCGCAATGTTTTTTTTGGCCATTCTATAGCGTCTAAGCAGTATGAAAACTCCTATTATAAACAAGCGCAGTATAACAGCAGATTACAAATAGTTTTCTCTAATTTTCTAAATGTGGACTATCTTCAATTAAGAATCGACGTTTTCTTCAGTTCGAATGTAAAAATCAGTGTATTTTGATCAGGGTGTAATATTGATGCTGGTTAGAAAATTATGTATGCGCACATTCTCCCTTTGCGACAACATCTAAGTGCCCAATCAATCATTTTTTTGCCTCCAACAGACAGTTAAATTTTCTCATTATTCTAAATTCTCTAATTACATTCACTTTGTTTGATATTTGTAATTCTAAGATTAATTTTCACTCAAATAGTTGAAAACTCCAGAAAATTTTGTTCATGCAACAGAAAATTCTGCCATAAAGTCAACTAGCTCCTTAAAAGATATTATAAAATTTACTTGAATCTTGTTAAATGATAAAATTATTCATATTATTAGGGTAGGAACTACGAAAAACTGTGAATAGTTGTTTCAGATCGATGAGATATCCTGAATCACGAAAACCAATCAATATTGATGAGAAATATGTTGTTCAATTCCATGTGATTCCATTGACTACAAGTGATTTTCGGCAATGAAACAGCACTCATCTATAAAATTTCAGTAATGATAGATGTTGATGGGTTCTAAAACTAAAATATTAAGCTGAGGTTGACTGACAAAGCGTATCAAAGGGGATAGTCACGATATCAGTCTTTGTGAAATTTCATTTCATTAACGAATGTGATCTTTTTCTGCTATTTTGTAATTAGATAGTTTCATAGGTATTTTATTTGTAACAGAACTACTCTCCAAGCTCATCCAAAAATTAAGTTTCCAAATCAGATAAAATGAGCTTCGACTTGTACATAAACGAAGAATAAAAAATTTTCTTTTAAATGTAAAAAATAAGCAATCTTGTGAAGAATTCAAATTTTGATCTGATGTTATAGATTTCAAAACTTTTAAAAACGATTACTAGGTCGAATTTGAAATTATAAATTCTGGTATTTATATTGTTGAATAATCTGTAAAAATCTAGCTAAGCATATGTTTTACAGATAAATTGAAAGTAGTTCTACAATAAATCTTATACTTTATTCTTTAACTGGTGAAACCCAAGTGAGCAAAAGACGCGTTAAAAGATGAGTCTTTTTTCTAGTCGTGTCGCCCCGTCCCGACTAGACTTTGTCTCAAAAAGTCCTCGTCTGGGACTAGTCCGAGCTTTTGACCGTCATGCGTATGCGTCCTAGTACTTTAACTGACGAGTAGTCATGAAACTTGATAAGAGTAGTTGCGACGTGCGTTCCTGTCTCCCGATCGAAAACGGTTTATAAATGAAAAATTAAGGACGCCTGGGACGATTATAGAACCAGTGGGATCTGTGTATAGTGGACCCGCCTGGACTAGTCTGAATGGAATTATTTCAAGATGAAGGTTGAGGGGTCCACAAAAAATTAAAGTTATCCTGGTCTAACTTTTCTTTACAAATATAAACCATCGTTATCCTTTTACTCCCATTAGTCCTTTTACTCCCTTTAGTTCCTTTACTCCCTTTAGTTCCTTTAATCCCTTTAGTCCCTTTAATCCCTTTAGTCCTTTTACTCCCTTTAGTTCCTTTACTCCCTTTAGTTCCTTTAATCCCTTTAGTCCCTTTAATCCTTTTCATCCCTTTAGTCCCTTTAATCCCTTTAGCTCCTTTAATCCCTTTAGTCCCTTTAATCCTTTTCATCCCTTTAGTCCATTTAGTCCCTTTAATCCCTTTAGCTCCTTTAATCCCTTTAGCTCCTTTAATCCCTTTTTAGACCTAAAGTGATCAAAGGCGACTAAAGGAATTAAAAGGACTGAAGGGATAAATATCGCATGTATTTTTAAAGGAAAGTTAGACCAGAATATCTTTAATTTCTTGTGGATCTATGTGTAAAGAATAATTATCAACAGTATTTAAGAAAGAAAAATTTTCGATAAACTTAATTTTGATTTACTATAAATACGTTTAACTTTTTTTTAGCATCATATAAAGAATTCGCTGAGCCCGGTGCTTTTAAAGAAATGTATCACGATTATATATATTTCATTTCATCAAGGATTCGCACAGTGTCTGCAAGTATATGTTTCGAACGGAGAAAGCTAAATGAACAAATTTCTTGTTGTAATCGTTTATGTATTCTTGTATTGTTTTCATGGTAGTGGTGCGATGACTTTTTTGGCACAGACAAAAAACTAGTTGAATAGAACATTAAGGGTCGTTCTATCCAGCCATTTGCCATATGAACTGTATTTCACTGAATAATTCTTTAATCTCCTCTGAAAGCAGCAAGATATGAAAACAAAATTTTCTTAACCCCTATTCATCTGTGATACCATAGTAGATTCTTACTCAAGTTCAAACAATGACTTGTACTTCGAGAAACGTTCTAGGATAATAAGTTTGCGCCACATGCGGCAAATGTCGTTTTCACCATTCAGTTTTTCTATAATCATGCACGCAAAACGAAGTAAGGAATCTTGAATTTGAAATAAAGCCAACATATGAGAACAGCATACTGATGTGATTCATTCATCTGGCATATTATCATACTTATTTTTAAAAATTCAATACCTTCTCCTTGCAATGAATGATGTAAATAAATATGAGCTTTGGTACTATTCAGATCGTTCATTTAGTAGGTGAACATCGATGTGTGGGCATAGCGAGAAATTAATTACAATGTAGACAAAATAGGTTCAACAAACCAGCCGGCGATGATGATCATTTGCTATTAGCGATGACTTTTCATAAGTTCATCTTTCTTCCACTACTGATTTGATGTGGATATAATACGAGAACAAAAGCATTCGAAAACTTGGCAGTGGATGAAAGCAATACATTTATCGCATCATCATTTAACATCATCATAAATCAATTACTATTCACAAAAGAACTTAAAATAGATTAACTTAACACCAGACGTAAATGTGGTTTATTTTTCAGGTGATCTATAACCTACCTAAGAACATACGGTTTTGGTCTTCACGTGACTGTCAAAAGTGAACATGAACATGCCAAGAATTATGGCTATTCATTGGATAGGTCATCTTTTACAACCTATTACTTCACAGGCATATCGCTCACAATCACAACATCAACGAATAAACGGGTTGGGACAAAGAAGAATGCAGACGTTCTATGCGTTCATTAATCTCGTTCTTGTCTTACAAACGACTAGTTTCAGTACTTCTTCGATTAGCAGCAAATATACTTGAATAAATCATTTGGTGTATATATATCCAAATTCCTTCAAACTCTTTCAAATGAAGCAAAATCTAGGTGCTTCCGTTCAAAGAGGATATGACGACTGAACGCCACTCCAATGATACACATTCATTATATGTGTGAAAATGTAATAACATGAATCAAATGTTAACTTTATTTTAAAATCAGAAAAGTAAATGAACACAATAGTGGTAAAACCCATTCATCGAAAATGTCACATTCTTACATCTCACCCCTATACACTGTATCACAGGAATCATAGAAAACATATGAATAAAATTCTCGTTATACAATGCTTCGCTTGTCCCGTATTCCTGCGCATCCAAAACAATTCTAAGCAAACCTAAAATTAAAATTAGAACATACATGAACAACGGCACGCCAAAGACTTTAAGCATTATTACCATTCAAGAATCCTGTGATCGAGAGTGAAATGCGATTCA